TTTTCACAAAAGAGTTTTCGCGATTATGGTACCATCATAACTGCATTTCCTATGCGCCATGGGCGCACCTGCCTCCCAAAATTTTCATCATGATCATCTGAACATGTTTCGCGAACGACGCCTTTGGGCCCACACTTGAGGCTCTGCGGCTCGGTCGAACACCCAGTTTTCGGTTTGCGGGCACCATTTTTCAGCTGTGCAGTTTTGCCACCACTTCCCTTCCAAATCTTCGGCAACCACCATCGAACCTGGAACCGGCGTTCTGCAAGCTCTGCGCACATATATCACATACCATACTTAACTCACAGTCGATATAACCCCACGAGAGGGAGGCCGATAACAAGACAAAAATCTCTTGATTCTGAGACACATGTTTCTCCTTGAGAAAAGAAAACAAAAGAAGGGAAGACATGCATTTCCGGGGCTGATTGGGGGAATCAAGCCGACTATAGATTGTTCTCGACGAGATCAAACGAGAAGCTACATTAGAGAGACGAGAAGGGGGAGAAAGAAAAAAAAAGGAAATAAGGGATGAAAAGAGAAAACGCCTAGCTTTGAGCGGAGATGTGATTGCAACCATACGCACAAATTCTGGGCGGCTGTTTCGCCCCTCCTCTCCCTGCGTCGTTGAAACGAAAAAAAAGTTGAAAAACTGACAAATGATGCCTGAAGTTGAGGTTCTGACAAACAGATTTTTGGCGACTAGCCAGCTCGACGCTCTGCTGCTTAACGTCGGGCGCCAGTGGTTATTTCCGAGCACACCATCTTGCTCGCTATTTTTTGCTGGGGAATTACGACTGGTAGCTCTAGATTCTCTTATACGTTCTGTTGCATTGACGGATAAGTGGGGGGGAAAAGGAGAGCTCTAGCTTCACATAGCTCTATCTCGAACTGCAATCGATCAGAATTGACTCAATCGACGTACATACATACATACATACGTTTCCTGCTTCTATAGTACCATAGGAGATAAGTAAGTATGCAATGACAATTCCGCGATCTATAGAAGCATAGTTCTAAGCTTCGCTATTCGATGCTATGGGCTGAAATTACGAAAAAAAAGCTCGCACAAGCCACCAGCGCACCCTGGTCCCTGCCGATTGACTCCAAAGGGATATTACTTATTTGCTTTCGTCAATAGTCACCCAAACCTTGTACACGCAGCCTAAATTTCGTACATTTTTGCGGACCATCTATGTACCCCGAAGTGCGATGCAGGAAGGACAGACACCACATCTGTGCATATTGCTCGCTTTCGAAATTCAGGGCCAATATCGCTGGTACGTTTTGTATCCGGCGCTGACGAGCTATCCTCAATCATATTTGCGCTTTTGCTATAGATTACACCAGTCCATTAGGTAGCTTCTTTTCTTTTGCTTTGCTTCCGCTTCTGCTTCTCTGCATTAGCCTAGCATTTGCAGCTAAGGGCATCCTCATTGGTGTTTTCCTTCACGACGAGTGCTCGAGTGTCACAATGAGGCGCTTTCGAAATTTCATTTTCGAACCAAATGATGACGAGGAAGCATAAAAAAGAATAATAGTAATTCCGGTACAACGGATGACGTGGGTGCCTTTTGTTTTTTTGAGGTCCTGACAAACTAAGCTCGAGTATTAATTTTTGTGATCTGGAAAGGAAGCAGAGCAGACGAAGCCTTTCTAGGCGAAGCAACCGAGATGTGCGTCCGGCCCCACATCTTTCCTCTTTTTCTCTCTCCCCGCTACATCATCGTCAAAAAGAGACAACGCGGGTACCTTCGAAAACGCGAGAAACACAAGAATAGTTGTCTCTTCCTCCGCGAGAAATTTTCGAAGACCCCGGTAGACATAGAATTTTGATCAAAAGAAGTAAATAAAAAGGAGAAAAGGGTCAAGTTAAACTCTTGGGGAAAACATAAGTTGTTTCATAACCATGCTTGGTGAGGTGTTCTGTTCGAATTATCGATCGATGATGACAATGATTCTTAATTACGTTTGACCTGCTGGCCTGGGTATACGAGACCACAATGCTCCGAGTCCTTCAACCTAGTTTATTCAATCAACCATCGTAATATTATTACGAAGGATCAAAAAAGCAGCGCGAGAAATCCAAAAAATGCCTAGGATTAGATAATTCGGCGTTTTTTTGTCCGATTGATTTGGTTAGCTATAGCAGCTATCAATTTTGCGACGACATTGCTCGGACACTGCGCACTTAATTATTAGAATGCCATGTGATGATTGGAAAGGTTGATATCAGATCACATCGGTCGAGAAGCTGAAAGACCAAACATTGTCCCATTTGCGGCTCATTATCATCATTGACTCAAGAGCTCTCTCTCATCTGATCATGGTTGAGCTCGAAGGTGACAACATGCACCGATGCACCTTCCATGATATCGATTGCAAGCCATGCTATAATATTATGAATACTCCACTAATAAGACCCGCTGCCTATCTATAACCTGCATCGAAAATGAGCTTTGTGTGGAATCAAAGGTTGGGAATCGAAGACTGGAAGTGCAAAAAAGCGGTGGGGCATGGTCATGGGGGGCTGTGCTGACCTTGAACCATGCTACATGCTTCAGACCAGGGGGAAATCCTGCGATTCGTCTTGTGCGGCGGGTTGCCATTATCGGTAAAACTTGCCCGGTTATGTAAGGATGCGGCTTAACCAACTTGCTGGGAACATTCGGAAAGTATCTTATGATGGTGGCTAGATCCTTTGAAGGTTTGATCGTGGATCGAAGAGATTCGCTAGGATACAACGGTGCGCATAGGCTTCCGGTTGCTCTCAGCTGCACAGTGACCAAAAAAAAAAAAAAAAAAAAAAAAATCCTAGTTTGGGGTTCTCTTCGATTTTTAGGCTACGAAGATAATATCATCAGGAAAGCTAGCTAGGCAGACGAAAATCTTGATCTTCGGGCCCTCTTCGAAGCTTCATATCAAGTTGTAGACTGCCTTGGACTTGCTAGGTCCCGTTGCACTGGTCGACGTCTCAACCCGTCCCCTGCTCATGCGTCATATATATACATGTATACTTCTATATAGTTTGGACCCACAATTGTATTCAGGTCACCACGATGATAAGGAATAAAAGCGACCAGGAACTCATTCGCATACATTCAAATTGCGGCTCTTTGACAACAAACGTAGTCAGATCGATTCGTCAACCCGACGAATTCCTTTATCAGTCTTTATATTCCTATTCCATATATTTATCTAAGTTTCAATTATATATGCATATACCTTGATTTTATTCTTATGCAGGCTAAAGCCAAGGTATCTGTGCTTCGAAATTAGGTTTGTTGAATATATTCTAAGAACTCGATTAAGAAGGATCCAGATCCAGACACCCAATAACTCTTTCGTAGGCTCATGGCTCTGCGACGCCGAAAGCCGTCATTTTCGCCAATTGAATCCCTTCGCATGTATATAAAAATGCTAGTCTAATCGAATATTCTGACCTTTGAACATACACGAGCCATAGTTTACTAAGTCTATCATACTATTTGATGTATATCAAATGGAACTTCGGGCTATTGGGTAAACCCCTATACAAAGGGTATCATTATAGCTTGAGCTAAACCTTGGAGCCGGCGATACGAAGTCTGTGTGACATATGTATGCTACTTGAACATATCCGTGGTCTAGCTATTGTATAGTTACCTAAGTATGTAATACGTCGGCCACAATCATGTCTAGAGTACTGGTTCTCAGGAACGCACTGCGTTATGGCTAGTAGAATACACTTAATACCTTATATATGCTTACTCAGGATATAGAATGGGGCAGAGGTTCATAATCAATTTATAGGACTGGGGAGGTGCAGTTGTATATGCATTGTATACTTTGTATGCTATGCTATCGTAAAAAAAATAAACCGAATGCTATTCAATTGCAAATGCAGTGGCGTATATTCTGCGAGATCTTCGCTACATTTCTCGAGCTGCAAAAAAATAACAAGGGCTGTTCTTCGGGGGGGAGGGCCTGCGCGGCTTCCGGATGTATGTATGTCCCGCACTTACTCCACTGTCTTCTCAATATACAACAACAAAACACCATTTGTCTCTCTGCCCTTCATATCAAACAACCTCAAGTGTCCATATCCAGTCTTCAACCTATCCAATCGAACACAAGCCCAAGCACTCTTATCATCCTTTCCAAACTCATCATCATAAACCTTAAACCTAGCAAAGGACAATTCGGGCACAACCCCCTTAGCATCATACTCCAACACATTCTTCTTCTCCCATCTAACATTAACCCCCTTCCCGTGTTTTGTCTTATGCTTTTGCTTAAGCGTTTGTGACAAGTGGAGTACTACTTTGACATAAGGCTGGAACCCCTTGGCGTCCGTGTCGCCTTTGGGAAGAGGGAGAGATTGACCGGCTATCACCACGATCTTGAGACGGACGTCCTTTTTCAGGTCGGAGATCAAACGCGGAGTCGCGAGGTTCGAAAGGTGGGAGTCGGGTTTCAAGACGTATCCACCAGTACCAGCGAACATTGCTTCGTTGAATGTAATACCCTTGTCTACTTTTTGCCAGTTCAAAGCGACGAGCTGTGCGCCTCTACGCCAAAACTCCTGGGGGTTGAGATTTGAGGATGAGATTCGTAGACCGTGTGGGTAGATCCTGGCGAGGTAATATCTGTTATGAGTGAACAGCGCATCTGTTTGTTCTTCGTGTAGTTTATTAAACTTCTTTTCGGAAAAGCTGAAAATGTGGTTTGGACGAGTGGCAGAAGGGTGGTCGAAGGTATTCGGGAATGTCATGGCTGAGGAATAGACACCTAGGGAGGATAGAGCTCTGCAGATTTTGACTTTGGGGGCCTTCTTTTTAACATCTGGATCTCCTTCTGACTCGTCTTCGTCTTCGATGGAGAGATTGGTGGTTTGTGAGGTGAGTTCTTGGACCGGAGCAGGTGCTCCGGGTTGGGCATCTGGTGGGAGGTATTTGACCTGTTTGAAGATTGTCTTTGAGTATTGTATAAAACCCCAAAGCGTTGGTGATAGAGTATAAATTTAAGCATATCAAACCCCTTTCAAACGGAACTTCGAACCACGGATTGATAAAACAAAAGGGAGTTTATAAAAAAAGGAAGGAAGGAAGTAACTCACCTTGACAAGGATGCGGTTCTTTAGTAATCCAGGTGGTGGGAGTTTTTTGTCAACCACACTCCAATCCGAAAGTTCGGTTTCTAGGAGCTTATCACCCCAGCAATGTTTCATTATTGCTACCATCTTCTCTTGTTGCTCGATGCTGGTGTGGCATTCTAGACTTATCATCAATGGAAGGTCGGAATGGGTAAATGCGTGTTTGCCAATGGCTTCGCAGACAGATTTGAAGGTGATAGCTTCTGTGAGAGTCCAGCCGTGGTCGACCTGTGCAATATCGTTTTTTAGTATCTATGCGTATACGTATACATAGCATGCAGGAGATAGGCACCAATTGGCAGGTTTATACGTGTCTAAACTTAAAAGAAGTGTGGAATATAACGAACCTTAGGCTCTCCATCATCTCCATCCCAGCAATCGATTTCTACGCATCTGCACCCTCTTTCCAATACATTGATATACCCCTGCACTGTTGCCTTGCCGTACAGTTGATGATCCACTAAATAGGTATTATGACTGGAACTAATAAAGTAATTGTTCAACGGGAAGCTAAGATCCGAATCCCTTGCTGGAGGTGGCAGAATGACATTGTTCGCTGGGGACAGGAACGACGTAACCCATTCTTGGTAGGGAGTATGAGGGGCAACGACTTTATGGATTTCAATCAGAGATTGAGTGAATGCTTCCGAAGCGACTTCGATAGGTTTGAGGGATTGAGAAGTTGAGGCGAGGCCGCCGCCGACTTTGCTGGAGGAGGCGGGTGAAGCCATGGTATTCGTCTCTGATACTACTTCCTTCTTGAAGGCTAGTACACGCGCGTACACGTAAGTATACGTACAACCTGGGATAATATGATATCAGTATGTTTGAGCTAATAAAGCCCGTGGAAAAGACAGAATCAAAACGTGAAGCCACACGGCAATGTCGCGAACAGAGCTATCCCACACCGTATACGGCAGTATCTGGTATATGCACCGTGTACAACGTTACGTTATGTGGTCTGGTGGGGTCGAAGGGGGGGAATTAAAGCCAAGGTGGGGAAATCGGATCCAGGGAAATGTGTTGATTTTACCTGGCGAGAAGAGCAGCTTGACTGGGTAAACCTGGCCGTTTACTTTACTTTATGGGATTCTATCCAGCCTCAAGACAAGATGGCGATATTGAAGAAGGGGGGTTTATGAAGAAAAGATGAGAAGTTGACGTAAGGTTAAGCTCCTATACAAGCCGTACTATGTACTTACTATGTAGAAAGTACTTACTTAGTCCAGTGATTTGGCTATTTATATCACTGTCGGTTCGTTCGCCGACGGCCATGAACTTGTAACCAATTAGTTGGGACAGGGGTTAAGTCCGAACGCTGACGAAAGCTTTTCCCATCAGCCACCTGATTTTGGGCAAAACATGCGGGTTTTCCGACACTACATCGAACCTATTCTCAAAACTATGGCATGATGTTACCGTATTTTCTACGGCTGAAACCCCGCTTGCCAATGCGGGCGCCAATGCTTGGTGAGATGTCCTGTCGGTAGAACGTGCCGAACTTCAAATTGGGCAAGTTTCCCTGCAAAAAAATACCACGCAACGCAGTTTTACCTATTAATTAATCTTAATTCCTGAGCAACATGCATTAATATTAAAATATTCTGAAAGGTTGTTAACATGTTATATCGGCATACCAGACGACTATTTATTGGTATACTACTATAGATGGTATTAATACATTAATCAAAAGCTAGTTCTAGATCTAGATCAAAACTTTCTAGTACTTCAGGGGGCTGTTCCATGGGTGTACCCCATTCTGCGTCGAGTCCTAGCTTGAATAATTGCGGCAACCTTTCTCAAGTTCCCCTCATATACTGCCATATAATCATATATCATGATCAACTCTTCTTTAAACGCCTCAATCTTGACACTTTTCTTCGCAACATATGAAAACACAAATTCGAGGGCTTGTGATAGTGCTTTCCAATACCCTTCCATTGCTTCATCGATAGCCACCGCTAGATCCATGTTACCTTCCTCCAAGTCCAGTTTACGTAATTACTACTACTAAGGTTTATTACTCCGTTGAAATCCGGGGTAGCAGGGCCGTTCATCAGCCAATGAAATACCCAAATCGCCATAATAGCTATCGTTTTAGTTTTGCCTTTAGGTCTTCGACTGCGGATAATGCAAAATAAAGGGTTTCGAGAGCGTTGGCCATGACTTCGATTACGCCAGCATCCGGTCCCGGATGTGAGTCAGCTGAAATTTCAAGGATGACTTGGTCGTTAGGGTTTATGTCGGAATTTCTATCCTAGCGTCTTCTAGGAAATCCAAAAACCCGGCACCAATCCCTGCTGGAATTTGGATCTGATCTTGGATCTGGTCTCGATTTTGGTAGTGATATTGATCTTGAACGTGAGTCAATTCAAGAAATGGTGGATTCTGGCTCTCGGGTATATCCGACAGAGCAGCATTGAGACTAATACCCTCGGTCAGTTGTTGGTCTGTTATATCCAACGAGAAATTATCAAGACCTGGATCTTTGAATACACCGTGTTTAGCCCCTCAGCCCAGATATTTGGTTAATAAGGATTCTAAGCCTCGGCTTAGCATCCTTTATCATCCCCAAAAAGCCCAGGATTGGTTTTCAATCATTTTCTGTGAATACACTAGCCGTGCCAAAAAAAGTCTAGGTAGGAATTATATCGTTCGCATCGAAACCGAGCTCGAGATCGCGATTGATTGGATGGGATTCGATATCAGCTTGGAAGTCTACGGGAGCACCCCAGAGGGTTTCGAGACGGTCCCTGTTAGCAATCATGTAGGTCTGAAGGTCATTTTTGTTGACAGAGCGTTTGCTAAAAAGCGGCCGCAGGCGTAGGACAGAGGAGGCAGCGGGGAGTATTAGACTAATGGTGAATAGATATGAGAATTTGATCGTGGACCCATTGTAATGACAATATGTATATGTATTATACTTACGGAAGACCCATATGGCGCATTTCCTCGTGGCATCGTACCTTAAATACAAGATACTATATTTTAGAAATAAAAAATATAAAAAATAAAAAAATAAAAAGATTCGCTCAAACCCCCCATATAAGCGGATACCATGGACATGATATCACGGACATCATGGACATCGGTATAATATCCCGCGCGTGGATCAAACAAAACCGCCACCAAAAAATGCAACAAAATATATCCAAAATATGTGTTGCCATGCGGACAACTGACATCCCATACAAACAATGCATAAATTGATTCCCTCGACGGTGCAAATTGCTGTATTTAAAGCAGCTGAGCAACGGAGATATCTCATTCCAGTCACAATTCAGTACAACGACCTTGTCCCCGCAAAGCTTCTGTCATTTTGCATCTCTTCTCTTAGTTTTTGAGTTTCAAAGCCCTCAATTAAAGGATATTCACTACTACAAAGTAGTCTTTCGCGTTCAAAATGGTGAGTCTACTTGGTCCCTTTGGTCTGAAAGCGTCAGATGCATGTATAGTAGCATATATGCAGCTTATCGTCAGTAGCACAAATATGACGATAGCTTCCCTCCTCAGACCCTCCGCTATCATTTTCGCTATCCCCGTCATCTCGACATCATCGTCCACCTGCCGTCACGCTTTCTTCATGGTACTAAATGAATATGATGTATTTAGTCTACCCCGAGCGACAGTCTCCGGCTTCGCCAGAAGCTCTCCATCACCGAATCTCTCTCCGGAGCCCACTCTATCCGTTCCAACCGTTCCAACCGCTCTAACCATTCTCAGCCTCCTTTGTCCAAACGTCCTTCTCTCGCGAACTCCATGGCAGGCTCTATGACTGGTAGTCAGCGAAACCGTCTTCGTGAGCACCGTGCCGAAGCAGTATTTCATCAGACGACTCCTTCTAGCACCATTAGACTCATCATGTCTCGCGCTTCTGAAGCTCCTAACGCTCCTGCTGCTCCCCATCTATTCAATCAATTGATGGAATATTTTGGGACCGACGAGGATCAAATTAAGTCCGTCATTGATAATCAGCAACAGAGCCTCGCTACTGATTCTGTTGGTGGTGATACTGCCGGTGATGCTGCTGCTGCTGGAATGGTCCAGCAAGAAAACACCACTCCGGGCACTCCGACCACTCGTTCGGGTACTGCTAGTCCCTTCTACCCGCCACATCTCCGTACTACCAGCGGAGCTTCAACTCCAGGCTCGGAGCCAATCGGTGATCTTTCGACTCGTCAGCTGTCAAATGCTGAGATCATGTTGTACATCAACACCATGCTTGGCACGTTTCCTGGTCGAAAGCGACCAGGGAACCCCACAGAGCTCGAACGGATGTTCATTGGAAAATATTTCGGTGAGCAAGAAGAAGAAGGCAGCGAGTATGGCTACGTCAGCGACTGCGAGCCATGCGATATTGACAGTCTTTCTGGAGATGATGAATCCAATAAGAAAGAAGGTGTTGGTGAGTTGAAGGAGGGAGTTGACAACCTCAAGATCTCTGGGCCGATGAGAGAGATGAAGGAGGACAATGATTATGATGCCGTTTGAGTTATTAGTCGGTTGATCTTTCCTTTCATGGGGATCTTTCTTCTGACTTATGAACATCGAATCGGTCTTTTCTTGGTACTTCACCCCCTTACCCCTTCTCCCTTTGGCTCTAATCAGAATTATAATAATGATCTTTAGATACATTTCTCTTTGAGGTTTTTCTCTTTCTTCTCTTTGATACTCCCATTTTATTTGGGTATTCATTTGACAAGATCTTAAGAGGCTTGTCGTTTTTCTTTTCTAGTACACTTTCACCCACCAGCACACTCCATCACGCTGGTTCCTTTTCATAATACACAGACACACGCTTTACTTCTGTTCAATAGGGATTACGGTATCATATCACTTCCCGTACACCCTTTTTTTCTCTTTTCATTATCACCTTCCATGGTTTCTTTTAGTATTAAGGATTAATCGAACCCATCTTTTAAGTTGCCTCCAACGCGTCTTATTCCTCCCACCTTTTCCCCAACTGTGATATCTACGACCTCCTAGTTTATTTTTCGAGCGTGATTTCGACTGCTATGGTCTGTAGATGTAAGATCTTTTTCGACCATATTCCGTGTATATTTTGTGTTTTATTATGTTCCAGGCGTTGGGCATCTACGAGCATTCCAGCCTCGTAACCAAAGGGAGCATTCAACCTAATAGGTGCTTTTTTATTTTTTACAGGGAAGGCTGTTTAATGTGAAAGCTGAGACTTTGTATAGGGTAAGCGTGTTAAGTATTTCATTATGGCTATATTATCTAAGGTAATTCATTAGGTAGGTACCTAGTATTCGTAAGATCGAGAAAGTGATGAACCAGACCTGGTCCTACTAATGTAAGCGTATGAATCTTAGAGAGGGGCATCATATCTATTCCGTCTATTGTTCATTATGTATTGATACCTTCGGATAGTCTTTCGATAACTTGAAAGGTAAGATAGAAGGGAATAGCAATATAAGTTAAACGAAAAGAAGGTATGGGAGTGTGAATGGAAGGTCGTGAACCTATATAGCTATAGAGATAGAAGACTAGATGCGATACTCAATGCGAGTCATATCATGGGCATATGGTAGTCTCGTAACCAAATTTAAACTGCGATAGGTATCTCTGAAAAGAAAAATAAAAGGACAACGCGCTCAGTGCATCAATTTTCCAATTAATTTATGGTAGTTGGAAGTATAGTAACAGATAAACCTTAGAAAGAAGGTTGAGGAAAACTAGAAGGTCGAAATATATGGGTATCTTGGGTATCGGTAGAAGCAAAACAGGTAGTCTAAGCATTATGGACATAAATCAGAAAGACCAACACGCAGCCTGAAGGATAATGGGGAGGGGAAGGCACAAAAGCAAAACTGAAATAGAGAAGCAGTGCAAAACTCAAAATGAATACTGCAGGCGCATATGGCATAGATATTAAAGATTTTATGGGGGTTTATTGGGGATATTCAGAAATAATCTGGTCTAGCTATTGTATACCTCCTATATCTCCTTGCTTCAGTAAAAGAAGTAGACGGTATTGCCGGAGGGACATCTATGCATGGGTTGAGCAGATATCCTGAGGTTGTGTTGGATATACCCCGATATTAGCTAGATGATGTCCGGAATGTTCGCGAGGTGTATTCAATCTAAGGGGAAGGGAGAAAGGGCGCATCCGTGAAGGTTAGTAACAGTAAAGGGAGGATGTGTAGAAGGGGATGCAGCAGATAGTAATAAAACAGCAGTAGTGGAAAACGGGTCTTCGCCTTGTTGCCTCGTCAGCTAAATCGCAAAGTAGAGAGTTGATCAAATGGAAACCGTATCTCCAGCCCAATAGAAGGAGGGGGCGATCATAAGTTAAACGTATTTGCTAGAATCAATTCATCAGGGAGCCAAGCTAAAATGTGGGCTTACGGAACAATCCCCAATTAGAAAAAAATCCAGCCGTAGTGTTACTAGAAGGATCGCCTGGCTTATCCTCGGGACGAGTGCGACGGCGCCTTTGGTAATGTGGGTGATTTTCGTCATCATATTCAACAATGCGCTCGCGATAGTGTTGATGGTGAGGCTCATGGTGGTTGGTTGTGTGAGTATGAGCTCCTCGATTGTGGTGGTTGGCCCTGTTATGGGTTTGGCGCTGGTGAGCGTGAGCTCTCGAGCGTTGGTGCTTTCTAACAAAGGCAGAATAGCCGGAAGAGTCTGACCCAGACTCAATTTCTTGATACATTTCTTTGGTATGGTTTCGCAAGTTTGTAGCATCGTGGAAACTATCGGCTTTGGTAGGCGAAAGAGCCAACCGGTGGGCGAGACGACGAGTAAGGGCCTCAAGAGCCTCTTCCGGGTTCTCCGTAGCGGACTTGACGAGAGTGGGGTGGCTACGGTTTTCATTGTGGTTTTTGTCATTGTGACGACGGGCACGACGAATAACGATAACTTCTTCTTCTTCTTCGTCATCTTCGGGGCCTTTGGAAGAGATGATGCGAATGTTGTCTTTGTTGACAATGTGCTCCCTGTCGAAGAAAATACTATGACTGAGACGATTGCCCAAGTTTGTGCTAGACCTAGGTTGTGTGACCCGGGCTTCCTTTGCAGGTTGATATTCGTCGTCACTTTCATCTCGATAGACGTCTGAAATATTTGCCTCTGTATGGCCATAGACATGGTGCTTCGATTGACGACCATGGGGGGTTGGGTTGGATAAGGCCTAAAGTTACAGCAGAGTTAGGAATGATTTAGTGACTATCAAGTTTCCCCTCCGAGCTAATAGAGCTCTTCAAGATGCTTACCGCGTCCTGAGGCATATTCTCGAAACGGCTGGATTTATTCCTGCCATGGTGTAACAAAGGTTCTTTGAGGGCAGCTCTTGGGTCGAGAGATTGAGGGTGCTCGCTATGAATGACTCCTCGTCCATGGGAAGCGGTGGCACGCAGGCTTGGTTCGTTCTCTTTAGCCTTCTTAATAGTATCTGTATAGTTAAGCCGAGTCAGACGTGTCAACAAAATCCAATTTAGGGAACTAGTCGAATTACCAGCTTCAGCGACGACTTGTCGAACTAATTTGCGCAAAAGATCGGCATTCTTCTTTTCTTCTGCCTCTGAAACTTCACACTTCTCGCAAAGAAATTCTTTGACTCGTTTTGGGGCGGGGCTGTCGAGATCGATACCAATCCCTTGAGAGGCTTCATGAAGTGAGAGTCGGCGATGGACAGTCTCGATGGTAACCAGTTCTTGGCATTTGTCGCATGGTTGCCGAACGTTGATGTTAATAACTCTTTCATCATGTTCAGCGGTGTGATGAGTAGAGATAGTTGCATCAAAATCAGGTTGATCCTGCTTCGCACCCATAGCCTTGAGCCAGACATTCTTTTGATATTCCTTTTTGCGAGCATTTCGGAGAGCTTGATCCCTCTCGATCTCCTCGATTCTGGCTCTCTCATTTTGTTCGGCTCGCAGTTTGATGGGAGCGTATTCACCATTCGGGTCTTCAAAGACCGGATGACGTCCTTGATGGTGGAGCCTGTCACCCTCGATTGTGTCCAAGTCATCATAGTCAAAATGGCCTAGATTCTCAGCCGGCCTGCAAGGGATGATTCTTGGGTCTTTTGGTGGAAGGAAGACGATTCCGGGGCCGTAGGGGTTAGGGATAGGAGTACCCATAGGAACAAGGTACTCCGGCCCACCTTGGAAGCCTGCATGGGGGTAATTATGATGATGAGAACAGTGAAAATTCTTATGACTATTATGTTCATGTCCGTGCTCATGCTTGAAGGGTCTGGTAGAAGCCTTAGGCTTTGCCCATGCTGGAGAGCCATCCGGACCTGCAATTCCCATTGGATAGCCGGTCTCCGAGATTACAATTGGAGGGGGAACGTTATTAGGAAGATGGACAACAGGAGTATGAATTTCTCCAATAGAATCGCCGGATTGGGAGGTACTGTATCAGTTAGTTTCGGACTTAATTGATTTAGGAAATTGTTGTAACCTACAGCTCTTCAACAATGTATCCTGGAAGCCTGTTTTCCAGCCCGCAGGACGGGTCATTGCAGGAATATGGGGCCATCGGGATACCTCTCGCAAAATAGTACCTAGTTGGAATCGAAATCGGAGCTGCTGACGGGATTGCAATTGGAGGCGCTGGCGAAGGAGCCTTGTGATGATGGTGGGAGTACTTCGTTTTCTTGGTAGAAATATTAGATGCAGGATGTGGTGTCCTGTTGGGTGTTCGAGAGGGCATATGGGGAGGAGGAGGAGGAGGAGGAGGGAGAGAAGGGAAGAAATCAGAGCAACCACGACTGGCCCTAGAGCTTTCCATCTTGCTAGCTGAAACTATAGCTCCGTACTAATGATGTCGTGATAGATAGGTCCGTGAAGGTAATAATGGTAATGAGATAGCGATGACAGTGGTGATGGTGGTGGTATTCCGTGGTAGACGGTTGCTGTGATGAGGTCGTAGATGCAAGAGGAGAGGTGCAGCATGCAAAGGGATAGTGGGGACAAAGCTGCGTCCAAATTCACACAATTGCTTCTGTAACATTGATCACCACCACCACCACCACCACCACCACCACCACCACCACCACCATCATCATCATCATCATCCGTCTACCCTAGTTTTAATTTATAAAAAGCTCCAGCAAGACTACAGATACTTTATTCATATCAGTATGCATTATCAAATAATCTGTGTAAATTATAACACTGGGAACGAGACTACTCTTGCAGCTACCTACTTAAGTAGTTACTAAAACCGATTCTAGAAGCAAAGGAATTGGACAAAGCATCCCAATCGGCTCAACTGATCTCATCTAGCAAGCCAAAGCAGATGCGAATCCATGGAAGGACCAATGGCAAGTCTCCTGGGAAGCATAAACCAAGATCTTTATGCAGGACTACTCAAGTATACAATACTAATACCTTGGCTTTGCAAATACTGTGTATACCTTAAGCTTGGCAAAGGAATTGCTAGCCGATGACAGTGAGTTTACCAGTTACACAAGCACTTGATGAGCCGGGTGGAGACTAACAGCATCTGATACTTGCAGATTCTGAGGAAACTAATGCAACGGAAGGGCACTCGGTTTCCACTTCAGCTTGACAAGGGTCTGATGCACACTTCTGAGGCTGGATTCGCCGGTGCTGATCTTCACGGTTTTTGTCGCATGTTGCCCAATTTCAAACCGAATGTTGGTGGGCAAGAATGCGTGGTAACTTTGATCGTTCTGGGGATAGTCGATGCGGCCTAATTCTCGCGATATACTCTGTCTAAGTATCGAGTTGGCCTGAGTCCTGGTATGGTGAATGCCGCCCTATTTGATATGAGCATGGGTGCCCCCAGAAAAAAGGGGCATCTTCAGAGGCAACGTCATGAGAGGAATTGGCGTGAGGGGAATGACGCTAAATCCTACGTCAAGCGAAAGGCTTTTATTTACTGGCTGGATATCATCCTCCTAAACCCGAGGGTCGACGCTAAAAGCTTTGTGGTGGTATGAAAGCTTCAAAAAATGTGATATATCGCAAGCCACAAGCTGCGCAGCCAACGCAAATACGGGTTCTAGACTGCACGTCTCGCAGGAAAAGGCCCGGCACCGTGGTCCTCGTTAGACTTGCAGCACAGGATTTAGGGCATGTTCGCTTAAATTGTTCCGAACAAATCATAGCCTCGAGACCAGGCGCAGAACAAATCAAGCGAGAAGCCAGCATACATACGCATGCAAGATTGTCATAGCAGGAGGCAGATATACTATGTGCTAGTTATGTGGAAAAGGAAAGCAAGGATGCGCACGGAAGCTTGTTTCACTCGATCCAACCTCGCACAGTTTTTTTCAGGCGACAATTTACTCCTTGATGTTCGATACGGTAGGATTGCCCTTTAGGATTTCTAATGCTGAGTGACGGATACAAACCCCGACAATACCTCGCTATAATATGCAGCCAAGAAAAATCTGTGGTGGTTCGAATAATCAAAGCTCAGGGAGCAGTATCATCTTAGCTACCGAGCAACCCGGTTATTGGGTGTTAACTTCTTAAAACGGGAACTTGTTTGATATTATTACAAACAGGATCGGTTCTAACTATTAGAAATAACGGAACGAAGATAAGCTGACCCGCAGCCTAAGACTTTTAGGGCATCAAAGGATATCTGATTGGTGAATTGTCGCCAGAAACTCGTCTATTATTACATCGAGCTTTCATTTCTTCACTCGCAACCGAACTTCGAAGGATAAGTATAACAAGGACTAGCAGGTGCCAAATACACAACTAAAGGAAAGAGATGAAATCAGGAACAACCATTCGTCCGCCGGGAAACTCCGAAACATCGTCTAATCTACTACGAGACCGATCTAAATTCGCATTCTCGGCTTGTTCACATCAACTTCGGTTCCGCATACAGGGCAGGTGGTGCCATTGATTACGACGGTCTCGACCCCATTAGACTTGCAGGTGGGACAAAAGTGACCGGGTATCTAGATCCGGGTACCATGTGAGTTTTAAAGCCTGAGCTTATAGATATGAGGACATCGGCATATACTCACGGTAGCGTTCGTAGGTGCTTGAACGGGCTCGTTCTGGAAAGCAGGAAGCGGTGTAAATGTGTGATACATTCTTAAGGGTTGTATATGATCGATCGACTAGTTTCGAGGAAGCACTAAGCTATATAGCAAAAGTCCCTACGTGGGGTGATAGTCGTGCTACTAATACCAGTTAGCAATACCCTAGGCAATATATGTCGCTCCAGGAAACAAACTTTAATATGCTAAGGAGGCAAACTGAAGTTGATAACTACGAGTGCTTAATATTAAGGGTAGTGTAGGTTTACGGCGATATAAGCCTTCTGAAGGTATGAAGCCTTTCGGTTTTTGAAATCTGATATTGAGCAGCTTGCGGGAGTTCCTTGCCCATTTATAGAGTTCTAAATCACAAAGTCCTTTAGTTTCCGGGTCCACACGAATTAGGCATATAGTCACGGCCGCATATGGAGATAGACGCTAACTAGGTTCTCCCGTACTCCCTGTCCAATCGAAATGCATGGGCTCTGAGCCAAATCCAAGCTCCTTCTCTGATATTTTTCTGAATTGTTCGAGATTCCGAGGGCGGCTGCATGCTGCTTGCTAGAAGCCGTCTTCACTTATTGGTGGATAGTACTGCTCCTACGAATCAACGCACAGTTCGGTATCAAGCTGCTCTAGGCATTTGAGCATGTTCTGCCTTTTGATATTCACAACCATTCTCGTTTCAGTTTTCCTTTGGCGACGAGAAATTAAGATGCAAGGGGCAGTTGCTTTCCTGGAGATGCATATGAAAGTCAAACTGTATTCGGCATTGCATCATGAAGTTGGCAGTCTAGTCTCAGTACAGAGGGGAAAGTATTTTGCAAGTTCGACGCGGCGTGGAGTAGTTATTGGTGACATAGCAACCCTTAAAAGTTTTGCTTTAGCACTGTCGAAAGTCTCCAAGCTAATCAAAGCGGTATCCGTGCATCAGGTGTCGGCGCACGGAATTTGTAGTTTCTGGGGTGGATATTCTTCGCAAACACTGATCGGTTCAACATCCGGCACCCGCTTCGGGTCCGGCGACAAGCAAGCCTTTAGAACCCTTAGAACCAGCCAATACGAGTTTTATATACATATATCAAGATTACTACGATTACACCCCGAAACCTCGGAGCCTTACATATTGTGGGGAATACTGACTGAGGAATGGGAATTGCTAAGAATTCCAGTTGCGAAAGGCGAAACACCATGGTAAGCTGGAAAACCAACGGTGTTGCAATATTTCGGGCCAGGGCCGGACAGACGCTTTGACCTCTCGCTTGCATCTTTGGTTGGCTGGCGTGGCCTGGAGCCCAGATGTGTACGGACACCATCGTCTGAAATATACGGGTCAGCATTTATAACACCAGCCCATGTTCCGGTAGGTTGTACATCGTACGAAAAATTCCAGCACAGGTTCCTTCATGATCAACTACTTAAGTGAGCACTTGGCCATCGACCACGAAGTAATTGTCTGTCCGCTGTCAGTCCCAGGGTCCGACCTTCAAACTTGTTGGGTTTTGTGAAATCTACAATTGGCTAGGGTCAAGCCAAGCGCCTAATTTGGGTAGTACAAAGTCCCGTATTCAGCCATCATCGCCCCCATGGAGGAGAATCTGGGATTTTTTTTTCGCCACGTTCCGGCCCAAGGACCTAAATGGGACAATAGTGGTGGCGGAAAGTTTTGAAACGGAGTTACCTGGATCTAAACAGTCCTTAGGTAAGCGGTCTGGTGAATCGCCACGGCCAGTATTTGTTTATCATCTCCCCCGACACCACCGTCTATTTGCAATCTCGTTTTCGAGCTACTATCCTTGACCGTTGTGATCACTTTTCTCTTGTTTTGCCGTGCTGGACGAAATACAACTTTTCATCGCAATGCCGTACCGTAAACACCGTGTACAACGACCCAGAGTGAAGCGACGAAGGACCTCGGAGGAGCCTACTGAGGACGCGGGCCAGCAGCAGCAGCCCGAGGCGGGTCCCGCCGAGAATACTGCATCACCATCAGCTGAAAGTTCCACGCGGAGACGAGCTTCGAATTCGGCTACAGACCACGACGCTGGTACATTAGACCATCCAGACGCGACAAGTAGTCCAGCCTCAGCGGAAGCTACTGCTGCCAATTGGGTGGGACCATTGATTGGCTACTGTTTCTGTCGAGACTGGAAAGTTACAATTAAGGAACCTATTCCGGGAGTGGTTGTGTGTCATTGCAAGGATTGTCAGGCGATATCATCGAGCTTCTTCTGTACATTCCTTACCGTTAGTATGGGCTGTCCAACCCCACAGTTACTTTTGATGTTTGCTCTATCGCTGCAAGCGGGATGCATTAGTAAGATTGTGAACTGAGATTGGTTGTTTCACAGAGTCCAGAGCCTTGTTGATGGTTGAACCACGAGACCGAGAGGCGCGCAACGTAGAATCATCTACCTATTACTACACCATCAAAATAGGAGACAACACGGGAAGGAGTCAATCTCGAACGTTCTGCAAACGATGTGGGACCGTACTATTCGCTACTCGTAAGCCGGTCCATCATTTATATCTTAAGAGTCTACCTTGTAGTTTGCGCGCTTTGAGTTCTCGTCACTTCATACTTGCATGCGTTACGCCCTGCATTTAGGAATGTAGAAATGACGACAAGCTGCCTAGACTATGATTCCCAAAGACCTGCTGGGGTCGTGCCATTGAATATAAGGAGCTACTACAAAGCTATAACTCGAAGGGATTAGGCTAACTATCTGATTTGAAATTATGCAGCTGAATCCCTCGAGGGCGCCCTACCGGTCAACAGGAATTTGTTTGTTGGTCCGCATAACAATCCGTCTCCCGCGCTACAAGAGCTCCTGACTCCAAGGATCGAGATTTTCACCAAAGATAGATCGCAGTGGCGTCCTGAGCAAGAGGGTGTGCTTCATCAGTACGTTAGCATGCCTGTCGGGTTTGGTGACAGCGGGAACAGTGACGATGCGGAAGCGAATCCTGCCATTCTTGCTGGGGATCTGCACTTATAGCATTTCTCTATAATATATGGTAAAGTACCTTTGGGGTGATGGTTGCATGTGAACGATGCAGCAATATCTTTCCTACGTCGTTCATCGGTGGATGCCTGTACCCGGTACCTGACGTTCCTTATATTTTTGATCTATACATTTCTGTCTACATCCTGGGGGAGTATCTGAACTTTAGGTCCTTGGCGTATCTTAATTGGCTTTCTTGAATCCGGATTTCTTCCGTTTTGGTGTTTTTGGTCTGCCACTACATTTCTTTTCTTTTCTTTTCCTTTCTTTTCTTTTCTTTTTCTTTCCCTTTTTCTCCTTGTTAGAATATTTGGTTTCATTACGGGCCTGCAATGGCCAAGTTCTTTTCTATGTGTGATCTGTTTTGATATGCGACTTGTTGAATATGTGACCCGCATATCAGGTTTCCCTGAATATCCCTTGGTTCACGGGTTGAAATGCATCAACATTCTGGCGGTTTTGTTGAAATCGAGTCCAATCTTTAGCCGCGCATATCCGTGCAGATTAAGGCGCAAAAGCCATCGATCGGTTTCCTTGATATTCCTATCTTCTATCTCCAATTGTACAGATCTAACTATTCAGGGGATTGTCACTGTATTACAAAAGACAATAGAGAATCATACAGAAGTTCAGACTTCATAGGTGGCTATTCAGTTGTGCAGAGCTGATAACCTTATACCTGATCCCAACCATCTCAGCTCATGGGTTTTGGTGATACAAAAACTCTCAAATGTATCACGCCTTTGAATCCATGCTTATTCTACCCTCGAGGGGTCCACGTTATTTTAGAGTTTTCATTTCTTTTGCAGCTCCACAAAAGATTGAGCTCGGAGTTTGGGCATCCCCGTGGCGACAGGCAGCAAGGGCGTACAGCAGTCCCGGGAACTCTCACGGCAAAGTTTTTTTTTCAGTCTTTGTCCAACCACAATCCCAATTTTTTGGGAGCGCTGCCTACACGCCATTTTCCATTTTGCCTCCCGAGCCCGTACCCCTATGCCTGCACGCAGAAGGTTTCCCACATTCCATTGCGGATATAAAACAGAAAAAGGGATGTCTTGGAGTACCTAGAATAACGAAAATATGAGTCAAGTCGTGGCAGCCACAGCCATATCTGAGAATCTGGTTCTCGGGAAAGTTTGACAACCTCGTGACGGTTGGAGTCTTGTGTAAGATGCGCCTTTGAAACTTTTCTTTTTTGGTATATAATAAATAACATACTGCACCTTTGTGGTATATGATTAATATTTTACCCTAAATACGGAAATATTTTAGCTCCAAACTATCGAAGTATCTCAGCCGTGGACCTGGGTTACCTTTTAGAGATAGTTAATGATTTGCTGCCTGTGCAGCCGTGTAGGATCTGGTTAGGTGGCTGATTAATTTTCTGTGTTCGATCGCGATGTTATTTCCTAGCTACATGTACATGGCGATCGCCAAGTCCAACTAATCTACAGGGAGCAGATTCTGGTGCAAGCTGAAAGAGGTCTGGCCATGCGGGTGGTATCTTAGTTAGCTCAACCTGGCTGCAAGTTGCAGAATATTTTTCAGTAGCTATCACCAATCGGCGGGTGGAAATGCAAAAACATGGAAATGTGAATATATTCAAATAAAGGATTTGGTGAATTTGTTGGGTGGTAATCTAGTGGGGAGTTCCGGCAGGCTTCTAATTTTTTGTGCTATCGGGATCGGAATCGAAAGTGTGTTTGGCCAATGAGGGAGCTCCAATGACAGATTCCATAGTATTCAATATACGCCAGAGACATAAATGGCGCTCCCGGCAGTACGCAATTTGGGCACTAGGCCCGTCCGGTTGGGTCTAGATTCGCGACTATATGTTCTGACCTGCTTCATTGGCGCATATGAGCGGGGAAGTTCGGTGGGTCCAATATTATCGAGGTGATCGGTGGCAGAGAGGTCTGCGCACAGAATAAGTGGTCCAATCCGTATAGTTTAGACGACTAGCTTGCATGAAGAGCTGCGGTTGAATGGCTCGCTGAATAGCCTAGCGGGCATTGTTTTGCAACGATACCATGGGCACTCATGGGGTCCCCGATCGCGATTGAGGGCGCAAGTATAATGGTAGTCACCTAATGAGGATTCTCTCCTGAGAGCTCCATTTTCGGTCACGGCGCCAAGGGAGTTGTACGAGACTAGCGGATCTTGCAGACGTATGTGGATCTACTAGGAATTATATCTACCTGAATAGGATCTAAAAGACCCGCCCAGATGTGCTTCCTGCATAGTTTGATATTTTCCAAGGATCCGGGGGTGGAGAATGCGACGTCGAAGGAGTGCTCTGACCCGTTGTGAAAAAACGACCGATACAGTGACCATAAACAAAATAACTAGTAGATGGTACCGATACTAGTTATCACTATAGGCCTTGGATTAGGCATCTGATCAGGTTGACATGTACCCGAGTACTTTATGTTTACTAAAAATATGGAAACTGCCGTACTGATGCAGTAATCTTGATTCTCGATCCAACTCATAGAGTATAGTCTGGATTCGCTAATGCACCTCTAGACCCATATGATACATATCAATTTGTGTATTGCGGTCTCGGCCTAGAACCTCCAATAGTTTGATGATGATCGCAGTGGTCGTACAAAGCCTACTATCAAGGTTGATGCTTCCTGCATGCCGTTATGCATGGATGGTGACCAACAACGCACAACACACGTAATCGAGCATTAAGATTGGAATATTCTAGACCGGCCCGAACGGTTGATATGTATAAGCGGCAGAAGAAGTGAGGAGACAAAAGAGTTTTGAATAATGCAAGGCTGGACATTGTGATATTAATGTACGTTATATACAAACGTACGGATGCCTGGATTCCGAATTAGTGCTCGAGACGCCTCACCCCACGTGAAGTTACCCTTTTCGGCATTGACCGATCGGGTATATGGTTTAGGAAATTGATTTACAAACTTGAAACTGGATTCTATGTCAGCTATCCATAATTGTGATAACATAGTAGTGGCATTTGATAACTCACATTCTTGAGCCCACCCTTATGGAAACTGTTCCATTGGCATAACGGGCAGTTAGAGGGCTCTCGTATCCCTTTTTCATTACGAGATTAGGTGATCAGAAGGTGCATATTAGCCGGGTAAGTTTGTCGCGTGACCTCTTTTTTATTTTGACTACAGCTATCCAGATGAGCAGTTAACCAACCTCCATGTGGCGGACGCGTCTTTGTGTTGTTTTTGTGGTATAATTTTCAAAATAATTCATGGCAGATGCGCATCGAGAGTCGGCTCACGCCTGGTTCCGGATCCGGTTCAGGAAATATAAATATCAAAATACTCAATTTCTCAAGGTTGCAATGGAAGTCTAGTATATAGTATCATACATAGACCCTAGCAGTTTAAAAGTAAACTTATAACCATCTACAAATAATTCTAGAATTATCGACGGCTACAGTCTCAGTTTTGTATTTGATCTATTTGTATTTATATACTTATTTATATTTAGTATTATCTATTTGTACTAAATCTACATGCAGGGCGACAGCATGTCAGTTACTACGCATATCTTGATCTTCTGCCAGAGTAATCGGCGGCATGCTTTGCGATATATGTCAAAATTATATGGCGATATGAAAACCAGCTTAGCTTTATACTAGAATATCTAGATCAATGCCGTAACATCAAAGATTTTGGTTGTTCAGATGTTATATATTATCATGCAGAAACTCCTACAACGACCACAACATAGTCAACGTCAGCACGGCTCTATTGCGACTCAGCAGGGCCTAGGGTTCTGAGCATCGATTCAAGTAGAAAAACCTAGACCATCGAATTGACACAATGGCGTACGCAGGGAACCGTAGGTTCCCTAATTCACAATTGAACGCTGGTGCGCCGCCTTGGGGTGTGGACGTGGAACCAGAAGGCGAAGCTTCAGGATCTCCAGGGCAGGCGCCAGCAGCGTCCGCACCTACTGCAAGTCTTCCTACTTCAATATATCCTTTTGGCGAAGACGATAAAGGTATGTTTCAACAGTCTAGTTTGTGCATTGGCGCCTGCATAAGAACAAACGAAGCTTTGGAGCTCTTTTAACCTTTACCTTTTGGATTTAAAACTTTTTTTGATTCTAACTATATATATAATTTGTATTAGATGCAGATGATTCAGTAAGCTTTGACGACCTTAGCTCCTCTTTCTCGTTCGCCGCGGGTTATACATTAATGCTTCCGGATAATTCTAGGATGTCTCCAATTACCGAAAATACGACAACAGGAGAATAACGAATAGACAGACTTTCAAGTCAAATCTTAGTACCTTGGTGGAGGAATCCACACCGGATGATGGGCCTGCAGTGGCACCTTTGACCAATATAGCGGCACCAACGGCTGCATTAACACCTAGAGCTACATCTACAGCCCCGTCTGTGCCGCCAATTCCTACATCAGGGCCGTTTGCGCAAACTTCTATAGGCCCTCCGGAATCTATTGGTACCAATACATATAATCACGGAGCAAATCAAACATATGCCCAAACAAGCTGGCCTGGCCCAATGGGAGGTTTATCCTTTCAGGATAACCCGCTAGGTTCTGGAAATGCCATGCCCAACTTCGATCAGCAGGAACACGATTCAAATTCTCCTCAGCAAGTGCCTCCTACAGCCGCGCCGTGGCCGGGACTGCCTCCAGCGAAGGGCTCTTATACGAGTAGTTATTCATCACCTTGGCCTATTCAAGATCCAATATTCTCGAGCCAGTCCTTCGGAAACAGCTACGGTTCTTCAGTCGGGAGCCAGATGAAGGAGCAGTCACTGGACGGTGCTCCCCCGAATGATATCTCTACTGATCCCCCAGCGATGGATAGCCCGACTACAAACCCCCGCATACACAACCAACGTCCTCTCGCTGGAGCATTTTCCAACGAACAGCATACAACCTGGGGTTCTGGAAGTCAACAGCGTCTCTTACCCCTTGCTAAAAACCAACAGGCAACAAACGAATCAATATTGGGGGAGCTAAGGATGAATTACATGTTAGATCCTATTTCTATGATTGACAAAGGGTTCCTTCCGACGCTCGATGAAAATAACTTTCCGGAATGGGCCATAAATATGGAACGCTATTTGAAAGGGGAGGGACTGTGGCCAGATTGGGATAACGCTAAGAAATACGAAGGGTGTCCTAACCCAGAACTTCACATACGGGCTGGTGGAGGACGCTATTCGTGCAAAAGACCCGAGTGTATTCGACGGGATAGAATAGATGCAGCAGGCCTTCTCGTTATGGTCATGAGCTGCAACAAAAACAACAGGTCTTTGATCCTACGTCAGAATGCTATTGAGACAGCATGGTTGTTTTTGGAGAGAGCACATGTATGTGGAATTCGGGAAATTAGCCCTGATTTCAGGCTCCTCCACCCAAAGGCTGTAATGACGAATACTAAGGCTATACCCGTAGATGATCACAAAATATCTGACTTTATGATGACAGCATACAGACAATGGAGCTTCTACCTATGGCTGGTAGAAAACCACGGAACGAAAGCTGCGCTCCCTCAAGAATTCGTATCAGAGGACTGTTTTCTACAGACTGTTTTTCTTTGCTTTCCGGATTACCCTCCGTACAAGCCGGTCAAAGATCTCTGGTTATCTAAGATCCAACAAGGTGGTCATGACTTTGTTAATGCTTATGGGTTTGCTCTTGCTCTGGAACGAAGTGAAATGGATTTTTTCCGCAAATGTTTTGGGATGAAGTGGCTGCCTGGACAAAGGTGATTGATAGTTTTTGAGCAGATTGGTACTATGATACGATATCGGGGCGCCCGGGAATTGGTCCGGTATCTTTCCCAACAGTGTTTATGTAAATGCTGTGGGTTCTTGTATTTTAGGATCTTTGGAGGCCTAGAATCCAGAGTTAGAATTAATGGAAACAGCTGGTCTCCGGACTAGCCTCAGGTCACGATGCATATTTATTTCTACATTGTGATACTCGTACTCTTTCTTATACACGGTCTGAAATGTTCGAGCGGAGTTAATCAAGGTGCAAAAATTACAAAGGAAGTGTGATACTTTTGGTGCTATCAATATCGTCGCTCTGACTGAGATTTTATCAGAAGAGTCGCATGCGCATGGAGTGTATCCAATGGGAATATTAAGTATCTCAGTAGATATGCTAAGAGTTTGACTCCAGGCCAGCGGCTTAAATAAAAACTAACGGTATATATCACTAGTAGATAAAAGATATTCATAAGTTGCTAGGTAGGTCTTTTATATGGTTGTGGTCGAGATCCCCTAGGGAAAAAACGAAAAAAAGAAGAAAAAAGACCGAGCGACGTTTTTGGGGTTCGAAATGGAGCCCCGCCAGAACTCCCCGATCACCCGCTTACTGGCGCAGTTTTAGATCAAATCAAATCCTAGTTGTTACCAACTAAGCCATCTCTCGGTTTGTTAAACACGAGCATCTTTGGTCAATATAGCCCTTGTGGGCTGTGCCGAGCGTGTTTTGGACCTCTCAATTTGTCAAAATTCTCTTATTCAAAGCGTCCAATCACATGAGCAGAAGCTCAATCCCCTGAGATATATAATACTCCTGCAGCTCCTCAAGCTTAGGAAATAAAGTTGGTGCGAAGCCGAAGGCACTAGATGTTGGTTTCCATACGTGTATAGTCGTTAAGTTTGGCATCCGTCCTGAAGTTATCGAGGATAATGACTGTATGGCACATTGATAAGCCTGTAGCCGGTTTGTTTGCCCCCCTCGTGTTCGGTTGGTATCTTTGACCACCAAATTCCGGAGAGATGGGGGAAGGTAGGCTTCTAGATCTATCGGTTGCTCGTCGACGCTTAATATGCTCTTAAAATTTAGCCATAGTATTTTGAGATTTGGAACCTTGGCAATATACGGCAGGAATGAAGGAATGCCTTCTGTAAACGAGCAGCCAATATCCAGTATCAAAGTTTCCAATGTAGCCGCATGAGATGCTATAGCGTCTTCAACTATAGCTTCATGATCTACAAAGGAGCTGTCAGTGAGCTTAAGAACTTTGAGATGTGCTGCTGATCGGATTATCGGAAGCACATTCCATTGGCCCATCCAAGAACCATTGAATTCTACTCTTTCCAATTCCGAGGCTGAACGGCAGGATATTTCTAGAAGGTCTTCTTCTGAGCAGTTGCGGTAGTTGAGGCGAATTTCTTCGTCGTATCTGTTGCTTCTGAAGGCAAGACTTTTGGCGCTGCTATTACTAGTATTAATAGAAGATCCGATCTGCGGGACAGAAAAGGAGATAGGAATGTTTGGTGAGTCGGTGGAAAGTTGGTTTGGATTGGTGCCAAAGGAAATACCGCGCGGGTCATGCCACTGCTTGTGTACGGTGAATTTCCGAAGGGCCGGGAGCTGTAAGATTTCGGCGACGGTGGTACTACACGGATATTCTCCGTGTGATTCAACGTCCCCATACTGAAGATTTACAGTGCTAAGATGTTGATAACAAGGCGGATCGATGGTTTTCCATGCAACGATCAGGTGTCGAGTTGACGGCACTCCAGGGCGAGCCTCGTCGCCTAACGTAAGTGATAGTTCGGTCAGATTGGGAAGGAGGTAGGTGAGGAGAGTTACAAATACGCCTGAATCGCCTGAATTTATCCCATTTAGTAATACGGGGTATGCAATTCCGTATTTTCGGGCAACTTCTCGACATGCATTCATCTGCAGGTCCAAATTTTCGTCGCACATATAGCCCCGAAGCCTTTTCCAATAACTGGACGAGGACCATGGCCCAACCTTGAGCTCCCGGGTTACGTAACCAAGTTGAGGGTACTCATTTAAGTAGGAGATTAAGGGAACATATGCCAAAAGGATCGAGTCACAGGACATGGAGCTTGAGTGAAGGGATAGACAACTCGCGCTATGAGAGAGCTCGAGCCGTCTGTGCAGCAGAGGATAGGAGACATGGCGGAGTCTACTACAAGAATGCGCGACTGGGAGAAGACAGGATGCATGTGGGCCATATGAAAGATAATAGATTTTGGAATGGGGTCTCCGTGATGCAACGGTAGAATCCTGCTGTAGGTACTCGACAATCTGAAAGAGAAGCTCTGTGGGGAGCGAGAGGATTGTGGTCATGGCAGAAATCTTCCTCCTTCCGTGGGTTGGCCCGCTCCGAGAATAGTAGGAAGTTATGTGAATGTGACACAAAGTATCTGTATGTTCCTAGGCAGACAGATAGGCTTTTGGGGGGTACTGAATTGTACACTGACGAAGCCGTGGGGCTGAGCAGGTGATTTTGTGTTGCCCTGTTGTAATTGGATGTATGGAATGTCTCCACTCCGTCCTTGTTAATGTCAAACTTGAACTTTCCGAGATCGACCCGGGACGTCGAATCCAGGTACTTTTTCTCGTTATTTCAGCCTTTCCAGTACCAGGAGATTGGTACTCGGGACTTGACTTTGACCTTCTAGATTAATGCGGTACTGACAGCGGTGCGGCCTTGTCAACGTTGGATTGGGGGTACGTCGCGAATAAATTCCCGTTCCGTTTCGATTCGAAGGTTTTAGTAATTTACTTTGTCAGCCTTGTTTGTTTCTCGTTCGCCAAAGCTCGTTGATTGTGGTGCAGCCCGCAGCCGATTGAAGTTATTTGTGCAAATGCGACGAGCCTCGCGGAATCGGATTGAAGGTGTCAACTTGTCCGGGGCCGACGGGATGGTGCAGATTGATCAAACCGTCGTCCCTGCGATAGCAACAGGTTGGCGGCTGTGCTTCTACAGCTAGCTAACCTAGCGATTGGAATATTCGGAATCGATTCGAATTCGGCGTTTAACAAGGGGTCTCCCGGGTTCCCGTTAGCATGCTTCTAGTGTCTGCAGCATGAACGATTGCGATCCCCTAACAGTTTGATTCGAATCTGGCGAATCGCAAAGCGCTTTCAGAGACACTGGGCTATTTTGAAACCGATGGAAGGTAGGTATGTTCTTTGTAAGCATGGAGAGCACGCAGGGGAAAAAAAAAAACGATGGTGGTAGAAGTCAGAAAAAGTGGCAGGGTTAACTCCTCAAGCTAGCTGGAGTTCTTTTGCCAAGCGCAGGAGCTTGAAGAGCATAGGCGGAAATAGCCAATCAGGTTGCGGCCAAGTAGGCCATGCATAATACTAACAACGTTTTTGATGACTTACAGATAGGTCCGCGATGCGAATTAGGACTTGAGTTCATGGGGAGGGTATATGATGAAGGCCAGCTTCAAAGCAGGTGGGCCTTACTTGCTCTTACACTCACTCATTCCTTTGGATTTCCCCCCAAGAAGCGGGCCTCATTGCACTCCTAAGTTGCCTCTTTCCTCAAAAGTTTTCTCATTTGATTTTATCTCTTTGTTACTCCTGCCATTGCGTTTTTTTTTTTTTTTTTTTTTTTTTTGCCCAAAAAGCAGGTTATAAAGGTCAAAGGATCAAAATCGAAGAGAGGTCTCATATACGTACGAGGGGTCAGCTGGTCAACATTATTCTTGTAGCGAATTACCCCGCTTTTGCGACCAACATAAACCCAAAGGAAATTCATATTATCCAAAACTGTATATCTGTCAGATATTTCCAGGCCGCTCATAATAGCTTTTAAAAGTCCGCCAGCGTTCGCCGCCGTTTTACCGCTTTTTTCTTTTTTTAATCTTTTAATTACCTAGTTCTGATCCTAAAGGCCGGATCTCAAGTTACCGGGCCTAGAGTCCCATTAGGATCTAGGCTTGGGTACTCTAGAAAGGAACGGTAGTGCTACTGGCCCCCATTTTTATTTGCTAGCATAAAAGCAAGATTGCGAGATTGCAAGGCCCCGTTGATGTCGCCGCAGCTCAGGTGGAGGCCGGGGCCGTTTGGTCACCACATTTGTAGTCATGGCCATACTTTTTCGCCTAGAAACAAGGCCTGGAAAACCAGCGTCTACAGGAGAGCATAAAAATGAGGCTTACAATATATTGGGGCGGCCGGATTCGTTATACAGACTTTAAAACAGAATTCACTCCCCATCAATAATATTCTACAAGTTTCCCAACAAAGGAAGTCGCTCTCATCTTTCTGCTCCGACTCGCATTAGAAGATATCCTGTGATTCACATATCGGAATTATATTACTTTTTCATAGAGCTCGCCCATTGTTAGGATATATATATATAATCGACCCCTTCGCTCAGAGATCTCAGGATATAACTTTCAACTACATCCAATTCTCGATCTACCTTTTCAATCACCGAATTATCAATCTAATATATACTAATATAGATTGTTAGTCTAACAGAGTTTCGTCAGTTAAAATATCATCAAGTTCGAATCCACCAACTCCTCATCGCTCTCTTTTCTTTTTGCTTTAACCTACCACAGAAAACAAGAAGATGTTGCCAGACTTTGAAAGAGCCCCAAAGAGCCAGAAGCGGAGGTCTCGTCGTGTTTCCATGAATAATATGGCCATGGAACCTCTTCGCGCGCAAGAAAGCTGGAATAGCGAGGTCATAGACCACCGACCTCGCATCCTTAGAGAAGCCGAGGAAGTAAGTTCTCTGTCGACATAGATTATCCTAATCATATTAAACAATAACCGATGGAAACTAACTTGACTACCATAGATGAGAGATGCCTTGGATATGGAACTTTACCCAGGATTCCAAAAGCTGACGCGCACGGTTTTGGAAGAAGAAAACTTCTTCTCAGAACGTACACATCGTGAGGTGTATGAAGATCTGAACGCAGTTCTCCACCCAGTCCCACGCAACAAAAATGCCGAGATCACAGAATGGATAGGCAATAGTACTTCATATTTTGTTGATACCGGTGAAAGTCTTTCTGCAAGTGGTCAAGCTTATACTGGGAGTATGTTGGGCCCTAACGGCTATTTCGAGGCCGCTGAGAGACGTGTTCAGACTTCCCAAGACCTTGATTGCAACTATTCTGCCGACTTCCTCTGGGACATCCCTACCTTAATTGCAGAAAGCGGCAATGTACGTCGTCGGAAGGTTGCACAGTTGCAACATGGATACGAGGAGGAAGACGAACAAGCAAACCTCGTCCCCAGCCTGGAAGCTCTCACCATCGGCAAAACTCCAAGGGGTCAAAAACGGCGTTCCGCATCAATTTGTGCAAAGGAAGCGTCTGAATACAAACCCCGTGGCATACGAAAATCTAAACGGTAAATCTCGAGTTTGAGAGCGTTTGGCTGGCCGTTTACAAGGCGGAATGAAGGGAACGTCAGCACATAAACCGCCCCGTCCACTTTTAATTGCACGATTTTCTCAGCCGAAACTTTCCCGGCGAGCTTGAGTCGATCCTATCGACCGACGAAATGAAAGTTCCTGCCCCCGAATCTCCAAGATTCCCTACTAGCTTGTCCCACCGCTCATATGCTCATCAGCCTTGATGGCCAATGAAAATGGACTTATGAGGAAGGGATATTATTCAGCTTTCGGCGTTGAGAGGACTATTTCTTCAACAGATTATTGCTACGGTGTCACGATATTCATCTATCGACTGACTGTGCCAATCTCGAATAGCCAGAGGAAACCTGTACACACGATACAGCATCCTTTGCGTTCTGTTCTGCGCCTCCGCGAACACTCCGATTGATTTCGGTGCATACCTTTCTTTTTTTTTTTTTTCCCCCGCTAATTTCTTCGCCTGCGTCCGTTTTCTTCCTTCTATCTGAAAAACTTCGTTTTCTTGCTTTTTTTTTTCTGTTGTAGGTTGAGTTGACTTTGAATTCTTTCAGTATTGCATATCAATTGCAGAAACTCTTGGGGGAAAAAAAAATTAAAAAAATGAGAATCAAGGTAGAAATGAAGGTTCCGAGTGAAATATCGTTGATTTCACAACCCACTAAGGAGAGTCTAAGCAAGACAATCCCTAGAGCGGGACGGGCCGGAGGGGATGGGATGAGATGAAAGAGGACAAGACAAGCCTGGGTTTTTCTTCTTCTTAGTTTGGTATTGACATTTGCTAGACGATTTGATCTTCGAAGTTGTTTACCTGTTTGTTCGCAACCTTCATGTATGCGCTGATCTTTAATTTTAATTCAATTGATACTGGATTATTGATGATAAAATGGCGAATATTCCGCCGTTGTTTTTCTGGAGGCCATACTTGAAATAGTATTTGATACCACAGATCAGATTCAGTCGTGATAATTTTCAAGTAACATGTGGAAATTTAATCGATTGTTTACATGTTTGACATGTGCAAACCTAGCGGTGCTAGCTAAAAACCGGACAGATTCCCATATGCATAGCGCAGCGCAGCTGCTAGCTATGCGATGGTTCCGGAGCTGCCTGGCATTTTGGTAGCGCGAATTTTTCAGCCTCGCTGCTTTGTAAATGTATCCATAAGTACATAGAATATGTACTCTTTCTGAATCATATACCCTTGTACCCTATAGCACGGGTGCGTAATTTGATCCTTCACTCTACTATGCTCGGGTTCCAGACCCGTTTCACTGTCGACATGTCTCTTTTCTCTTTTCCCCGCGGAAACTGCGCAGCCTTGTTTGAACGTAGCCTCGTCTTTTCCCTTGTTGATATTTTCATATTTTAGCGAGGCAGCCGCAGCCCCAACCGGGACATAAGCCGTCTCGCTGGCGGCGGCCTCGACGGGTTTAGACTGATACTGTCTGCAGACCTGAGGGTTCTCGGTGCCCAAAAACTATAGTCAGGAGGGCCTGTCTAATGCTGACTATCTCGGGCTGGATAAATGGTCGGTATTATATAGTACGTACTTCACCTACCTACTTGAATCGGTTAATCATCTTTAATCCGCTCATTCTGAATTTAAATTGTAAAAGAAAAGAAAATTATCAAGTACTCCTAAGTTTTTATTTGCTTTTGATGACCACCAGTATTATAGAACTGAAATACGGAGCCGTCGATGCGTCTACGGTAGGATGTTGTGATGTGATATTACGTGGCAGCACTTCGCCCGCTAGGGCCCTTCTTGAGCCCACCTTCCTAAAGAAGAAAGAAATTTGGATTTTAAGTACCCATAATTCTGATTTACTCCGGTATTGTCTCTTTTTTCCTTTTGTTGATGTACGTACCCGCTTCTAAATCATCTCCGAATCCTTCAAATCTTGCGACAAAAGCGATATAATTATTTTTAAAAGGCGAAGATGCAGGCGAATTTTTTTTTTAAAAAAAACAAATATATCTCAATTATTTTCAAGTGTGTTAAATATGAACTTTAAGGTTATTTCTAAGCTGGGGCATATGCGCATGAGCCTGAGGCACAAATTGCCGGGGTTGCGTAGGTGATTCGAAGTTGCGCTTTGTGTTGATATTGTGGGATTCCGGACCGGGCGGCTGAGGACACGCGTAGAATCATGCTCGAGTATCTTGTGACACAGCTGCACAGTAGCGCAGCTAGCTGGCACCTCGCGTTTTGACATCTCCAGCTGTCAGAGACGTGGCGACAAAAGAGAAATTTGATAGGCCGAGAAATAATATCCGGTCTCCTATTATTCCAAAGTCGGGTTGAGGTTCGATATATACTGGGCTTGATAGTATAGCGGTACGTTTATGGCCGAACCCCTCACTTATTCAGGTGTGAAACATGCATACATACATACATGTGAAGACTCGAATCTGACAACTAATAGATATATTCTAGCTACGATAGCAGATAAGAGCCCTTCTTATTATGCGCTGTGCGTCTTTGAATATCCACTTCTCCTATGCAGAACTGCAGGAACGGGATTCTTAATAAGTTGAAATTTGGGTTCCGGATCCTTAAACTAGGACTGGGGTTCCAGCCTTACTAGAAGGGGGGGAAATGACTATTATTACCGATCTCCCAAATGAACTTCTCGAACAAATTGCCATAAAACTCCGGACGCAATATTACGATTCAAATCGGTTCGGGAATGTTCTGGCGGACTTCTCACTAGTATGTCGTGCGTTCTATCGCGTTGCATTCAGGTATATGCATGACGAACCAGATCTTTCGACCGCAGAAAAAAATTTATGCACGAGAAAGAGGATCTGTGAGTTTTTACAGCTGATCCAAAAGAATCCGGGGCTCGGGTATGTGGTTCGAACCCTGGCGATTGGACCGTGGGATCCGACTGAGCTGTCGAGCAATTGGGGGCACAATGAATCGTTTATGAAAAGTTATGACTTTTTGAAGCGGACGATCGAACACAAGAGCCTTCAAGAGGAAGACCTTCATGACCTCGAAGATCATCCCATGAGTGTCCTGGTTGCAGCGTTATTTTATTTGCTACCCGGGCTGGGGTATCTTCACTTAGTCCTGCGGTCGTCAAAACGAGGTGGCCCACTGTTGACGAGATGGTTGCTTTTGGCAATGGATATTGCCCCTTTACCATTCGAAGAAAAAATCAGAGGGATGGAATTGGAATATAACGAGGTGGATAGCTCCGATGTTTTCCCCTGTCGGACGACACTTGGTGCACTTCTAGGGCTCCCCGGGCTTGAACATGTGAGATTCGCTTCAGAGGATGCTGCCGATTCTCTCCTCCTTACTGGAATAAATCCCACATTGTCGCTCTCGGAAGGGTTGGAAAAACTATCATTAACCCTAGAGCCAGAGTCAGAATTGGCAACGATCTTACCACCTGCGCATTCAAAGGCTTATAAAAGATTTCGCAGCTTCGACCCATTTTGCAAGCAGAGGTTGTTAGATTTAAGGAGTAAATCTTCTATCACTGGACTTTCTTTTTACAACAACCCTGGCAGCATATTTTCTATTCCGGATATTATCTATGCGTCAAAAGAACTGAAAGAGATCGATTGCTTTATTGGAAGTAGAACTAGAGACACTAGAGAGGATGTGCAGGCTATTCATCGAGCACTGTTGGAACATAAAAATACCCTCGAGTACCTTTCAATGAGTTACTACAAAGGGTTCGATAATCGACACAACCCGAACTTCCAACTCGACTTCTCGGCTTTTGAAAGATTAGAAACACTTCAAGTCAGCATGTTACTCCTGGCAGATATTGATGCACCTCAGATAGTTATGGAGGATGTACTACCCGCCAATCTTGAAAATTTGGCAGTGAAGATACGGTACCCATCATTCGCAACCGGTGGTGGGTGTGATTGGGATGAAGTAGTAATTTGCCTAATTGCTAAAGTCGCAGCAATGAAGGATGTAAAACTGCATAAGCTGAATAGTGTGGATGTGAGGGTTATCAATCATCCAGCCAAAGCTTCCGGGAGCTCAAAGTTGAAGGATGCAAGGAGGATGATGGATGAACGAGGAATAGAGTAAGATATCGACCCTTCCATACAACATCTTTCCAAAGGGTAGATAAGATTTACCACTAGCACCGGTACTGTGCACATTAGCTAACTGATAATTTCGACAAACTCCAGATTTTCGGCCACAACGTATGATCCTAGTGTAGGTCTGTTCAAACAGTTTCCATTCTTCCGAATAAATTCTTAATGAATTCCTGCTAACTGATATATGGTCGATTTTTATAGGGACTGTTGAACTATAAGTATTGAGTGTATTTCACAAGATGGGAATAGAGTAAGGGATAAAGCATAGACAATGGAGAACCGCCGACCGCCTATCTGGTCAGAGCGGGAGTAATCAAGACATATTATACGTCCAGGCCCTGGGTACTCAGGTAGCTAATCTCGTACTGCTATATCGATATATATATAGATATATCATCGATGCGGGGGGATAGTTCTAGATCTATAGGTTAGCATCTTGCCTCTGTTGAAACCAGGCAGCTTGAAGGCATTATAATTGCTTAGTACTGGAGGGATAGGATAGTGGCTGAGGATGCCATTGTAAAAATGGGTAGGATCCTAGGTACTTAGATAGGTGCCGTCTACTAGGTAGCATTTCCGGACAAAAAGCTCTCTGCAAGTTGAAGCTCTGAGTCTGCAACGTTCACAAGCAACCCCCTAGCAACCCACCAATTCTTGCTTTCTCCATATCAACGCGTTCGCCTCTCACCCCCACCAACCCCATCGCCCTCATCACCCCACTACCTCCGTCATCGTCACCCCCGCAACGTCCTTCTCATCTCAACCGACCGAATCCCCATATTAAGTCTACAGCAACTGCCTTCTTACCTCCTTGTAAGTAGCTTTAACTAACTTTGGACTACCTGCCTCAGTGGGTAGGAGCTACCCAGTTTGTAAATACTACAAGATATTCTCTAATATTCAGCATAGGAATGATATTCTCAAAGTTTCTAGTATAATTTAATTTCTAATAGAGACGTCGTGCACTAAAATGAACTGCGCTACTACTTCGTTGGAAAGAAGCATGGCTCTTGAGGCTCCGAATTCAAATGCTGAGCGAACAGAGGATCTGAAAGCGCTTGAAGCTGAAGAGCCAGAAACGACTAGTACGACGGGGCAACTCCTCATGGCTGAAGTGGATGAGCAGAGTGATTATGCGGACGTCGATTCCGACGGAGCCCCACCAACGTGCGATAATTCCAGCCAATGGCCTGGCTCATCCACCGAGTCAGAATCCTTCGAGGGTAGCTATCACGGTCTTCTTGACTATTCGTCTGATGTAGAGCAGCTTTACGAGCAATCGCAGACCTTGCTCTTCACTATCGGAAAAGATAATTTTATGCATGTTGAAGCAAGCCCTCAGAGCAGTCGATTGGTAGACTTCGATGACGAAAGCTCTGTGTGCGAGCCGCGGGGACCATTCGTTATTCTCGAAAAGTGCCATTATGATGGCAAAATGGAGACTGAATTATACCACAGAATGGCAAAGGCAAAGGATTACGTTGCAGTTACGGATGAGGATGTTAACTCGGATACTGAACCGGACGATCCGGCACATCAGGGGTTTCAAAGTCTTGACCACGAAACGTTCTTCTCTGTCCGCCACCCCAATTGTCTCCTCTCCGAACGACCCAAATACGGAGGTTTTGACCTTAGGTTTCTCAGAACTTGTAAAAGGTTATACGACGAAGCAAAATTTCTTCATCTTCGAGAAACGACTTTCTCATTCCGGTATCCCCAGATTTTTGACAACTTTGCGACAAACATCAACTGGATACAACTGGAAAATGTGCGCTCGTTGCATTTCGACATCTCTTCCGTCTGCGATATGGAAGGTTGGCCCTACTCTCTCGAAGAGAATAAGGTCAACATGTTCCCGTCGCTTCAGTCTTTATCCATTTGGCTTGATCTCCCACTGGATCTTAGCAGTAAGGACCGAACCAAGGATTACATGAAATCAATGATCTTCGATGTCTACTACAAAAAACCATTTTGTCTTTTCAGAAAGTGTCCATTGAGAAAGGTTAAGGTCATCTTGAATCCTGGATTTTTCCCGGGGAAGAAACTTCCTGAGGGGCACATTTCGTGGGCAGATGTGGGATTGTGGTGCAGGGAATTTGAGGACCGTTTGTTGCTGCCGTGGAAAGGGCCAATTGACCTTCTGGATAACTGATGGATCCTTAATCCACCCCCCCCCCCCCCCCCCTTTATTCCGGCATCGAATCTAAAGGGTTTATCGCCGTGGTCCTCCTCATAAGTGTATCCTACACCTGCTGGTGCTATCTCCCGGCTTCTGTTTTCTTTTATTATATTCAAAATCTTAGTTTAACTTCGACCTCAGACCTTTGTTGCCGGTATCCCTCTATATTCTTTTATTTTCTGTAGAATGATTGTCGGTAGATAAAATTCTGTATTAGGATCATATTTCCTGTGGCAAATTGTATTTAAAACTATTCTGTCCTCAATGAACCCCTTAAGGTTGTATTTCTTGATCAATTGAGCATAAGCATATCTCGGGAGCCAATCCTTCTATACTTCATGGACAATTTGTTGGAATCCATATCGTATTTATAATATCAGCCTAGAGATATAAAATGTATCGTTTCCTCTTGTCGTGAATCTAAAGCATGCCCGGATTATTTATTTTGAGCTCCAAACAATGTCGGCCTTAATTAAATTGGGAGCTAGTATCGACCCTCCGTATCCCCATTAAGTTTGTACTGAGAGACATCCCTTCCACCAATCCCACATGTCTATATTTTTAACTACCGCAAGATTTATCCCCCGGTGTATCAGTACCAGGGCGTGCTGGCGAAAGAATGATAAACTGAGAGGAGAAGATTAAAGAGGTATGCGCAACGGATGCTTGGTTGCTTACCGCCTCCCTTTATATAGAAATCGCTACAACCACCGCTATATGCCTTATCTCACATAGTTACCCTTTTGGATGCGCCACAGATCTATATAGAGTTATCTGCAACGCCTACGACAGATTATTGAATGAAACATGTCATGAATATTGGACTAGATATGTCTCTAACCAGCCAACTAAACCTCCGTATCGGCGACTAAGGCTGTAATTACATAAGATTTAAAAGCTCAGAAAATTGGCGCATACATATTTTTAGAAATTTAGCAGTGTAAAAATAACATAGCCTCAGCGCTAATCGGCCGGGGCTCAGAGCAGAGGGAGAATTAGTAGAGCGTTCTGAATTAGCATACATCACAATACTTACCCTATATCGGAGACCGCCTGTTAGTGATATTCCTAACTACGGTAGTCAGCTAAGAAGAACAATACCCAAGAGGACCCCGGGATATGAACAAATCTCGCAAATGGGAAGGAGAGACTATAGTCTTATTGCTATAAGACTTAGGAATTCTGCTCACAATTGTACAACAAGACTCCTGACCAGAACGGACTATGCGATAAGAGCTATACCGGGCGCGAAGCCCATATAGCGCCGATTGGAACAGATCTTATTAATTACGTGGGGGCCTTCAATTGGCCCCGTAATCAGATCGGGGAGCATGTGTTATCATTTTTTGTGAGGCAGACATAGTCAGGACGGGACAAGGGTGTAAAATTCATGTGTACGTACCGGTACCGTCCTATGGTCCTGCCTCATTGGATCAGCTCGAGGTAATTCCCGGGTGCTAGCGTAACGAGAGCAATTGGACAAAAGGTACGGAGAGTATGGCATACCAAGAAATAGCAATCTCAAAATGGGTATCTAGATCTGCAGGTTCGGTTAGGTGACATACGTTGATTATTTCTAGCTAGATTGAGGAGGTAAAATGAGAGCAGCATGGTTGGCCCTCGGAATTATATCCAAGCTCTGCATGTCTGGGGAACCGCCCTGAATTTAAAGATTAGCCTTATCAAGAAAACGCTTGATATCTAGATCTCACTAATCAGCTATCAATTATATATTACTAGTTTGCTTCTAAGTTAATGAATCGTGATAGGGGTTGGGATTGTATATACATGTATCTGGAATATGCATCGATGGGAACGAGACCAACCGACACTCTTTACTTAGATATAGGCTGAAGTTCACGATTTTGGTTAAGAAGTCACGGTATATATCAGTTTTAGTAAATCCAACGAGGCTCATTGGCTAATTTACTCAGGCAGCCACGCACTTTCATATGGCTATATGACCTTTTCGTTCTAGTAGTTTAGTCTCAATTAATATTAAGAAGCTTATAAGATGCACACCTATTGATATTCTCAGTACTACAACCTCACCTTGTCTCGTACCCAGACCTGGAAGTCACCAAATAACTAGAGAGTGGAGTTTCGAAACTACTAGCCCCCTATAAACCCTGCAAATCCACATACTAGATATTTGTTCACATCAGCTAAGGCAGGGAGTTGAAATAGGAATTCTCGGGGTCGGAACCGGCCGACTTGAATTCGGGAACCCCTTGCGTTGCATATAGCGGCTCAATTGATCAACTTTTGAGATCGCGGCGGCCGGATATAAAATCCACACGTGCCCTGCCGGGCCCTGAAAGAAATCAAGTACCTCCATAATTACCAAATACTGGTCTCGAGATCGATCTCGTTGAGACCAAATACCTATAGGCATCACTAATTCTGAGGTACGAACTTATCTCGGCTTCTCGCTTTCGACACTTATATTATCAGCGTCCCGCTTAAATTTCCATGGTATGTAATCAACTACCTTTAGTTTTCCCCGTACCTTCAAAATACCTTCCAGGCATGACCTGGTCTCGTTGCATGACCTACATATACAGGCCGCCCGTCCGGTCTGCACTTCAAGCTGAACGAAGGCTAACAAGGATACAACACGAGAATGTGTTGTTTTGGTTACGTTGGACTCATGGGCCCCCGATCGAATGCACCGTGCCATGGCCGCATACTGTTTCCCGTCCTGCGTGCACCACGCACGCCAAACCTATTTCTCATTCATATTACGCGTATCTTGAGAAATCGGCGTTCTGGCGGGAATGCGAGGGAACTTCCGCGCGATGTATGATATGGCTCAATGCATTTGAAGGGCCTTCTTCGGCGTTCTTTTTTTTTCGGGACAGATGGTAATCAAACATTGAGCCCTTGTATTCGGCGACCTAACAGCCCCGAAACCTCACCATTCAGAGCCTTTGGTTCCTTTCCCGACCCCAGCTGAAGTACTAAAAGAACACTATTCCGTTTATGAAAGGATGGCGAATATTCCGGAATCTAGATTCCCTTCAGAATAACCAATAGGCTTTTTTTCTATAATAGTCGTGACAAAGTCATTCGAGGCTAAATTGTAAAGCTATACGTATACCTGCTGGCCTGGCTGCATGTTGGGATTATGGTATTATGTATTCACGATCAACTCATGATCGAATGTCAGAAAAATTATTGACAGCCTCTCTTTCTTTCGTTGACAGGAAATTTAAGGAGCGGTAAAAAAGAAAAGAAAAGAAAAACTTTCCGAGGAGATATCTGGCTACGTCTGAAGCTCCAGTGAAAAGTCCAGCTCCAATCAAAGATCGCCCATCAAATGCAAAGCCTCGGTATTTTCCTCAAGTTTTCCGAAGCTGCGACTCGCTACAACTAGGGTATCATTGCGAGAGATATCCAGTTACGGCCTCGAAATGCGAACTGCGACATCAGCTCCTGCTTAAACTGTCTCAGTGTCCGGGGATAAAAAATAGTACATACATGGTACTTACATTCAACATGGACAATATGCATAATTCATAATCGTAATGATACGGCTCGGTTATCTCACTCCATAATTTGAGCACCAAGGATGTATAAACCCTTTCAGTGCGTAGCTACTATAAGCGGACTGTGCATTCGTGAAACTTGGAGGTTTCTTACCACATGGTCTACTTCCTAAGTTCTGAATGGCTGGATTTTCAGCCTGAATTTGAGGCATTAAATTGTTCAAATCCAATAATTTCAAAAAAATTTAGGCCTTCAAACTGAATTTCACGCAATTACAAGGAAAACGCGCGCAAGCAAGCCAGGCCGTTGAAGTTGAGAGTCAGACGACAGCTGTGTTGTGTAACAGTCCGAGTCAGATTCAGGGTTTGTCTTTGCCATTGGGCGGTGCATAAGCTCAAGTTTGCAGGGTGGACCAAGAGCCCAAGAGGAATGTACAGATACACAAGTACATCGAATGTTGAAGTCAAGGAGAACGTTTTTTCGGTTGTCTGGATGGCAATAAGCGGGATATTATTCGCATATTTGGATTATCTATTGCGACTTTGATCCCGGAAATTTTCGATTAGGTAGCAAAATCACATTGGTGATCTCTTGAAGTTTAACAATTTCGAATTGTAATTGAAACCTCTTAAGTTGAAGGTTGATCCTTTGGCTTGTAGTTACTCTGCAGGTCTGCATCGGAAGTGCACTTAACCTGCAGAAGACAGGTACTGTCATACGGATATGCAGATGCATGCGGATGGCCATATGGCCGCCGCTTATATATATATAGCCATGCGACTAATATATTAGTAATTCACTGCGGGGTATCTTGAGACAAACCCTCAATATTAATATCCTTCCTAAAGAATTCTTTTGCGTGAAGTTTCACAGGGTGCCAATCGGTAGACTGGAAAAGAGTTGGTTGAAGTCCTGCTTTCTATAGATCTAGCTTCTAGCTTTAGGCTTACAAGTTTTATTTTTTTAAGTGTCTAGCTGGAACAAAGTCCGAAACAGAAGTAAATAATACTTTATAAACATGCGCTTCTAACATGATAGACAGGGGTGCAAGCCAAAATACCTAGCTGTTGAAACCTTGGGGTTGTCATATGGGACAGCTTCATCAAATATCCATGGGCCCATGGCTATTTGGAACGTCTTTAAAGCAGAAACCTTCCTAGGATCATAGCTCTCTTTATGAAATCTGGGAACTAGACCACCAAGACCCTATAATATTCGAAATATGACTATGAATAACGAGCAAAGTTCCGGCCCGTGCTATACGTGGTTCTGTGATATTCAGAATTGATGAAGGAACAGCTTTGAAATGACGGATTTAGATTTAGATGTAGGTTCGTGTCCTTTTCTCATTCCGATCTCTTACAGCAACATCGTTGTCAAGTTCCTTAACCACTTCCCAATCCCGTTCATCCTGCTCGTATATTTCTGATTCTTCAACCATTTCCCAATCTTCTGTTGTACGTGACGATGGCTCTTCGCCACCATCGGGTTGCAATTCCTTATCAATGTCTTCGATCCATACTTCGCCTTTCCTAGGCTTGATGACGTTGCATGGGTATGGTGGTGGGAGGGAAGGCGCCGTTGCAACAGCTTGTATTTCCCCGCTATAGCTAGATCTCCACCGCTGCCACCATTCTACCTTGCCTCCTTTAGTCTGTGCAGGGGTAGACTCTGAAGGAATCTTGCTGCTCTTTGCTAAGGGGGTAGTAGTTTGGCTAGGGATACCTTTAGTATTAATACCAAAGCTCCTGGCGCCTTGGGCTCTTGACTTTGGTGTGACAGGAACCTGGCCTTTGAGAGCAGAAACAGGCGTCAAAGTACCCACTTTTGAGACCTGGACAGAAACTGCGACCCCGGGAGCTGGGGTAAGAGCTACTAGTTCCGAAACTGGGGTTGGATTACTTCCTTCTTGACGTGGGGTCTCAGTAGGGGCCCCCGCTTCAAACGTTTTCGCAGTTGCGGCTGGCCTATACCTACTAGCCATGAAGCACGCAACGGGAATCGGCGGGATATTATTCAGATTGAAGGCCGGAAGCCTAGCCGTTCGCGCTGTTTCCTGTGGTCTAGAAGCCTTGCCCGCCCGTATAGGCTCGAAAGGATTCTTTGCGTCTGACTTATTGGCCGTCATTGAAGAAGCAGGTCCATTGGGCCATTCTGATGAGAACTGATGCACGATAGGGTGTTTTTTCCGCGCTGACTCTCCGCTAATATCCGCATTCGATTCGTTGCTACTAGTATTCAGACCTGGGTTAATACGTCGAGATTCTTCGTTAGACTCCCCGTCTGATTCTTCGTCGGAACTTTCCTCGGAGGCCGCCGACGAAAGCTCCGACATGCTCGATATCGAAGATTTCGAACTAGATAGCGGGGAATAATTGGGTGTTGGGAATGGTGGTTTGTAACCCTCCCCCTGATATGTTCTATATCGCCCTCTTGAATCTTTACCACGCTCTATTTTATCGAGCTCATCCAGTGCTTGCTGCTGCTGAAGGTCTTTGATTTCTTCATTAAGACTTTGCTTCGGGGTGGTATTCATACTGGTTAAAGTAACATTTGGTGATAAATTGAAACTGGCGGCTGCGGTCGTACCAAAAGTGTGTTGCTCTACCTGGGGGTCACGAGGGACTGGTGTGAATCCTCGTCCATGTGCACGATTGTGCGGAAGCTGTATCCGTAAAGCACGATTTGAATCTGGAGGCACGCCCCCTGGGTCATAGCGGCCGTGTATTCCGCTGCCAGCGATCTATTATGCACAATAAGTAAATGCTAATAAATGAAAAAGCGTAACTGTTATACTCTTCGTCATACGTACACTGAAAGCTGCTAATCTGCTTGGGAGCTGAGCATGCTCCGCATTTAAGTCGAAGCCTGCGGCGGGACCATTTCCCCTCGGGTCATACCCCCCATCCACATATCGGTTTGGCATCCTATTAAGACTCTGTTGACGTAGATGCGTCCGCCAGAGTTGTTCCGTACACTCCTCATCCGATAATTTTGACATGGCTCTATGGTTCGCCAACGGATATTGAATATTCTTAACAGGGGTCTTCGAGAGTAAACAGTGAGCTGGAGCTTGTGAAGATTGGTTTGGCTGCACGGGTAAATAGCCTGGGTGTCGACGACACCCTTTTTGTATATTTACAGCTTCAGGAGCTAATAAGTATACCGCGGGATTCTCAGCACAGGTTCTGTTATGGATGTTACCGTAGTAAAGATACTGAGGCCGAGTGTTGTGTTCGGGTTTGCGACGGGAAACATCTCCATGGGCCGAATCCGTCGGTAGTACTGCTTGTCCTCGTCCAGCAGTCTTTTGGTTTTCGTAGCTCTTCAGAATTGGGCGAACGTCCATTTTGCCGTGTATTTAACAACACCCAAGGTACCGTTGATAAGATATTGTTAGTACTAGAAGATTCAGCGAATTATAAAGATCAGGGTGTCAGATCGCGATGAATCCGATGTGATCAGCTCTAGTTGTCGTCATAGGATCGGAACTGAATATCTCTAACCAGAATAAAAACAGTCAGTCTTGGGCGGGCGAGCTTTTAGTTTTAAACCCCTCTCCCGCAACTGCGAGGTTTCAAGAAAGTCTGTCCTTGATGATCCATCTTTAAACGAGGTTTTGCGTGAACTTTCTCAAACTGGCGAAGTAATTGCGTGAAGTTTTGGTTCTAGAATTCTGAGACTATCGAAACGATGAAGAGCCAGTGGCACTAACAACTATGCTCTACATAGTCAGATCTCGTGGTTCTAAATTGTTTCCACTGCCGGCCTTAGCAATTGTTGAGAGTCTAATATATCAGAGGATCCTTATGACATATCATGGACGGATCAGTTGAGCAATTGAGCGACAGGCCAACACAATCTCCGTCGAAAATACAACAATTGCCTTAATTATCGCGTGGATCGATATTAATATGTGCCTCATGCGTGGATTGATACGATTGCACCACCGATAATTTTTTCAAAAACTCGCGTGGGTCTAAAGTTATAAAGAGCCTGGTCAAAAAAAAAAAAAAAGAGGATCATAATTGAGAGCGATAATAGCTGGCGCTCTCCGAAACCTACGATATCGAAGCCAACGAAACCCTCGAAAAATACGTGCGAGTCCTAAATCGAATCGGGAATATCAGAGTCGTAATTTACACTTCCCAAAATTGCATATGCCGCCTGTAGTTGAAATATAAGTTCGGCATAAGTAGATGTGGATATTCGAGATTACAAGACATTGTTTCAGATCATTTCGCCGCGAACTAAAAGGTAATCCGGCTTAGCTAGAGGGTTGATTGACAGTTTAATCCGGAATTCTACGGAACATGCAAATAAGGATCCTAAGCTACTAGGTATGTACCCCTCTTTTCATCAATTGAATGAAATGTACGAACTATGCTAGCTGTTTAACCGATCTAGCAGATCTAGAGTGACCCGCGCTCGTGCTTCCTATGAAGATTGATGCCGTCATAACAAGAGATTTTGTCCCGCAGTGGATATTAATATTAGTTAACTGCCTCTGCACATCTATCTTTATAATGCCCGCAATCTTAGTTAGCCAACAGGTTGATGCTTCTCTTACTCCCCATAGTCCCTAAAATCGACACATTCTGTTTTTTTTGATTGTTTTTTAGATATACGAAATTTCTCACTATCAATCGGCACGGATTGCCAACTAACACCTTCAATTCCATGATCAAGGTAATGGTTCCCGTACCTGCATCCATCCTTGCAGTAAACTTTGAGCTCTTATCTTCATTGAATCCGATAATTCTAAACTGACGGCGAAATCCATGCATGGTGGCCCCCAAGTTTGAGTATTTCCAAGGAATGAAGCCTTTGTGGCGTTCGGCCGGTGCTTTTGGGTGCCCAATAGGCCGGGATCATCCAGGATATTTGACAGGGGGCACCGTCCCAAGCGAGAAAGCCCGGTAGAAAACCGTTGTTGGTCGCCGTCACGCTGATGCCGCACTAGTCCTTTCGGGGATCTCATATTTTTCAGCCGGATCAATTAAATTGTGATCTAAATTATTCACATCTTCGAGTCGGTTCTTCTCGAACCTATATGAGATCCTACCCTCAGATTGAGGAATATTTAGGAGATTTTGTTTCTCGGTCGGGGTATTTAGGTAATTGTGGAACCCCGACGAATATAAATGTTCCAGCCTGTTGGAAACCGTTGACCCAATCATAACTTATTGTTCGAAGCACGAAGCTTCAAAAACGCGCCGATAAGAGCTGAAGAAGCCAGTCGGAATCAACCGCCAGGTGTCTATACTGTCACCCCAAAACATTCCGAAATATCGGATTCGAGACGATACTTCCTTTCGTCTTGATGAGATACATGAATTAGTAAAATTCCAAATATGCCGCAGAGACATCTCTCACAGCTGACTTTTGTGCCTGCACGCAAACGTTTAAACCCAGTTTTAAATTAAGATAAGGATTGGGTTGCGAATATTCCGTTGACTAGCAGATTTCGGAGCACTTGGTCTCGTTGGTACTAGGAACACTCGAAAGTTGCAAAAGGCCCCAAAAATGCTAGCACATATACAATACGAGACTACTGTCTACCTTGGCTCGCTACCTCTGTTTTCTGATCTCTACTGCGCATATAGCTCGGAAAGAATATCTTCATATGAAATCATAGGATTTCTGCGAGTCTGTAGCCTGGCGAGCCGCCAGTGCCAACTGTCTTGGTGTTGTACGATATTCGATTCTCGGGTGGGCAAACCAGCAAATTGCCAAACGTGATAGGCACCAGATAGGGGAGGTCTATAAGGCAACTCTCACAATGATATTCCCCGATTAGTATCCCAATTCCTATTGATTCCAGGGAAATTGTCATCGTCAGTGTTCAGTCACAAAATTTCGAAGTGTTGGTTGATGAGGATGGTGGTATTCGGATGTCCAAAACTGCTAGTACTCGTGAGATAACATTCAAAACCGTTTGTATTGCCCGGACGGTGGCGAATTATATTATCATTCCCACATGGTCCCCGAGTATTCAAGGCACCCCGGACCAAGCGCCCTACGAAATCCTCTTTGAAGACGCACTCAACGGGGTAAAGGATATCAACGGTTCTTTTCCTTCCGCTAACTTAGACAAGCATCAGTGGTTCCGAGAGAATGCAAATTGCCGATCCTACTAGTATCAGGACTCATATCTTTAGGGCTCCACTTGAAGGTCTGTTACACGGGTCTTAACGGAACATGAGAGCATATGCCATGCATATAAAGTGTAGATCGTTCCTCAATCCTCGGTTGTACATGCTAGCAATTATTGTATCTTGGGTTACGCTACCTGCCAAGATGTATGTGCGACGAATCCTGCCTTCTAGAGCCTCCAAATGACTGACGATAGGGATAATATTGTTATAGATCGTCGCCATCTCATAAAATAAAGGAATAAGTCGCCCATCTTGTAAGCTTGCTGAAACTGAATTGCTAGGAAGGTAGATCTTGGGGGATTGTTGTCGAAAATCCAAATATGGCGACGATAACGGTTTCCAATATCTCCGTCGCAAGAATGGAAGAAAATTATATTCCGCATAGGCTCCGAGACTAGTCCGCATATACAATAGCCTAGAAGGGGCGATAGTTTAGAAAGTAGGCAACTACCAGCTTTACCATTATCTAACCTCATAACCCAAGGCGGTCGTAATGAGAATTTGCTCGTGAAAGTTATCAAGGCAAGCAATTCTAATCGGAATCGATCACCCGCCTTGTAATACCTCCTATATTTACAAGCCTAGAACGCGCCGAATGTACATTACATACCTAAATACCCTATTCTGAAGGTTCTGCCGAGATTGTGGCCTATTAGTATACAACGGCCAAGAAGTTGGTGTTACTTCTCCATATATTGGTCGTTTTGAGTAATGTTTTCACATCTAGGTATTTTAGCCACACGTATTAATATTGACATACTACTAAGTATGTAGAGGTTCTCAAACGCTGAGCTGTTTCTAAGGAAGGGGTATACATAACGAAACTGGATGTTCCGTTGAGAGGTTTGAGACCTCTTCGAAAGCACAATCTCAATGGTAACGATTGATATCATACATTTCCCATGCATGATGTTGGCGCTGTAGTTGTTTCGCCGGATCCTGTTGCGCCTTTCTTAATTGCATGGCGCAAACAAAGAATTGTCAAGATCACAGCCGGAATGATATCATCCCGCTAATAGGCTTATATTAGCATGTTTGTCTAACTCGCTGCAAAGTACCCGCTGCGATTGATCAGTTTGCAGTAGCGAGGCACAGGGCATGCAGTGCTGCTGCAGAGGCTAAGCTAAGCTCAGCGGCCATGACTTCAGCATATGACCATGGTTGGGCTATTGTCAATCTATCTCGACGCTTTCACAATTATCCAAATGACAAAAATGAATCTCGAAATAACAATAGAAAAGCAAAAAAAACGAAACATTGTCTTTCCCTACCTCTCGCAACCCCCATTAATGTACTCCGATTCAGTGGAGATGTATTGTGTTTTCGAAATTTGTTTTTTTCCTTTCTCTTCGGGATCTCACCTTGCATCGTATTATTGCAGTTCGGCCCACAAACAACGCAGCCGAAGCCTGGCGGTGCATTCTACGTATCCTCGTTGGCTCCGGAGCTCTGGCGCTCTGGGGAAAATTGGTGATCGTATGTTTCAGTGCTGATATCATGATTGAGGGGGTGTTCAACAGTGGGACTTTTACTACCGTCTCATTTTTATTGTCGCCGTCATGTGAGGTCATGATATTCCCCGAAGCCGAATGCGCTCATGTAGCTGTAGAGTAAGCCGGTTTGAATGGACGTGCCCCGCGAGCGCTTTGACTGTGAGGATGCGGACTCCGTAAATTTTTATCTCGTTTATGGCGGCAAACAAACTCTGACGCTGCGAGATTGTTTCCAATTTTTTTCCTCAGTAAGCTTAAGACGTTTTCTCTGTATCAATTAAAATGTCATTTAGACCAGGACAAGAGTAGATGACCGGCATTGGTTTCAAAGGTATCTATGTAGACTACCTGTAAGAATGCTTGTAGAATTCGAACCTGTAACTCGAGGCTTGATAGCAATCTTTCGTTTCAGGCCAAACAAGCGAGAGATACACAAAGGCCCTGGCATTCCCTTCTATATGTCTCTTTTAGGAAATTTCCTTTTCTTCCCGGGGAGCGGAGCCTTCCTCTTTTTTTCTACGAGAAGCATAGAGTCTGAGCCTATCGCAAGCCCCGCAATGCAGTGGCAAACGGTGCCGGCCACCAGAACCCTTGGAGGGGACCGCTACAGCCGAGTTTTATCTCCCTCGCGAAACAGATCTGGAGTGTAGACGGGCGGATGATGACAGGTGGAAGAAGCGTATCTCATTCGGACCAGGTGCATTGCATGTGTTGCATGGTATGATATTGCGCCCTTAATAGATTGCTTCTTTGGAGGAGAGGCTTCGAGGCAGGGTCGATATATACTTGCTCGCCGCTTTTCTATTTTCTTGGGCGGCGTCTGTGCAATTTTCAATGTGTCAAAGATCACCATATTTTTATATCGGTCTTATACTACCTCCACCCTCCAAGTTTTCTTATATTTTTCTTGTTTAATATCGGGGTTTAGTACTGGAATTCGGGGTAATTTACCATTCAAAACATCAATCATATAACATGTTAACAACTTGGAGATTAACTAAATTCTTGGTGAATGTTTAGGCCTCCAACTTGAATCTGGATCATATCATATTCCTCAGCGACTATAAGCGCAGGGGCCACATCACTAGTATCACAATATATCGCCTTTCAGGAATATTTCGGATCTAAATTTTAGACTAAAGAGACTCCTTCAAGTTCTCTAACAACACATCGGGAAACCCTCCTCGCCTGAGCTTAGCTATCGAAAGCAAGGGACCACATCGATCCTTTTAAAAAACATTCTGGAATTTCGATCGGTTACTCGAATCTTGAACAGGAGCGGCCCTGGGCAGTATACCTGAAATTACATTTAGCGCTTACAGCAACAATCTACTACAGAGGGGCAGCGAACCGAAAACCTTTCGAATTTTGGAGGATACCAAAATTAAACTCTCTGTCAAGTGAAATACGATCCACGTGCATGATATCCTAAAAGAGATTGACTGTCGACGGGACACCTGCTTTTTGTAATACCAGCGTGGTAGTCCAGGAGTTTTATAACAATTGGTTAAGTTACAGGTTAACTTGATTGATATATTTACTGGCTATTGAGAACCTTCTTCCCACTTTGGTTTTCTCTTACCTAAGATACTGGGATTGAAGAATCTTAGGTATACCTTTATTCGAATAACTATAAACTCTTTGATCTGTCGTCTGTTAACGGGGCCGATCTGGATTACGCAACCTTTATCGAACTGGGAGGAATGGAGTATTGATATTAATATTGCCCGTAAGATTCCCAAGTTTTTGGTTTTATACCGGGATCTCCAACGGTGAGATTGGAACCGAGCCGGGGATTTCTTGATGAAATGAATTCGGAGGTAGCCCTGATGGCTCATTATGGTTTTGCTAACGTTGCTTTTCTATAGCCAGTGGTTTTATTGCATGCTTTCTTCAGCTGCTTCCCAAGATTTCATACCGAATCTATACATTTTTACGCCCCACACCCAAGTCCAAGGCCACATGCTACAATTGCCTACCAAGCATTAAGACCAAATATTAAGATGGCCTTTGCAAAATCCATAGTAACGATGCCGATGTTCACAAGATCGAGATCTCGGGGTGATAGAGATAGGGATCCTACATCAAAGAAGTGGCTATCTGGAATATCAGTTGGCAATTGGAGCTTAGGCTTAAGTTTCGAAGATGAGGAAGAAGAATTAGTAAATACATCGAATGCCGTTATGATTGATCGGTCCGAACCAGCTATATCCTGGAAAGCACAAGTCCTCTTAGCAAAATACAAGTTTGAAGCAGGGGACAATTTGGTGACCAGGAGAGAAGAGGAAGAAGAGGAAAAAGAAGAACGAGGGAACAGTGACAACGATAACCTTGTTTTGTCGTTGAGCAAAGACTTGTCTAGACCCGAAGTAACTGTCAAAGATTTTGAGGTCAAAGAACCAATATCCTCGAAATCTACTATTTCGGATTGTTTATTGGCTCGAAAAAGCGGGGAAGGAAGCGAACTCTTATCAGACGACTTGCAGTCAGCCATTTCTACAACAGCGAACACAGGGGCGGCAGAGAACGGTCAAGCGGATCTCATGACGGATCACCAGGACAGGGAGTTTTCCATCAATGGTATCGACAGCCCGGCCAAATTTTCTAGCCGGTGTGTTGCAGTTGCGGGAGGGCGTCCTGGTGGGAGCAAGGGGCCATTAAAGGCTGGGATTACAGCCAAGGCAAGCCAGGGTTTTGAGGGTGGGTCGCCACGCCCACCGATTGGGATGCCGCTAAATACCCCCACACAGCTGTCTTACACTAGAAACAAGGACAAGGCAGGCAGTGAGGGCGACGAAGGGGACGAAACCATGTCATTCTTCAATTCGCACACCACCACTGGCCAAAGTGACCCAAAGAAGGGCTCGCCTGTCCAAAAAAAGCATGGTGGTGGTGGTGGTGGTGATAGTGCGATCCATGCCGCCGTTTTTTCTTCTTCAAAATGCATAACTGATAACGGTTCTTCGTTCTCCAAGGATACAGGTACTAGTACTTGCACTTGGAGCCTGGCCGTAGATTGTGGATATTCTGTTTCTTCATCTCGGACAGGTTTGGAGGTTTGCATTAATGATACTACTAGTACTTCCCCTCTGGGTGAACGAATAAACTGGTTAGCAAGTGGGAATGATAGCGACGGTACTGATAAAAATACCAGGACGCCCGCACCTTGTTTTTTTCAGTCTGATCCTGTATCGTCGTATTCAAAATCAGGAAAAATTTCTACGTCTTCATTTCTGGAAGACGCCGAGGAGAATTCCGAGGAGGTTGGAAATAATTTCAAGAAGAACGATATCAAGAAGGACAATTGCAGGAGAATTCGGATTTTCCCTTCTGCTTCTGATACCACAACGTCGACAATTGCGACTACCATTCCTGCACCTACTACTTCCTGGAAAACATTTCCCTCGATTACTGCAAGCCACACTGATAATAACGGTGGCCTGCCTGTAAATAATAGCCAGGTCGTTAATGTTGGAGGAAGTCGCGGCGCCGGGATTACTCGATTGCATTATAATTATTCTTCGCCTTATCAACAGAGTCCAAAGTCATCCAAGTCAGGGTCGACCCAGTCTCCTGGCCAGACTCAGACTGTGGACCTCATCCGCAACACAGAACAGGACACACTCGGGACCTCTCCCACCACCTCTCCCAATCCTCAACCTCAACCTCGACATCAAAATCATTATCATCATCAACAACTTCAACTTCAATCTCAATTGTCAAATAGTTCTCTTTCATCGGTCACTCCTTCTACACCCACACCTACGTATACCAAAAGAAACCCTCCGTTTTTATCAACAGTCCTTACAACCCCTTCGGCTACTCCGTTTCCAGCAATTCCTACCTCCCCGACAGGTCACGGAGCCTCGCATAAAGTTGGTAGCGTTCTATTGTTGGACACTACATCTCCTGCATCATCTACAGCAGCCTCTCCAATCGAAATCTGTGCCACTGCTAGGGAAAGCCTGCAGCCACAAGTTCAAGTTCCAGTCCCGAAAGAGTATCATCCACAGGGTCCGACATCAGTTTCAGGTCCAGTTAGTCTACAGTCTGCTTCAGAAGGAGTAAATGAAGTAGTTCGACCCGTTACCGCCTCATCGAGTTCTGCAAGTTTATCTGCTGGGTCCTTGGGCAGCTTCAACATCCATCTTTCTCCAATCACACCCACAACACAATCAGGAAACCTATCATTATCATCTATTTCTGCCTCTACTTCGCCTGACATTTTCGCAATGGCAGCCCGTTCTGCCGCGGCCCAGAAGTCGCTTAAACGTTCAGGTGCTGCTAGGGATCAATATGCACCATTCGCCTCTAAACATGCTAGCTATGCCTCTCCTCCACCCCTAATGGATACCGCACCTTCCTCGAGTAATTCTAGCCAGGAATTTCAGATGCAAAACGACATCCACACTTTACAAACTGCTGCTAGACAACGAGAGCAAGCTGAAGTCGGCCATCGTGGTCGTGGTCGTGCTGATTCCGGATCTAGGATGCAGGGAAGTTATGTTAAGGGACATGGGAAGAGCGGCTCCGGAGGGAATGAGATCCTCGAGAGCGTTTTTGGCATCTATCCGGAGAAGAAGAGTATGGGCACTGGTGTTAGTGTCGCTGATGTCGTTGCAAGCAAGTTGTTCAAATGGGGATCTAAGAAAGAAGCCCCCAGTACCATCCCCACGCCAAGTAGGGAGAAAGTTACTCTGCAACGATCGCAAAGACATCCCCACCATCCGTCGATGTTCGTAGGTGGTGTTCCACAGCAAGTCGCCCGTCCTCCATCCTCACATCAAGATCGCGACCAAGATTATCATCCATCGCAAAGAGGTATGTAGCTTATTCTCTATTACGTAAAAAATTCGGCTAACTGTGGGTACCTGCAGATGACATGCTTCACTCGCGAGCCTCCAACCTGGATCAGGCTAAACTCGACGAACTTATGACCAGACAGAAGCTGCTCGAAGATAGGATCAACCAATTGAAGATGGAACGGGATCAACTTATGGAGGCGAACAACCAACCCCCGCCACAGCCCCAACCCCTCCCGCTAAAACCCCACCATGAGGCTGCTCAACCTCCACGCCAAATTTCATATGTGCCGGTCACAATCCAACCGCTTCGTATTTCATCCAATCCTCCTGCACGGGTTCCAGATCTTCGTCATAGTCACTCTATGTCTTCGGCTGTTCACGCCCGCCAGATGGCAGAGCCTCTTGACCTCCCCATTCAATTCCCTCTTCCTCCCCAGCAGCCGCAATCACAATATTCGCAGCCGCTTAATTCAACATCGCCTGGTCGCGGACGTAGCGCACGCGCTTTCCCTTCTTCAAAACACATACAACCGCTGAAAACAACACCGATGGCCATTCCATCTGCTATCCGACAAGATCCAGCTGCAACATCCATTCACTATGCTTCTCGTCCATTGCCTCAGCCACCCATCGATGCTACCCCGCCTCCAGAATACGAGCCCCCAGAACAGTCATATAGCCGTCAATACCGTGACATGAAGGTCAAAACCGCCTCTCCAAATTCTGGTATGGTTATAACACAAGACGTTATCCTAGAAGAACCGATTCCAAACCCAGACGACGAGAAGTACCCAGGGTCGCCAAGAGATGATGTCGATGCCGAGGATATTCTAGGTTGGTTTGAGACTCTGAAGTTCGCGAGTACTGGGCCAAGGGGTCGAGGTCCTATGGCACCACTGCCTCGCCCTGAAGCCGGTGACATTAAGATTGCTCCTAGAGGAGGAGAAAAGTCACCTGTACCTGAGAGCGCTACTACAGGATACTTTGATGTCAAGCTTCCTATACATACACAAAAGCAACACGCTACCTTTGATATTAATGGAGCGAGGAAAGACTGGAACACGGGCCGAAAGAAAAGAAGCGAGCCGAAGTTGAGGGACTACCGCGAAGACATGCGCCTCGCCGCAGTATAGAAAGCTGTGGAAGAGATGTGTATGCCACCCCGTGAAACGCTTGGTTATGGGTACATCGTAGAGGGGAGATCGAAAGAAGAAGACGACGATTATACAATCGACACACGAGTTGAAAGAGATTCCACGATCGACTCCACGTCGACTTCTGCCACTTCTGTGCCAAACTGGGATGATCCTTCTTTTGAGGAATATTGCCACCAGGATGACAACGACGGAGAAGCCACTGGAAGCGATAAAGAAGCACACTACGGGCAGCTACACAGGAGAATCGATAAACTTTCTCCTTTGCCCAGTATAGAACCTCTGAGGCCCCGTAAGGTCAAAATATTGCGACGTGCCATAGGATCTTCAAATTTGAAATCCCGAACAACATGTGAGTTTGTTGCGGCTGAGCCAATAAATCCCTATAGAGAGGGCCTTCAGTGGTCAATCAAGAGAAACCGACGATGGTGGTAAATATTACCAGTTATATTGTGCCACTTTTCCTTCTTATGTATATGATTCCCATTCCCTATTTCCTTTGTAATTATACTTTTTTTTTTCATGCACATCGCCGATAACGGCTTACTACTTTCAACGGAAGGGGTTTTACTTCCCTACAACGAATACTATTCGTTGAACTATGCTCTGGATTTCTTATGTCAATGACTAGCGATATACTTATAGGGTAACTGTGTGGTGGCTTTTCTTTCTTACACTTATAGTGTTTGTGTTTCTGTTTTTCCATACATATGTTATAGCAATAGGATATGGGTTCGGTGTTTTTTTCTGGCGTTTCTACATCTCTCAAATTTCGAATACAAGATTTCGGATTAGTAGCTTTCATTTTGGCTACGAACTGTCCTCTGACCTCATACGCTCCTAAATTTCTCTTATTCCTCAACTTTCGGGTTTCCTCTATTTTAAAGTTGCTCACTAGATGCCTGAAGTAGTGTATACATATATTCTTCCTCAAGCTGGGCTTGACCCAGGGAATGAACAGACGTCTAGACCCACTGTATCTTCGCTGCACAATTGCATGATAGAAACCTGCAGTCTAGAAGACCCTGACCAAATTTATAAACACCATTTCCAAATCGGATCCACAAACCCAACCTCAGTCCACAAGACTATATCAGCCCTACCATTTATTTCCGAGGCATAAAAGCCCAACAACTTAACTAGTGGCTTTGCAAGCTCTATCCAACTGAAACATCTACAAGATCCCAGGCTCTTTGTAGCGACAAGAAGCTGACAAAAGCTTGAAGAGGGCATTCCGGAACGACGTCCTTCATCCAATTAGAAGCAGGATCTGGGTCTTATGGCGCAACTGGTTAGCGCGTCCGGCTGTTAACCGGGAGGTTGTAAGTTCGAGCCTTACTAGGACCGATTCTGAATTTTCTTTTTGCGTTGTACGCAGTTGCGTTGTGCTGGCGATTTTTTTGGTGTTCTTTTTTTCTTCAGCGATTTAGTGATCAGGCAGTCCTAGCTGCGCAAACTGTCTGGGACTTAAGGTCAAGGCACTAACCTCAATTGAATGTTCATTTTTCATTTTCAAGAAATAGAGGTTTTGGAAGCGATACTTAAAAGGGCGTAGACCCCAAAGAGGCAATTGCAATTGTAGTCTGGTGGAGCACCCTGTGAAACGTTAACAGGCAATTGGGCCCGATTAACTATTCGTCTCCACAAACGCCATTGCATTGTCTCAACGTTGCAACAGGTCCACGAAACCGACCCTAATTAAATGAGGTTCTTTCTATCTCGTGGAACTATTCTAACCCGTTCAGGACGCACTTATTTATTTATCTCTGTTAGCTGTATATTAAATAAAATTCGCGATGGATCTGTCCTGCCATGCAGCTGATCCGCGACGACAACTGTAAATCGAGAATCAATCAATATTTATATTTTTTATTAATTTTAATATAGATGTTAAAAGGCTTCATCGATCTCATATTATGGAAGGAGTCTCATCCTTGACGTCTGCAAATAATCAGCATCTAATTGACTATGTGTTTGCCTTTTGACTTGTATATTTGCAACTGATCTGATATATATCATCATAGTCCTCCCTTTGCAACGTCTATCAACAGGACTAGGTCAACTCGAGTACTCGTGCCTACCTAACGATTCAGCTTTGATCAACGAAGGTATATATTGTTATAATTATAAAATTAATGATCCATAGTGACCTCCATCTCGCCCGTATTATATCAAGAAGTTTTTATTCCCTGGATGTAAGTACGCGATCTATCCCTATACATTCCCTTGAGTGCCTGCAGTCTTGGAATAGGCGCCTTCGTTCCCAGATGCTCAAATGCTAAAACATGCAACCACGCACTGAATGTCATAAAATGATATGATGGATTCGATTGTCGAAAACGTCGAAATACACTCGGCTAGATACGACTGACTCGGGTCTGGATATGAATACCAAGCTTCTACTCAAATATTTATTCATGGTCTTCATGATCATATGATATCCTGATTAGCACGCAATTTTGGTTCAGTAATTATATTATAAGAACATATTTTGAGGCTGTGGTTTATTTTTCCCGCATGACTAACCCGCATATATTATAACATACCGGTTGGGTAGGTGGATCGTACTAACATTTGGTACTACCTGAACGAGCCGGTACTCTCGTCAGCATGAAGAACTTGTATCAAATCTGAAGGCGGTGACCTCAATGAGGTATTGGACCCTTCAACGTAGCAAACTTGATATCTTTTATATATGTCGTTATATATATATATGCATGTCCAATTAGGGTTAATTTTAGTCCGAGTTTCCCGTCGCACGGGTTAAAACCGTCCAAAAGAAAACTTTAAAGCGGGAATTTAGGTAATTGGTTAAGGTATTGCTACACAGCTGCAATATCTCTTGCTTTTGTTTGCTAGGAACAGCTGAGAAACGACTCCGCCTACGGCTACTTAGGTGGGTATCCTGACCTTAGAGGCCAGATTAGTACTTAGTGCAGAGAGCTATAGGTTATGCAACCGCACAGGCACTTGTAAACGACGTTCCTCTTCAATTTTCACCGGCAATTCGGATCGACGCATGTATCTAGAGATAAGAAACTCGAGGCTACCTTAGCTTAGCTGCATAAGCGGGTATAATAGCTGTTATCCGGATATAACAGTGCACACCTGTCTAATACAAGACGAAAAGGGTGGTGACACACACTTGTGGTGACACAGAAGGCGCAACGTCATTGGGCTCCAACCGGCAACAGGGTCAACACATCAACGCGCATCAGACGGCACAGACGGCACAAAGGAAGAGGAAATAAAATAACTATTCGAATCGAACAACATGATCATACGATGGAATATATCAATCATCGAAATTGAAAAGCAAAAAAACCGACGATGATAATGATTATAAAAAGCCGGTTAACGGACGCTTTGCTAAATCATCATCAGCATCAGCAGTCAGCCTTCTCAGTTCTATCTCTCTCTCTCTTTAGGCACTGGGCTTTACATTCCTTTGATTGGTCAATTGAACATTCGATATTCGTCGATATTTCGAATTTCCACCTTTTTTTACATCCTTCTCATTCTCTTCAAGCCTTTATTTGTGAAACATCGAAGTAAATACCACTATTGTTATCCCTCCCTCAAGATGTATCTTCCAACTGGTACATCTGCCGTTATCGCCTTCTTGAGCTGTGCTAGCTCAATCTACGGGCACGCACTTATCGCCGATGCATACGGCAATGCGAATGAAAAAGTTCGCAGCCGAGGCCTGGGTACCACTTCGTGGTATAACAAAGGCCCTTATGGCACAGACTTGCACCCTTGGCAAACCGAAGTGTCCATCTTCGCAAGCAGCGCCATTCCTTGCTGCCACAAACCACGCAAATACCAACCTCAAGGCTGCGGCTTGAACCTCGGTCTAGTATGGCGGAAGGAAATCAGGCCTAGTGCGTGGCTTATGCTTCATGGATGGCACAGCCCCACTATTCAGAACTTATTCCAAGCTCAGCGTGGTTATTCTCTTGATGTCAAGGAGGAAGTAAATAAGTTCGTAGGGACAAATATGGTTGCGCAAGTCACGGCGGGAGGCTGGCTAAGAATGCGGGTTCACCAAGTCAACGCCGATGGTGCTGGTCCTTTCATGTGCAAATTGGATCATACGGGCATAGGAAACGCCTTTGGTCCATTACAGAACCTCAAGGAAAACATCCACGGCGACAAACACTCCATCAACCTCGGCACTATTCACAAAGGAAATCTTTGGATAACCTATGTTCTTCCTACAGATCTCCGATGCACTGGTTCTTATGGCAATATGAAAAACATTTGCTTGATTCGCTGTGAGAATAAAGCCGCGAACGGGCCCTTCGGCAGCTGTGTCCTAGTTCAACAGATCGTTACGAATGTGCCCGAGCCTAAGCTAGTCCCTAAGCTAGTCGTCACACCGAAGCCCGCCGTACCGGCACCTGTTCGTCCTCCCACGAAAGAAGAGCTCAGTGTGGCACTAGGTGGAGAAGTCCTCCCCAAGACGGTTACAGTGTACCTTAAGGAGCAACAGAAAATCCCTGCCGAAGAAAAGGAAGTTCTGGCTGAAGCTGAAAAGGCAAACGAAGAGGCTGCTAAGGATGATGAAAACGTTGCTATGCTCGACTACTACTAGTAAGAGCGATGATAGCAAGTGAAGATAACTTACGAAGTATGAATTATGAACTATGAATTATGAATCACGAATTGAAAATTACGAATTATGAATAACGAATTATGAGTTATGAGTTATGAGTTATGAGTTATGAGTTATGGATCTGATTGGTGGAGGGTTATCAATCGCGGGACTAGAAATTCTAGTTTACGTTGTCGAAATGGAATTCAAATTTACGTTTAAACTATTCCTGTACATAGAAACGAAAGGCATTAGACTTCAATTCCGGTCAAAAATTGGTTGAATGATATATTATATCAAAGCTAGATACAATCGTCTCATGAATCGCGATCGGTCATGATTCGAGCTTGGATTAGTTTGCTCGCAGAGGTCCGCCTATATATCCCTCAAAGATTCCCTACACACATAACTCGCCACTTCGTAGATAAGAAGACAAATTAAATTAAATTGATTGTCAGTTCAAAAGCGACTAGGAAACATGCTTCCAAGGAAATATGCCCAAAAGCTTGGTAGAAGAAAGCGGACTAGGGTATACTAGGATTGATAAACGTTAATCCAATAAATCGTGATATACGAAAAGAACATCTGGGGCACGGGTTCGTGTACGGCTTTAATCGGTCTTTAGTAGCATCATTGCCTCTTCAGTGGAATACATTATATCTGTACTACAGTAAACTTTGAATTTAAGAAGAGGGGTTTCTATCTTACAGCAGATATAGTGTTGGTTCGTTGGAAAGGGATTTTGTCGGCTACTACAGAAGCTATAGAGCATCCGAAAAGTAGATCCTAGACATGAGGCCTACTCTGAGAGTACGGCTAATTTTGGGTCTAGTCCTCTGCGAGCACAATGTTTACATTTTCAAAGATCTTATTGGCACAAAGTTAAAATGATATATGATTCTGTTGAATATTTACCACCAAAATGAGAGATCTCCTGACTCCAATTCTTCGAAGAACCTCTTAGCGAAGCGCTTACTTGCAGCGCAGAACCTTCTCTTTCAAGAGCTGCATTTCCGCCGAAAGCTTTAACTGCGACTTCCTTTCTTTTTCCTTCTTTTGATGTTCCAATTCAATCTCTTCGAGCTGCTTATCAGTTGCAATGAAAGTCCCACAATAGAGGCAAAACTCATCCCAAGCCTTTTCGGTGTCCTCGCCCCAGATGTAACCAATCTCTTTCATACCTTCCAGTCGGAGCCCAATACAGGTAAGTTTATCATGCCAGAGCTTTCCATTATGCTGAGGGAGCTTCTCATTATTTGGAACTTCATACTTCTTCGTTACTTCGCCAACGTGAGCATCGATGATCTTGGCAGGGCGTCGAAACCCATCGCTTGCCGCTTTCTCAAGAGCAAAACGGAGATGATCATCGATGAAATACTCGAAATCCTTGCCACCACCGTATTCTCCACCAAAGTGAATTTCTAGAGGCTTTTCAGCCGATTCGGAGAGTGTGAGGGACAAAGGGTAGTCGTCGAGAAATCCGATGACATGCTTTCCGATAAGGCTGGCTGGGTCAAGAGCGTTGGTAATATGGAGTATATGCTTTGGACGAGGTTTTAGACGGACACTCATTCTAACCAGTGGTATACACATCAGCAAAGTATCGAGGGGAGGAACATAAATTTCAGCCTCATAATTGAACAGTGAATAATCTTGATTTTGGATGATTCGGACCTTGAAATTCGATGACACTACATTGATAACTGTAATATTAGCGGAATATGTTACAATAAGTGAGATTATGGTAGAAGCATGGAATAAGAGGATCTATTTAGAGTGCCAACCCTTAACAAACAGGCCATGGAAATCAGCTAGATGTCTCTTTTTGGTGGTTTGGTTTAGAATTGATGATGATTGGGGATTTCGTTCAAGAAGATGGGGATGGGGGGGGGGGGGGGGGGGGGTTGATGGTGGTTGGTGTTCTGGCGTAGTGGAAATGTGTCACAGACCCATCAACTTGGACGGCCCCGGATAAGGCATACTAATTAATCCCCATCAACAACTGTTCCAACCACCCCTTCCATGTGCTGTTGGCTTCTGGAATCACCTCTATCATTTCGAGATGCCTAAAGCAAAGCTTCCATCACCTCCGAAAACACCTCCTACGAACCCGGAGAACGTTGAAATCGTTCCATTCGCTGGTCCGGGCGAGAATCCTGCAGTGCTCGCTGGTCTTCTCTTAATATCAGCTACACCGGTCCATCAATATCCTCTCACTCTCAGTTTTCGACAGCCTCGGAGGTACCCCCTCGATTTTCAAATCCACAGTTCTGTCCTTGGTCAGTTCTTCAACATCGAAATCTGCGATTTGCTCCGAGAGCATCTCTCAAAAGTAAGCAGTGTTCACCCTCTCAGAGTCATTGATGCAGCATTTGGGTCGAAAAAAGTGGAATACTCTGCTCCATATTCCTTGCGTTATCGACATCTATTTCGGAAAAAACGAGTCGACGAATATAAACTCATTGGCTTGCAACTTGAAGGAATGAACAGAATGGGGTGGATTTGGGCAGAGGACTTGGATCGTTCGTTCGAAGAAGGCCAAATCAAGGCATCGGTATACATTCCAACTAAGGCGGTCCCAACAATCCATCGGCCGAGGCGGATGGAAAAGCTGTCTTTCGAAGATTTTAAGAAAGCAATGGTATTGAAAAGGGCATCCAACATGCATGGTGGTCCTGGGGTGGTCCAATTTGTCTTGCAGGGCTGCGACAAGGACAAGAAGGGGGATTTATCACCCTGCGAAGTTGCAGAGCTGGAGAAAATGCTGGACGATATCGAAGCTGGCCGGAAGGATATACGGTTGCTTGCAGTTGAGCAGAAAAAAGGCAGTGGCAAAGCTCGGACGTTTGACGAGTCAAGCGATCTTTCGGAGCTGAGTGACCATGATTCCATATGTTCTGACAGTGTGCCTTTCGACATCAGATGACATAATTCTTTCATCGCCTTCGCGTCTGTATGTGCACTCGAAGAGCCTTTTAGTATGCTATCATTCAACTAGCCCAAATATTGAAATGCAAGACATACCTCTCCTTAGCTCCAAGACTCGTTTCTAATGGCAATTCGTTCCCAGTTTAGCTAAATTAGACCTCGTCACGAAAAGTTGTTGAAAGATTCAGAAGCCCTTATATTTTGCGAGTTGAAGAAACTCAGCTTGTGACTAGCGAGCTTCTTGGTGAACAAACATAAGCAGCACCAAGGCCGGCTTCTAGATAAGAGATTCTTCGGCTCTAAAGTGGTGTTCACGATTTCTAGATGGGGGAGAGGGCGCCACCATCGCACTCCCAGATCCCGCATCATAGTATACTAGTATTCTGCAAAGCACGAACCCCTTTGTTTCCCTCGAGATATTGGGCAGTCTCTATCAAAATGCTCTCCTCAAAGTTCTTGACATTGCAACTTTGCGCCAATCTTCTCCTTCCGTTCAACTAGTGCTTCTACTATACTCTCCTTGGTTCCTATACTCCTGCCTTATTACTTCTGATATATATATACGGATCCGCCACCGTTCCTGTGAAGGAAAATAATTTTCTGCACGGAAGCTCCCCCCATCTTTTTACGTTTTCAACAATGGAGACAAATATTATATCTCTTCCTGCCGACGCCCACGACAAGATCGCGACAAACTTGGTAGCAAGAGACACCCTGTCTCTATCCCTATCTTGTCGACGTTTTCGACGAACACTTGGCCCGACAAACAAGTTCCTCTGGTTTGCAAAGCTTTGCTTGCCACGACTCTCCGCTAGCGAGAATGGAGATCACCCTTTCACCCCCTTTAATCCTTCTCGAAATTGGTACGCTGAATGTGTTCGTATCATGAATTCATGCGGTCAACGGAATAGATGCGCCTAGTGCTTGGCGATGGGTGAAGGTCTGATGCGGAAATCTAGGGTGAGATATTTCATTCATGACAAGCGTACGGGAGGTAAAACTGGGTGGCCTATTTGTATCTCCTGCTACGACGAATTTTATGAATGTGAGTGGTATAAATTTTATTGATTTATTAGCAGAAGAAGAATACAGTGACAGTTTATGGGGGTGTTTTGAGCCGCTACTAACTTTTTTTTTTTGTTAGGTTACGATTCCTTCCAAGAATCTCACATAAAATTGCCGAACCTACCTCGGGTCGCCAGAAGCGTCAAGCACACGAGTGGCGCAACCGGGTTACTTCAAAACATCAATAGAATCGTCATTAGAAAATCAGAGGCCACTTCTATTATAGAACGGCACGCCAGCTCCTCGAAAGTCATCTGCTCCGAGTCAAGAGACTTCTCATCCCGTTTTAACTCTAGTATACAAAAATACATTAAAACTGCAGATATTTCTATTGAGTCTCTGATGGTTGGATATGACGGCTTCTACAAGCGCTTCCATTTCATCTTTTCCGTCGAAAATTTTAGACGATTCGTTGGAGAAGTCCTAGTTGCGGAGACTATCGGCTCTTTCGCCCTTCGAAACGAGGATGAGAAAGCTGACGGATTTGTCACGAGACTATTCGAGATTTTCAAACATATCTATAGGAATACCGACAATTTTGGGGACAATTTGAGACGAAAAGCACTAACCAAGGTTAAGGCGCAGGATTGCCTCAACGTCTTATTCGGGGCTAATGACGACCAACCTACCCCACTCGCTCAAATTTCCGATAGAAAGTATCTTAGGGATTGGATGGAGGAGTGGTTCAAAGCTAGCGCTTGGGGGAAGCACTTCAAAGGCCACAAATATCAACATTTAAAATGCAGCATTTGCGCCAAGGACATGCCCACTGCCAACTGCTGGTATCACGGAAACCTTGCCGAGGATTTCCCAGGAAGGTGGATAGTAGCTCATTTTTTTTGAATATCACCCTCAAGCATTGAAGCTGAATACAAGAAATGACGGTTCTGAATAGTTCAAGATTCATCTGGAAGGTGACTTTCATCTTTCTTGATTGTTCTTGGGGCTAGACTCCCAACTCATTGCTTCTATGCTAGGAGCTTATGGCAACCCCCCCGGGGGGGGGGGTCTTCAAAATAGCCCTTACATTATCTCTTTACTTATGCGTACTTTTTACTGATACTCCTTTTTTATAATCCTTGTGAATTCATAAACCGCGTCATCCGCATATAAATATATACCACCCACGATATTATATAGAGTGAACTATAAACCTACGGTACTTTGATGTGCACTGTCAAGCTCGTTCATCTATCCTTAATACAATAATAGTGGAGTGCTGCAAAGCACACTACCAGTCCTTAAAAGCTTGGCTATAGCACTGACGTCGACATACCTGTTTGAGTAATTTGTCGAGCCTGCAACGACTACTCGACTAAGCCAAGCTGATTTAGCGTCGAGGCTGCCGCATGGCCATTGGGCTCGTAGTCCAAGGCAGAGGTGAGCGTCCCCAAGACGCATGGGCTCGTTGCCAAATGTCACACAAATACCAACGCAAGAGATACATAAAATACCACACATGTGCTTCGAGAACCACCATCCATCCATCCATCCATCCACGAGCTCACGTGGTCAAGTTAATACGAAATATCTATTATAGATACCGATATTTTCCGTCTTTTGGTACCCCTAGTCTGATAATTGGGATAACCTGGAGGTACCATATGTGAAGCCGCCTGTAAATACATATTTGGTTTTTGATAGTAGGAGGCGGCGTACGATTCGCATATAAGCTAGCTAGTCTGCAGCTGGTGCAAGCTAATATCGAACCAGTTGTACATGTGTTTATAAATGTACAGCTCATCTGTAAAAATAGACTAACTGAATGGCCGTATGGAGGTACCAGCTGCGCAAGCCCAGCACTACTCAATGCCAGAGATAACAATGCGCAACGACCACAAATGACAAGTGCTTTCAGAAGGTTAAACAATCTCGTGACAATCCTTGCTATCTATAAATTTCCAAGCCCTTTCAAATTGGAGATATACTGATATAATTAAGTCCGTAAATAGATCCAAAAGGCTTATGAGTTAACTAGTTGTCGTTCTACGCAAACATCAATTAACACGACAATCGATCTTGCCGCATAATTGTGGGTTATTATTATACCCTATCAGTCCTGATAAATGTACTGTATACTCGCTCTACTGGCAGCACGATGATAGATAAATCCCGCAGGGCTCTCGTAGAAGAAGGGAGGTTCCCCCAAACGGAGGATTTACACAATAGTTTCTGATTCCAGAATTACTCTAGCTCTAGGTAATGAGGTGTGGGGGACTATCAGGAATGGTTATTGAAAGAAGCTTCACGGCCAAGACGACAAATAGTTTTAATAGGAGACTAAAGAAATAACTCATGAAGCTCTACCTAAAATGTGCTGTTTCCCGCCAGAATTCAGTCTTCAGTGAAATGTTTGAAAATAGTCAGAGATATATATAATATAAATTATTAGAAACTAGGCCATTTCGTATACTATACAAAAGTGCTTAGAATCTCTTTCTTTAAGACATCCCTCTCGTTAAGGTATTATCATTACACTACTTCCCACCATCTGACTGACCCAGACACTCAAACCGTCAAAAGCGCCATCAGGGATATATAGTAAACCCAATATAAAGGACCCTGCCTCACTCCAAGATTAAAGAGTTTTTTCCAACGATGGATTACTCGTAGAAGGTCAACGGGAGGTCCAAAGCTTCGCACTGCTCCTCTTCGTCCAGATCAACCTGCCCACCATTCCACTGAAGCCATCGCATCTTTCGGTTGTGGCGGTTGAACTTCTGCCATCTACCGGTTGCCTCAATTTGGTTCAAAGTTCCCCAGTAGTTTCGAGCCTTCAAGTACGCCTTTGGAGGATTAGGGTCCTCCGATTTGATGAAAGAGGACCAGTAATCAACGATCAATTGCTGGAACGGAATGTCCAGCTCGTTTCTTTGGAACTCGCCACTGTAGGTAGTCATTCCAAGTACGAAATCAACTTCTCCAGAGTGACATTTGAAGTATTCCTGATCTGGATCCCCGAGAGGATGTTCTGGTGACTTTGGAGGTTCGCATTGCGACCCGGTCCACCAAAGTGGCTGATAAGTCCTGTTGAAGGTGAAGGTATAGACATCGCCAAGTGTGTTGTGCTTTCTGCCCGAATATGCAGTAGCCCAGCTTTCACACTTGAAGTTTATATCAGTTAAAATTCTAATGCTAACGTTCTGGCCTCCGTAGGGGATCGCCGGGGTGGGGAACTCTGGAAGGGAGGCCATAGCGACGAGATCCTTTGGTTCACCATGTAAGAAGTATGAAGATCTTTGTGCGATCGGTGTGAGTAAATCGATAGCAGATGCGTTAGGATCCGTGAAGTCTAGTCCGGTCATACCGCCCTCGTCACGATTAGCACCAATCATGATGGGGACACGAGCCATGTAGCCTGGACCACCGGTGATCGGTAGTGTCCTGCTATGGAATATATTGTAGTCTACTACTGGGACACTATGACACAAGAATTCATAAGCGATAGGTTCAGTTGAAGGTTATATGGATCGGGGACTAAATCTCACCTGGCCCTTGCGGGGAGTAGATTCAAAACATCGGGATGGAGATTCCTCAAGCAGTGAGCCTTATTGGCTGCAGCATTACAACCAGTCATCTGCAAGATTACATTGCCAGTCTCCTGTGTGGCTTCTGCAAGGGTGGTATAATTGGTGAAGCGTCCAGGGTAACCTCTCCAGCCGCTGGGCATGCTTTGTAGGATACCGCCAGAGAAAAGACCCTCGGCTTTCGGGCTTGCTATCATTGCCCTGACAGCCGCAGCACCAGCGGAGTCTCCTGCAAGTGTAACTTTATTTGGGTCACCTCCAAAATGACGGATGTTCCTACGGACCCACTTGAGGGCTGTGATCATGTCGCCGAAGCCGTAGTTACCTGTGTGCCAAACAAGATTTGTGAGCGCTTTTCTAGATATCGCGAGACTGCGAAGAGGGACAGTAAAAAGAAGAAGAAGAAAAATTGAGGACGTCAGGTGACCCTTTTTATACATACCCTTGATAGGAGTGCCATCAATAGCAAGATAGCCAAATGTTCCAAGTCTGTAGTTGATCTTGACGACAACAATATCACCTCTAGCGGCCATTGCCACTCCATCGTAATTTCTAATGTTTCCGCTGTTTCCGGTGAATCCACCACCATGAAGCCAAAACAGGACGGGTTTCAACTTCTTTTGACCTGCACCCGGAAGGTATGGTGTTGCAATATTCAAGAACAGGCAATCTTCGCTACCTCCCACTGGGCCGCCTCTCCAGCCCTCGTTTTGGTAGCAGACTTCACCAAATTCCAATGCGCTGACTGCACCAGTAGCTTGTCGCACTTTGGAGTGGACAAATCGACCTGGGAAGTCTGCGTACTTAATTCCGTCAAATCTCCAACCGTATTTATCTCTGAAGCCAGTAACCTGCATACCCCCAGCAGGGACCTCGATTTGGTATGGAGCCGAGTTGTCGGTGAATGTGTAATTGCTCCACGCTCCAGAGTGAGTACACAAGGTAGGAAGTCTCCTGCTGCAAGAGACTGTTTTTATATTTAGCGTCCTGCCGAGCCTAATAGCTTTACAAGGTCCCGAGCTCGGAGATTTTATCCAAAAGAGTTGGACTGGTGAGTATTTCCCGAGGTAGACCTGGTATGCCAAGCTGCTGTTGACACCCGCAAAGAAATCCTGGGTATCTGGTGACCAGACATCTTCGGTCAGTTGGTCACAAACCAACTTGCCTTGAGAATAAGTTTTATCTTTCTCAACAAGGATTGCAGAGGCCGATTTTGGGGAATTCTCAGCTGTGAAAAAGAGTGTCCTGTTAGATTTAAAAGCCTTCAGATATTATGTCCCTCGTTTCCATATACTTACCAAGGAAGTCCTCTTCCTTTAAGATCGTGAGCGACGACCCTAGAGAGGATAAAGAGGGGGCGGCAATTGCCTGCTGAAGGCAACTGGCCGCACAGAGGACGGCAAAAGTGCTTGGTCTCATGTTGTCTGTTTAGATACCCACAGCTGCTTCTTGCCCACTGATGGAATGTAAAATGAATTCGTCTCCATTACGGGGTTATTGTCGCGATATTTATACTGGTCTCGAGGCTAAAACAACTCGGTAAGAAAAATATCGCCAAGGACATGTTTCTCGATTCTAGTTTGAGAAAGGCGGGTGAATTAGAGTTTTGCTCGTGATCCAATGATCTCCAAAGACGCGTGGGCCCGGGAAGGTGTTGAAGACTAGATGTTCCCACAAATGGCGTCCATTCGAAAATAAAGTTTAGGTTGTGACCTTGCAAATTAGGTGCAAGTGCCATCATTCATATATAGAAAATGGAATCCCAGTCCCAATTCTAGATAGTTGTTGGTTGGCTAGTCTATATATTGGGATTTGGTCAAACCCGCTTGTGTTTTTGGCTTGCATAATTGCCCCTAGTCTTGTATTAGTTGCTCTAACGCTCCCGCACTCGGATAAGACTTGATAACTACCACGGCTGGTTCTTGGATGATAATGAGCGTATAGTCTGAGCTAGAGGATGTATGGTGGGGTGCGCCTCAGTGCCGAGAGTGTGCCTACATGGACAGACATGAATGTACAGTGGAGACGACCTATCCCTGGAGCTGGGCCTATCTCGAGAGAGATACCTGGATTTCTGTGGAGGTTCCACTGGTTGTTTTTTCCGAAAATAACAACACAACCGCAATAGATTCACACGAGGTTTTAATTTAAATAGATGGTGCACTGTGCCAATTTGAAGAATGTTGGTTGGATTGGCGATAATATTAGTAATGAAGATTCTCACCACTGCACTGCACTCTTGGCTAGTTGGTGTTGTTTTTGTGGTATCTGCCGTTAATTTTGCGTAATTGCGCTGGCTGACGCAGCTGGTTATAGCATGAGAATTTGATCTCGAACTGAGCGATCTCGAGACGAAGAAGACCCACAGCGGAATAGAATCTGCTGGGCCGTACCCCGTACAGTACGAGATTTACGTATCGATATCCACAAAAAACTTCCAATCATCTTTCATAGCGTGCACCACGGAGTCCTTCTAGCCCACTATCGAGCTTTAGAATGAAGCGAAACAAAGCGGAAGGATACCAAATACTCGCTTAAATAGAGTTTGGTGGCATGAAGCCCCTCCGAGTTCCTCTTTTTGGAGGCGTGTGTAGCGTGATATCTCGATGCATTCAAAAACATATGAGAACAAATGCATATTTTCCGATTCTAGTTAGTTCAGGGTCCTATTTCTGCAGCCACCAGCGATATATCAGCACTAAAATCCCATTATAGAAAAGCGAGAAACCCAATCCTAATCAATTCTCGGATCACGGATCCAATATGTACGCGTGCCTCTGTTCGCCGCGAGATAGATTTGATCCGATGTCATCCCCTAAATTTAATGTAATTCGCAGTGTTGCTGCGCATTCCCCCTCCAAATGAATGAAACAACCGGATTTGAGCCCGCATATCTTTCGTAGTACCAAAGACGATGGTCGACGCTTTGAAGACAGTTAAAAAAGTCTGTGAGTAATACCATTGTAGATTTTGGATGTTACTTTTCTAGACAGGCAGGCAGGCAAGTCCCAGAAACTTGACGAAGGATGAGGCTAAGCTACGCATGGATGTTTACTAAATCCCAAATCCACATTTTTGGGTTCCCCCGCGCAGTCTTCTGCGGAAAGCGAATCCTTCCGAAACATTTAGAAAGAAGCCATGCCGAATAACGGAACTGCGGTCTTCCCGTTGGGCTTCTTTGAGATGGAACGAATCTATAGCGGAGACTATATTATTTGACCCGCTCTGCGGCCCACCTGCGGAGACGAGCCTAGTCTCGTATCGCTTCGTCATTTCTAACCACTACGCACTCAAAGAGGAGCTTGCCTACTTCAAGCTGTTTCCTGTTTTTAAATTTGGCCATTAGTTCTGTTCAAAGAGTCTTAGAAATTCTTTACGGGATTAAACATTCGGCCTTGCCTGCAGTCCATAGCTGAGTCGCGGAAAACTAGTCTGGCCGTTCATGTAGATAATGTGCTGTATAGAAACATGCTCACCAACCCAATGAAATGGTGCTTCATTTATATTCCTTCCGCTAGCTAAGCACACGACATAATACATAGCGGGCGTGAAGTCGCTCGGACTAGCCTAAGCTTCTAAGCATTGAAAATCGCTAGCTTAGGTCGAATTTCTACCACCCTGCTACAAGGCTTTTGGCCAGGCGCCCGGTCTAATTTATGGGACTGCTCACAACGCTAGCTAATTCTGGCGTGATTCGTATTTAGGTGCCTCAGGCTATTTGGATCCACCATAACCATGCGAACTAACTCGGTTTGGTTTTGAGATGCAGTATTTGCTCGCGATAACCAACCTTAAATTGTAGCAATACGAGTCCTCGTAATAGAGTTACCTTTTCTTTACCCAAGTCTCCGTTATTACGGGCAAACTGTGGGGTCTATTTTATTTCGTAACGCTCTTGCGCAACTGGATTAGTCTTTGTTCCCTATGAATAAGTCGATTTCGTTTGCGGGTGGTTTTGGTTACCACTATCGCGCGCGATATCACTCGCTATTCTAGTTGTTAGACGGGTGCTGAACTCGCCAGAGTTTTGCAAGATCGCTTTGGGTGACTTCCGCGGAGCGTATTCTATCTTAATTAAAGGCAATTTATTGTCACAGGAGAAACATACTTATACATTTATACATATTGGAGAGTAGGACATGCGCCATGTGCGAGACTACCAGTCGTATAGCCAGCATTTATGTGGTTGAAAATATTGCTGGCTACCCGTGGTCGCTCACATCTTCAACTACAGAGTATGTGAAGCCAAAAAGCTAGCAGGCCAGTTTCGTAACCAAACTGTATTATACTGGGTATCTAATAGGCCTTTGAGCTCAACATTTACTAAATTTATAAAATAAAGTAAAATTAAGGAATAGCAAAACGGGTAGGCCTGGTCTGGCTCCCAGGCGTCGCGAAGGAGGATGTCGGCCAGGTCGGGTCAACCAGACCCGCTTTAAAGTCGAACACGCCTCTTCTTTCCGCACCGTTTATATCCTAGACTCCTTCTGCTCCTTCTCCTCTCGCTTCTCTTGTACACCTTTTCCCTATTTAATTCTGCAGAGTTATTCGTTCCTTCATCTTGCTGAGAGCCCGATACCCCATGCCTGAAGTCTAGTGCAACGACAGTGGGCTTGATACAGCGCTGAGAAACGAAAAATCTTGGTAACCCTGTCGGTATGCCCTGTGCACGTGCACGCGCAAGCTGATGACTTTTAATAGCACTCCCTATTCGATGGGATTCTTTTGACCAGATGTCCTTCATTTTCCGTATTTGATCCGGGGAAAAGTCGGGGGTTATCTTTTCGAAAACCCTCTGGCTGATGGGAACAAATATGTTGTTGGAAGTATGTCGCTTATCATAGGTTGTGAGAGCTACTTGTAGGGAACCACGATCATTACTCATTTCTCTGATCTCAGAGATTACTTGTCGTCGGTTTTCAGCGTCAGTTCCTTCTCGCATTTTCTCTGCATATCGCTCGGGGTACGCTGCCTCAACCAATCGTGAATACTCCAAAATCTCAACTAGTTCCTGATATGGTCCCTTCATCCTGTTGCACTGGCGAATAAAATCTTGACGTTTAGGAAGAATGCTTTTGTAATATCCATTTAGCGCATTGAATGGTCGAGGAACACCCAGAGATATCATACTCTCGATGATTCTGACTGTGCTAACCACGGAAGGCATTAATTGGTGACCTGACTCGTAAGCATTGGTATCCAGCCATTGTACCCTACGAGTTGGTGCCCCGTCGAAGGTCCCACCGTGACCAGGGATTCCAAGCTCTATTACATGGATAGTGTCACCCGATGGTGAAAGCAAAGTTCGACCTTTCTGATATACAGCTTCCCCATCACCCGGTTTCATAGCCTGTTCCAAGAGGCTCGTATTTAGTACGTCAGTTTTTTCGCTAAGAACCCGGGGTGCGATTAGACCGTTGGAGCTCTCCTCATTTAAATTGAATCTCATATCTAGTGGTGACCACTTAATATCCTCATAAGCGCCTTGAAGCCACGAAATAACACCAAGTCTGTATAGGCGAGTGATGAGGAGGTGCACCGCAAATGGGGCAGAATTTGTTATATGATTCCAGAAATTTCGAGAAGATCGAATCGCGAAAGGGTTTTCAGTTGGCGTGATATCGTAATTTAGGGACCGAAATGCGTCCCAGGGCTCTCGTATAAGTAAGGGGAACCTCTGAGAAAGTAAAGCACGTTGCTCTGTCGTATTAGGGGCTGTGGTGATCGTGCAATAGAAAGAGACCAAGCACCTGCGGATCATTCCGGTTTCTGTTATCGCTTTTGGGTTCGCCGCAAATTTCTCGTTCTCTGCAGCCATATGATCGAGTTGTTCCTCCGTCGGAAGGTCTCGTTCGATACAACCTGGGGCTTTGTTCAAAGCAATAGCGGTTACAATGCGAGTCAATTCGAAAATTATGGTATAAGGATTGCAATATTCCCTCTTTTGAATTTGAAGCGCTAAGAGCATTTCTGGTGTAATGAAACCGAAATCTTTTGGGATCTTTGCATCCATACCGTCTGCATGCCGCGGAGCGCATAGCTCCCCTTCTTTACGTTTAAACAGTTTAATCAAATTGGGATATTTCTTGGCTTCATTCTCATCAATCTCCAACTTTTTGGGATTTTCTCCGGTTTGTAGTCTGATGATCTTTGTCCTGGCTAAAATTAGCCCGATAAAATCGTATGCAGACAGGTTCCCCCCAATAAATATAGAGCTTCCAGGTGTAATAATCCCATCCTCATTTAAAATATTTCGCTGGGCGAGATAATTTGTGACACTATTTGCATTAGGAATACCTGTATATGCGTTGATTCCGAGATCGCCGCTTACAGGAACTTTCCATGTTGTACCAGTGGGCTTTAGGACAAGATCGTATGACTTATAGAGCCTTACTCTAGTATGGGTTGACTCGATGGTTAGGGCCGGCTTAGTCGGGTCTGCGAGATCTATCTTTAATACATGAGCATTATGCATGATGTTGATATTCAGCCATGGCAAATATCGTCTCGCCAAATCCAGAGCCTCCTGAGTCATCGCTTCCAGCGCTTGCCCAAATATACCGCGAGGGCCACAAGGTATTTTTGTGTTTAGCTGCTTCGACTCAAAATTGACCGCACTAATGAACAAAGCGGCAGTGGAGACGTTCTTTTGAAATAAAGATTGCAACGTTCCCCCCGGATCAGCCATGATGATTTCGGTGTAGCGGCTTGCCACATCGGTCAGGCAGTCTATTATTTTGCATTGCTGTGGTGAGAGACCTTCTTTGTCGATAGGTACTGGACCTTGAAGCCCGGTATTCATGGCTGCATGACATTCAGACTGAAAAGCTGCACCTGGCCCATCCCTTTTCGACTGCATTTCATAGTAATCGTGGGTACGCGGGGTTTTATCGATGGGTTTTCCCTGCCAAAGCAATGCGAGTTGCTCAGCAATATATATATTATGAAATAAGCGCCCACGAGGGCCGAAGCCGCAAATTGCGATGGTAGTGGATCTCATTACTAACTCTCTGAGAATAATAATGTATGAGTTTTATAAATCGCCGTAACTTCATCTGAGAGTTGGCAACGTTCAAGAGTTTATGAATTAAAATGCTATTTCCTATTCGATTCCCTGAAGGATGATAGAGTAGAGAACGGGGCATTATGATATATGCTTCAGAACGTTAACCCATACAATTGCAATTGATGTTGGATTTTAATCGTAAAAGAGTTGTCATCATAAGATCGTCGGTGTGGATATAACTATATCAAGCCTGTTATCGGACATGGACGTAAGCTATCGATATATCTATGGGAATGGCGATCACTTTACTTTACTTGCACGATCGTGCAAAGGAACTAGCAGTGTAAAAGTACACCAAGCCGATCAATTGGAGCAAGGAAATCGTAGATTTCGAATATTCCCCCCTCAATTGATCAATCGTACGCGTTCTTCTTTATTTTCCAACACCCAATCGTCAGGAGCGAATGCAAAGTAAATATGTTCGTTACAACTATGTACTGCCTGATTACATTTAAATTCACGATCGATAACCCAAGCTTAAGCTGGGCGATTCATTCGGATTGCGTAGACGTACACGTACACACATTGAACCTGATATCGTAATCTCAACTTTAATTGGTATATCGGTTCTATATACGTATATATATCTGAAAAGGTGTTAACATACGGCGGCTACTTACTGGATGAAAATCTACTGCAAGCTCATAAGGGCTTAAGGCTTCCAACGGACAAATTATTTCCAAAGCCTATGGATATCAGTCAGACAGGAGACGCGATAGATCCCTAGCTATGATTGGTTCGAAGTCGATATAACAAATGAACAGCTGAATATGTCAGTTAAAAGTTAACTAAACCTTATTATTTGAGTATTGACAGACGATGGTGATCGAAAGACATAGCCTATACGTATACGGGTATTCCATAGCCTCTTGATTCTGCACAGACTCATTTGTCGATAATCCGAACGCAGACCGATGGAAAAACTCCCCAATCTATGATATCACTAAGCTGCCTAGTATCGGAATTAAAGGGAGCAGTATTGTATCACCAGCCTAAGTATGTTTAGTGGCCTCATAATGGGTAAGGTCGAAACCATTTCCCGAAGGAAGCCGGTTTTTCTACAATAATTTTACAAGAAGGCTAATCTAAAACGTCGACTGGACGCTTACATTATATTAGGGCAGCTTGGGGGTTCAAATATATAAAGGGCACAAAGTTTCCAGAGTTGAATATTAGTTTAACAGACTACATTGACAAAGGCAACCCAGCACAGCATCGACAAAGCTTTTATATAAATACTCAAGTTAACATCCTAAATCACATCCTTTATCCATTTATCACCACCAAAATGAACAAGCGCGCCAGTTTGAAAAGTGAGCAAGAGCTCAGAGATCAAATTCTGAGCATTGCTTCACTCGGCCAAGTCGCCATGGCCATGGCACTCGGAGTTGAACTCAAGCTTTTTGAGGCAATGGCCACTGTTTGCAAAGCCTCTCCGAAACACTCTGCCACCGTTGCCGAAGTCGCGGCTCAGGCAGCTTGCAAGGAACGCTACATCTACGAATGGATGGCGGCCATGACCTGTGGCAATCTCATTGATGTTGACCCCAGCGGTCAGCATTTCTCAATGAGGCCTGAACACATCCCGGTCTGGATTGGGGGAGAAGGGCAGTTACCAGAGCATTCCCTCCACGTCATTGACTTCTTGCCAGGCTTTGGAGGGGCTTTCAATAAAGTGAAAGAAGCGTTCCGTTTGGACGGCCCACCAGGTGTACCTTACAGTGCCTATGAAGACACCTTTTACACTGTCATGGCAGCTTGGTCCCGCACAATCCATGATGGGGAACTCTGCTCAGGTTACATGGAATTGATCGGGGCACTGGAGCTTCTACAGAAAGGAGTGAATGTTCTCGAAGCAGGCTGCGGAGCAGGCTTCCATATTGAGAAGATGGCTCGAACTTTCCCCAACAGCCACTTCACTGGAATTGATCTAAGTAAGTCTATACCTCTTATATTAACTAAGTTCAAAAGCTCATTTATGATTTTTTACTTGTTAGCTCAATCTGCTATCAACACTGCGACTACCCGCTGCGAGGGGCTCCCTAACGTGAAACTCATTTGTGGGAACGCTAGCCACCTTGATAAGAAATGGACAGAACACTTCGATGTGGTGTTCTTCATCGATTCGTGCCACGATATGTGCAGGCCAGACTTGGCTATCAACGAAGTCCAACGAGTTCTTAAGCCAGGTGGCTTGTTCTCCATGATTGAGTGGCCCAATGGCAATGGAAACGTCTACGAAGATCGTAAGAAATACGGAAGTGCTGTGTCCGCTCTCTTTTACGCCGCTTCCGCTATGCACTGCCTCCCAGTCGGTAGCCATGTCGAGGGGGCCCTCCAGCTCGGGAACATGATGGGACATGGTAGAGGAAGGAAATTATTGGAGATGGGTGGTTTCGCCAAGGATAAGATCGAGGTTCTGGAGCCCCCATTCATGCCATATAATTGCGTTTATACTGCTCGAAAATGATGAGGCGTCGTCGACATGTCTTGCACGAAGACACAAAGGATCAGACAGCAGACTCGTACATGTTAGCATTCAAACGCTGTCCATGCGAAGATTCTCGAGACCTTGGTCTTAATTGACTAGTCTCGACCACGGTCACTCTAAACGTACATTTTTATTATTATATCGTTTTTATTTGGCCCCTGCCCCTGCCCCTCAAAAAAAGAAAAGAAATAGAATCATAGATGTATTCCCAAAGCTTCTGTACTTTAGACCTTTGGACAGCTTTAGAAAGTGACACAAAGGTCACATAAAACTCATATTATCATATGCATATTTTAGAAAAGCTTTCCCTTACGATTTGATCAATTAAAACGGATCTGTTCCCAAGACTGCTTGGAATTATCAGTAGAAAAGGGCGCTCATGCGTTCCAGTTCTCCCCACAAAGGGCCAGGAATTTAGCTATAGAGATATTGAAAGCTTAGGTCTAGTTAATTACGTCAATTAACTAAGCTAAGTCCTGAAGCATTTAAGCTCGTCCACGTCTTATGTGGGTCGGACCGGCGCGGGTCGAGGCTTTGTACGGCAACGCGGAAGATGTACGTCCTACAATACCCTTGCAAGATAATAGAACAGCCAAAATTTTTGGCTATGATTGGGGGCACTTCGGCAATGATTATTCTCTCTAGCAAGCTTTTCAGCTTGAATGGTCACACAGGCCTCCAGATGTATGATGTACCCAATGCCTAAATTTAACCTATCATTCCACCGAGGCGTTAAGCGTTTAACTTTATTTGGACTTCCTGCTTTTATTTTCAATGATGGTGGGTATCCAGATTACACGATCTTGAGAAATCTGCATGTAAATTTTCTTCAAAGCACTACTCTGCGACTCTATGTGCTGAAGTGAATCTACTTTAGAAGCTGAAGGTCACAACGATACATCTCGTATTTTAGTGCTAGACTGTCACGTATAAATCACGCTCTATAGATCTAGCGTGTGTCAAGGTTCAAGCTATACATCAAAAATATGGATCGTCATGAATCGTCACCTAGTGTTTTCAATTAGTGTGCGGCGGAGGCCACGAATATCGTGGCCTGAACGGTGCTCTGAGACTGAGACTACTCTAATGCTGTTACCCAAGACCTAAAAGCTTTAAAAATGATATTCTTATGATCGCGGTTAACGGCCCTAGTAAAAATCTAGCCTTATAACCTAAATATATAAAGAGTCTAGAAAGAAAAGCTCGTCAAGTAGGTAGCTCGGTCACGTGAAAATCAGGGATTGAACTGCTCTTTTACAACTAAACTCTCGCTCGACTTCTCTCAATCGGCTCCCGTCTGATAGCCCCGAGATTCCATATTTTGCCTTCAGAGAGCGAGTCTCACATGGCTGAATAGTGCTATATAACGAGAGACCATGAACTAAAGGGGCCCCGCGAAAAATAGACTGCATTGTTCCCCGCAAATATTCCATCGGACTCGTACGGATTATAGAGGTTAAGTATGTGAGCGAAGTAAATTTATCATGCAGTAGTATACTAGGGGGTATATTTTGGGTCATTATTGAGAAACTAGCAAACTAGCAAACTCACAGGAACATCTATGTGTCCCGTGATCTGGGGCACGAAATAACTAGAGAGTAATAGCCTCCCAGACTACAGCCTTGCCCATAAACAGCGGGCCTAAACCCTGCTAGCGTATTTTTTTTGGTACACGAGTATAACACACATTTAAGATCAATGTAGTCAAGACCTCCGATCTTAGCCTGCGCTGGTCTCGAGGCTCCTCCGATCTCGGTATTATGAGGACACAGAGAATCATGCAACTATACTGTTGATTCTCGGGGCAGCTTACTTGTGTTGAAACCTTTAGCTAGATTCATATACCCAATTGACTATGGCATAGTTAGGTTGTGTCGCCGACCTAATTTTTATACTTAGGACGAGTCTCGTGAGACCCGAAGAGTCCGTTTATGATGATATTCCATTTGCATCGAAATATGGAGCTAACGATATCGACGTCAGACCAAGGATCCTTCTTCTAATTGTTGAGCTAGGAGCGGAGAGAAGGGCTAACTTGCATAGCTACCCGGTCGAACGCTAAAACATTATCAATTTTGGCGTCGCACTAGATTTCTATATAGCTGCTAAATAGCTAAAGAGTACTAGCTTATAAGCTTAGCCTCGTGTACGAGAGTTCGACGCCTCGTGTACGAGAGTTCGACGCCTCGTGTTTGGGAGAAGATTGCTACAGTCTGTTCGTTACGAATGGCAATAGCATAAAGTCTTCAGGGCAAACTCTTGACCGAAAACTACTAAGCCCAACTTCAGTTCCACAACCAAACTAAGCTTGACGCCGAACCCATCCGGCCGACTGAAGACTAATTTGGTTTCATGCGTTGCAATTTTTGTTTTTTGTGTGCGGTCTGGGCTCGCGCTCCACCACGTTGGCAGTACGAGAATTCCGCCAATGTGACACTCATGAATCAGTTATTACGAAATAACCTCGGGGTTAGAATACGAAAGTAAAACTTCTTTTGATACTGGCCCTAGATTCATTGACATAGAGCTTCACGACGTACGAGATCAACTTGTGCAGTGTATCGATTGGTCTCGTAAAATATATACAACACTGTGTTGTAATATGCATACCTAGTGTGGAACACGTTAACACATCGATAAATATATTGATACCTGCACCTGGATCTCATTGAAGGAAGCTTAAACATAGGTGGTATTTCTTAAAGCGAATTAGAAGATCTTAAGAGAGGGATCTGTAATGGATTTTCTAATTTTTGTTTTCAGTCTCCTTCGTCGACGCCTTTCTCAGGGCTACTCTGCACTATTTTCTTGATCAAAACTCCTTACCTGGCCACGCCAGGCTAGCTGCCGGGCCAGTATTAATACGTCCACAAGGACGGTCTCTCAGGCCGCAGACAATCGCAAGTTTACAAAATAAAATGCACAACTAACTTCTAGTCAGAAAAAGATCAAAGTCGAGACAATTGCCGGAGAGAAACCCGTAAAAAATAAAACTAGTTGTAGAGCTATAGAGGGCCTTTAAATTTACGCTATACTAGGGCTTTCCCCGTTGGCATCAATTGATCAATCGACGATGAATCGATGTCAGAAAGACATACAAAATAAATGCAAAAAACGGGAGCACGCATGCCGCCACCGAAAGACTTAAGAAAGTCAGCAGTTAGAATAATTGAGAACTGATCAATTTATAGGCATATGGCTCTAGGCCCTAGCGTGTACATATTATACAGAGATTTCGCCGAGAACTACCATATACATGTTAACCTGGGCCTCGGATACTAAAGCTAAGGTCTATGAGTGCTTTTCAAACTCATAGACGTGAGCTGCTCACGATCAAGCTTGTATGTACCCACAAGCCTCCCTCAAAATTAAAAGCCGTAGAAAGCCCGAGGATCCTAAAACCGAACCACCTCGAAGGCCCGAGGAAGAGGATATCACCACATGAAATGCAGGAGAAGAAAGGCTATTTGCATGAAAGTGGTACTGCCATAATGCGTCACGTATCTTCAACTTCTGGAGAAAGGACCGATTAGGACAGTTATAATTAGGAGACGAGATTAAAACATTGCAGCAACGAATAGAAGGCTTGAGCTCTGGAAGCTTTTCCAAAGAAATGATATGATCGGCGAAAAAGACCCGCGGTTACGACCACCCAGGATATGGACAGGACAAATTATACGAGTAGGGGACCTACAAAAACCGGGCGGCGTATATATTTTAAGAAGTTCTTGAAGATTTGTATGGTTTTTGACGCTTAGAACAGCAACGAGGCCTAACAGAAATGTGGAAAAAAAGCAGCTGAAAGGTAACAAAGAAAGATTTGGCGAGGAATTCGGGAACAAGAAGCGAAAGATAATGAGAGGTATGTGTGGGAGAAAGAGCTCAACGTCCTCCAGATCAGCAAGAGGTTGGAGGATCAACAGCAAATAAATCATACATTCCTTCGGGAGGGGTCATGAAAAGGAAGATATAAGCTCCGGATGAAGAGGCCTCGCAAAACTGACAGTTGCCTGTGCCTACACAGTACCCATTGGGGAAAAACAGAGCTTTTAGAGAGAACATGTATAAGATGAAGACGAATCTAGGGTACCTCTTAAGGTGCCAAAGGTCTCAGGCCATAGCATGTGCCTATTTCTATTTCTATGACCGGTTACCAAAGTGTACCATGGTACCATGGGACAGCTGGGAATATGGGAGGTAGTCCAATTTACGAGTTGAACAGTGCAGTGAGGCTCGTAATGGGCGCCGGGCTATGGAAGATTAATATATTTTAGGTTTTTCTATTTGGCGAATATCTTTCCTCGACCCTGGCCAATCGATCAACGGTTACTGTATTGATGATCTAATCTTAAGTACGGGCTCGGTCTCCAAGGAAAACTGGAATGAATGCTAAGATCATTCTCTTTCTTGATTATATGAACCCAAGAGTACAAGGTAGATTAAAGTAATACGATTAGTTTCTCCAGTGCCAACTATGAATTGGTTTGGAACATAAATACAAAGAAAATTCGTTACATTGCATGATATTTCATACGTATATTTACGTATACCAGAACACATATCCCGCCCTTTCCATCGGGATTCGAACCAATAGTAATATCAAAAGATGAACCGGATAATATACATAGAAAAACCAACGCGAACGGGGTATCTCCAAGTTAAACTTCGACAAAATGAACAATGTTGGAAAGGCAGCTAGTGCCCAGTGATTGCCGTTAATCCACGACAGACTTGCGCACGACAATGCAGCCGTAAAAAGCCCAAGTAAATTCCCGGATCTGAAATATACCCACGCCCCAACCCCGAGCCCTACAGCCGGCCACCAAAATTCAACAAGTCCACCCCCCAGTACAAACACAACAATGGCACTCAGAAGTGCAGGAATGCGGACTTTACTAGCACGCGACTGCTCAATAAGTCCAGTAACAGTCGTAATGACCAAAAGTGTAAATAAGATATTAAGAGGATACCAATCGTCGACTAGCCCGCCTAGTTTTATCGATGGTACCGATGATATAATTCCGAAAAACGCTAGCCTACGTGCTGTGCGTAGATAGGCGCTACCGTCTTGATTGGAACTCGGGCGAGCAAGGTTATATGCGAAGACTAAAACGAATAACGGCATAACTATCCGGCCGACCTCAAATACTAAAGGTAATGCCTCGGCAAAAAGGTATTTGTTGATATGATCGGCAGTCATTATCGTCATAGCAATCCATTTCGTAAGTTCCAAAGATCCGTCTGGTATTTTTAATGGCCCCGTAGGCACTATCACTCGAGGTGACGGGCTTATGACTTTCGAATTCTCCACTGGTTGCTGGTGTCCTGATGATAAGCGTCGCGATTTTTGGATAGAGTTGAAGTTACGAAGAATAGTGACCGAGGGATCCATAGCTAACCGTAGCTGGGTTAATTCAATACTGATATTGGGAGAGCACTCGGTGCTCGTTGTCGTAGTATATGAAGACATAAGAGAGCTCGTAGGCGGTAAATGCCCTGGCGAAATATAACTAGAGGAAAAATAGAATAATGTTGAAGCAGGTGTCCCCACGGAACTCGCAAGCATAGGTCGGGCCCAAAATATGCTTATCGAATCAAGGAATATGTACGCTTGATATTGATAGAAATGCTAAGACGGGGCTGAGATGCTTGATTACTGGGCTAACGTTATTTAATATATAGTCCTGTTATTGTCTTCACAGAATCCGTGCATCGTGCCACAAGCACCCATGTATGGGGTGATAAAACTGGCGAAAAATATAAAGCCCTCGCGACCTAGGCCCGTTTACAGTAAAGCTGTAATGAATTAACAGAGTTTTGAGCATGATTTGCCGACCGACCTTAGCAGGACGGCTCGTGTGAATTGAAGATGACAGTCTTTAAACCAATCGCTTTGAAGGGGGATCCACCAAATCCGAACATCTCTCAAAGGGTTAGTAAACATGAGACATATTATTCCCGAATATACCGTCAGGGCGATTGTGCGACCAATAGCTGTTCTGCAGAAATCATTAATTCAGCATGGGATGGGCCTGTTTTTTTGATCTTGGCTACCTGGGTTGGAAAGCCGTTTTATTGTTGATATCGTCAATCTGCAACAGTGTACGTGTATACTGAGGGAATTCATTTTCCCGGATAAGCTCGATTTTCCCTGGCCTGGGAGAAAAGCTTGAAGCTGCTAATTTGAAGGATTCAAGGGATACAAAAAAGGAGAAAGCTTTGATAGAAACAACCCCCTTCTCGGTTTGTATTCCGAATCATGATTCCTAGCTGGGGAATACTGTCCTTACCTAGTCTGGCTGAATTTGTGCGCATTGACAGGGTCTTTCTGGTGGTTTCAGTTAGCTGCCCTGGTCTGGGTGAATCTTCGCCCCCGCCAATCGGCCCAAGCTACGGCTCGTCCCATTACCAGGACTCCCCAATTCTTCCCCTCCCAGACGTTCTGGAATGTTGTAATCCTGGTCTATAGGATCTCGGCAGTCGGTAAGTCCCGGTTTTTTTGGTATTATTCCGCCGTCAAAAAAAAAATAGATATTTGCTTCCGCGCTGGTTCCGCGCCGAGAAAATATAACAGCTCGGAATATGGGTCGGCTAAATACATTGATTTCGCTCGTTTCCATTTCGAATAGTTCGCAAGAGCTAGGAGGTGGAAACTCTCGACCATAATCAGACCGTGCGCCTTTTTATCTCTCAGGGTTGGCATCGGCCTCGAAGCGTCCGGCCCGAGCGCTGGCAATCCTAACTCATTTAAGACTGAGCTAGACTCCATACCCTGCGTTGTGTATCGTCAACCACAAGCCACAGTCGACGTTAGCGTATTTTGGGACGCAAACTCTTTGAACGTGCCGACGTGTCTTAGTAAATGGAAATCTTGGAGATGTGTAGGATCTTTGCTGTAGCACGGCGCCGCTATAAACGTACGGAGAAGAACAAAATCCTAAATATTCGTTATTCAAGGGATTTATTCTTGATATCGATTTATTAGAACCTAGACGGCTACATATCTTCTGAACTCACGGCGCCACCTGTTCGCTCTTGGTGAGGCTGACAAAAAAAAAGGATTTCGCTTATCGAATCTGGGGGGATCCACTAACAAAGCGAAAGGTCTCCACTATTAGCGAAGCTAAGGGCCAATAACTTTGGAATAGGTGAATGGAACTGTGAATTGACTGTGGCGTAGAGACGCATGGATTTTGTGCGGACTGGCCATTCAGTACTCAATCGTGGTGGGTTTCTCTGTTGACATGGGAACTTTGCTTTGAACCACCGACTGTACTGGAGGAGTTTTAAAAGACCTCTGGATACCTATTACTTGGGTAGTGTCGGTCCGACCATCGCTGAACTCGGAACCTCGAAACGAGAAATCGCGAAGAGTATAATAACATTAGCTTCCTTCCAAGTACGAGTACGTGAAAACTTAGTTTTCCTTGTATACATGTAGAGCTGGGAAAGATATTGTTGCATGTTGGTTATCAGGTGGGATAAATCAGAACTAATTTAAAAACTTCTCTAATTACTAGGTAAAAAGTATAAATGTAGCATTCAAAGATAGTAGGCCGCAGGAGTAGTCCACTACATCCAGAAGCCATTCTCAACCATAAGTCTTACATATCCGACCAATATAATATGGTTGGAATTAAGCAAACTTAATTGCTGATATTACTCGATGGATTGATCAATTTGGCCCAAATAGCGTAGTTAGGCTCGGGAGAATTATTACCATTCTGGCACTGGAAAAGACAATTGATCGCACTGAATACGAGGAGGAGAGCTCTCGAGTCACCTTAAAATAATATTAATGATAGAAATTATACCTTATTTTCATAATGATAGATAGCAGCGAGGTTGGAATCGAGTTCGCAGTTACGAGGATGTTCACATTTGCGTTAAGACCTCAAAATACAACAAGCAATTCCGCAGACTAGACTGGCCATTAATATAGCCGCGTAGCTTATATTTTAAGTATATCCATACATCGCTGATTGTATAGCCTATTGTTTCGAGTATTTTTCCGATCCGCCAAATTTCATGATTCATAGGAATCAGTTGCATTGGCCGATTCAATGTCAGAAGACTTTAGTTAGAATTATGCAGCGCTGCATCGCCTCTCGATTGACGTCTATCGATCATTCAATATTAATCTGGATTACAATACCATAAATTACAAAGTGCAGGTAAAAGTAAACCATATTGGCATACTATGGTCGGGGGTTTTATTCAGTTTGTAATGAAGGCTTGTGTGTATTCTTACATGCAGATGCGAGCATCGACTGATCAAGATCTATCAGGATGTCCCATAATATATATATTGGACTCCATAATGGTATCGTCGTCGGCTTATATATACGACATGTCGAAAATATACTAATATTTTTTTCGGTCTCGCATCATTGCAATTATAGATTTATTGCTATGGCTGCAAAAGTCGCAACTGAAAAGGGAAAACTCTCTCTATCTGCAAATCCATAGATCTACCAAGCGAGCTAGGCCTCGGAGGGCTGAATTTCTGATTAATATCGCGGGGAGTTTATGCACCCCACTTACAATCGGGGCATTTTTAGGATCCATTTTATGTCAATAGTCAGCTTTAGCCGGGCGAATCTGAACTATGAAGTTTATATCTAGGTTCGAAACCTAGATATGCCATTACTCAGCTGATCTTATTAGGATATTACGGTTACACTTGTCTCGTCGCCAAACTCCTCGACTGTGGGCTACACCACAAATTAACACGGGACTAACTACGCATATATCCCTAGTTAAGTTTTAAACCCTAAGTGAAAATAGTAATTACTGCAGTGCTGGTTTAGTTGGTTAGATGCGGGGTACATCATGACTTCATATAGTAATTATAAAGCGATGGTAGTGGGGTCTCAGAATAACTATCGATATCCATCTAGAGCCTTAACGGCTTTCCAAAACGGTTTCAGTACTCTTCGATCTCCTATAGCCTTAATAACCCCTCCCCTAGTGACCCAGCTCTCTTTAAACCGTTCGCTGTGTCTCATCAGAATATGTAAACCGAGTTCGCGCATATGCTCCAACGGTTCAAGTTAACTTTCCTTGCACCGATAGAACCATTATCCTCTTCCACTTCTCCGGGCTGCTCTTCCTTGCAAAATGAACAATAATACGGTTTATAAAAAATAATCAGGGCCGCCCCGAATCGTAATACTAAGCCCACCCCATCCCACCCTTTTGACAAAATAATCACTCATCCATAGATCTACCAAGTCAGATCGTGGTTCCGTTTGAAGCATCTCCATGAGGTGTTTCTTGCATACCTCCGTAACATAGCCGGGCCGTTCACCCTCAAGATTCTGCCAGCTGGCTGCTCCGGGGTGCTCATCATCAGCTCTTAAGAAGGTGTCTCTAAGCTCCCACAAGCCCATGCCAGCTCTACCTAGTACATCCCCTGTCGATCTTGGGACATCAATTGACCTTGTGGGTATAGTATAGTATCTAGGAAGCCCAATGTGCAGCGTTCCAAATATTCTTTCAAATCCTCTACATCGCTTAAATGCCAAAATCTTTTAAACATTTCATCTGTTTCGTATATATATATCTACGACATTGTTTTTATAATATCCTCCATGTGAGCACCATTCAGCATGAGCTCATCTATTTCGCCTTGTCGTAGGTTTTGTGCATCCAGGTCTTTCTCCTTGCCGGCGTTTAACTTTAGCTGCCATTTTGAAATAAACCTGCCCTTAGTGCAGCGGGCGTAAGGTGGTAGTTGGTCTTTTATCAAGAAGATGGCATCTTTATGATGTATTGTTTCAAAGGCAGAATAAATGTAATCAGCGGCCAGCATCGATGGATGTTTTTCAACTTCTAGCCACGCGATTAAGAATTTTGAGACCCCTAGTATAGTCGGGCACAACGATGATGGATAAAAAAAATGTTAGGAACTTTAACCTTGTAGCTTTTGTGATCAAGAGTGCGAATAATCCTACGTCTAAAATGCATTTCGTAGCATGAGCGACAATACGTCCTGTAATATATTCCACCAATACGAACCTCTCTCAAAGACCCCCCTCGTACATTGAAACAATCATAACATCTGGGAGTTCTGCCACAAAGTATAGATAATGCTAGAAAATAGTATTTAAACTGACGGTCGAACTTGGCCCCGACGGCGTATGTTGGTTGTAAAATTCTGCTTGGGTACCGATGGAAAGAGTATGATCGGTAGCGGCGGAGGGGGAATGTCGACAGAAAAGTAAACTAGAGGTAGTTATTCGAGATGGCTAGTTTATCTCAAAGAGTTCGGCAGGTCGAGGCCAGTACTTTGGTATCGCGTGGGAGAGGGAAGAAGAGACAGATTTGGGTGAGGACCTCGGTTGGGAGGGATAAAAGGCATGGCATGGCAACAAGCTATGATATTATGGTATTTTCTTTAGCTAGACCCGCGTGACGCCTACGAAAGTTTGCGGGACAGTGCAGTGCCTAGAATATAACACAGCTTAGAGCGTTGAAAAACGAGGCTTCGAAGTTTGTAGTGCAATTGGAGTCGAGTCAGCCACAAATGCATTTGTTGCATTTTAAGAAGGCAGCACGCATGTCTATTTTGTCTATTTTGCCATACAAGGAGACTAGACCTAGGATATCGATTTCAATAACCGCTGTAAGAAAGGCGTCTGGCTGGGGGCTATATAAAAAAATAGCATGGCACCTCCCGTATTTAACCTGGTGCCATATTCGGGTGGATTATAAGATTATATTCATTTATACATTACAGACTAAGTGTTTTTGGCTTATCTTTCATTGCATCGGTCCATCGCGAAAGGCATAAAGATCAGATACATCACCACAAAGTAAAGATGGGCTTGAAATTAGAAGAGCAATAAAAAAAAATGAAAATATCCGGATAGACTTTAAAAAAGGCTCAATGGTTCCCCACCACTCACACAGGAACAGTGTAACCATAACATGGTCCAATTCCACGAGCCTGATTACCCGCCACCCATGCCGCCGGTCCAGACACACCTTCCCCGACGACTCTTCCATTAGGGCATTGAGCCGAGACGCCTTGAGGGACTGCGCCGTAAGAGTATATGATTTGGCATCGCCAATCCCCAGGACGAGCCTGATACGTATAATACTGTCCGCAATCCGGAGTGCGGTAGCATAATTCGCAGCATTGGCCAAAAGTTGGCTCGTTGAGGCCTCCATTAGGGATTCCGGTTGTTGCAAATGGATATGACCAAGATCTTAGTGGCTGAATAGCGGTGAAGAGCTTGGGACGGCTCAGAATTGCTGTGCATTGAGGTCTGAAAGCTGATGAAATTGTGGACGTGAATGTTGGGGTTGCCGTTGTAATTGTGGTAATCGTGGTGGATATGTAAGTTGAGATTTTGGTTATCGGGACGTAGGATGTTAATCGAACAGTTGAGGTTGAAGAGAGCTAAGCACAGTATTAGTATTTATGGTCTGAAAACGATAGGTTTTTATGAGTGCAGAGTGTGGCATGTTGCAGCTTGAGCTTACAGTCAAAGTAGCGTGAACAGTGTTTGTAATTGTCTTCGTGACTTGGGTGTTGATGGTGTTCGGGTTATAGACGGTTTCAGTTGCCGTAACTGAAGGTGATGGAACATCCAGACAGCTGCAGGCACTGGAAATAGCATGTGGTGCAAACCCTTTAACAAAGGCCGGAGTTTCGGCAGCACGCTTTACAACCTCCGCCTCATCACGTTTGGCGACTCCAGCTGTGTACCAAGCAGTGGTAGCGATTGTCACCCTTGCCGGAGTGACTGTAAATGTCGAAATGCTGACTGACGTTGAAACAGATGTTGCCACCGTAGTTGGAACTGTGGCTACGGTTGTGGATATTGTGGCCCACAGTGTCCTTGAATCACGTCAGCTCTTATCAAAAGTTCACATCGAATGGGAATTCTTACTGTGTAGAAATGGTCTGGGTGGTTGCTTCATACTGATCGATTGTTGAAGTAACGGTAGTGTATGTCTGAAGAGTTTCTGTCGCAGGAATGGTCACGGTTGGGATAGCTAAGTATTCGCTGCAGAACGCTGTCGCTGAATTGACATCAAGGAGAGAACCAAGGCGGGATATTCCACCGGAACTACAATACTCTGGCGCCCGCTTTTGTAGGGAAATAGGGGAAGCAAGGGCTATGGCTGCTAATTGGGCCAGGCCCAGAAGAATAGTTGACACGCCGGCCATATCACCGAAAAATAACAGAAATGGTAATATAATATAATAGCTAGATGTTCGAATGCAAATCAAATTCTGGGGTATGGGGAAACGAGAGGAAAGACTAGTACTATAGTCTATCGATTGTTCAAGACGAAACTAGCGAGGAGTGAAGTATAGTAGTTATTGGAAATATTGGTGAGCATGACGCGCCTAGTTATATAGCCCGGTTAAGATAATACAGTGACCGATAACCCTTGGTACTGCCTAGTCTTGTATTGCAATGCGGCCCACGTACTCTGTTTGCCCCTCTCAGACCAGTACAGCCATAGGATGCATTCAGCTAGCTATAGTAGCCCATTGGGGTCCTAAAAATTAATCTCACTGCAGACAAAGGGCGGATTGTTAAAAATCGGGTCCGACAAAACCTTAACCCAGATCTAGGCTGCATAACGCATTCATCGTACAAAATATTGTCCCTGTTAACCATATAATTTGGCAAAAAGGTGTCTAGCCCTATGCAGCCCGTCAGCCGGGAATCTAGACAATCCAACGTGTTGGATTGTTGTATTTAGCAAGAAGGGGCTGAGCGACAGGGGCCTTGCCGCTTTTAGTTTTCTAACCGACCCCAAATCAGGTTAGTGTATCATTTCCCCACCTTATCCAGAATGTTATGTGCGACTGTTTCCCCAACATCATTCCTGGTTCAGAAGCATTCTGCCAGAAAAGTCAGGAGTACGCCGACGTCAATTTTTACTCTCAGCTCTTCTTTAACATGGGATTCCTGGTTCAGCTCGTCCCCTGAGCCCTATCACTTACAGGAATAGATGCAAACGGACCCACTCACTAACGTTCTGTGGAGGCGCACAACTTTGCGAACCCTGGGTTCGCTTAAACTCGATGTCAGTCGTTATGTGAGATGGAAATTTTGATTTGATCGTGGCACCCCCATGCATTTAAGGCTGTTATTAGATAGAACGAACCGTCGCGGGAATCCGAGAGGGAATTTTCGAGTGTTCAGGAAATATGCACGTATATGCAGGGGCGCGTGACGGCTGGTCATGTCCCTCCAACCAATAACAGAAAAATGTCATGTCATGTCATTTTAAAATCCCGCCCAGACAGCACCGTATGCAGATTAATGTGATAGAAATCCCGCCAAATTTTGAGGTCCAGGTGCCTAGGCTCAAGCTCCATATCTTTTACGAATCGCAGTGTTTATAATTGTGTTAGAGCCTGGGCAATCGCTATCAAAAGATCATAAATATCGTTTATGGTTTAGTGAGGCCTTGGCTGACCCATTGGCCAAAGTTCAGCCGCAGCCGTTATGCACCAGAAGCTAGTAATATTTTGTGAATAGGAGCTCATAAGAAGGCGATATATATACTCGTGTTCGTTTCTTTCATGACTTCGATGTACTGATCCAGGCCACTGCGAAAATATTCACAAGTTGTAACTTTCGAGTCGCTAGCTTTCTGCCAGCCTAACTCTCCGAATATTTCCTTATCTATCTTTCAATATTTAATATACTTAATCAATGATAATTCTAATCATGTCATCGAGGTTTCTTCTTCTCCTTGCGTTGTTAGCCGCCACCTCTAATGCTATCTTGCCAAGTGGGAGAATCCCTGATGGCATAATCCTAAGTGGCCCTCTCACCAAGCGTAGTGGGAGCACTGGTTGTAATGCCGATAACGCCCTACGCAACCTTCGCGACAGCCGATATAGCAGTTCGGCTAGTCTCTTCTGTTCTGTCTGGTTACAGTCTACTCTTATAGACACCTTGCAAGTAACTGCGACAGCATCCGCCACAGCCACTGAAACTCCAGAACCGGTTACTGTCACAATCGAAACAACAGATACAATAACAAACACGGAAACGACGTATACGACGGTGTACCCTACCGGCGTGAATACCTTTTTAAAAAGGGGAGAAATCGCGTATCCGAGTTGGTTACCGGCGACATATCCCGCTACTAGAGTCAGCAGTGCTTGCTCATGTTTCATTGCATCACCGTCGCCACCGGTTATAACTACCTTTACCACGACTGTTGCTACGTTAACAAATACCGCTACCGTAAGTACTTAAGTTCGACTCCGTCGAGATATCTCTTGCGCAATTGCCCAAATATAAAAAAAGGAAACTAAAAACCAGTATACAGGTTACCCTCGAGCCCTTGACAAATACTGAAACGAGCTTCATCACCGCTACCGCGTCAGCCACAAAACTAGTGACCGAAACAGGACCTGAGGTGCCCTGCGGCGTTACCGGGTGTAGTAATGGTGCAGGATTCTTCACTTGGGAATGGGCCTCAGATGTACAGGGATGCCAAGCTTTGTGCCTATCTTACGGGAACTGTAAATCATATCAGTACGGATCGGATGGTTGCGGTATCTTTGAGGTTGAGGTTGCAGCCACGTTTGAACCTGGTAGTGGATCTGATCCGACGTGTTCCCTGTATCAGTTTTATGACTTTAGGTGCCTCGTCTAGGTGGCAGCTATACACTATTTCTATATACCGGGTATTGATCTGCTTCACAAATTTGAACTTCTTGTTTCTAGCTTCTTGAAGGCTAAGGGGCCTAGTTTTATACACCGGCAGTACGGCATACACGCTTACGCTGTGTTAGAGGTACGTAGATGCATGTTACAGTTGTTAGTTTAGCCCGCTAGAGTTAGTCGTGCTCGCGTGGGCGTCTGGATCGATCTAAGCGAACGTTACGCCCGATGCAGTCAAAGCTGTTAACTTATATAAAAACTTTAGCTAGCTTACGCTTTATAATAATGAATAAAAGTCAAACACACATGGGCACAAAGACCCCCCCTCCGCCGACGTTTACACCCAGGCTTGGGATCAAGCCTAGGCTAATATAAAATTACGTATATACATCATGACAAAAAACTATATGCACGTACTTAAGTGCTCCCTGTATAATTGATTGGACATTCTTAAAATGTCCATTGGGCCTTCGAGAACCCTTTCCCAGCAGAAATCTTGCATCTTCTCGCGCAAGGGAGTCGCTATCTAGCTAAAAAAAAATCCTCGGTTCAGAAGAATGCCCCTGCATATTCTCCCGGGCTCCTATTCCGCAAGTTTATCCAGATTCGTGATTTTTTTTTGGTCGCGCGGATCAAGCTCTGACTTTGTGTTGCGTCAGCAAAAAATCCAACAGAGAGCTGAAGGATCACGAGGCCAAAACGGCCTGCAGCCTGGCCTGGTTGTACTAGTAATGCATGATGATCCGATGCTGCATTGATGACTGCAAGAATACAATAGAGGCGCCCGAGTCCACGTTATTGGCGCATTTTCAGATATCTCCTCCTCTGAAGAGCAAATAAACGTCGCCACAACTCTGGATCTCGGGATTCCATTCATTCGACACCTAGTTTCATATTATAAATATTAAAGGGTAGGCGCAATATCCAAATTTCACAGCTTATTAACGCCATTCTATTTTACGTACGATATACAGCGGAAACATAGGTTGCGATGTCACAAAATTTAGCCTACTCGCCAGCAGTAACTTCCCGATCGTCGCTATCTGTGTCCCAGAGATACAATATCGACTCATACTATTCATTATTACTAGCGCATCCATACAGACCAACGTTGCCATTGACATCGCCATCTGTAGTAGCACCAGGGTCAAGATCAGAACCAATGACCGTTACCAATCCAACAGATTCCCCTTTTCTCCGCCTCCCCTATGAACTCCACCAAAAGATCGGATTGGAACTTACTTCGGCAACCGATACCATTGCACTAACAAACACCTGCTCTCTCTTCCGACAAACTTTGCAAAGTTGTAATTACCTGTGGTATCGTCTCCTTTACCTCTCAGGAAGCATACAGAACGAATACGACACCTACATTCCTGGAAGAGAATATTTGAAGAGAGTGATCAGGATTAGACAAGGCAAGAGGTTCAGGTGCCAGAATTGCTTAGCGAAAGCGAATATTAGGACAGTGGATTGTTATGGGGCTGGAAAACCTGGAAAATATTGCTACCCGAAAGACGAAAAAAACCGAACTATGCAGAAAAGGGAGAGGGAGAGGGCTATAGTGTTTATGGGGGTTTACTGTGTCGAGTGCTTGGGGAAGAGATTCTATGGTCTGTTGCATGCAGAGTCGGTATCGTTTTGATATGCTACTAACAATGGCCATCGTAGATATTGTATCTTTTGAGCTCATGCAAGACAAACTCTGGGAAGGAATCATAAATCCTCCACTTATCCGCCTTCCGAAATGGCTCATCTGCAAAGCCCTGCTAGGCCAATACACTAAACATACACCGTCATTTAACTCCAATAATCCTTTTTCAACAGACCAAACCCCTATCGTATGTATACCGAAGTCCGATTCTATGGCACTCGCAGATGCAATAACGGACGAGGAAGCTACGGAACAAATCTTAAAACGCATCGAGCAGAGAAATGAGAAACTTGCAAAAGTGACAAAAAGAAGCGGAATACAGGAAAGAAGATTTGTCTTGGAATATATGGTTGAAGCTTATGAAGATTTCTATGGAGAATTGCACGTCACTACACCAGTCCATGAGTTTGGGCAATGGTGGGCGAACGAAGTTTTTGAGCTGGATGGCCGAGGGGACGATGCGATAGGAGAGGCATCTTGGGGTGGAAAAAGCTCGAAAGATCCTGTTCGGCAGATATTGCTGAGGTCTTATGCGAGAAGGTCGAGCAATCTAGAGATCAGTAGGTGGGCAGATATGTTACATGATATTGGCCCAGGCTTTAGGGCGTTGATGAAGGAGGTAAGTTTTATGAGGCCCCACAGTAGTGCACTTTGTTGGACCCAGGGACTAATTAAATCCTCCAGAATATGAGACCTGGTGCAAATATATGCTCATTCAGTTGGTCATTACAATATTAGGCTTACGGGTTACTCGCGATATCCGGCTACTCGATGATGGTTCCGATCATTGAAAGAGCGTAGCCTTTTTCTTCTTCTTGTTCTTCTTCTTCTTTCCGAGCAATATTAATATATTGAAACATGAGGTGAAGCGGTAGATTTAGCTTCCCTATAAGTTTATTTCGGATACCCAAATTATATATAGAAGTGATATCTAACTTTTCTGGGCTTAATTAACTATGGGATATGCTGCCTAATTTAACTACTCCGGCAGTCCGTCCATAGGTCTACTAGTAATACAATAACTAAATTCTCGCACGGAATTTCTAGACTGCTACAAGTTACAGTGGCTGGTGTTGGTAGTTTGTATTATATAGAGATAGACATAAAAGACCATATTGGTTGTGAACTTCGTGGGGGTTGTGAACTTCGTGGGACCAGTCAACTAAACGACATTTAAATACGAAAGATTCTCATAGTTAAGTCGGGCGTCTCGAAATTTAGAATCAACGTTCTAGTTTTAATCCCAAAAGCAAATTTTGAAAATAGTTAATCAAATAGCTACCCTAAATATCACTTCGTGTGCATCTGTATATTTGCTCAGAGGACATGCGCTTCAAATCTCAACTGGGGGTGTATTATGACGCCTATGCCCGAGGCTACTTCTAGCAGCGGTGTAAAGAAATACCCTGAGACTCCGAGAGGAAAGACGAATATTTGAGGACCCAACCCAACATACGCATAATTATAAATCTTCCAATTCTTCAGTCCTAGGATCCTTATGAGCTCTAGGATCTTGAATGGACAGGTGAAATCATAGACTTGTTGCAAACTTATCAGAACGGAGGACCGCGTCTTTCGTGAAACAGAATCATAGAAGGGCAACCCATTGCAATAACGGTGAAAACGAGGACCAAGGTAGTGTATACGCACGCCTTTAAGGTAGGGAGGGTAGGGCACAGCAAATATCGTTTGTGGAAGACAAATTGTTACTCTGTGCAATATACAGTATCATCCTTAGCGCCTTCAAGGCTTAGCAGTTTCATTCATTCTCTGCAGCTCTGGGATTCTGCCTCTTCATTTGTTTCTTTTTCTTTTTCGTTTTCTTTTTCTTATTCTGTGAAAGATAGTAAATTTCTTTTCCAATACCCCGATAAGATTTGAGGTAGATAGAGAGGATTTTATTGGCCTCTGCCCATGCGCTGGCTTTTAAGCACGCAACTCAGGTTTGTAATAGTTACTGTTAATTCCAATTACAATCTGTATATGCGCGCCAATTCTTTTGAGCCTCAAGGCCAGGGATTAATTTCGCCAGCCAATATTGTCAGCAGGAAATATTACGCGGGATATTGTAGTACTAGCCCAAAATTTTTCGCGGGGTCCCTGAATCTGCATATATTTTGACCACCACCGCACCGGCTACTGCAGCTGCTACACCAATTTCAAGCTCGTGGAGTCAATGCAAAGTTAATCGCATTTTTCGTAGCCTTGAATCTTCCCGCCAATAGAATTGGCAGCGTTAAAGTCCCCGCATATGAGTTCACGAGGCTTCGGAATTGATAATTCCGCCAACTCATCATCAGGCTTTCCAATTATCGAGAGGACCGATATGAGCTCCGAGTGTCACCCGGCTGATAGACAAACATTTGAGCAATGCACGAGCATGCATGCATGATTTCGTGGCGATGTTCCCGCTTGAAGACCTCCACTTTCCACAGCTACATGTTCTGGGCGCCGTTCCATCCAAGGCTCAATATGATGCATGTCCCTAGTTGCAAAACTTTGGTATTAAAAGTACTGGTACCTTAATTGATTAAAGTTGATTTCAATTTTGGAGGAAGTACTCCCAGTAAGTTGGCGGAAGACCTGATCGTCTGGGGGACTTGAAGATGAGAGTAAACACCTCTTTTAACAGATTTAAAGTTAACTCGAGCCTGCTCTCTCGCTCAAAGAACTAATGGTTTAAAAGCTGCCCCTCCTAAGATATAGAACACCTTCTGCCGTGGATTTTTAGTCGTCGAAGCTGTATTATATTACGAAAGATGCCAACTGCGCTAGGCAATATATTTATTTTCCAAGAATCAGATCAGCTGGCATACGACCGTCAATACCCCTCCAAAAAATCTGATATTTCTATTATTGCTGACTTAGTTGACGTTGCCTTTCATTCACAAGATGGCTAATACCGCTCTTGATGACTGCCGTTTCCAGGAGCTGAGAGAGATCCTCTTGGGGGGAGAGGGTCCTGCAGTCAAGATATGGCCTCCCCAGCTTCGGGCTGATAAAAATGAATTTCGTGCTTTTTTCCCCGTCAAACAGCTTCGAGATCGGTTTGAGAAAGAAAATTTCCATGCTATATTCGGGTGCCGTTGCGTGTATTGCGATGAAGAATGCGGCAGGGAAATGGGCGAAGGCTTCATGACGCCGGGGTTGTTTAACGATCCCAATCAAACAACACAAATAAAGCACAACGTTCTAGGCGACGATAATTTATGCTGGATATTCGGGCTTCTGATAGAATGTAGAGTGCCGAGGTATATTGTGGTCTTCCGCGATTATCTTCAACAGCAACCGCCAAGAGCGGAAGGGAAAATGTTTACTAGAGAGGAGCTTGAAAAAATTACTGGCGCCGCAGACGAGTCTGTTCTGACGGCGGACAACATAAAGAAATTTTTGAATAGGCAACACTGTTACTTCGAGGAACCAATTCCTTGGAACTTAGATGGTTACGAATGTGACCCGAAACCTATCGACACCGAATGCGCACTCCCAATCGCAGACAATGTTTCCCGTGTTCACCATACCGATTGGCAGGGAGCTGAGAGCCGTGTTTTCAAGTTCAATTTGCTGCCAGAATCTTTAAGCGGAACCACATTCAAGAAGAATTATGCGACCCTGATAACAGATGGAATAGACGTCGATCTTAAACAGGTGCGAGAATTGCGAGAAATTGAAATCATAGGAAGTTTAACTGTGATTCATACAGCTAATATCTCAGTAGGAACACCCCTTTGTTATCAAAATATTACTGGGCAGTCCCATTCGAAAGAATTTGAAGTCACAAACATATATAGGAAAAAAGCGGTTTGATGGGAATTGCTGTATCGAAAATATTCAAAAATACATATGCATGGACATATCTTTCTTTACGTACGGTGAGAGACCATGTTTGATATACCCTAGAGCATTGGGGACCCTGGAACACCTTTTGACAAGGAATTTTGCATGTCCCTCGGGCGATGTAACTTCACTGAACCTCTGGAGACAACTGAAAAAAGTCAGCGAAGGGATAAATTTCATCCATAAATCTCTAGAAACGCAACACCTCGACCTGAAACCCGGCAACATTTTAATTTTCGAGAGAGGCGGTAGTTCGGTCAAAAAGATTGAGAACGGAAGCGGACCAGCATCGCCACTTTCCACGTCCTCGACTAGATCCCCGCTTCCCGGTAACTTTATAAGCGACGCAATATTTATGATAGGTGATTTCGGTCATCGATCTGTAGTAACTCCTGGTGCAGCCGAGTGGGGCCCTCCAGACGGCCCACATAATCGATTCGAGCTACAAACTAACGAAGCGAATGAGCTTTACGATCACTGGAGCTTTGGTGCCATTTTATTAGAAGCTGCCGTATACGATAGAGCACGAGAGTCTGATGAAGGAAGCGATGACATTGCTGTCAATACTTTCAGGCACAAGAGAGCGAATCTTGATCAGGGGCTTACGCCCGTTATCAATACGAAACTCTACGTTCTCGGAGAGAACGGCAAAAACGGTCTAAAGCGCACAGTTTCGGATCAGATTGCGAACATGGAAACACTAGAGGATTATAAATTAGGCGAAAGTGAGAACGGTTATACGCGAATGCCTGCGAAGTTTTATCGTGATATCGCTGGAGATATTAGCCGGCTTCTGAGCATTTCTCCAAAGAAAAGGAGGTCTGAAAACGGTATCATGTCTATTGAGCCTTATGGATATTACCGAGAAGCGCTGAGAACAAATCCCGCCTCTTTTTCGCATCTGATTTCGCAGTCCGGGCTTATTTCACCAAGTTCTGAGCACTTCCGAGCCGAGAATAACAATTCCAGCGTCGCTCCACCAAATGGGGCTGCACGAAGTTTGGATCTAAACCAGCGTGAGACTTTGTAGGGAAAATTTTAAGCCCCCCTTTGCATGATATATTTTGCACTTCTGAGTCGAACTTAGTGCAGATGCTGATTAAATAATCCGGTGCGGTTACGTAGATTGGATAGCAATCGCGAATTTGAGTTTAAAATCTGGAGGGATCAGACCGAGGGGCCAGAGGTTGTCCGGATGTTGGAAACGCCTCACGGGCAAGATCCAAGCTCCACTAGGGCTCCTCCTGAACCTTATTACGGTAAGAGCTCCAGCTATTTTCTTCCAAAACTCTATGAATACCCCTCTACAAGCCTGTATATTGTGGCTAACCTATAATCGATTATTATCATAATACGCCCTTATAGTGCAAGATATTTCTTTACCTGGCGCAGATTCCCGGGGTCCGTGGGTTGTTACATGTCGAGATCTAGATCCTGGGTTACGAGAGTACAGTTTTGCAGATAAAGGTGATCATTCCAACCACTTGCTCGCTCTCATTATCGTTTCCCATAATTTCTTGATTTCATGAATTCACGCACGATGATGATGGGCTTCAGAAGCCCTCCTATTGGTAAATGAGTATGTTTTTGCTAACCGATCTGACTAAGATGGGGAGGACTTCTTTCATCGGCTGTCAGGAATAAAGCTTTTCGCGGGGTAGGTGTAAGCATATCCTTTGAATCTACGAGATTTGATACTAATCTTAATTTGATTCTGAAGACCGTTTATTGATACCTGCATCGAGAACTTTGAGATATTACTGGAACGAAAGTATATGTGGCCGTCAAGTTACAAAATTAAGGGATCTCTGGCAACACTGTGGTTTTTGACATATAGCCCTTATTCTACCGTGAGTATAAATTTCATATCTTTCTTCCTCGAGTGGGTGCCAGCGTCTAGACCCAACCTATAACGTTATTAGCTGAGCACATGGATCTACTAGACACCTCTTCGATATAACTCTTATCCTAATTCCTCTAATGCGTCGCTTCGCAGTAGTGACACCAATCTCACTAGTCACACCAGTCGCACCAGTCGCACCAGTCACACCGACATGATTCGCCAGATAACCAAGCCTGATAAGTGGGCTACCGGAAATCGAGCGTGGCTGTGGATCGTTCCGAACCATCTAGAAGGCAGCGCGGATAAGCACCCGAATGGTTATCTTCTTAATAGTATGTTGACTCCATAGATCCATACTAGGGTCTTATGATCACTGTATTTTCTAACGGTAATTTCTGTATAAGTCACGGGTTGCGTATCCCACCGACGACGCGGGGGAAAAGTTAAGCTAAACGAAGAAAGTCGACCTGGAAAAGAGGCCATAATTATGACATACCCCTATAAGCTGGGTGTCCCCTTTCGAATTGAGAACCTTGATAAAGCCCAACATTGCCGAGATATATCATTCGGATTTTCAAGCAATGAAAGTGAGTCTAGAAGCCCCTTAATACAAATTATGCGCAATAAAGCTTGCAGCTGAAACTGACTTGATAACTTATAGGGGCGACGGAATTCTACGATAATTTTAACAGGGCAAAGGAATTTACAACTTTACATCGCAGGCGTACTCTCAAATAACACATATTATATTCTTACATTTTACAACATTCTTGAGGATTTCAATCCCAGAAGCTTTTGCACTATAGCATCAGCCATTAACACGGGTAGCATTTGAGTTACTAGATAAAATACCTGCATCCTGCAGCATCACTACTTTGGACTAATGATAATCTCGAGAGAGTCGCTTTCTGTGTTCGTACGAAGAGTTTATGATCAATGAATATTCATATCGTAGCTAGCAGTAAGCGTGCCTACAATGTAAAATAAACAGCATGCATGGACGATGCCAAAAGACGACATTGCCGAGGATATGGTAGAATAGATAGCAAGTTGAGAAGAGTCGAAAGTAGCTAATTGAATCTTCCAATATATCAATAGAGCCTGCGCAATGATATCCTCCAAAAGCGTGTCGATTCTGTATCAATATCTTAATACCGTTTAGACTCGGGGTATTGGGGTAGCAGCCTCCCCGCCCCTTTAGGTTGCTCAGCAGCTTAGGTCTGGAGGTTAGTTCGGTTCTCCAAAGAAATACTCTCAATTATTTACATTCCTTAGATACTCAAAGGAAACCTGCATGTGTATGTACATATCTAAATGCGAAAAAAGGGTTTGTACAAGAAATTTATCATGCCGCTCAGATTGCCGAGGCGTTTTAATACAAGACTAATCATGACGTTGATCTAAAGACCGTGGTGTCAATAGGGCTTGTTTGGGCCAGCCTCGTACTCAGGCAAGGTATGTATTTGCATAATGGATACTCTCGGCGACCTGGAATGGGTGAATTTAGGGCTGGATACCTTTCTCTTCGTCGGTTTGTTGAAATGGATATCGACCGCGCCGGTGGATAGCGCGATAAAAGTAAGATACCGAACGATTAACTAACTTGATCTTCCATATCACCCACCCTAGAAAAATTAATGTCGTGATACCTCCTGCAAAAACGAAGTATATCCAGAAGTTTGTCCCCACAACTAGTTCTTTTGTGTTGCCATCGAAGTCAAAGAAATTTGTTCCGGATATGCTCTTTCGATGCGTGTATGTGCGAATTAGTAAAATGTGGTACGGGAGTTACTCTAGCTGAATTTATAAAGGAAATGGGGTAGACATACCGCGATGAATGTTGCGGGTAGGAAAATAGCTGTGATAATTGTGATAAAAGCTACCATTTTGGTGTCCTTAGCACCCTTCGCAGCAATCATTCTCATATGTTGGTTCTCTTCTACTCCAGCCGCGGAGATCTCTCGCAGGTTCAGACTCATAGACCTATTAGATGCTTCGTTTCTGATATCTAAAACTTGCCGAACCTAAGTTACTTGCATTAGAAAGTGGCTATGGACGAACTTCGAGTTAAATTAAGCTCACTAGCACTGATATATCCTTAATCCTGTCGAGTAAAGCATCTACCCTTGACTTAGACACCTCCAGGCTAAATATTTGCTCATTTATACCAGCTACCAGTGATTTCGTAGATAAGTTCGTATCTAAACTCGTTAATTTCGAACTGGACCAGCTCGCTTCTAGCCGCTCTGCAAATTTAGCAAGCTGTCGCGCTAGATGGATATTCAAACTAAGAATTTGGACTAGGCGCCGAAGCTTATCGGACAGAAAGTGCAGTTCTCGGACATCTGAAATTTCTGCCTGAAGGGAATCTACCTCCGGTCGTGAAATCGCTTGGGAATAGAACCCCCTATCTGTCTGCATTTTGAGCGTCAGAACCAATATCTTGGCTTCGTACAACGAGTTTCCATGGCCATGCATGGGTATAAAAAATTCACTATTTTTTAAAAAGGTTTTTTTTACATACCAACTCCTCTGCAAAACTTTCAAGATACGCAATGTACGGACGCCAGCCTTCCCCGCAGTATTGGAAAATGACCAAATGTATTTCAATCTGGAGAGCAAGGTTACCGGGCTCCCTGTTGAACTTCTCAAATAAAGATCTTAAACGGCCCTCCAGACCGGTCGCTGCGTGTAAAAGGATCCACACCCCTAATTGACGTTGTGGACAGCATATTTGACCAACACCAGTTTGCCGTATCACGAAAGGGTCTTTCGGTCGGTCGCGATTGTGCCTCGCAGCATATTTTAGGATATAACCGATCTCTATCTAAGGTTAGAACACAATCAAGACAAATTTACAATTTATGGAGGTGTATATCCGGAGAACGAACCGTAGCCCTCTAAGTCAGAGTGTACTGGCTGGCTGGGTCCAACAGTTTTAAAGGGGTCTAACAAATTAATCTTGTCGTAATAGGAAGCAAAACTCTCTTCAGAAGCAGTAATCTTCTCGCCAAATGTAACCAGGATTTCGATAAATTTTGGATTCAGGCGATAATTTCCAAGAATTGTGCGTATCATTCCCTCTGTTAACTGGAGCCGGGACCATGAATTTCTTGCGTCAAAATAACTAACGTAAATTCAAGTTGCTAAGTCAAATTCCGAAGACACTATCCGCCCTAAAAAAGTGAAAAGTAGTACAAAGCAGAGTGAGCTTACTATAAGACAGTCTGCTGGCCTGCAAAAGTATGGACCTCTTCTAGATGTTCTTTTAGCTGTGTAATACTTGTTATATCAATTTCATCTTAATAAGTGCATTCCTCCCTTTTGGTTGCGTAATGAATCTCCGCAGCCCGGGCTTGGATAATGAGGACTTGCTCCTTTGGCTAGAATTAGCGACAGTTCTCTTGGTTTGTATAGGTAGTGCTCTGTTATGGCAAATGACAGTTTTAACAAATGAAAAACTAAAGCGTACTTTCGAGAGAGTGTACGGTCCATTCAAGACCCAGCTCGCGGCGCCACTTCCCCCCGGCTCCTAGAATCGACCGAAATTTGTCAGCCTTTGTTTGACGCCGTTGCCATCAAAACTAGTCTTCAAAAAATAGGATTAAGACACAATCATACAATAATCGTAAAGTTGTGCTCTTCGCCTGGGAACCATTCCTTTAGAAAGCTCAGAATTATATCACTTGTAGCATATCTGGAGCCAATTGTTTGAGGTTGTGACATTTTTGGGGATAATTTGCAGCCACAGCCGCTAGGATCTGGCCTTTTGCGGTTACAAAATCGCTTATCAAGGATCTAAGTTTGAAATCGTTCTCCTAGCTAGGTCGAAGCGCCGTCGCGGGTCTGTTGAAACCAGTAGTGTATGTGCAGAACCAAGCTTTGGCATTTTGAAACCTACCTGAGGTCTAAGATAGGCCTTTATATAATGGTCCGCCTTTGATTTAGCCAACCGGGAGAAGGATCTCTGCATAGTAGATAATGCATAAGACAAATTAGACAAACATTTAGGATTTCATAACACTAGAGGTATATTTTGCAAACTTCACAGCCGTGTGTATATAGGAGCCCTCCACATGCTGGATTATGGCTGATTTTTGATAGTCTTGAATGCGAGAAGACCAAGCTTTGAAATCAGGCGCCCTCTCTTCTAGCTACATCTATTAAAATGTGGACGCATATAGGTTATCTAGCGGGGCATCAAAAGAGAATGATCATATATGCATATCAGAATGATGGTTTAAAATACGTAGTTGTATCCGGTCAAACTTAACATCCCCAGTTATGCTCCACTGCACTGACACCTATCTGTCGCAAAGTACTGTACTTTTCGGTTCTTCACAAGAACTACCCAGCATTTCCTTCCATCATTCCTTGATTGCATTACGTCAGGCCACTATCGAGAGTTACCCGTGTAGACGTTTGCCGTCTGCCTTCCGTACCTCCATGGAACCAGGATCATCAGACCTGGAGGCCATCCCGGCCGAACCATCCAACCCTAATGGCCACCCCAACGAAACATCCTCAGTGAGAATCAAGGACCTTAAAAAATGGGATATCATATTTCTTGTTATGAACAAAATGATTGGCGCTGGAATATATTTTGTCCCTGCTCAAGTGTTGGTACTCGTTGGATCAAAATGGGGGGCAATGTCAGTCTGGGTCTTTGGATTTGTTTACACATACATCAGGTACACATTTCTATACCGAGCCCGAGTCAATATGAGCTAGCCACTAACTTTGAGGTATGTGACAACACAGCGCACATGTGCATCTTGAATATGCAGCGAACTGGCCTTACATGGGAGGGGAATTCATATATGTCTGTCATTGGATATCTTTCTCTGCTGGTCTTAATTAAATTAATTTTATTCCTGGGCTACGAAGACTAACATGATACCCTGACACTAACTCTAGCTGATGAAACTTCTCCCTCGTCCGAACCTTGTTTCTTCAACGGCATACGCCTATTTTTTTATTATACTAAATTCTTCAGGAATCAGTGCCCTAATATTCTCAATCTATTGTGTTTCCAACGGGGAAATACAGGCTTCTAATACTTACGCTTATAAACTCGTCGCATTTATCACCGTTCTGCTCATCTACTCGGTTCACTTCCGGTTGAGAAATTTCGGACTTTGGTTGAACAAATACCTAGCCTGGCTGAAGTTCGCCACACTATGCAGTATTATTTTTATTTTAGGTCCCATAGGCGGAGGGATGCCAAGGCGACGGAACGACCCAGATGCTGGTTTCCGCGATTTCGGTCAGTTCCATAACGGCTCTGAGACTACGAGTACGAAATTTGGAAGTTTTGTAATTGCATTGATGCTAGTCTTATATGCCTTCCGCGGGTGGGAAAATGCAAATTATGTTAGTATTGGTATACGCAGACCACACTCTCGAGCACAACCAGTGCTTTATTAATATCATACCTTCCAATGGGAAGTGTAGCTTCTTCCCCAGCTAACCTCTCACCTCGTGGAACCGCAAAACATAGGTAACAGCCGAAATAGACGGAGGTCTCGAAGAAAAGACCAAAAAACTAAAATCAGGGGTTCGTCTTGGCGTCTTTACTGTGGGTGTTCTATATCTTCTTTTCAACACCGTGATTGTAAGTCGCATTATACATAGTATAATATAGGCATTATATCAGCCAGAATTACTAGCCATAGCCATTTTCGTGTGATAAACTCATCCGCTAATGATATTGATTCTTAGTTCTTGGTCCTCGACTATGAAACTATTGCGAAGTACAGCGGATCGCTCTCGGTGTTACAGGGCCTTTTTCAAACAATTCGATACGTGAAGCCGTCATCAGACGGCTTCCTACCAGGAGAGTCTGTTGCAGCTCGAGCGGCTGCGGCATTGATAGCAATATCTTCGTTGGGAAGTACGATCGGGGCGACATACACAAGTGCCAGAGGTATGAATAACAGTTTCGGTTAAGAGATATATGAGCTTTGCAACAAATATGCAAACGTTTCATAGAATGAAATTTCATAATGAATATAGCTAACATAGGAAAAATAGTAAAACGAGAGATCGCACGTCATCAACTCCTGCCATTTAGTTATATTTTCGCAAAAAGTAGCGACATGGGGAAAACTCAGGAGGAAGAGGGGATTCCAACTGGCGGTCTAGTGTTAGATTTTTTAGCGTCGGGAGGGCTTATCATAGCGGCGCCGATCCACAATGGTTCTTCTGAAGGAATAACACTTCTTATTCTCCTTGTGACGTACGGGCAATCAATTTCTGGACGTAAGTTATATTACAATATTTGATTTTATCGCTTTGGGTTAGCTTGAACGGGGCCAGCTCAGACAAATCAGTGCCGAGGACGAGACTATATCAGGACTTGTCTAACGTTTTTCTTGAAATAGTGCTCCTGGGTCTGCCATTTTGGGCCCTACGACGAATGGTGAACTTAATTGATATTAGTCAACAAGATTTGCTATTACCTGATGCAGACGTGAGCGAAAAGATCGCTGATGACTCTCCGGCCTTCTCGTGGAAATATCTTAAGAATACACCCATGCGATATTTCATTTGCACATTTCTATTAGCGTTTGTTAATATGTTGATATTTATCGACCCTTTGGTCAATAAATCAACTAAAATCCTGACTTGGGCTAACACTTCCTCTGGGACGCCAACGGAAGAAGCAATCTGGGTCCCAAGGAGATTCCCGATACAAAACCTCTGCTTTATTGCCATTGGATGTTATGGACTCGGTGTCATTGTCTCTCTCTGCATTTTAGCGTTTGCAACGGAAATAATTTTTTTTTGGGCCGCAAGGACCGTTGGAGAGACACCAAACGTTTATAGACAAGTACCAATACCCAGACCCTTCTGGCCTCCCAGACCCCCTAGAGGTGATGCAAAACCGGCAGAAGCAAATAGAAAGCCCAGAAACCGAAGATCTATTCATGGATGACGCCAATTTTAAACTAGACGGGGATTCAGGATATTTTGTTCCAAAAGAAGACCGGCGATGGATATTCCTTTTTGATGTAAGTGGATTTTCTACTTTTAACTTCCACAGATAGACTATGATTTCAGCCTGCAATTGTAACTTGGCTCATATGGGTGCTGATACACCAATAATCTGATAGCTGGACTTTGGGAGATTCTTTCGTGTAACATGGAGAGAGGAAATCAAGATGATCAAAGTTGTGATTGTCTGTGTATTTCAACGGCGACGGTGGGGAAATGGTTATAAACGTGCAGCCCGGTTTTGGAGGAGGCTTTGGACCCATGGAGAGAGTGCGCTCCCGGGAAGGGTAAAGGAAGCCTTGGAGAAAGCAAAGACAAGGTCTAATATGGCATCTGGGAGTGATTCTGATGCTCCAAAAGACGAAGGAACTCAAATTCGTGTCGCCCCGGTTCCTGCTCCGGTTTTGCCCCATTCGGGATCCATCCCGCTAGACGACCTTCTGATAACGCGCGCCTGACTGCGCCAGCCCGTACGGCGGTGTAATATAGTTGCATAATTTCACGAGCTTTGACCTCTAAAGTTACCTAAAGCTCTGGAGGTGAAGCGTTCATTATTTGAAATAGAGGCGGTTTGAAACGCAGGATGTTCCATATTGGGTACTTAGTTAATCGAAGGGGTAGATTGGCATATTGCTTGTGCTCCAGGAGTGTCTGAAATAGACTTAGTCAATTGATCAAGGATTAATGCAGCTGACTTCGATCAATTGACCACAATATGGTGTCGAGCCGAAAAAACTTCAGGCTGACCCTAAACATAAGAGTTCGGGAAGATCGATCCGGAGGGACAGGTGAAATTTAGTCTAGTACAACACAAGCCTAGCTAATAGTCTGCCTAAAGTATAAAGAGTGTCTCCTACGTGTATGTTTGCATGCGCACCTAATTATAAAGCGGCCTATAGACTCTTCCTATGAACTTGCCTACAATGCAAAGCAGGTTTATTTATTTCCTGGATTTATTATTGCAGGGCCTGCAAAGAAGATAATTTCAACCAGTCCCGCGTGCGCATGTATATACATATGCCTATGGAAGCCGCGGCGAGCAGCTAGGTTTCAAAGCCCGGGCTGCAAACAGCATGCAGCAATAGTCGAACAATACTTGTAGGCAAAATAATAAAAGTTGCGATGCGGCCGATAGTTTGCGCTTCCATCCGCGTCTAGTCTCGAGATTAGGACTTTATGACGAAATTGTAGCCTCGAGAAATTGGTACTGCCAGACTAGATGCCCATTCAATTGATGCGTATAACTGGCTTCGTGTAACCAGAACGTAGTCTCGGAGCCACCAGAACGTATGAATAACAACACACCAAATACCACAACCTTCTCCCAAATTAGGCCGAAGATCTTGGCGCAATCATGCCAAAAATAGTAATCCTTCCGAGCTCCCACATCGTTGAAATCCGCAAAATGTGTTGGTCCCGTGCTCACGAGGAGGCGAATATTCAAAGACAAAAAAGAAGGAGTCACCAAACTAAAGCTCACTAGCTTAGCTTCGTATATAAACCTAAGCTCTGGGTCATCGATCGCGTTCTTTCCATAAACAATCATACTCTCACCTTTTTTGTCATTTTTTACGGCCCTTCATGCTTATTTTGATTGCGTCGTCTATATCGCGATAATGATCTCCTCACCTCCTCCAAACGATATTTCGAAATGCTCACCGTATACGTATGCAGTTGCATCACAACCGCCGCCAACACTCTCGGCTAAACTAACCTCGACGATTGTTCCGCCGGCTAAAATTGTGAGAACTTCAAATTTAACAACAGTCCCGCAGGAGATTCTACTACACATCACAAAGCAACTGTGTATTCTTGACGTCTTTATTCTTCGGCAAGTTTGTCGGTCATTATATTCTCGTCTTTCCGGGGCGGATAATCAACCGCTTTATTATTACTTTTTGACGAGCCCCTCTGCCTCTTCCTCTTCGTCGTCCACAGCAAAGACTGGAGTTAAGAAGAAGAGAAGATTTCCATATTTCAATAAAAGGATAGACTATTTCAACTTCACAAAGGATATTTTATCCGGGAAAACCGAGGGTTGTGGATTATGTTTAGCTGAGGTCAAAAACGGTGGGTTCTTGGCGTATAAAGGACAAGTTCTTTTTAAAAGAGTCTGCGGGGTCTGTGCTCGGGGTTATTTCACAGGTACTCACTTATATACCGCCGAAGATAACATATAAATCTTATAGAGAATGCTTGCTAATAAGCATAAATTACAGAACTATGGCGCCTAGAACAAACCCACCCAAGCGTCAAAATCCCGCCATACCAAAGAATAACATTCTCCTCATCAACCAATTCCCACCCTTTCAACGACCCCCACCCGCACGCCCGATGGATGGGTAGCCTCCCAAGAGATTGCATTTTAAACAGTGATCTTAAATCCATAATATCATCCTCGCAACCTCTTTCATCACCATCAAAGAAGAACATAGGAAAACAAGCCTACCACTCTCGATACGACAAGCAAATTCATTTCGCCCAGCAAAAGAAATCAGCAGCAGACATAGTAATTGGAATTCTCTCGACTCACTATTCAAACTCTTACCAAAGGTTACATTGGCTTAAATCTCCGCATGCTTTCGAAGAATACCTTTACAATTCTTTATTATGGAATTTAAGACCTTGGCTTGCACCGCATTATAATAAAGAAAAGGGTCTACCGAAATTTACGCTGGGTGATAGGATTGAAGAGTTATTGGATACGTATACCGAAAGCGAGGATTTATCTGAAGATCTACGGTTAAAGGGTCTTGAATCCGGTTGTGTGGCCGTATTATCTCAGGAATTGAGGGTTCCGAAGAAAGGGAGAGATATTAGAAAGCCGGGGAAGTTGGCGCCTTTGATAAGGTATTGGATTGTGGAGTGGTTAGAGGAGAGAAATTGGAAAGGGGTGCCGAAAGATACAGAAAAAAACCTGAGGAACTCGCCTAGAATTTGTCCGTTTTGTGAGGTGCAAGAGGGAAGAGGGAAAGTTGGGTGTACGATGGCGTTGACAGTACATGTTTGGTGTAGGCATGAAGAGATGTTGGAGGAGCAGTGGAGGTGGATTAGCGTTTGAAGTTTGGGAGGCAGCATATCTCTACATCCCTGAAATTTAGACCCGCAAAGGGTTCTATTTGTACATACTTAGAAGATCAAAATAATAGCTAGCGAATACATGACACCACGATAATAGATGCATTTAAAATTTGAAGTCACACGTTTCTTGAGACTGGAAGTCAAGAGTGCTAGGATAATTTAGAAGAAACCTTGAAGGAATCCGCTCGGTAAATTCCCTCCTTTATTGAGTTGAATATATCAAACAATAACTATTCTACTATCTAAACTAAATGTCCCAGCGGTTTTCAATGACCCCAGCCTTCCACAGCAGATTCACAAAACCAAAGCTTAACAGCGTCAAAACAACCACGCAAATATATCCTGAAAGAGTCCAAAACAAACTCCACCCCAAAATCCAAAGACAGTAAAGAATGAAATCAAAAAGAAACTCCCCTAAAGGACTAAAGTCCAAACCGAAACACTCCGGGAGCAGCAGGTTCCCTCCAACCCTCCGGATTAAAAAACACCAAAACCACAGAAAAGAACAAAAACCCACAGACTGCAAAAGCAATAAAAAACTCATTATCGAGTATTCCACCACTTTTATTGTTAAGATTATGTGCAGCTGTAGCTATGATTGTACTTGTAACACTACTTGTGTTAGTCAACGCGTTAGTGGTGGAGGATGCCAATGCTTCCGCGGATCTAAAGAATAGAGAGGCGATGTAAGAGATGATGACATGTTTTAACTCTGGAAAGAAATAGAGAAGGAAAATTGAGGTTAGAAGGGGAACAAAGGCCCCACTTATGAACTCAACGGCAGAAGCTGGTATCTTGACGGTGTGAAAAGCATTTAACGGGAAAAACCTTTGTGCAAAAACAAAAGGTACGCTACAAATCCAATTTATTGCGAAACCCATTTTTGATTACTAGTTTCTAGTTCTAGATCTCCTTAACCAGATTAGTAGCCTTAGTAAGTAATAAGCCTTAAGGATTCGGAGTATTAGGGGGAGTGGCGGGAGGATTTGGGTTCGGACGTGGTTGAGTAGGTGGTGGACGAGGTTTTCCTGGGGTTTCGGTTTCTGATTCTGTGACTTCTGATTCTGTGACTTCTGATTCCTCTTCAACTTCAGTTTCCGATCCTGAATGCGAATTTTCTGCGAGTCTCGCTAGTGATTCTTCGGTGTGTGGATATCGAAGACGAATACACGGGCATGGGCGAAAGTAGAAAACTTCTCCGTTTTTAAAACCTTTTGCTGGCATCTTTCGAAAGAGAATCTTAATCGTTCTAGAATGTAGGATGTGTAAGTGGTTTGATTTAGGACGTTTCAATTTTGGTTAATGTTTGAATGAGATGAGAATAGTGACGAAAGAGTGTCAGTGGGAGTAGAGTGGAGTTTATATAGTTAAGGATACGGGCTCTTTAGATCTGCATAGCATAGCAAAGAATTAAAGCTTGAGGTTGTGGGATAAAATTAACGTGAGCTCGGGGGTGCCGGTGTCAGGTTCAGTAGCCTGTGTCCGAGTTTGGATTAGTATTTAGTACATAGATATAAGTTCAAGTTTGGCGTATGGGATAGTGTAGGTTCATAGAGATCTTGCACAAAATTTGAACCAATGGGCGGATTCATGATCTACGTGCACGGGATTGGACATTCGGAATATCGAGAAATAATTTCGGATCGAAGGGGAGCATGGTCCAGACTTCAAACTCGGGATTAATAACTTCAAAGTTATATATCAAGAGCATATCGTACTTAAGTAGTTATACCACCCGTTTATAGAAACAAAAAGAGCGCAATGGCACATATGTAGAGTCTGTCTCTGATTCATATTAGTAAGTGGATTCGAGGCTAATTAGTAAGGTAGTGTAAAGACTAGCACACATGTATGTAATCCTAAATCCGGTGCTCTGTTATGTATGTATATATGTATGTACATGCGTGGTATTAAACCCACCCCGAGTTCGTGAAGCAAACTATCTTGCAATCGCCCCTAAAAACGCCACATGGTGCTATCCATAAACAGCTGCGGGTAATAATCTAAATACAAGAAAGAAAGTAATTAAGCGTATGCCACAAAACACCCTGCCCAGGCGCCCCATAAAACCTTAAACAGGTACTTGAACGCCGATAATGTAATGCACTATAATACAAGCAAATTTAATCAGTTTGTTCAAAGATGATGGGATGGTTATCAGTCCCTGTTTGGTCCGAAATAGTAAGTTGTCCGACTCCGTTGGTCACAATGTCATCTTCCTCACCCTCGGCGTCGGCATCGTCGGCATCCGTGTCGATGTCAACGCCTAGATTGGATTCGAACAAGAATCTAATATCTTCAATTGATTCTCCATCGAACCCGCTTTTTTGCGTTTCGTTCTCCAGCGTACCTTTTTTCTTCTCCCTTGCAAGCTTTCTTTTGATAATTTTCGTCTCCTCAACTTTATTCTCCTCAACTTTCTTCTCCATAATCGCTTGAACCTTCTTCAAATTGGGCACTTCGGGCCAATTCTCTAACATCCTCTTAGAATGCTCAGATAACATGTGGCAAACAAGTAAGATCGGCGAATATGTTTGCGTGACAAGGTCGCCCTCCTCTTCTGCTTTCAAAACGCAATATCCACACCTTCTCTTCGGTTTATCATCCACACAGTTCTTACCATTCAAGTCTAGGATACTACCCTTTCTTACTTCCTTCATCTTAGCGATCCAGAACCTTTTGGCAATGAATGCTAAAAATCTTGTGGTTGGTACTGCCATCTTGAATTCGACAGCTTTGGTGGTATTGGGCACTCCAAAGAACATTGACAAAAACTTCTTACAGGCCTCAATCCTCTCTTCTTCTCTTTTTTCTTCATCTTCTATCTCCTTAGAGGCTAGATATTTCCCCGCAACACCAAACACGGCGTCGATCAGGTCGTTCTGAACACAGCTATCCGCATTCATTTTGAATTTCTTGATGTCAAAAGACTTCTTCATTTCCATCCCGAGCTCCTTAGGACTGCATAGGATATGAAGGTGCTGATACCATTTTTTGTAGAGTATCATTATGTTTCTGATGACATAAGGCTTTGCTTCTCGAATATCCGGTTCAGCGTGCCAAGAGATGTTGAGAGGAGTATACCCTCCATTTGGGCATTGCTCTTTTATCGCCTCGGCAATAGCGGTGCGAGACACAAAGAACCCAGGCTTTGGAGTGCTGGAAGGGTTTAGATAGATTGTTGTTAACAGGGTCTCCGGGATCGAGGGAAGGGGAGTTCGTAGGTTGATTATTGCAGTCGCTGTTTCTCACCAATTAGAATTTTTACATGATAAGAAAGAGGAGAGAGAGAGAGATAAAAAGAGAGGAGGACATACATTCATAAACCTGCTTGGCACATTCCCAGCACCAAGTACCACCATAAACTCCAGCAACATAAATATCCACCAACTGTACTCCTTTCTCCTCATTCTTCCCTCCTCCCCCACCACCAACTACCCCCGGAGCTCCAGTACCGCCGCCGACAACCCCATCATCAACCAATAAACACCTCTGACAAGCCTTCTCCCCGGATCGATTACACATAATCGCCAAACATCTCTGGTAATAATCCACATTATTGGAAAATCGCGGAACAAGTGGACAACTTAGATTACAAGGAATATCCGCGAGTCGACGATATAGTATCTTGTACCAGAGAAGGCAATTGGTCGGTCCCAGAGAGGAATAGAGTCGTCGAGATGTCCAGGCGAGGTTGACGATTAGGGATGGGAGGGTCAAGTAGCTTGCTATTTGTGTGTGCAGCTCAGAAGGAAGTCGTTCGATTGGTGCGACTCGATGTTCAGATTCTGTTGATGACGGTGGCGATGAAAAAGAAGAAGAAAACGATGATGATGATGATGATGCCGACGATGAAGACGATGAAGTAGTTATGATTATAGTTGTCTTAATTGTGCTGATTGTTTCGTCTTCGATTGGAGTTAGAACGTCGCCTAATCTGGAGCCTGTGGCGGATTTATTGAGCGAGATGTTGAAGGTAAACGGTCCTTCGGGGAACGCCAGGCTGAACCTGTTGACCTGAGGACAAAGTTCCATGTCCATCGCCATGGTGATTGGTTTGGTATGTATTCGTGGAGCCTTTTTATCAAGCTCTAGCAAGCTCGATGGAGATTTAGGAAAGTGGGAGAGCGGTCTGCTGGTTTGGTGATTGAGCGGTTAAGAAGGTTGTTAATTGATGGTAAGCTAGGTGGGTTGAGACGAAGTTGTGGTGTCAACGATGGGTGAGGTGAAAGCGGAAGGGTGAAGAAGAGACGCGACGTTGAAAGAAAGAAAGAAAGAAAGAAAGAAAGGATCCAGAAATAAATAAAATAACGATATGCCACAGCGACCGTCCTGACCCACCCATACAGTCTGTGGTCAGTATCCACAAGGCAGCATACGTTAACGTTTACCGCAGAGTAGTTAGGGGCGATGAGTGAGTGATGCGGGGTGACTAAGCTAAGCTGGCAACCGACCTGACCGACCGACCGAACTAAGCCAAACCAGGTCAGGCCCCACGCTGCACCAGATCCCCTAGACTAGCACCAGATACCCACTAGCTATTCTCGGAATCCCTGCCAATATTCTGTCGACTCATTCGCATGGAATTCGCTGAGTCGATACTGATACCAAACTAATTCAATGAGGACAGGGAGAGAAGTGGAGCCTCGTCATCTGCCTCACGAGCTCCTGTGACTACGCGCGACAATATATTTGGAATTACACTCCTTTTCTGTCGTCGCGTGTGTGAGTGACTTAATATTGGATCTATTGAGAGAAAATATGCCAAGTTCTCGATTCATTGGAGGATCCGGTGAGACGGCAATATCCAACACAGTCAACACAGTTTGGTCTCTTTGTTTGTTTGTTTGTTTGTCCAGAAACAACACATTACTAGTAGGAATGGCTTTGTGTGACAGTGACATCATTGGATGGTTTTCCAACAAACCACAACACAAAGAATGCAAACACTCTTGCCCTCGATGTGTTGTCAGAACTGCCTCCAGACCAGTAACACTAGTGCGAGTGCTCGGACCAGGTCGAGTTACATATACATCCAGAACTCAAGAGATTAAAATTACAGCAGTGGCATTCGATAGATATATCATATATCTGATAACTGATAATCTCAGAATATCTACCGTAATCGAGTAGTTAGTGAGAATGGCCAAACTCGGAGCTTTAAAAGCAAATTTCATTAATTGATAAGGACGAGAAGATATAACAATTATTCATATCTTTTAGACTCACCTGTGCCTCTCAAAATCAATACTAACTACACTACTCCTCCTCCTTCTAAGCCCCATTAGCAATTCCATTTCCTCACCCGGCTCAGACTCAGACGTATCTTCATCTTCCTCTTCCTCTGCTTCTTCTTCTGCATCTTGATCTTCCTGCAAGATCCTGAGACCATCCCCTAATTCACTACCACGCTCCTCACAACCTTCCTCGCACCGATACCCGTATCCAAAATATTCATTCCTCTCCTTCTTCTTCGAATCCTTTCTCCAAGAGGTTCTGAAAGGGTCTCAAAAGACCCCTTTCCCCCAAATCCAAAGCCTCCAAAACGCCATCAATCCAAAATGCTCTACCCCTCCAACCCCCCACAACGGCCGTTCCAAATGCCATTCAAACCCCGCCACCCAAAATGAAAAATAAAAATACCCCCACCGATAAAGAAAACTATAAAACCCCATCACCATCCCGCAAAACCAAGCTTTTTGGAATAGACTCCAGTCTTCCATATCGATTGTGTATAGTAGTGTCGATGTCATGTAGATTGTTGTAGATAGGATGGTCGACGATAGGTGGATTATATCGATCTCTCGCAGTTCGTGGTGAGAGTTGTACGGAGCACTGAAATAAGCATTTGTGGGTTGTCGGGGAATTCGAGGGAGGGTGAGAGTTGATAAGGCGTAGAAAGGTCCGTCTGTTGGTAAGGGTAGACAGATGTAGCGGCGGTCGGTAAGGCGACGTTTGTGGGGATCGCATGCAGGTATGTTGCTCCTTCCATTGTTTTACTCTTATCTCTATGATCTCCAGGGTTTGTTAGATGGGATTCTATGCGGGGTTTACTGTGGGGGACTTGCTTGGGGATTTTACTTGATAGTTGCTGTGGAGAGAGAGATAGCTTGGTGATGGTGTGGTGGGCGGTGATGTTCTTGATGATGGGGAAGGTGGGTTGGTTGTCAAGGTAGTTGTTGGTTTAGCTAGAAGTAGTACCTCTTATTTAGTACTTCAGAAGTAATTACTTAAGTAGGTTATGAAGACATCCAAAAATACCATTCTATGCCTGATATTATATTATACTACATTCCAAAATTCAATTTCGTGTTCAATTATCTCCATTGCTCATCATGGTAGCTATACTACACTATCGTACAAGTGTAATCTAATTTACATGATGACAGCCTGCATAATCATCGCCGTCTGGGAACGAGACTACACGTTATACACCGCCCCCTCCCCCCAACAACATCACAATAATCCTTCGAACAAAATAATTAAACGTTCAAATAAGGGAAACTTAATTCCCAGAATCATTCTCATCGTCGCTCCCCTCCTCTTCGTCCTCGAAATCACCCCCCCGAGAGTCAAACTCGAGGATAGTATCCTCCAGACGCCGAGAATTCTCCAAATCCTCGGAATATGCGATAATCCTCACCTGACTATCTGGGCGAATCGTCACCAGTTGCTTGAAGGACAACTCCCCATACATCTTGCTCAACTGGTCCTGTAGGTTCGATTGCAAATTGATCATGAACCCTTTGTAATCCCTCCCCCCAGCAGAAGCCTCGTGCATCATGCACATTGTGTTCCAAAAACAATTGAAAACACTGACCTCGCTGAGGGCGTGGATATCATCTTGCAAGGCAGTGTTCTTTCTGCCATTCGTCAGGACCGACTTGAACTTTCGGATAAGTCCCTCGGCGACTTGTTCGCCGTGGACCACCTTGAGTTGGATGTTTGCACCGGGCATCTTAGATACCACGGTAACGATGACGTCCGCCGCAGCTCGGATATAGTGATTCATCGCACGGGCGAAGGACCCGTCGATGATCAAGAGGTTTTCATCGTCATACCTCTTTCTTGGACGATCGACCTTCATGTCGATCACGTCGAAGATTGCCAATGGCACTGTAAACGCCCCTGCGTTATCAAAGAAAGAGCCGTCGAATTTGTACCCTTCCTTAAATGGAACCCCCTTAGGGGGTGTCCGTGGTGGCAATTTTTGGTGAGGTGGCATGGCAAATTCGTACGGTTTCTCTTCGATAGGCGGCGCTTTCATGGTAATCTTACCATCGATTCCCACCGTAAAATCATTGGGTACTCCATCGAGTATTCTTCCCTCCGGATTGCGGAAGCGCCACATAACTGCTGATTTGAACGGGTCAAAGCTATTACAGTAGAAAGTCAAGCGAACGGCCCCTTCTTGGACATCGAAATTGTTTGCTGGGTTTTGTCGCGATTGATCGAATCCCTTGCGCCAATATTTCTTGCGAGTGGCGATCCCTTCGCGAAGAAGCCGGCGAAAGATAAGTTTTCTCGTATCTTCATCTTCATATTCGAAAAAGATGCCTAGGTACCTTTTGACCTCAACCACAATATCCTTTGAAAACTTATCCGAAATGCTGCGTCTATACTTGTATTCTTGGCTGATGGTCGATAAAAGACTCAGTAAATCCCCAAAGTCGCCACTTCTCTCGTTCCATGCTCTGATTTGCCCTTCCTTGCTAAGCATGGTTTTATTCATTGTCATTTCCCATGCGTATGGCATGTGCAGAACTCCAGATTGGAGAGGGGTATGTGAATCATCCGCCCAGGCCTTCCATTTGCTTGTTGCTTCGGCCGCCAGCTCTTTTGCTACAGCGGATAATTTAATGCTATCCATAAGTTTGTCGTCAGCAACTTTTGAACCCGAATGTTCAATGTCGAAGACAAAGCGATAGTTGATGTAGATATTGGTTTCATAGGTGAGCGGTTTAGGTTCGAACGGTTCACTAGTCGCCTTTTCTTCTTCCTCGAAATAATTTGTATTCTCAGAGGCTTGGGGAGGAGGGTGCTTATTATCCATATCTTTATCTTCCTCTTGGTTTATTTGATACAAATTCTTCTTTTCTCTTGCGTATTCTTCATCTTCTTGTGTGGAAGCCCTGGGGTTAATTCTCAGGCTTGACATACCCTCCTCGAGCTCCTCAGAACTCGGCGACTCAAGTTGGACTTTAGCTGATTTTCCATCTGTCATACCTTTCTATGGCATAACGCGGTCTAGAAAACCAGACGGTAAGAAACTCGTTGAGGAGGGCGTGATGAAGGATGGACCATCGATATTACTTTCATCAGTAGTGCTAGGCAAAGGAGTAGAGAGCATCGATCCGGAAGCCGGCGTATTCATAAGCGAGGGGGTATTCTTGCTCTTGTCTGGCCGAGGAAGGTTACCGAAGTTTGAGTTGAGAAATTGTTCGGACCTGCTGCTATTCTTCGGGCCAGGGATCATCGAAGGGGTTAACTCTCTCTGTCCAAGTCTACTTTGAGTACGTAAACCAATATCAGGAGTCTTCGGCGGTGGTTTTTGGCCTAGATCAACTGTCTCCTTCACCTCGGTTAAGAGATTGTCGGGTTGGTTTCTAGGGAGTAGAAGTGCTCTGTCGACCTTCGAATGCAGAAGGTCTTGTTGTCTGCTTAGAGGCCGTCCTTGTCTGGTTGGTGGGCGACTGAGTCCTCTACGACCTCGAAGGCCTCTGCTTTTTGTTGGAGAATATTGTTCGTTTGTTGGCATTCTGTCTCCAGAACCTCCTTCGCCTCGGGCATGTGAAGGTATTTGAGCCCTAGATGAAGGGGTCCCACGGGACTTTTCATCATTTTTACCAACCATCATAAAGTTTTCACAAGATTTTAGAACTGAATATCGTGTTTCTGGAGAAAAAAGCTTTTGGAGATCTATTAGTTTTTACCTTATATGGCATTTACAACGAGAGGCAACTCACGAAATCGAGTTTAATAGCTCTATCAATGATGTCTAATTGGGCTGTAAATACGGCGTAGTTGATCTGGAAAGGCTTGAATAGCGCGTATCGAACGGAGCGTCTTCCACGACGAGGTGGTATTAGAGGAGCAATAGTTCGTGAAGAAGTTCTCCACCAGACATTCGACGGTGGTAAAGTGATGATAGTTGAAACACGACGATGTCGATGGCGATGATGACGATAACGACGAAAGAAGGTTGTTGCAGGGTGATGGGAGTATTCAAAAGTCGTTGGATCGGGAGGAAAGGATTTCTGGACCCTGATTACTCTCTTCCCGGGTGTGACGGTGACAAGTGCTGGGAAATGAAAGGCCGTTGAGTAACGTTTGGAAGCTAGGCGTTTGATGGAGATAGTATATCTTGGACCGAGAGCTAGCGGCTGGAGGGGGAATGATGTTGAAGGCTCCATGATTATGGTAATAAAACTCTGATGATAGTACCGAAGCCGCGATGGCGCCGAGGCAATGACGTGGGAATGACGATGATGACTAGTATGACGGTGATGATGTTTTGGATGAGGTTGCGAGATGAAGAAGAGAGGAAGAGCGGCTGGAAGTGGGTACTGCGTTTTATAGATATCGTGTCAGCCACACTTCCAACCTCAGATCTAGTCAATACCACCATTTACACACTACCCAATACATCACCACTCTCCTTTTAGACTGCATTTATCCAAATAGTAACGAAGTAGTAGAACTTCGATACCCCAGTGTCTCAAGCTGCTCAAGAGTACATCAGTAGGTCATATCCTTATTGCCTTGGTTCTGGATATGATAGATAATGCGGGCTGATATTCCGTCTGATATCTCATTATAACGGGAAACCTCCCTCCTTACCTATCAAACATTATTATTTTTCTTGATTCAAGCGTCGCCTTAATCTTATAAGTATACTCTTTATTGTTTAAAAAAAAAGGAAAAGCTAACCAGGGATTCTAATAGTCAGGATGAACAGAATCGGCCTCTCTGAAGGCCAAAGAATGCTCAAAGCCTGTCGAGCTGCTCTTCCAAAACCAGACCCAGACGAAACCCCCATTCTCAGCCGTCCAAAAGACCCTTACCTCGTCCTTCTCTTCGGGGTAAACTACGATACAAGTCTGGTATACGTTAAAATTGCTCCTAGAGCTCTTGCTCTCGAGCTTCTGAGTAGCAAAAGCCCAATCTTAGGCACTCTAGAAAAAAGACAGCGGCAAAATGAGTTCTTTACTCCCGAGGACCAACTAAATCCAGGGGATTCTCATCTGGCTAGGAAGGTATTTCCGGTTAGTTGGGATGACTTTTTGATATTACATAAACGGCTTGGTGTAACGAGATATACTGGGCCATTGGAGTTCGAGTGGAATGGACTTTATGATCATCGTGATCCCGATATTCAAACGCTAGATGACGAAACGAGCGAATCTGTCAGACTGGGATCAGAGAGAATATCAATGACCACATCAAGTACAAAGATAGTTAAGGCGATTGAAGCTGGCGTTGCAAATGGGAATCGTCTAATCGAACCCGCTAAAGAGTCATCCAATGAACCCGATGTTGAAGCCAATCGATATCGCGATGGGGGTATCGGCAGAGACCAAGACTATAACGCCAACTACGACGACGGCTCCTCAAGCGACTCCGATTACGAATATAAGACTTGGGAAGACCCCCTTACATATCCCGAAGACCCTTACTTCTTTCACTATCGTCCAAACCGTCGTCGCATCCGCGGTCCCAAGCCCGTTCCCATCCCATATGGCATCCACAATCCTGCTCCTCAAATCGAAGAGACGTTTCCCTTGCACTTTCAAAAACTTATTGACGGCCTTGACTCTGAAATCCGAACCCATCTCTCTAAAATTGACTGGTCAATCGACAATCCTCTAAAGTTTCCAGATCGAAAAACGGCAGACCCTTGGAATGTCGCCATACATGACTTTCACGCCAAAAGATTACAAATATGGAGCAAAAGAACGAAGCCAAATATCTTTACCAGTCGTCCAACCTTCATCGCTCTAAACTTCGGATCCAAATTCGACCGTTACGATCCCCGTCTTTGGGTGCTTGAAGACGACGCTCCAGAACCCGGCGATGACCCATTCGAGTTTGCACAAATCGGACAAAACTCACTACAATACATGTTAGATATTATTCGTATTCAATGGAACAACCTTGACCCGATAGATATCTACTACATGAACGATCCCATCCTCACCAACTCATCTAATTCCTCAGACTCCTCAACCTCTCCTCAACCTCCAAAACAACCTCGTCTCAAAACCCCTATCCAACATACATTCGACCATATGGGCCCTCCACGCCGTGCTGTTCTAACACTAGGTCTCAGACTTTTCATGGAAGACCTCAATATTGAAAAACTGGAACCCGACTTCAGCGAACTAACCAAATACGCAATCTTCAAATACATCACTTCCACCCCATCGGACGACATACAGATGCGTGAATCCTTGCTAGTTCTCTGGGAACTCACAAAAGTCATCACATGCTTTACAGGTGAACAACCGGGTCGATCAGACGAAAAATGCACTTGCTAGGCTCGAGAGCAAATTCGTGAAAGGATGGTATATCATCAAATCGACCCATTCTATACGTCACTTATGACACAAAAATGCATTGACGACTACTCCACAGTGGATTTGATCATTGATAATCAAAAAACCATTTTTAATCCGAAGAAATATTCCTACGAACCACCACGACAAGTCGATGATATCCACGTCCAATCCGTTCACCAGGGTAAAGACAGCCGTCTACGCCAAACCTATGGCACAACACAATCAATCAAAATCCCATCATGGCTTTATCAAAAACACGAAATAATCCCAGACTTAATCCGCGAACTCCAATTTTGTTACACTATTATGCCTTGTCATGGCACACTGGAAGATCATGTCAACCTCTTCTTGAAAGCGATTTGGGGGCCAAGTACTATTGTCCCCGGTACCAAAGAGCATGAATCCTTTAACACCATCAGACAACTTGTTACGAGGTATATACGGGGCCGAGATTGTGACCACACAGGACTCGAAATGAAATTGATGAAGTTGATATTACACTGTGATATGATTATTAGAAACGAAAGGAGGAAGTGGAGAGCAGAGAACAAGGATGCTGTGATGTGGAGTATTTGTGAAGATGGAGGGACATCTTATGTTAGTGACCAAGCTTCAAAACTGCTGAATCCTAACAAAAGGATGGAATCGAGGAACAGAGATGCGGACGAGGTTCTCTATAGACTCGGATGGGAGAAAAACCCTGGGAATTGGGGATCAGTGAGATACAAGGCCCATGAACCTTTGCACACGCAGGTTTTGAGGTTGATGTCGGAGCAGTATGGCGAGAAGGGTGGAAAGGAAGCAACGAACGGAAATAAAGGTGAATTTGTACAGAAGGAGAAGGAGAAAGAAAATACGGAAGTAATGAAGAGAGTTCAGACTGTTTTTGAAGTTAAACTGCTTCATGGTGCAGATAAGGTGGGGGACGGGGAAGAGGAAAATAAAGCTAAGAAGGAGGGCAAAGGGAAGTCGGTTACCAGAAGGATTGGCGTGGGGATTCTGAGGTTCATGAAGATTAAGAAGTAAGGCGTCTGGACTGTGTTTTGATTCAAAGTCGTGGTACTGAAACATGTCTGTATCTTCACGGGGAGAGGCAGAGATATCGATATACAGGGTTGAATCAAAAGATATTTCGCATGAAGAGTCGCTAGATCGAGGATTATAAGACACTTTATGTTATTTTCGCAAACTTGATATAATAATCCATAGTGCAATTAAAAGGTATCGAAATGAACACAAGACTAATCGAAATGTTGGTTTTAACTTCGGACTACTAATAAGATAAAGTGGAAACATCGACTTTTCGATAGGCGTTGTCTATCATATTATGAGCTACCATCCTAGACGTTCTGATTGCGTCGGAGTGCACTAAAGCTGTCGATCGGCTGGTTCCGAAAGGGTGCTATCAAATCTTTTGGCGATAACTAACTACTCCGTACATGGTAAATACTCGTTGACGGAGACATCCCTTAACTAAGCTTCGTTGGTCTCGATCCCACCGATTGCCCAAAGAGCAAATTAAAGGTGCCGGCCGGCATGGATCTAGGATCAAAATGTAGGACAAAGTGTATGAGTGGGCCTGGGGAAATTGAAAAGACTCATACATATTGTTAAGCGACTCCTAGCTCGAGCTCCCAAGCACTCGAGACACATGGGGGCCTAAGTTCAAAAGGATTCCGGACCTGACCCTTGGTCACACGCGGCGACACCTTATAAAAGAGATCCTTCTTTCTTCTCGTGTTTTAAGGATTTCAACAACTCTCCTTCTCAGCGTGGAGAAGCTCCAGTTCTCGTCTTTATTCCTAGCTTTTAATTTGGAGACACGCAATCGCGATCTTGATCCTTTGAGTCATTGGACTTTGGAGTTAACCGAACGGCCGAACAGACGACCAGGTGACCGAGCCGACCGAGCCGAACTAGTTGATCCTGGCCGAGGCGGACGAAACCGAGCCGAAGTGGTTGATTCTTGGCGGACGAGGTGGGTTTGTTGCATTTTGTGACGCCAACGCGAAAACTGACGAGATTAACAAGAATCTATCGTATCGTATCGAATTAGCCTCGAGACATCGAATACAGGCTTCACGGATCCCAATTAATTTCCACGAACCTCGAAGAGAACGCATATAAGTCAGCGGAACGAAGCGGATAGTTAACAGACGACAACCAGGAGTCTACCCAGAATCACAGGAGAAAGAGAGGAAAGGAGGAGAAAGGAGAAGAAGAGAACAAAATGAACATAATCCTGTCCATCCTATCCATCCTCCCTCCAATCGCCACCCTCTTCTACTACGCCATCGCCGCCATCCTCTCTTTCTTTGCCCTCCTCTTTGTGCTCCTCTTTATCTTCATCAATACGCCCGGTGAATTCGTTCACCCATACTACGAATCATCATCAAGCTTTGGAAACGACCACGCCATGATTAGGGGTTACCCTGGTCGTCGAAGAATGGTGATGCCACCGATGAGAGCCAGAGGAGGATTGGGTTATATTAAAAGAACCAGAGGCAGGCCGTTTTTCGTACATTAGGAATTAAAACTCGATTCTGGAACAGGGACGAGGGTGTATAGATGGGATGGTAATACGGGAGGGTATAAAGCGATTGATGGAAGAGGCTGAGAATAAGGGATAAGGCTTATGGCTTCGAGGTGGGATCCGGAATTGGAGAGACCTGTCAATTGCAAGGGGAAGATTGAGTAGTAGCTAGGCAGAGGGGTGTCAATGTCGGTTGTTCTCTGAACTGCTTTTGAATGGTGTTTTTGGTGTGGCTTGTTTCATCCGGTGTGCTGGCGTTTTTATTGTGGCGCATGCTCCTTTTATATGTGGCGTATGATTTATGCGCTCAGTACTTAAATTGTCATTGAAGGTATCTCGAGAACAATATATTACCAGTAGGGAATACAATGCATGAAAGCGAGAACATTCACGAAATTATACTCAAAACGTGCAGATTAGCATCTCGCTCTCTATCGACACGTTCGTTTTACATGTACCCACTATTAACCCTATTCCTTCCATCGTTCTATAAGAAGAACTGCTATTCCTACCTATCGTCTCTACATCGATCGTAATCAGCCAGCTACTACGATTCAATCCATCAAGAGTCTCTAAACTTTTAAATTTGATCTCACAATCTAAGGTATAGTTAGATCTCTTCTATCATCTCTCCATCGATCGTTCGCGTTCGCTAACTAAAATACATAACCTCCTCTTCTAGCACTCCTTTCAACCTCAACATCATTCGTTTCATACGAGACACATTTAAGAAAATAACAAAAATGGGCTACTTGATCTGGAACAACAGCATCTCCGTCCTGGTCAAAGAATTCCCCTATCTAAACTACGAAGCCGACCACATCGTCGATCCCATCTATTTCTTCAAATGGGTCTTGCGTATCATCTGGATGTTCATCGTATATCAGGTCATACTCATCGCTATTGTTGCATTTGTTATCAAGACGATTGATGTTGTCAAGACCTTTTTGGAGGTTAACGGGTATTTAAACTTCGTATTGTTGGTCTTTTGGTAATTCTAAGTAACTACCTACTAACTGACTATATGGGTATTTGGTAGATATATTGAGAGCGATCCCGGTGAATGGTTCGGTGCTCCGTCGACTTGGAAGGCTAGGAGAAACATGCACATTGAGGACAATAAAGAGAGTTTGGGAGAGGGACCATTGTTGAGGAGAGTTTTGGGAGTGCATGAGGACTGATCCTGAGAACCAACGGTGATGAATACGTCTGTATCCGTCACTTTTAGTCCATCAGCATAGGTTTCTCAGATGATAATATCAGGTTTTTATTGAAATTTGGCGCAACAGACAAGTATGCTGTCTTGCTAGTCTAAATTTTGTTCAGATGCATCATATTCCCACCCGTGTCAAACGCTTTGGGTCAGGCAAATAGACATCCTCATTCTCTTCAAACAGATATCTTATCTTGTCACATCAAGAAATCTTCCCTTACGGGCTCCTCATCTCTCATCATTCTCATCATATCACACTTTCAGTGGCATATCCAACCAATTCATATAACTACCCTTTTCCTCTTTAAGTCTCTCGTATTTCTTTCCCATTATACCCTTCCTCTCGGTAGCCTCAAGCCTTAGCCATGCAATGTATAACTCTATACATGCGGTATGAAGCTCTTCGTGGATGGACTCAGTACGACTGTCATCGTCACTACTGGGTATGAAACCGTAACGACGGTGGAGGTAGTTACTGTATCTGCCCAGGGGTTTATGAAAGGAAGCTGCTGTTGTGGGGAAGGACAGTAGTCAGGGCATCGATTTCGTCGAGGATTTTGCAGAACACATCGATAGCGTTACTTGGCCATGGGCAGTGGTAGCGGGGATTTTTGTTTCAAATGCCGTTTATATGTTCAGCTGATGCAGCTTAATATGCTTGCCTACATGTATTTGGCGTCAAATTTAACAGCGTCGGTAGGTAGTAATAGGTCTCGAGTCTAGTAATATCAGATCTATAGCTATACAATTTGTGCTAATGTCATAGATTTCGGGATGAAATATTAAGTATCCACTGGAAACTGCTATTAAAGTATATCAGGGTATTTTCCGGCGTATTAACCAGATGAGTTTGGCAAAGTTTATCTTTCTTTGAAGACATGCGAGCGTCCCAGGGATATCCTATGAATTAGTTGAGTGAAACTGTTAAACATGGCTTTGCTCACTTGTTAGATGGGATCCGGAGTTGGAGGTTGCGAGAGAATCATTGTTTCAGGTAAAAATTAGTACTTGCATGAAACCAGCGATCTCTAGACATACGCACTAATATTATTTATAATCTAACTCCTGAAAGACTTGTTACATACAAAGAAGTCACCTTGAAGGAGACTTTTTTCAAGTTTCAGAAATATGTGAGTCCAGCTGTTGAGGTTCATAAAAAGTAAAGAAGCCCATCGAGGCCGTTCGGTAGCTAGCGCTGCCACCACTATAGCTCGTACACGAAGTATGAGAGTAGCTTAAATGAGAAATACATGATTGATATGTATTATTAACTGAGACTTCAGTGGAGTATAGCTGTGATATAGATCCGCGTAATACATAGAAATGTCTACCGTCATACATATATAATAAACGTATACACGAAATCTCTAGAAGGACGATATAGTATATAGTCCCTCAGATTTGTCTCGTCACCAGACTCCTCAACTGTGCCTCAGATCTCAGCTTCATAAAACCTCTTCAACCGATATCTCAAATAAGCCTGCACCGGAACTCCCATTCCTCCCCCTTCTCTTACATTCTGATATACCTGTCCCGCCATTTCAATGGCATCATTCATCGGCCCCGACGCGGCTTTAGATCGCTTTACACCGTCAAAACTCCAGTAGAGGAAAGTTTGGATTTCTTCTTTGAATTCCGTAGTTGTTAGCTGAGAGTATCGGGGTAACTCGAGGATACGATCAATATAGGAGAGAATTGTATAGAAGGCTTTGAGGTGGGTTGTTTGCGGGGTGTCGTCAGAGAACGTGGAGAGATAAGGGGGAGGAGTGAGAGGTGGGGTTGAGGCTCTAGGAAGCGAGGGCGTCATTTTCGATCTGAGCTATTCCCTTTGTGATTTTTGAGAACGAGACTAGTCGGTCCCGCGAAAATGGTGGCGTCAAATTGAGGACGCAAAGATGAGTTTTCAGAAGCTGAAGAGGGTCTGAGTATACAAACTGGGTATCTTCAGGGCCGACGCTTTGATCGTCTCTAGATATGCCTATGACTCGAGGTTTAGACCCAGACTTCACCGCAGCTAGTATACCGTATTTACTTTATAAAATGCCTATATGCAAGCACCTGTTGTGATATTGTTAGAGTAATTTGTTTCATACCCTTTAGGGATATCGTCTGTATATTTTAGTTGGTAAGAATCCTAAACTCGATTTCGAGACGAATTTATAGCAGTCAGGGCTTTCAAACGTGCCCCTTTATTTCATTTCAGTAACCTCCTAGTATTGTATAGAGGAATATTATTGAAGTAGGGAATTATATATAATATCGACCACTAAATCCCTGATCTAGAGAACCTCGATAGAAGGCTCTTTGGTGATAAACTTTGTCTAAAATCGTTGTTAGTGAAGATAGAATTGATAATAAGGTGTCAAGCTTACATATCGGCCATTATAGCGAAGCCATCTCTTGGGTTTAGACCCATTGTGCCTATCTCGAGGAAAGTTGATTTGTGACGTCTGGGAACGAGACCACTGTGGAAATCCATATAGATGGTTTGGAGTAATATCACCAGTTTCACTAGGATCTACTGTGGACTTGGAACCACTAATGCGTTCGGATTACTTCATAATTGATTTCAAGCGTAATTTGACCAAGACTTGGAGGTCTCGGATGGACTAATTCGTCGTCTGCTAACTCTGAGGTTTAGATTGGCGAGATTTTTGGAGATGGAAAAGAAGCCTTACATCTAGTCGTTTATGAGCTTAGACCATTTGAAAATATTACTTGTTCATACTAAAGACCAAGATGTAAAGTTCTGATAGATAAAGCAAGACAGTCAGTGTATCTTTAGAATCTTCATGTGGGCGGTATATATCTAATGTGACTTACAGTTTGATAGAGGGTGGGGTGGTGTAGTATATTCCTGGTAGTGAATCCTGAGTGTGAAACGGGATGATGTTGATGACGTCCAATCCCACTGAAGCAGAGACGACATCATCAAAACATTCCCCCGTCAACCCACCACCGACAACAGCCCTGCATGTCTTCATCACCGTCCTCATCACCACTTACGCCTTTCACTCCATCGCACGGCCAGCCAGCCAAGAGTTTCCCTCGGATACGATCCCTCCATTTCATCCGTCCGTCCATTCGTGTCTTCTTCTCTTCTCTCTTCTCTCTCCTTCATCATGAATGTCGAATTCCAGAATCCATATTATCCGTATGGTGAATATCATCACGACCCCTGCATCACTGGGAATTGCACGTCGGCCGTCACCGTCGTCGTCGTTCATCTCACCACCCTTATCGAGATCCGAAGTAAGTTATCTTCCCTCCATGGGCATATGGTGTTCCTTAGTTTATGAAGATAGCTAGCTAACATGAAGCCCTGCGTCCCAAAATCACCCTAGATAAATACATCGTATTCCTGCTATACTTAACGTGGCACGTCTTCCTTCTTTTCTATCACTTCTACTACTTTGTCTGGGCAAAACCAAAGAGGCCCTGGACCGTCGCCAGAATCAGTAAGGGCACGGCAAAGATCTCCAAAAAGACATACTCAAAAGTCAAAGAGTGGTCTAAAAAGAAGGTCCAGAAGGATCTTTATATCAATCCGAATCAGTTCGAAAGAGACGAAAGTGGTCCACCTCAAGTCAAGTTGAAATGGAGGGAAGCGGTCGATATCAACCAGATGAACCGTTTTCGAGGGTTGAGACGAAGGAAGGTGGTTCGCCAGAACAAGTTCGATTGGTTCGAGTAGATCCCGGCCCGGGGCACAGCCATGGTAAGGCAACTACTAAAGAGGCTTCAGCTGCTCTCTTTCAAGGTACCATGGCTGATGCCCCGGTCCAAATCTCCCCCGCTGGTCCTCTGAGGGAGAAATATGGAGATGATGATAGTGATAGCGATCTAGGTATATTCACCGGTAGGATACTACATTGGCTAGCTCTAGGTTTTGCCCTTTTCTAATTTTTCGATATCCTAGATGCTTTATCTTTCCAGGACGATCCCGAATCCACTTTTGCTGATTACTCCGTTCTTGAATCGGTTTTTCCTCAACTCAAGACTCAAAAACCAAACTTCTCTAGCACTGCTGTTCAAATTCCAAATAAAATTCCTATTAATCTCGAAGCGCTCGAAGTTCATCCCCAATACACGCAACCTGAAGCCTCCACTTCTCCCAATCCAAGGCGCAAAGAAGACGAAGAGGGCCTCGCGAAAGACCAACTCCCTCAAGAATACGACTTCCACTCTAACCCCGGCGATGGCTCATCCAACTCCTCTCCACAAAGTAGCAGCTATGGCTCCGGTTCGGCAATCGATAATTTGATCAATAAGCATAAGAAAACGTTAGCTACTGACGGAGACTCTAAAAAAGAACTCAAGATTGAGGACCTAGTCCCGATCGCTCCTCCCATTGATCCGAAGGTCAAAGAGATTCTATCTTCACTAGACTCCTTCGATATCTACAATTTTATGTGGCAGTTCATCACCGACCTCTCCTTCACGGACCCAGAACGAAGACCTCACATTGTTACTTCTCCCGCCCTCTCGGATGGTTCAATAGTAACTATCCTCTCTGAGATCTTGGAGTCTACCACTCTAGAAGATGTTCTCGATGGATGGGCTTACATCTGGGAGTTTGTCATCGCCCCACGTCTCACTGAGGATGAAGCGTCTGAATTCGTTGATGTCAAAAGCAACTACTTCGCCATACCAACACGCCCTGCAGAAAGGAAAGGCAAAAATGTTCAACGTACTAACGAGAGAGACGAAGACGGCCTCATGTACTTCGATGACCCTGATTTCCAATGGCCTTTGAAACCAACTGCAGAATATACGAAGCTCAAAAAGGAAGAGACAAAACGTAAGAAGGCTGAGAAGGCGGCGGAGAAGATTCAAAAGAAGGAAGACAATATCATGAAATTTAAAGAATTCCATGCCTTCCTAGATGCTAGCCTCCCGGAACAAATCTCTCCTCGAACTCCATGGGGTACCATTGAAAGAAAAGTCGGTGACCCTAGTGAGCAGAAAACGGACGATTCCGTGTCTATTCCAGGTCCATCAGGCGAAATTACTATTGCATCCCATCCCCAACAGCATCGACCGGACAAACATTTAGACCCCGCCACCGCTGTCTCAGATTCTGAAACAGGTATACCGAAGCACATCCCGAAAGCGATGTCTCTAAAACATTACTGACCAGAATTCTGGTATAGATCCCCAAAATTGTGCTAAACATGAGGTACATGACAAGAAGAGACAAAAACTTAAGGAGTCAGATGGTAATCGTATGGATATCGATAGTGAATACGAGAGTACCAAATTTTCTGGTGAAGCTTTCTTTCAGCCTGTCCACCAAGGTACTCCAAAGTTAGCCGCCGAGAAAAGATCTAGAACAGGAAAAGTAACTAACAGTAGCCTTTAGATACAGCCAGAACTTCCACTGAGCCTACTTCTAACGCTGTAGATCTTTCCCCGGGTCCATTTGGGATACCCGAGCCCCTTGAAAAGCAAGAATCCGATGAGGTTGCAATCTCCAGAGTCGCAAAGCGTGCTTTTGGCCTCGATGGGACTAGATGTCTTGGTCTTTCTAGTAGCAAAGCTTTGGATCCCTACGATCTTATAACTCTTAGTGAAGCGGTAAGACGTATTGCGAGAGAGGCTGATCATAAGGCTAATTGTCCTAATGAGCATTGATCTCGCAAGACTTTTACATTATCTTACGGCCTCTTTCTCTCTTCTCTCTACGTTCTCGTCCTTGCTTTTCATTTCCTTTTATTTCTTTTCTTAGATCATTGTTTCTGTTTTCTTTTCTGGCTGGGGATTTCCGTCTCCAATCTGGACTTGTATCTAGTGTCTTAGATCGAACTTCCGGTCTGGGTTAGACTTAAATGAAACCCTTTCAATCTGTTCATGGATGAGACGTATTCTTTTTTAGTTTGCATATACTTCAACTGATAAAATTTAGGAGGCTTGAAAGAATCAAGAACGAATTTAAGATTATGAAACAACATTCTAATAATCTGCTAATCTGGATCAATTCACTAGAAAGTTCGAATATCAAGCATTCGTCGAATTACAGCTTTTAAGGCCATCTTTTATAAATTTAAACGATATATTTTCCTCAAGAGAAACGACAAAGTATTTTCTCTTCAAATAGTCCTCATAATCCAAAAATACCCCAATCCTTCATAAAGTAACAAGATATAAACCAAAGATGGGGGCAGCTCTCTCTCTCCTCTCTCTTAAGCACCCCGAAAAATGCATCCAAACGATGGAAGACTCCCTAACCCATCTAACAACCCAAATCCTCGCCGCCCGAAATCGAAAATCACACCCGCAAATCTCGTGGCCAGTTACATCAATAAATCCATTTACAAAAGAAGAGGAAGATATTGCTCTTACGGAAATGCAATTGAAAGGAGGAGTTGAGGATACTATCAGATTGTGGAAAGTATTTGAGGAAGGGGTTATGTATTTGTTTATGGTGGAGGGTGGGGAGAAGAGGATGAGGGAATGGGTTGGAGAGGTGGTTAAGGCGCTCGAGGAGGAGCTCGAGGAAATCAGAGGGGTTGGAAGTGATGGGAAAATTGTGGAAGAGGGGGTGGGGAAGGGGAAGGGGGTTGATGAGGAGGTTTTGAGGAGAAGAGAGGGGAGATAGGATTCCCAGAGGGCTTGGTGATCTAATGATTGAGAATTATACTTACTAGTGCTAAACTGACTACTTCCTTGAGCTAGAATATACGTTGAGATGCGTCTAGAAGGAACATGTTAACACCGACCCAAAATTTCGAGTTGGAGAAAATCGATATCAGCGGATCTACGAGTCTCCTGGAACTCACAAACAGAAAAAAGATTCATTTGCGATGTTCGAGAAGCCAGTGGTATATCTCAGAACCCCCGATGTTGGATTCTCTAAAACAATTAAAAGATGTTGTACTTACTACACTGCGTGTGTGAAGACTTCAAACAAAATAGTATCCCCCTTTGCCACACTAACTTTTCTGCTTCTGGCTTGATATTTTATGGCCTACAAGGGCCAAACTTCCTAGAGACAATAATATACCACCAATCATATCGAGTATATACAAATTTCTGAAATTTAAAGATTATCATAAGCTCTGTCACACATCAGCTCCATATACACACACGGACACCTGGCGAAAATACATAGATACTATCCAGAACCTTAAATAATGTCTCCACGGTCAAGTTCAAGCTCCCGATCCCCACCCTCAAAGTCCAAAAACCCCCGCCCCAAAAAGACCCCTCTAACAATCCTTCTCTCCTACACTGCCACTGCTTCCTCTCTAAGATCCCAGCTCGAAACCGACCTAACCACAATCCGAAAACGCATCCGTCGCGCAAAATACCATAATATACCACAAACAAACCTTCTATCCATCATTGCTTCCATAAAACAGTTGGCAGATATATACGCAACCACAGCGATGGCGTATGTAACCGCTCGTAATACGGCTGAGTTATATGCCATCAGCGCTTCTGCGTTAGAAAAGCTGATGAGAGTTGAGGAGGAACTTAAGAAGTTTGATAATGTTAATCTTGGTGGCGATGATGATGGCCTTGACTGTAGTGGAGCAAGTAAAGAAGGGAGAAGAGACAGCAGAAGGGAGGGGGAGTATGAAAGAAGAGAAAGGAGGAAAGAGGAAGTTAGAAGAGAAAGTGCACTGTATTATGAAAGGGAAGGGAGACGGCGCAAGGAACCCTCAGATTTGAATAATACTCTCCAGCATGATCCACAATATGCAAATTACAGAAGGAATGATGAATCGAGCTCATTTACTCCGGAGGGTGCTCGCTCACCTCCTTCTTCAACCAGGCAACTACGACCACCGCGACCACCGCATGCTGTATCTTCTCCTCGGCAGACTCAACAACCTGACTGCGAAAATCCATATGCTGAGACTATCGAGGGTAGGTTCGAGTTAATGGGCGTTCCGGACTTGGGTGGTAGAAGGAGAGAAAGGTATAATGTCTTTCAAACCGGAAGAGCTGGGCTGGGGTCGGATGTGCACGTTAAGACTGTACCAGCGAAAAAACCAGATGTCCACGTTAAGACTGTACCGGTGAAAAAACCAGAGGCGGTAGAGGTTGGTCGTGGTGCTGAGACGGAGAAGCCGGTGAGGCCAGTTTATGGGACCGTTAAGGTTATCCCTGCAAAGGGGAGGCTGGTGAAGAGGCTACTAGAGAACAAGAGAAATTAACATCAATCTGCTTAATACCATTAATCTAATTGAATAACATCCATCGACTTGCGATAGGGCAATATTGCAATTGTTTGGGTGCCTCTAATACGATTGTAATGGCAGGTGTTTCTGTGTATTTTAAGTCACACAGATGAAGGGAGACAGGAGTCACATTTACGTAGTAGGGAACTCAGTTTCTACGATTCCTACGGTATGGAACAGCCACGCAATTAAAATTTATGGGGGGTTTTCATTGCTCGGTTTCAGCGGTCATGAAAGACATCAGGTATACTCTTTCGTTAGGAAGGGTATATTCTGAGACTAACATTTCCAAATTTGGTGTAAGGTACTAACTAAGCAACGGATGTAACCTTTGAGAAGTATGGAAAGACTCAAAGGCATCTCTAGACTGATAAGGAAGTGGGGTAATCTTTGGGCATATGCATAAAACCCAAAGGGGGGCGGATGCGGAATGTCGTCTTTGAGTAGCATGCAAGAACTCGAAGACGTGTGTGAAAAAATACTCTCGAGTCTGGTAGATAGAGTAGGGAAAGACTCGAAAGCAGACAGGATTTGGTGGAGTAAGAAATGGTTTCGGATGCTTCTTCGTTAAAAAGAAGATACGACAAAAATATTTAACAACAGGAGATAGAAGTAATGTGTAAAAACAGTGTACACTTGAGTCTGGGAGCTCCGTTTCGCATGAAGATGGAGAGTCCCGTCAATCACGTGTACAAATCGCAAGGATAGAATCAAAACAAACCAAGGGATCCGAGGTGTCCAAAGAGTATTAGCTGAAAGGTAGCCGAAGAAATTGTGACCTAAAAAAGCAACAGGAAAATTCGAAGGATGTATAAAATTGAGCAAAGCCAAAGAACCGTGAGTGCTAATTTAACAGTTGCAGCAGATGGTGCCATCACAGCATGAGCCCCTACTATGTCTACAGAGGCTCCTACAACCATTTCTTTTACTTTTCTTGCTTTTTTTCTTCTTGCTGGAGTGGTTGTGAGAATGTGAGCGGCCGCGATGGTCGCTGCTGCTGCTACTATCACCGCTGCTGCTGCTACCGTCGTCACTGCTACTGCTGCCGCTGCCGCTACTACCGCTACTGCTGCTACTGCTGCTGTTACTGCTGCTGTTACTGCTGCTGCTGCTGCTGCTGCTTGAGTCGGTTTCAACGAAAGTAACCTTGGTCTTACTTCTCTTGCGGTGATGGCCACGACTGCGAGATCTTTTGCGGCTGCGAGGTCTTTGACGATTGCGAGATCTTTGGCGGTTACGAGGCCTTTGACGGCTGCATGATCTTTGACGGCTGCATGATCTTTGACGACTGCATGATCTTTGGCGGCTACAAGATCTATGATGGCGTCCTCTGTCGGAAGGCTGGTTTGCTTTGTTGTAGATGATTGTAGGCTTTGACATGATTGGGTTTTTGATGACTGGATTGTTAATAGTAGGATTACTCATGGCCGGCCTATAGATTGTGGAATTGTTCATAATAGGTTTCTTGATGAACGCATCCTTCATAGAGGCTTCGTTGATTTTCGTGTTAACCATCAAGGGGTCTTTAATTTCCGAGCTATTAACCGTAGTGCCAAAAATTCGTGGCTTGTAGGCCTGGGCAGCGCTAAGTTCAGCTGTGGTAGCTGGGGCCGTAGCGTCAAAATTAAGGGCAGCACGGAAACGTGCGGCAAGATCCTCATTGGTGGGTTGCTTTGGGGCTGGAAGCATGGGAGTGGCGGTCGGTTGGTAATTGAAGTTCGGGGCCGACTGCCCCCTTGGGACATATTGAGGTAAACGGTTTTGCTGGTTGTCTTTTATCTGATCATAAATTTCGAAAGTGTGATCGTAGTTGCGGTAGTCGGCCAACTGATTGGCGAAGTCAACGGTCTTTTCTGCTGCAGGTTGACTGACCACTTTTCCACTTTGATCTAGAGTGTGGAGGGTTCCAGTATTGTCAACTAACCCAGTTGACATCCCTTTGTTCGTCGCCATGGTGACTACACATGGTGCCGCAGGGCGAGAAGGATTAGGTGATGGGTTTCCCCAGCCTCTATTTTGGTTGTTGTGGTGCCCGGTTTCCGAGGGGGGTGGGAACAAGCAACTTCCCGAGTATTCACCTGGGTAACGTGGGCGAGGTGGACTATATGCATGTCCGGGAGGTGGAGTGTATCCGCGGCGGGGTGGGCTAGCGGCGCGTGGTGGAGTGCGTCCACGTGGAGGTGGGCTCGCCGCACGTTGGGTACGGCGATCACGATCACGATACCGTTCGCGTTCTCGTTCGCGCTCACGTCTGCGCTCACGCTCACGTTCCCGGTCCCTTTCTCGTTCACGGTCCCTTTCTTTCTCACGTTGTCTCTCACGTTCGCGTTCTCGTGCTAAGACTCGTTCTTGCTCCCTCTCTTTCTCACGTTGTCTCTCTCGTTCTCGTTCTCGTTCCAGGGCTCGTTCTTTTTCTCTTTCCAGAGCCCGCTCTCGTTCTCTCTCGTTCTCTCTCTCTCTTTCTTTCTCTCTTTGTCGCTCGAGAGCTCGCTTTCTCTGCTCGAAAGCTCGCTCTCGCTCTCGATCGATGACCCGTTGTCGTTCGCGGTCTCTTTCGCGTTCCCGCTCTCGGTCTCTTTCGCGATCTCGGTCACGATCGCCGTGAGAGTAGTTGTCCGCCGTGTACACTCTATCACGTCCAGTGTCATCATCGGTGGCACGCATAAAGACGCCATGCCTGTCTCTTCCGAAATAGGGATCTTTAAAATCCCCTTTGAGGCTACAGGACCATGGCTTCTCTGGACGTCGCTCACGATCACCCATCTTTAAGGTATTGCTAGATAAGACTTTAGCAGACTATCGCATCTATCAGAGATCTTCTTACAAGGCACTTACTCTGGTAGAAAGATGAGTTTGGAGGTGGTTGGTGGACTGGGCTAGCTTTCTGCAATCTTCAACGCGCAATGGCAAAGAGTGTGTTGTCAGTACCAAAATCCAACAAACCTTTAAAATGTGACAGTCGAACAGAGAATAAGTGAGATGCGTGAAACTGGGGGGAAGGACTTACTTGATCAATTGCAGATTTCTTTGGTGGGAGAGAGATGAGGAGCGAGACTAGGAGAACAGGCACCAAGTCAGAAGACTAGAGGCTGGGGAATTTTATGTTTGTCAGAACTGCAAGCTTTACGGCCCCAATGGGCAGATAACAAAAAATGGCAATAGATAGCAAGAAATAGCAGAAATAGCAGAAATGAAAAGACAAATATGAGAAGAAATGGGGTGATTGAACATGAAGCAAGGACGGGATATGATGAGAGAAAAGGGATACATGGCGGAGATGGTGATACATGGGGTGGATATTGTTAAAACGAAGATTTGAAGGGAACCAAACGAAGAAATGGAAGAAATACGAAGGAAAACAAGCTAACTACAAGAATGATAAATGAAGGGCATCAAAGAGGTGGGTAGGGGATAGGTTATATGGCAGAAATGGCAGAAATGGCGATGAAGATTGTGGAGGGGAGAGGAGAAGAGAGAAGAGAAGGAGAAGCAGGTTCTTCGAGGACTTACTGATGGAATTGTGACTGTCAGTGACGCTTACGCTTCGTTAAGACGCGTTTTTAGGGTTTCGGAGAAGACGCGGTGGTGGTATTGAAGTCGTGATGATGGCGGTCAAAAGACGTCACGAGAAAAGATTGCAAGAGCTGGATGGTGTTGAGAGACGTTGGGTCAAAGTCAGACGGAGTGAAGTGAAGAGGGGACGGAGAGAAATGCCGAGAGAATGGACTTATATGGTACTTAGACGGAACACAGCTTGCATGAGAACAACACTTCCTATACAACCATTCAGACTTCCATTGAAGCCCTGTGAAGCCCTAATTAGAAAAGCCCTAACTATAACTATGGTAACGGGCTGTGAAGTGACGTCACAGCCTGGTTACTGCTTGGTAACTGCCTGGCGACTGCACACAAGAAGATTTCACTGTCAAACAGACAACAAACAATGAGTTTGCTATCAGTTTTGAGGCCCAATGATGTCACGGGACTTCCGAGTCACCTTGTAGTACCTATTCCTTTCAGTATCTGAGGTTATACAACTGTACCTACGAGTCTATTGCTACACTTTATGTCTTGTTCCTAGCCTCATGGAACAACTTTTTAAAGTATAATAGCACGCATAATATTAGTATCAAATTGTCCGGGTAGGACTATTCGAAGGCCTGATGGATTGGGGGTTAGTAGTTACGATTCGGGTAGAAAGGGGAAGATGTTAGAAAAGACAGCGAAAGAAACTTTAAGATAATATGACGGACTAGAAGATCATGGTGCGGCACGATAAGGCATATAAAAAGACAATACATTTTCTTCTATAGCTATAATAATGATAACTGTGTTAAGCCAATAGAAGGAATAGCATGACGGATTTAAAAATCCTCAGAGGCAATTCTTACAATACGCCCAGCGGCAATAACTCCGTGATAAAAATATGCAAACCAAACATAAATAATCATCTTTCCCTAGTAATATCATCTAACTTCCTCTTCTTGCATGGGGATGCGCTGCGAGATTTGTTGAATGAGTGGGCAATCGAGTGATCACTTCCCGGAGTGCTAGCTCTGGTATCAGCTTCAACTCCTGGGGCTTCGTCTCCCATATCAATAGACCCACTAGAAGCTCTCTTCTTCCTTTGATAGGTGCCCTCCCCGTTCGAGGCGTTTGGTGTAGTGTTAGTTTGTATCTTGACTTGGGAAGTCCAGAGTTCATCGGTCTCGTCATCAGGTTCCAAATTGGCCCCTCGACCATCTGAATTTTCGACTTTTGTTCCGTGGGAGATCCCCCAGTCGAGATCCATTTCGTTATATGTCTCGATATTGTTATTTCCATCCTGCTCAGTTGTAATGGAACTGATGAGGTTCTCGAGTTCCAGACCCAAACTCCTGAATATGTTTTCAACCTCTTTGGCTGGAAAACTCCTACATATGCCTATGGGCAAACCCCGAAACTTGTTCCATCCTTTAGCCATACGTATGATTAAAGTATCATCTAGTATCTTGTTTTCTTCCGTAGTAACGGCAGCGCCATTATTAGTGGGAAACCCGATACCACTATCTAAAGGCATTAGGTCCTGTGGTTCGAAATTTAAACTGTCGAGGACACCCAGGGCCTTGAGGCGGACATCTAGGGGAATATTGTCGGACTTTTCAGTTGCCTTATCCGGTCCGTTCCTGTTGGTCGTTCTTTCTTTGATCTTTCGGATTCCCTCTGGTGTGTATATCCATTCATCCTCGCTTGTTGTATCAGCAGCGTTGCGTCGATAAAAAAATTGAGATGGCAGAAAGTACCCAGTAACCGGATCTTTCTTTAGTCCGGCCGCCCACAATCTTATATCTTTAAGGTTGTTAATTGCATCTGCTTCCAAGACCTCCATAATTTGTGATTTGTCAATCATTTCACAGGTCTGAATGATCTGTTCGCAGCAGTTGAGAAGCTCGCCCCTTGGAACTCTACCGAACATCCCGGCTGTCCCAAGAAATCCAACCTGGAAGTGAATCAAATACTTGAGAAGATAAACTGGGACGTTGGATCTCAAAAAGTTTTCTAAGGAGATCAAAAGGCGAGTGCGGTTGTTAATGATGTTTTCATATGCCGTTTGATCATCTACAGCCGTGAACAGCCACCCTATGAGATTAATAGGGATGAAATCGTAGATATAGATACTCAGAACAGGGAAGGTCTTCACCCAGAACCGAAGAAGCCTGCTCAACTGCATTGTGTCCCTGAAGTATTTGTCTCGGACCCAAGCCGACTTTAGGGATGGAGGCTCCCCGAGCTCTTCTCTCTCCTTGTCATCGGGTATGATGGTCATACAATAAGATTGAAGGCCCGTTGCAAAAGTTTTGAGCTTTGTAAGCTCAGCTCTAATAGTAGTGATATGATAGGGATACACATCTCCGTCAATCCCCAGTTCAATGGGGATTGGCAGCTTAGTCGATATTCCCTCGACTAAGGAGTGACTAGTGAGTTTGGTGGGCGATTGCGGTGGAGGAAAGGGGTAGAAAGCAAATTTAGAGGTATCAAAAGGAGGCTCTGCCATGTTGGAGGCTAATTCCAAAAATGGTGATAAGATATATCTGGTCAGCTCAGTCTACTAGATCCTGCTAGGAACTTTGGAGATGAAAGATTCCCACTTACTTGGTGGTATGGAGGTCGAGGTTGAGGCTAGGGTGGATTTAGTGTGAGGTTGAGGCAAACTGGAGGAGATGTCGTCGATGGCGGTGGAGGATGTTGTCCTGCAGGTTTTATGAAATAAAATAGTAAAAAACATTAGAGAAAGGCACTGAACAATGAACAGCATATTAAACGTGACTGAGTTACCCCCAACCGCCAGAGCCACCACTCTCACTCCTTTGGACTGTGCTTCTCACCTCCCTTCCACCTCTCCTCCTCCTCCTCCTCCTCCTCCTCCTCCTCCTCCTGCTCATCATCATCGTTCCAATCTCCCCCAACAATGGGGTACCCTTATCATGAAGGGTCCCCGAGACTAGCTAACCCCCTTCCTTCTTCCTCTCGCCTCTTAGCCAGCCAGCTCAAGTTCCCCTTAGCCACAACCCCACCGACTCCAGATGCTCCATCCAATCGACTGGTTAGCATCCGCATACTAACTTAATCATAGATATGGTTTGACATTGTATGTTTTGCTTATCATCCCCGGACGATCATTTTTCTTTGACGTCCCAAAGCTCCGAACATATGTTAACATATACATAACCAAGGGCTGGGACGCACGGCTCTTAGCCGCATTGTCCCAAGCCCGAAGCTTCAGAGCACCCACATAACCACTAAAGAGCTTTGATCATACCAACACCACAGTCCCTACCTCGCCCACCACGCCCACAGCACCACATATCCAATGTCTCGTTGTTGAGCCTAGTACCCCCTAGGCCCCTGTGCCACGGCCCCGATTCGGACGGCAACGCAAAACGATGAATAAAATGCAACAATACCAAAATGCAACAGCAAATTGTGTTGTTAGCACCGGGCCACGGAGGCCGACAGTAGTGGAAATTGTGGTGGGAGTGGGGAGGGTAGGGCGGAGATGGCATTCATGGCCCCGAGAAAATCTCGAGGGCCAGCCACCGGTTTCTCGGGTGACTTGAAGAAGGAAAAACAATGCGGTTCACCCCCCCGCCCCCGGAGGGGGAGGTGAAAATTCAGCGTGCAGACAACAAAGCTGAGGTTTGGATTGGATTAGCTTGGGGTTTCATGCTAGTTATTGATAGAATCCTTTAGAGAAATTCTCTAAGAGTTCATAAAGAACTTGCTCGGAATGGATACATGGCTTACCTAAACAGGAATGGACAACTGTATCCTGTTGGGCACTCGGAAGCGGCGTGAGAATTTGAAGGTGGTCTTCCTTGCCGTACCCGGAGCTATACTTAGCTCTGGCTTTGAACCGGTTTATGCAAGTGAGGAAAAGAGGGAAGGGAGGAATCCGGAGGATGAGAGGCCTTTTATAATACAAAGAGACGCTTGAGGGAAATCTCCTCGCATGCACGAACTCTAGTTTTACCCAGTTGTTGGATTGAAATTAGTCTCGAATCCATGAAATACTCAAGTGAATAGAAGAGGGGATGGAAAAATGGATTCGAGGCTAGGAAAAAACCGGCAAAAGAAAGGGGTTTAATAATGCAAAGCAGAAATGCGAGGGGCTTTTCTTAGGGCCCTAACCTTCTCTGTGCCTAGCCTCAAAGCTACTTCGATGAAGTTCAAAGTCTCGTGAAAGTGGCAGGCACGAACTATAAGCTTCTACTGGATTCTGTAGGATTCCGGCCTTTCCTCAGATTCCATCTACATCCTACGGTCGTGCTGACCATAACATCGATATCCATTCTACGTATCGTCTCTAGTCGTTCCTTTCTTACTTTATAATTTCCATATTAAATTATTCCCAGAACGATTCCCACGACCTGAATGAGGAACTCAGTCATCCCCGTAACAAGCGTAGATTCCGTATCAACACGATTACTAATGCATCCAAACTCAATACTATTATACTTCAACCGATCCCCAGAGATGGGTCCTCAGCTGAAAGCCAATACTCGTCAACATATATAACTAATAAAATATCAAACATCTTTCAATACGTATCTTAGAACTATGCAAATATACCACATTAGAGGTTAGAAGCAAGATAAATTGAATCTTAAACACTAACATGGGTGTTAAAGGCAACGGCCTCGAACCATTCTATGGATTGTCGGTGTTCCGATATCTAGGAGGCTTTCAAACTTCAATTAAATTTAAGATATATATACATGCACGATATCGTATAAAGTAACTTGCGGTCGCAAAAAGTCCTTTGCCATAGCTGCAACTGCCCCCATGAATATTGTCTCGGCTCCACTGTATGGACCTCGGGCTTATTGGTCCTCCTGTACAATTTTCTCTTTTCGAAATTTTACCTTTATAGTACTATAATATTATAACCCTTTCCGTAAAAATTCATTATGACTCTCCTTTATACCCGTACTGTTTCTTGCGTTTGTATATTTCGAGCTGTCATGCGTGATGAGAATTTTCCATCAGTATTAGTTCCATTGTAAAAATGCAGTGGAGAGTGTCTCGGAAAGAGGCTTAGAGGTCGTAGTGGTGAGCAATTGAAATTTTATGCAGGGAATGGAAAGAAGATCTAGAGTTTTGGACCTGTACATGCAACAAACTTTCAAGGTACATAGCGAATAGACTGTTTAGACAACCCAAGAAAGGAAGAAAAGATTAACGTAAAAATCTAAAAAAGGTATACCAGTGGTGCAGCCTCCTTTTATGATGTCTAGGAGCTAGACAATATCCATCGTTAATGTTGACTTTCCACTAATTATGGGGGGGGGGGGGGGGGGGGGGCGTACGATTAATCGATTGATAACACACTGCTTTCAAAGATACGAGAAGACAGCAATACGATAAGATGAAAACTGAAAAGATACTCCACGGCAATTCCCGGGTAGGCTAGACTTGATCTTCATTTGCAAAGAAGCCTCCGAAAATAGTGACGAGACCGGAAAACCAACCGCGTCCTATAATCAGACGCTATAGTCCTATATATATTACTAAGAATGCATTGTAAATTAAAACGATAAATGACTCTGTCTATAGAAATTTAGTAGGACGCGGGTGCGGTTCGATGCTTCAGGACAATCGACAATTAATATTTTTGAGTTGTCGCATTAATTAAAATTGCCTAACATATGTTCGTAGTCATGTACAGGTACATTTTCAAACGGAAGTTCTTGCGGCTTTTTGACAACAGAGCCTGTAAAAATACATTCACCATACACAGGTCTGAGAAACCGGAAGAAGCGGGGTCCTAACTTGATTCACGATATATGTTGCCTGTTGTTGGGAAATTGCCGTCAATACGTCGTATCGTTCAAATTCAGGAAAGAAACGTAATTCTTAGCTGCAAGATCTCTAGATTAGTTAAGAGTATAAGTAAAGACCTCTATAACTACAGCTATCTCGAATTAAGTCTTGGATTTTTATCTACAGTTCCTGTAACCGTTTATTTCCATATACACATATTAGTAGTTGCAGTTGTCCAAAATACCTCGGTGAGGATATCGATCCTCGTGCGCGCGTGCGATCGTGAAAGCAATTAAAATCACGCAAAATGGGGAAACGGAAAAAGAAGTCGCAGAATATACTACCACAGACGCAAGTGGGCTTTCCACATCCGCAGGTAAAACCTGCTTCGCCGCCGGTTTCTCCGACCGGTACCCAGCTTCAACCCCAAAAGAAGCGGAAGGGAAGCAAATCTAGTTCACCATGCGATACCTGTGAGCCACAGGTGAGCCCTAAACTTTGGAAAAGGTTTTATGAGCCACTCGTCCTATTATCTGCGTACGGAAAGTCACAAGGACCGCATTTTAAATCCACCGGCGACGAAACGTTTTGCTCCGATGATAACAGAGACCTAAAAAAACAGTTCCTGGACCAGCTGGCGTATGTATGTGACTACGAGACTGGTGGAGATACTGTGACCGCTATTGCTGTGGAGGATGGTCCTGAGTTGAAATATTGGGTAGCTGCGAACACAGATAAATCCTCAACGATATTACCATATATCTCCGGTATCTTAGCAAGTCTTGAAACGGTATTCGAAGCACCAGAGGAGCATATCTTAGCTGTACAGGCCCAAATTACCGACCGAGTAATTCAATTTTGCTCGGATAGGCTACGGCTCTATAAGTTGAGACTACGTTCTGCAGCTCTGGGATGCATTAAAAAGCTTCAGTCAGAACTTACAGAAGGTAAAGTTACATATCCCGCAGATTCAAATTCAGTAATTCAAACTCTGATAGCTGCTTTAGATGCAAAGGCAGTAGAGGTCTGGTTAACTTCGATTTGCGACCAGACCATAGAATTGAAGACTTTGAGCGAGTTATGCTATAATGCTAGATCCTCAACAATGTTGGCTGGAATCACACGGCGGGTGGAGGAAACAAAACAGAGACAGAATTCCTCCCATGGTGGGAAATATTCCAAAGTCCGACATTTGGTAGGGCGCTTAGGGTCTCATATCAAGGCAGTCGATGTTTTAGTTCGAGTAGGACGCCACTACCCCCGACTCTTCCAAAATGCATCAGTACAATTTGAAACAGCCAATAAAAAATTCACCCCACCTCCTTACCGACCAAAAGCGTTAATCAATGACATTATTAAGCGGATGGTGGGACCGGACTCCTCCTTATGCGAATATTTTCAAACCGAAATCGGTTCTCTCGATAAGAAGTTTGAGCTGAGACTACAAGAGTTGATTAAAGAAACATACAAAAGCCCTACATTCAAGTTAATAGTTCATGCTGAAATCATCATCCATGATCTTTTTTCTCGAAAGAAGCTTCAATTTCTAGACCAAGTACGCTATATTGGTGTCAGCAAGCCTTCATGTTTCTTATGTTATCGATACCTCCAAGCTCACCCCATGAGAGTGCAAACATCCGGCTGCAGCAACAACCTCTACTTGCAATGGCAGCCTCCTTACATCGAAGATGAGTCTCTCACCTTAGTTACAGAGCAAAGAGATGTGCTGAATAAAATGAACGGAGAGATCCGAAAATTTGTATTGGATACGATCGTTCCGGAGTATCGAGGGCACAAATCCCACCCTGATTCTACAACGGGCATTGGAACTATACTGAGTATACACGACACAGTATCTAAATCTCGCACGAAGAAGGTATATGCCCAGATGCCTCCCTCGAAGCTCGTTTCTGGTATCAATGCTTTCCCCGAAAAACACTTTGATTTACAATCAATTGATACTGTGGCTGAACTGTCAGATACCGATGGTGGTGTACTTTTGGAACCTCAAGGCCACTATGTTGATAGTTCTGACGATGGTGGTGTGTCTCTTTTCGCATAATAGCTCAAATATTACCCCCATCAGTCAGTTTATTTCACACTCCACTTTGCCCGTGATTTGCGCTACAACCCCCACTTTTCTACTCGCCATATGTTAGCTTTGTATTTACAAACCAGCCTTGAACTTAATCACATTAAAAAGTTTTGAAAGTGGAGTATAAATATCACAAAAGAAGTCTCTAATTTTTGTAGCAGTTTTGCATTCTCTGTTTAAGTACTCCTGCCTTGTTGATGTATACTATCTACCAACAGCGCCATACCAGCAGAGGCCCAAAATAGCCCCAATAACAATAGCTAGAGCTGGTGGCACTTTGAACCATGCGCTTTCTGCATACGTAACCACTGCAATGACGACCCACCAAGGCTCCCGCGCGAGGCTTTGACCTTGATTTGCCTCCGCTGTCAAATAACCTATTTCCCACAATCTATAGACGGCTGTGAAAACCAACCCGACCGCCGTGGCATTAATACCGCGAAGAACATCGATCACTACTTTCTTTTTGCGAAGGATCCGCCAGAAACTATGGATGGCAACGGCTAACGTTATTCCCGGAAAGTTCATCCCAACGAAACCTAATAGTGCCCCAAAGATTGTTGGAAATTGGGACTTTTGCAATGCAAGGGATCCCAGATACACCGCAAAGTTAAAGTTTGGACCAGGGAAGGCCTGAATGATTGCGAGGCCAATAAGAAAGTCACGACTAGTCACCCAGCCTGGATCCACCACATAAGAGCCAAGAAGTGGAATGACCACAGACCCGCCACCGAATATTAGTGTTCCCGCAAGATACATGTTGGCGAACAGATCAAGCGCTAAGATTTGAACTTTGAGAGTCCCTCGAAGGACGAGAATCGTGATGAAAGAGGCTTAAAATAAGTTAGTTACCTGCAACTCTAGGGAGAATGAATACATACCCAGGAAGAGTACCAAAGTAGCTATTCCGACTTTTCCTCTAATCAAGTGCGGCTTTCCGGCTGCTTCCACAGGGGCTATATTTGGATGTGTTCTTAAGTTATCGTCTGATTGCTGCCCTTCGGTACCATGATTTCTGGAATCCTCTGAGCGGGCTCCCACGTTCCTTCTCTGAACACCCTCGTGACTGTTGGATCTACCCTCTAAGGAGTCAAACTGAACGTTCGCATTCGCAGCTTCCAAGACTATATCTGTGTCTTGCTCATGTTCCCTACGACGCATCTTCATCTTAATTTTCCGAACTTTTTGACCCGCCCACCCATCCCAGATGGCTGTCGTAAGCCCACCGAGGGCCATGAGGAGAGGGAAAAACCACAATGCATTGTAGCAAAGCCCGGCACAAGCGCCCGTAATTACCAAAATACGTGTGAGGTTATCGACGATTGCTTTTTCAGCCAGTTGAACGGCTGCCAGAGCGATGATCCCGACCGTCGACGCGTTTAGACCTGACAGAAGAGGATACACCGGACTAGGGAGTACTTCGCCGATGTTCTGAACCCCGACGGATAAGACATACATGCCAATCGCTCCTGGTAAACTAATATTTTGTGAGAAACTCGCTTATTCATGAATCGATACTGTTGACATCAATCTCGAGCCCGGTATACCAGTAGTACGGGAACAGTCGAAACAATTGTACTCACTTCCACATCAAAAAGACAAAAATTGCGGGAATGAAACCAGCATGAAGCAGAACCAAACAAAAGATCATTTTGGTACTACTAGGCCCTGGTAGGGCCTGGCAAATCGCGAACAATTCTTGATACTAGCGGATATTTTAGCTGGCGCTCCCAGGTGTCAACGATGCATATGCATATGCAAATCCGGTGCACGGTGAAGAACTCTTACAGTCTGCTCATCTACCCATTTCTGCTTCCCACCATGGCCCTCGACGAATCTTTGGTGTAAAATTTGAAAATGCACCGGTGGACCACCGAATGCTGTGAAGCCAAGATCCCAAGTTCGAAGAAAGACATCCAGCAATCGGTTTGGCAGCGACTTGTTATTGGCCTGGAAAGGTGTTGTTTGGTTGCGGGTTCGTCGTCTGAGATCATGAAGGGCGGAAAGTCCCCTCCGGAGAGTACCGGGAACACTCATATCGATACATATACCTGCGAAATCGTCGAATTTCATTCTCGTTTTGATATCGATCCGGCCATGATTCATTCTGACCTACACCTTTCAAAGTTCGCCAAGGAATTCGCAATCCTCACTGGAGCGAATCAGGAATAGCTTCACCAGACCCGGCTTCCGGCATGGCCTGGCCGGCTAAAGTTGCCTTGCCAGTTCTTCTTAGAGCCTCAAAAAGTCAGAGGTCTAATTCAAAATCGATATCAAAACGGCTATAAGGCTTGAGGATGGAGAAAATAATCCTATGGCATGGTAGGCTGCCATATTCGAATATCGTTCACCATTGCGCATATTGCACTCGAAACTGGGGAAGTGGAATTCAAAATGGTGCTTGAGCCATCGACGTGGATTCATGGAGCAGAAAACTACGGATACTATGCGTTTACTTAATAATCCTAAAAAAAGATTTGATGGGCGCCGGCCCGTTGGAAGATCCTACGACTCCGCCACGCTCACGTCCAAGAGTTTAAACCTCGATATTAATATTAATAGCTAGCATTGGACGAAGAGCGTATATATATGCGTATACTATCAAATCCAAAATGCCCTAATGTCAGGATGTCAAAGTTCACTGCGGCGACGTAGCTACAAACTAAGTTCTCAATCACCAAAGTCACGACAATACGAGAAATTACCATACCACGTGCTACTTGCAATCGCAAAAGAAAGAAAAGGCGTAAAACTGTACCAGTTCAATTGTAGGAACTCTCGTACTATAGTGCTTTTACGTTGCCCAAATTGCAAAACCAATAAGATCCTTTAACATATTATATATCATTGATAGGATCAAGAATGGCAGCTAACTTTATGATCTCGAAATATTGAACACATCCATGAACCTATAGTTCCGGGCCGACGAGCCAGTGCCTACGCGTATACGTAGAAGATCCACTCACCCTTGCGCACGGTCGACGTGATGAAAGGGCTTTGGATATCAAGATTTTCGCACATCGGATGACCTTACTCCGTGCGCCAAATTGGCAATTCAAAGATATAGTATAGGCTCCGCAGAATAGAAATTTTCACTGACCAAAGACGCAGAACCAACATTTCAGCTTTACCAATGCGCATATTTGAAGCATTATGAAAAACACAAGTCAGCTGTTGTCAGTACAAACCATATATCGTATACCTGCCTCTGAGGAGTGTGAAATCAGTATTGAGCCTTGAAACCGAGTCATGTCGGGGATTTATAATCTCAACTTGTATTAATTTTTGTACCGAACTTTCGACTGAAGAAAGCTAGACTAATGCAAAAAGCTCCCCGTTTTTCTGTAGCCATATCTGCACAATCTCAAGGCGGCCCAGACTAAAGTAGCATCTCCTTACAAGTACCCATACCTTCTATCCTAATTATTTTGGTAGACCTCAGATCTAACTTTCATACGGCCCTAAGCCCTTTTTTCAAAGCCGGTGTGTTTCAAGAATTCCAAATTCACTCGGTTTAGGCTAGGCTGGTTCGCACAGCTCTGTCTTGGTCTAACCCAGTTGGTATCTGGTTTCCCGACTGTGGATTCAACGTACGTGTATTTTCCCCATGCAAGATACCTATCCTAAAGCTAGTAATATCATTATACACAACATTATATAATACTAGAGTAAATGAAGCTGTGAACCCTAAATACTACACTATCCGCGATCAATACGGTTTCCCCTTCTGGGTTGTATGAGACTACAGTTTTTCATAAAACTGATCTTTAGGCATCGGTATTAGCGTCTTTTGTTGCCATATAGTTCCAATAATCCGCCCACGTCGTGTCATTTTTCGGTCCTTTCCAATAATCTATTTCTGTGCTACCAATCTTCCCAAAGAAAAATTCTGGCCAATCCATACCGCACTCTGCAACCCACAGATTCGAAGCTGATGTCAGTCTCAGTCCTCGTCGACGCATGCGCTGGAGGGTTTCATATTCTTCTCGCTCTTTTGCCTTCATTCGGTCAGGCCCTGATCTGTGCATGTAGCTGGAATTCTTTCTATTCATTTGTGGCTCAATAAAGTCATCTATTTGGCGAGTGCTCATAGAATTGATAGATGCCACAGGGGACCTTCTGGCAGGCCCAACTACTGCCTCCAGAAATGTAGCCATGGAGCCTTTGTCCAATTGGGCTATACCAACTAGCTCAACCCCTTCGATGGTTAGCTCAGATGTGGGAACGGTACGGGGTGGGTTCCTTTCCGGAATATAGTAAAGCGTATGCGTGAGATCATAGTCGTACCCTGAGGGATAAATCTCAACGAACCCACTGCTATTTCCGGTGAGAAACTGACAAAGAGTGGAGTTTTGACTCCAGCGAAAACGATCCTCGAGGGGCTGGTGGCTAAGCAGGACTCCGAGAGTTGGAGGGGAGATAGTGAGTGTCTCCGGTACACTCCACTCATGGCTAGTATTACCCGGAATAAGGTTCTGAACTGAGAGGTCTATAGTCCAGGCTCTTGTCAAGAAGTCGCATTGCTTCGCACTCAAACGGGGAGACCGTTTGAACTCGTGGGTCAAGGTGCCACTTGCGAGATCTGGACAACGTCGTTTATGGCCACTCCAATCTTCAGCCTGACACGGACGGCCGCAATACCAGACTGTTTTACATTTCCCACAAAACTGTGTGGCAGTCTTGTTCTCGCAGTCTAGGCGACCGCATGGGTGAGTTACAGCTCCAACCCCTTGGCTTGATGAAGCGGGATGAGACATTCTGCAGACAGTTTGATACCCGGTGGGGAGATGATTTATGACCGGTGTTCTCTTTAGCGCAACCGGTATTGAAGCGATAATTTGTTTGTTTCTAAGTATTATAAGTTAGACGTTCGGCGACTCCGCAGGAAATATTCCAGTGTAACGAACGTGTGGTGGTGTGTTGTAAAATAACACCGAGACTGTCAGTGACGTATATTCACTGCCCCGTTCAGTACCCTATTATAAGGATTTGGGTATAGCCAAAGATAGAAATATATAATGGCTCGAGTGTAGTAGGCTTCTACAAGCAATGGATGCGGTGGACTCTATCTCTAGAGTTCCCGGATTTTGGAAAATATACTGTAATTATATAACGGGTTCGATCGAATATAATTCGGTTCCATGTTTCGAACGTTCCCCGCACGTCAAAACCAAACCATTAACCAAATGTTGCCTGAAGTCGGTTTTAGACGTTGCATTCTCATAGGTCTGATTCGATATCCAATCAAGATACTGTATAGTTTCCAAACTTTTCTACCTGAAAGTATCAGTCTAGATCCGGGTCTATGCGACCAAAATCTAAAAGTCTACATAGCGGTATCGATTTGGCATAACTTTCATGCTAAATGTTTTCTTTGTCCGTCAATAGTCAGCATTTCCCATATTTAAACCGTCAGATAAGACCCTTTTACTTTTTATTTATGTCTATACTAATACTTGGGTCGAATTATGCCCTCATAAATTTCATCCAGGCAAACTAAAACCATGCATATATTCTGCCACATGCACAGCTTCCCAGCGCGTGAGGCCTTTGTATATTGATAATGACCCGCTTCTCTGATAGCCCCATATAGGACTTTTGATGGAATTAGACTAGACTTTTGAGAATAATCTGCCATAGAATGTTCGCAGCTAGTGGTCCTTAAATGTTTTCTTTTTATAAGTGCAGTTTTCGAAATTCTTGCTCCCTACCATAAACAGCCAATATAATATGACCGAGACTAAGAAGAGGGCTATATCAAATTTACTTTTGCGGCATGTATATCCGTTTGTATTTTGTTTTTTGTTTGATTCATGGAGGAAAATGTTTTCCAAATTCTATACTTTGAAATTAACTTGGCTCGGTGTACAACCTTTGGCCAATATAATTTGCTTTTAAGATAAATCCATTGCAAGGCCCAGCTAGCATTTGCATACAGCGTCTCCACATTATAGCGATCAGCTGCACCTTTAGCAATTTCGGAACCGTCTCATCAAGGGTATTTTGGCCAGTATTGGCACAAGCCTAAATGCTTGTTCCGCGGGGAGGGTATTCGAGTAAACCCCGCCTATGATTCACCTGGCGCTGGGCTGCAGGTGGGTCAGCAAGCAGTGTGGATCCGGTAAGAACATCCCACCGCAACACAAGCCGTGTTACACAAAGACGAGGGGAATACCGTTACCATGACGAGCACTAAGCTTCTTACTCAGCCCGGCTAGCTAACTACGAACTTTTACTGCTTGTCCACCGGATTCCTCAGGAGGGTACCCGAGGAGGATCATAATCATGTCAGCGTAGCATTTGAAGAAAGTGCAAATATCTTTGTCAGCATCCAGCAGAGTTGCTAAACAATTAGCCTGATCATGTGTGTTAGAAAAAAAAATCTCTCATGGGAACTGATATCTCTTTCGAGAAACTGACTGACGTCCCAATCAGGCTAATTCCGACGTTGGGGAACGGATACCTTTTTTTGCGTATTTGAGTGGACTAAATGGCCCCTGCACCCTGACTAACCTCGGTTTATTTTGGGATCTGGGGTATGGAAATTATAACGTTAGTAGTCAGGTATTATATTAAGATATATAAGTAAGGGGGTGGTTTTCAGAATTCTTTGTCGAATATATCTCATAACCAATAAATCAATAAACCGTCAAAAGGTTCAAGATCTCTCAGCTTCTATTCACCAGATATCCTATACCCAAGCCTTTATAAATCGAACTATTCTTCGAGAATACCAACCTTATATCCAAAATGAAGAGCTTCAGCATCATCGCCATGACTCTCGTTGGTGTCGCCCTTGCCGCTCCAGCCCCCGCTCCAGTCGCTGTAGCTGAACCAGCCTCTACATCCAACGGATACGTTTACTGCTACCAGTGCCGAGGAGAGCCAAAGATCTGCCTTCCATAGTAAGTAGCACTGGTCAAGAATTCGCTCCTCTACCTAGTAAAATTTTTAACTCCGAGTGTTTTAGTATCCCAATTATCAACCCATGCACCGTCAAGGGCGAGGCTGCCTAAGCTTCCACTGGAATGTGGTCCACATCACTCCTAAAATTCTCGATAGACCCCTTATCTCGCTTTGGTGTTGGAGGATTCCTCAGATATACGGCTCTTTGATTCTCCCGGTATCCGTGTACACAACGTCGACTTTTTCCGTACCTAGAAAAGCATAATCAAAGCCTGAGCATTTTCATGGCGATTCAAACCTGGAAACATATGCGCCCTAGCAAGTCATTCAGTTCATCCAAACCCTAAAATAAGAGCCTAGAGAGTCCGTAAAAGAGAGTGATGTAAAGCTAGTGTGCCGATGATAATACGGATTTCGGCTGTCAAAAGTTTCCGTCGGAGTCAAGTTGCTATTTCGCCGTGTTAGGATTCTGAGAAGTAGTAGTATGCAGGGGTATGAAGAAGCTAATGATTACCACTTACATATTTATGTATCGACAGCCTAGCCGGCCATAAAAACCTGGCTTACATAATCATGACTTGTCTCCGTCGAATGCTATAAAGTTGAGGAAGTTGTAAGTATATTTTATCCCCCATACCTAGTCAATTCAAATGAAAATGCTTGATTAGCCCTTGACTAGCAAAGAAGCTTTCCAAAGGGTAACCTCGGCTGCAGCACAGCTAATGACTTATAACGTTACAACAGAATCTGACGTAACGAGGCGAAACTTGCGTTCTGATAACCTTGGCAGATTTCCAAATCTTGCAACTTTAGGGCTGACACTTTCTATCCTGATTATTTTCACGGCGATTCTCGATAAGATTATTTGAGGAAATATTTAATTGAATCGTAATCTAGGCCGTAATATTGATAGTCATGTTTAATGTTATACGTTAACGCTAACTAGGTGATGTCATGCCAGACGAGTCTCATAACCAGAATTGCAGAACAGTTTTGTGGTGCGCGCCGTTCATTGATGTGTTGTGCACATAAAATACAACAAAACCTTGTGTTGTTCTCGCGCCGGGTATGCCTCGATCAAACTCACAGCGCTGCTTGGCCTTCGAGTCTAGATATCTTCAGATAGTTATAATTAAATTGTGGCTCAATGGGCGCAGAAAGGGTTAGGGTATAAGTTTTACGAGGACTATATTGCTGGCCCACGGCTGTAATTCTCGGTGAATGTATCGGATACGTAATCACGGGCTCAATGCAACATAACATGATCAATTGAGCTGGCCCGGATCCTAGCCGCTATTGATCTTCCGCAGCCTCGTACCTCAAAAATTAATTTGCCACGTAAAGGATTTTGAGATTAACATTGTCGTAATGTTTTTGGGTATAGATATTCCAGCTCTAGCCCTGAATAATATGCCGAAGGGCCGGACCGGGCCGACCCGATCTTTCGGAATGAATTTGATCCGGTTTAGTAGTTTGGTGATAGTATGAGGTAACTACAACGCTGGCGTCTGGTCCCGAGACTAAGGTAACTATAGTATGAATTAGGATTTGGAATAAACGCCATATTTGATCAGCGGGGCCTGTTTACTAGAACGCTGGCAAGGCGTAGCTATAGTAAAAGAGAATAGCCAAGCTAGAATGTTCAATGGGCGGGCCTGGTTGGTTTCCTATTGCAGGCGCGGTCCACATGGCGGGCCGTGGGATCTGTACGAATCAGATGCTCGTTGTATCCAATGGCGGATACTCAAACAGCCGTACCACATGCAAGCGAGCTAAGACCGTAGAAATAAGGCCAGGCGAGGCCCGTCGAGGCCGGCCTCGTCCCCGGCCTTGCGGGACTAATATTCCTTAACGTTCTCGCCTCAGATCTCTAAATTGAGGCTGTATATAACCATTATGGGTAGAATTACAACTTACTGTTGAACATATGGATGTCTGAATGCTTGAACCTAGGATCGAGACACCTTGGTTTTCAAGGCTTCGAAAGGGCTCGCTTTATAATCGTTCTTTTCAGGTGAAGAGTGGAGACTTGGCAAAATTGATCAGGCTGTGCAATGCTGCATGCATGTCTCAGGATCCAAAAAAACCTTGCGAGTCAGAAGTTACTCAAACTAAGGGAAAGCGGTAGGCTCAGGTTTTTGAACAACGGTAGCCTCGAGGCCAGGCGCAAATCCACGTAAGGCTGAGCGCTAGGAGATATGAATTCCTTAACCTATGATATGGTAATACAATTCGAAAGCTGTATAAGTATACGGGATAAACCTGCACTGGTCTCAACTTGACGTCTGAGGGAAAACAATTGGTACAGACTAGACTGTCTGGGACAAGAATTAATCTACCTGAAAACCAACCAAATTCCAACTTCATCATCCTAGACCCTAGTCAACAACCTGCCCCCGAGACTTGGAATGGATACCATCGATATCGCAAACGAACCAATTCCAAAACCGCATTCTAGAGCGAACAAAGGGGAAATAGTAACAGCAATATTTGGCCCCGAAGAAGATCCGAATCAGCCACCAAGAGCTGATAGATTCAAACATATGCAAGTATGCATGATTTAAACCCACGTGTACAATAGTCAATACTACTCACGTGCACAATAACCTTAACCCGAATTAATCCAAATGTTAATGAAGAGTATCTAATTTTGATTCAGACAACAGCAAAAGAAACATATCATCGAATAATTTCACCGGACGAGAAATTCAGGGTCATTTACTGGGACAGGATCCCGCATAATGTGCAACAACGGGCGATCGAAGATCTTCTCAGGAATGAAGTCTTCGGTTCGTATTTTGCCAGGTCGGAAAAATATTGGCTTCCGAAATATCTTATGAAAAACTACATAAAATCTCATGTCGACCACAAGATAGGGAGGCCGGGGGACGAGACACATCAAAAACGAAAGCTGTTGGAGCGAGAAGAAAGCTCCAGCCCCAGAAGAGTACGAACTGATGATGATGAGCCACTCGCTCCAACGTCCAGTTCACCAAGAGAACAAAGTAGTACTGATTACTCTGGCAGGCTTACACTTCCAGGGTTCAGAGAGATATTTAAGCTCGCCGAAGATGCCCAGGATTCCAAGGGGGGCCACTGGGCCTGATATCGATATCGATGGCACCCTATCTCCTCAAGCGTAAAATGACAGCCTGAGAGCCCTGTGAGCTTCCGAAAACATATAAATGCATTTATGTTGTTGAGATTTACCCCAGGGGGAAGAGCTGGACTGCCTGGCACCTAATTAGCCTTCAATCGAAAATTGGGGCTCAAAATTGTCTCTAAATTGCAATTGAATCTAGTCGTTTAGTTTTTTTTTTCCCTGCGTCTTACACAGTTTCTGTTGGTTCATGCGATTTTATTGGTTCGATGAGCCCCGCTTGTATATAAGTGCTCTCCATAGTTCATAATGTAATCGTCATATAGGTACCTAGATAATATATGCAGCATGATTTAGGTCGGTAGAGTTCATACGTGTTCAGATATCTGGTTGCATCCAAATATCTCCTAGCTAGTCTCGGAGCCAGAGCTGCCCCCAGCTTAGCCCCGACAACTGTCAGCCATATTAAACTAGCAGAGTCTTCCAATAGGAGTGGATATATCAGAAAGGTGATGTCAATTGAAGATGTAAGATTCGAATTCATCACTTCTTAATCCTAGTTTAAAAAGGGCTAGTCGAGAATTCGGTATTATATAGATAGATATACCCGCTAAATCCCACCTGCAAGCATACATGATGCATAGGTTCGACTCGTGACGATCTATAGATCTATTTGTTGGCGAGAGTAGATCTATAGACTGGTATGCCATAGACAGGCCGTTGGGTTCATGACTAAAGGTAGTCTCTCGACCTGGACATAGCAAACGAAGGCATTATATAGTAGTGGTAGTTTGGTAACCAGCAGGCCTACCGGCTGATAATATGCAAAATCTGGTTCGAAGCTTCTAGATGTACGTATATATAGATCTAGATGTTTTGCTCCTTACGTCACTGTGGTGTTGCTGAGTAGTACTGAGTGATAGCATCAACAACAGGATGAATTATTTTGTTTATAAATTTAGTGCCGAGACTGGCACTCTCCTGGCAGTCTCGTAACCAATTTCATCATTCTCCTCTGCCTCAAAACAGTTTTCGACTGCCTTGGATCCGCATACAACGTTGCTCTCCTAAGCCCTACCTCCGTCTAATCAAACTTCGGCGCCTCACAAGAATCAGTCTAGCTAGACTAAATAAGGTAGGCTTTGACGCGACATATAATGGGATACTATAGCTTCTACGCACAAGCTTAGTTGGTACTAACCCTCTTCATTGAGCTGATTAGAGCTTCACACAAATCATGTCGCGTGTCACCACCCAAAAGGCAGAAGTGACTGAGTTGGGCATCCTGCTTGCAGATCTCGCTCGTGAGTGCGCCCAAAATCCGCTGCACTGTGTCATAGAGAATGGCTAATAGAATATGAAATGTAGGTAACAATGGATACGAAGTCTCCAACCCGAGAAGCCTCTTTTCCAATAGTTTTCATTTCATCGGGCACCCAGCTTTGGACTCCGGAATGACTCTATGGATGATGAATGCGAAGCAAAGGAAAGGCGTTCTTTCACTGGCTAAAGAGGGAAAGGTCGAGGTTAGGCCCGGCAAAGCACCCAACAAACCACCATGTAGCGAGGCAAACAAGCGAAAGAGGGCTCTCCGAGAGCTCAAGACTAAAATCGCGAAGTGTAAGGCTAAGTTAGCTGAAGCGAAAGAGAAGGAGCAACGTCTTCGCGAAGAAGGCCTAGCCCTCGAAGAGGAGATTATCAGACTCGAGGCCGAGATGACTGAGATGACTGAGATGACTGAGATGACTGAGATGTCTGAGAGTGTTCCAAAGTTGGATGAAACCTGATGGATATATGCGGTCAATCCACATAGCAGGGTTGTCGAAAAGAAATTTTAACTATGAATGGCATTCCAGAACTTAAATGGGCAAACACACCTGTACACATCCACGACTGAATACGACTTATGCTGAGGGCTAGATAGTATCCATCTTTACCTACTAGGCAAGCCTGAATGAAAGTCAAACCTTATGACAAAACTTGGATGGCCGGCAGTACGCGTATCAATTTCTTGATATCTATGCAGCTAGTAACGCGTCACCCATAATGTACGTGCGTACGTGTGTCCACATTTATTGATACCGACCTAGTATCCTCGTATTCCTTTTTATAGTCTCGCATCCATCCTTTTAATTAGTCTCGTATTCAGACGCGGTCCACACTTTGCCTTTCAATCAACAGTAATACCGAAATATTTGTTGGTATAGATTTTAGTGTTGAGGCTGTGGTATTCCCAAAAAGGTAAACCGTATAACAGCAATATCTCCAGCTGCACAATGGTACTTGATCCTGAACTCAAAGTTGACTCCCGATCTTCGTCGAGGCATTCTTCTTCTCTTTGATTGATCCAAGAAGCCAAAAGTATACTCCATATCATCTCAAATCACAATTAACAGCACTAACTCTCACTTGGGGAACCAATAGCAATGTCGTCCGACCCTCTCCCACCAGAAATTACTGCCATAACAACCCTCTCCTCCGGTGACGCCAAGTGGGTTGAGCTCCAAAAGATCGATTGGAAAGACCAAGCAGGCAAACCCCGCATTTGGGAAGTTGCTGCTCGCAAAACGCGTGGCTCCTCTGGCATAGATGCTGTAGCCATTGCTCCCATTCTGCTTCACCCATCGCGACCGGCTTCAACATTGATAGTCCTACAATATCGTCCTCCCGTCGGAACAACTTGCGTCGAGTTTCCAGCTGGTCTGATCGATCGCGGCGAGACCCCAGAGGCTGCAGCTATTAGAGAGTTGAAGGAGGAGACAGGTTATGAAGGGAAAGTCATCAGCATTAGCCCTACGATCGTCAGTGATCCAGGCATGACGACGGCGAATATGCAGCTCGTGGTTATGGAGGTTAATTTGAAGGAAGGAGACCCAGAGCCTCAACAACACTTGGATGACGGGGAGTTCATCGAGCGGGTGGTGGTTCCTTTGGACGAATTACATAATAAACTGGTCGATTACGAGAAGAATGGATATGCGGTTGATGCAAGGTTATATCATTGGGCTGCCGGAGTGGACTTTGCAAGGACTAGGAAGTGGTGAAAGACGCCCGATATGTCTTTATTTGTATTCTCGAAGTAGTGGATATCTGGAACCCTTGTTCCAGGCATGAATTCTCACTAGTCTTGGTCCTAAAGTCCATTTCACCAGTGCCTTGGAACTGGTTTGAGATGTAGTTCTGGAATCGTGGCTTTATTACCCTTGAGAATAGCGAGTTTCAATGGCAATATTCAAAGTTATTAATAGCGTGCTTCTATAAAATCTCTTGGATGGAAGACTGAACAATATAAGTTCTCCGACATGGGCTTTAAGTCCTCGTTAGGGCCTCTTCAGTATCCAAAATATCTACTGCGGAGGTTTGGTCTCAAGAATTATCGATCCCAAGGCCCTAGCTAGCTGCAAATGCTTTTTTAACCTATCCGAGGCCGAGATATTATTGTGACGCAACTATTCGTAAGCTCAAGACCTTAAAAATTTATTGGTACCAGGATTTTAAGGACTATTTAAGTAAAAAGACATATAAATCTACCTGTTAGCGTGTAACCATGTTTGATAAATCATCTTGGAACTACTTTTCCGACCTAGTATCAAGGTAGTCGCGTATCAAAACGCTTCGGGTATATACCAGTATCAAGGTATCAAAAGCTAATCCTCATGATTGAGGAATGCTACCACCTATAGAGCTACGTTAGATAGTTTGAAACCCTAGTTGAACTAGCACTCTCGTGATCATGCCCCTACTCTCGTATACAGATCTCAATATGACCTATAAACGGTAGGATAACAAATTTTAGAAACGATATATTTTGTTTGTACAGAATATCTTAAGAAGCGATTCATGGCATGTTAATACGCCCCTAGCCCTCGACATCAAAAACATAGCGATGGTTAGGACCCTGATCTCCTCTTCCTCGTTAGTTTTGTCTTGTCATTATTTGTGATGGATGCCCAGGGCCTAGGGGCAGCCTGCATGTATCAAAAAGAATCTAATAGAACTCGTATGCTGTTTGGCCCTCCCGGAGGATTTCTTCGACCTAAGGAGGGTCTCGGAATTCATTGGAGATGTTGATGAGACTTGATTCAGAGCAGGCCTTTACGAGGCCTCTATATATACTATCTATCACCGGAGAAGATACCATGAGGTCCCACCAATCCACCCTCGCTCGCTCCATTCCAGCACGCACTCGAGGTCTGCTTTGGGATCTACAAAGCGGTCGTGCGACATTGATGTTGCCCGTCGCCATGCCGTGAGACATTGTGGTTGAGCCCTAGATCGTTACTCCTCAGCCTAATCATCTCGTAAAAGTCCCCTCGGATTCCAAGGGTTGGGTATATAATGGCCTACCTCCCAGCTCTCACTCGACACCTTCTTCCCTCATCCCATATCTCCATCTCTTTTAATCCTCACTTCATCTTTCTATCTCTCTCTTGTCCATTTTGCATCGCTCCACTTTCACCTTAACTTCATTTCCCTCCTCACAAGGCCACCAGCTCCACAACCTGACCAATTTATTTTGGGGGGGCCGGAGCCCATTTGCTGCTTCCACCATCTTCAACTACGAAGAACCATCACTACCGCACTATCACTATCTCAATATCACTGTTAGTAAGTATCTTCCCAAGAAAACCACGATTTTTTTATAAGGAAAGGAATACTGACCCTACGACGCGTCGTCGTGGTGAAGTCATCACCTCAAGATGGACCCGAAAGCAAACGAGGGTATTCCCCAAACCAGCACCACCGCGGCTGCCGCCAGAGCCAGAGCCCCAGGCAGCGAGAATGCAGCCAAAAAAACCCCAGAGGCAATGGTGGAGTATCTAGATTGTCTAGAGAAGCTTGGCACTGTTGGAGATATCTCGGCAAGGCTGGTGACATACTTCAACGTCTTCCAAGTCAGTCATAACGAGATGGCCGAGTATTTCCGCGCCCTAGAGATTCATATCATCCCCTTCTTGGGGAAGTACGGATATGAGGATCTAAAGCAAGCCATCAAAGTCTCCTACGACACCTTCGTTGATGAGGTTAGCTACCGTATCAATAACCCTGCTCAAGGAAATGAGAAGGTTTCCGAGACTTACTATGAACTCGTCAGCGTCATCGACCGAGTCTTGAGTAAGGTCATCAAGGACTTCAGCGATGATGAAGACGCCGGAATAGCTACTGGCCCTGGCGGAATTCAAGATGGGGGCGGTGGTGCTGATGAGGAAGGTGTTGGTGGGAAGGAGGTCGGAGGTGCCGACGCTGAGGAAAAAAAGAAAGAGAACGTTGACACGCTCGACTTGTCAAAGCTGTCCTTGGGCCCAGAAAACCCTGTCGTAAAGAAGAACAGGGACTGAGCTTCGACCGGAAGGCTTTCTAGTCTTGACATTAGGGATTTCAGCAGACGCGTCTGCTGATACCCCTGCAACGAGGCCAGGATTTATTAGGTGTTTGGGAAAGGGGTTCGTTGTTGTTGGCAGGAGGTGCTGAAGGGGGTCTTTATAGGCAAGGTTTTTTTGACAGAAATTCTTATGACGGAGGACATTGTTTACAGGTTTTTTCTTCTCGCTTTTTCCAAATTTCTTTGACTATTTTCCTTTGATCAACATGTCTTTCCCATCCAAAAGGCGTCGTTTCATTTAAAATATTAACATACATGAGGGTGGCCAGATCCACAATCTAAGGACTATCTCCTGTACGGCTATCACGGTTTTTTAGTTGAGATAGAAGTGCCAATGCAGTATCTCGATGCTCGGGGGTACCGACTGACCAGCTGACGAGCTGATAGAAATACAAAACATAAGCTTTTCCTCCAAGATCCTCCTTCAGTAATGTTCAACGAAATCCTTTGTATTTAGGCTTCTCTTCCTCTTCCGGCCAATCACAAGCATCTTCATCTTCTTCAGCCTCTCTACGTTTGATGTTTTCATACTCAGTACCATATCCTCCGCTCATCCCTCCGTCTTGTTCTTGAAGTCCGTGCAAGTGATTGTTAGCACGACGAGCTGCACGTTTAGCGACACGATGAGCCGAAGTTCCAGCTTCTTGAGCCAGACGGCCACAACTATCGACTAACATCATACCAGCTCCTCCAGCTTCCGCTGCAACAGCATGGCTCAAGCCAGCACCCATATTCGCAGCGCCAGAAGCAGCACCCATAACAGCATTGCCAAGACGTCCAGGAATCTGGTGAGGATGCTTGTATGCATTTTTGATCTCGAATCCAGCTTGATAGGCAACATCTTGGACGTTGCTGTACACACGATTAGTGAGAGTGAGGTTATGGCGAATGGCGGCTTTGTTACTGGTACGTTCCGCAGCAGTAGCTTGTGGACGAGGTTCCCGATGATGGCGGACGCGTGGTGGACTGAGATCCACGTTTACCATTTTATCGCGTGGAACCTCGGGAGTGGAAGGGCGTGGTTTTTGAAGTCCTCCGTGGTATGGAACTTGACCAGGTCCGTGAGATTGAGCAAAGTGTTCTTGCACTTGTTTGTGAGGTTGAACGTATTGTTCTTGGGAGACTTGAGGAGCTCGGTGGGAGGAAGTTCCGTGGGGAGTTCCTTGAGACTGCTGCTCAACAGGGGCTTGGGAGGGACCACCATGGCTCTGGTGCTTCTTTGAGCTTTTGGATTGATTCTTTTTCTTAGGCATTGTATCTAATGCCCAGGGATCATTAGTTGGATTCATCTTGATTAAAGCGGGTTCCAGGCCTTTAAATTTCTATATCTGCGACTTACGAGTGGTTTCTTTGGAGAATTCGGTATTCAGGGAAGTCTAGATGCTTCTTAAACGGCAAGTTTTATTGGGAAGGAGAGTGTGAGCTTGGATGGTGGAGAATTAGTTGCGATATCTAGAGGTCGTGATGAGAAGGAGGAGAGAGGAAAGGAGGTCGTGAGTTTGAGGATTTGGAGGATTTGCATGCTATGTATCTCAGCCTGGGGGACAGTCGACAGACGCCGTGCAGTGCAACTATACGCACGTTATTTCATACATCTTACGTATTTCCCTTTCTATACCAGAAATACATCATCAGCGATATTTACCACATGATATCAGGATCGAGGGAGCTTAAGGCCACGCTGAAGGAAAATTGGATGAGCGGGTCGAGCTATTATTATTGCATAGCTCCGATGATATAAAATTACTTGCCCGAAATATTTGAAGTCGCCTTCAAAAGATACAAAGAGTGTTACACGATAGCACCAGAAGTATAACTAGTTAAGCCAACGGAAAGGATATTTAATGAACGAATCCAAGCATTGATATTTTGAACGGATACCATATCCAAATTGATTATTCCTACTTTCATATGAATCTAATCAATGAACAGGACACCACTCCCACGTCTGCGCAAACCTATGATTATGATACTTAAAAATATGTTCCGCCAACCCTTGCCTCGAATAAACAGTCTCGCCTAAGGTCTGCAAGTGATCATCCGAGGCCACAGTCTCCGCTGCCCTATCAAACGTCCCGTTCCTACAAAAACAGCACCAAGTAAACCTCCCCAGACACGTTCTGGCTCTAAAGCCCTTTTCGGGGTGGTCGGAAACATAATCTTTTATCCATTTAGAAAGAATTAAGGGTTTCTTCGTGCTAGGAAAGAAAGTTGATGTGACAATGTTGTTACCCAGTAGTTCGTAGAGAATGTCACCAGTTGAGACTGACGTTTCTGACGAAAGGACTTTATAGGGGCTACTTCGGAAGCACATCAGTCGCACTACTGTAGAGTAGAAAATATCGTAAAGGTCGTGCGGATATCTTGAGCGGAAGTGAGTAGTCGGATCTGAGACGACTTCCAGAAATCTCATTTCGACAAAATGTCTAAATTGTGCTGGAGACTTTAAGACATGGAAGTCGGTGTATAGTGTTGTATAAAAGTCTGTAAGAAAGTTGGTGAGAAAAACAATCGAGGTTCCAAGTTCCTGAAGTTTGGAAAGCCGGAAATTCCACCTGGAAAGAAAACGGTGATCTGGTTGGCTCGACGATTTGAAACTTGGCAGTGAGGGGATGCATTTTTCTTCAATAACTTGAACGGCGTGGGGGATGCGGATTGAAGGTCGGTGAAGGCAGGGGTTATGAGATGAACAAGTTGCTTTGAAGGTTTCTGGGAAATCTATCTCTGGATATTTTGCGCGAGTATGGTGCCAGTCTATCGCTTTACAGTTAGAAGGGCCTCCCTGACAATCTAAACTTAAAACAAAAAATAAAGGCGAAGTTTCTATTTAACTGTACCCCAGAATATCTGTTTCTTGCAATCCAAGCATAGTGACTTGTAGAATATACCCGAGATTCTTATATCACAGTTCCTTCCCTGGGATAAACAGATCTGACAACCTTTAAGCTTCCCTGCTAGATGATCTAGCACGACAGAATAGTAATTCGTCCTTCGATTAAATCGTTTGTACTTCGCAACCTTCCTTTTCAAAACCTGGAACCAAAACAGTCGATTTTGAGGTCCTAGATTTGTACGAAGAGAACTACAAGTACTCGCGAGACTTATTGCATCTCCTGGGGCTGGTAAGAATTCGGCTATAGTTTGGAGGATCTCGAGTGGAAGCTTTAGAATGCAAGGATTCCCTTTCTGGGTACCATTATTATCCGAGAAATTAGAAGACCTAGGATAAGAGCTAGATTTATGGTGGCAAGCAAGGCTATTGGAGGGCCAACGGTTCGGTATTTTCAGAAATACTTGTTGAAGTTCCCTAGATACTCTTTCGAGTTTATTGAGAGGGGGCGTGGGAGTCATGATCGACTGTTGCACACTTTGTAATCTAGTAGATGCTAGGCGGTTTAAAGTGAAGTAATTTAAGAAACCAAGATTCGAGACATACGATGATCCTAGACAGGAGTTTGGAAGGGAGGCTGTGGTAGAAGTTCGATGTCAGTCTATTTACATGTATACAACAGAGCGCTTTAGTAGAATGAATCCATATGGTTCTAGGAGAAGCATTCTAGAAAGTCCGAGATGTAGCATCATCTTTGATAACCTGAGAAATCCGATAGAACTAATATAAGTTAAGCATTAGTAGGTATAGACTCTAAACCCGACAAAGCTCGTCCATGCAAACGTTATGGTCAATACCAACAATAGGAAAACGTTAAAACATTCTAAGTGCTGCGCATGGCGCAAAAGCCTCCAGGACAATTGTTGCATTTTCGAAATCATACACTAGAAATGTGTTGTTTTATGTTATCGTAAAATATTGGATATTATTGCGAACCGAGACTCCCAGATTGCTCGAATATCAAACCAGAAGAGCGGGGGAAACATATAAGAAATAATAAACTTGGGTCCAAAAGGGTTACGTAGTCTTAAATGACGGTTTAAGTTTATTCCTATTTATGGTTCTCCCCATTAATGCATTCACACCGTTAAAATAGCACGCCCAGTCCATCGACTACAATCAAAATACCTCGGCCGTACCTTCGACCCGAAACTATAGTAGAGAACAGATGCCTACAATCTACAAGTGCTTATTATAATCTATAAAATGTCGGAAAGATACGGAAGTAAGAAAGGTGAAGGTGAAAGAGGGGTTCAACATCACCAAGACCTATCTTCAGAACCTGAGGCATGTAAATCTACACCTCAGCCGGAACGTACAGAACATGAGCCGGAACCGGAACCGGAGCCGGAGCCTAAACCTGAGCCTGAGCCTGAGCCTGAGCCTGAGCCTGAGCCTGAGCCTGAACCAGAACCAGAACCGGAGCCAGAACCAGGAGCAGAAACTCCTCGAGCTGGAAGTCCAAGACCAAGCTCTCCAAAGCCAGAGCCAGAACCAGAGCCAGAGCCAGGGGCAGAAACTCCTCGAGCTGGAAGTCCGCGACCGGGTACTCCAAAACCGGATCCACGGCCTGATTTCCCTTGGCCAGATAGCCCAGTCCCCTGGGGCCCCGACGATAGCTCACGGAAAGCAAATTTACAGACTCAGCAACCTATATCCCAAAGAGTACCACCTCCATCTTTCACAGTTAGTGCACGGAATCTTTAACCAAGATAGCCCAAGAAGGTACTGACATTCATACTCTACTAGAATAATGCACCGAGTAGCAGTAACCAAAGCCGGCCCAAGGCCAGCGTTGGGGAAAGCTCCCATAGAACTTCCCCGATATTTGGTCGAGGGCCCGGTAGTATTCTTCCGCCACCTTCAGCTAGCTTTACAACCATCCCCAAAGAATTGCAGATACCGGGGAGACCAAAATATCCTCCAGGAACATGCCACCCATGGTACGTCCATCGGCGGCCTGGGAGCATGACTTTAGGGTTTGATTATTCCAGGTATCACCTCGAGAAAGATATCGTGGTGAAAGAACAAAAGAAACCATTTTGGTGGCTATCTGCCATTCCTGAGATAGAGAGGCAAGGGCGTTTGCTACGATATCAAGATCTGTGCGAAGCTATTCTGAGGGCAGCAAGCGAGGAGCAGAGAGAACCGGAGCCAGGCGGAGGTCGCCCCTATAAGAGCCCAAACAAGATAGATAGGGGCGAACAGGTGGAAGAAGGGAGACGGAGGCTGAGAACTCAACGGACGAGCGCGATGTTTAGAATGGCAACAATCCTAGCACAAAGTCCCGTAGAGGGCCAGAAGCTCTTGGCAAGCTTGGTTTTAGAGCGCCGAAGGCTGCAAAGAGCTACTCCGTACCCAGTGGATAGAACTTGGGCCATCCAATATATTGTGACTCGAGGGTCAGAGGCTATGAAAGTGAAAAAAACACGAAGGCAGAGAAAGCTCAGAGTCAGAAAGGAACGAGATGCAAGGGACGAAGTAAGGGAGACGTCAAGAAATAAATACAGGGCAAAAATTCGACAGAGTAGACGATTGGAAGCCGGCGGCATAATGTCCGTGGGCCCTCCACAAGAGGATTCAGATGATTCCATTTCGTCTAAAAGCGACGGCGAGAATAGACGAAGACGGAAAAGGCGTAGACGTATAAGCTCCATCGTAGTGCGAGCGCCATTGGCTACTATCAAAGAGGAGAACGTCGATGTCTCTCAGGACAATAAAACACACGGAGAAGGATTTCCTCGCCCAACAACTCCTATTCCAGCGCCCCCTTCGCCACCCCCCGGTCAAGCGAGCCTACCACGAGAACTTCATGATCAAAAACAAGGCCAATCTGAAAACGAAGAGTCAAGAGATGACGAAACCGAAGAAGATACAATGTTTCCCGGAAGTATTCACGAATTTGAATTACAGCAGACAAAAGATAATATTAAACGAGCCAAAGAACAGTATGAGGCTTATCTACGCCTTTGGGACACGTACCGAACAGAAGGCATCGCGGAAAGATTATGGAAGCTCTATTACCACCTCTTTCATGATTTAGGGGTCGACGTAGATGAACCAAACTTCCATGAAACGGGTAAGTCTATAGTCTACCAGTGCGGGCCTAGGTCCTTCTCCATTTTTAGGAGCTCGATTACTAATGACAATACCGTCCCTCGTTTCGCAGATTCCCAATCTAAAGCCGCCTTAGGGCCCTCAGGAGAGGATCCTATTCACGGCAAGAAGACAGAAGAATTTAGCTCACCGGACACCCCCGATTTCGACCTGTATTCCGAGGAGCTCCCGAGTGTTCCAGTTATGATCACTGTTGTTGACTTCGACCGAGGCCATGTTGGACTCGAGATCCTGATCCTTCCCGAGCCTACCGAAGATCATACGAAGCCCGAAGCCTCCATCACAAATCTGCGAGGGGGTGATCCGGTGAAATTATTTGGAAGGTTGACTGTTGAATACCACCAAGCACTCGCAAATACTCTAATTAACCGCAAACCTAACCCACTTTGGAAAACACGAGCGGATAGATTGGATAAGCTGCTGCTACATGTCCGGCATCAGCCTCTCTATTATTCAATGGATCTGCCAATATTCGGAAACTCGGTGGGGGAGCATGACGCCTTGAGACTGTTGGATAGCACAGCAAATATACTTCGAAAAATCCTTGATTTCGCTGACGCACTTTCCCTGAGGAAAGAAATGGGCCAAAATCTAGTTTATCAGCTTGTGGACCACAGCAATGATGTTCAGAGTCTAGGTGATAAGGCTTTCGATAAGCTCGTTGCATACGCTGGGAAGGGAGATATTGATCCTCTCGGTGATTTCGAAACGGACGATTGGGTAAGGGTCCTCGAAGACCGTGCGCGAATATTGTACGATACCACCAATTATATTGAGACAGACTCTTTGCCGAACGACATTACACCTTTCTTAGAGCCGTTCCTCGATAACATCAAGACACATGTACAGCCAATCAAGCATCATTTTCCAGACTACCAGCCTGGATACGACCCCTATGCCTATTGCCCAGATCGCCCGCCCGATAACCCCATTAAAAAGTCTCGCACCCATTTACCACCGAAAAAACCAAAAACCGGAAGAAGTTGTTTCCGTCCGTCGCATATTCTGAGAAGCCAAGTGCTACTTGACGCTCTCACCGTGCTTGGTGGAATGAAGGGAAAGAGTAGAGACAAATTGAGATTTTTTTTTCTTGATGGGCAATCTATGGAGAGGGAGCGACGTAGACTACCAGAAGAAGATTGGGAGCCTAACTTCACAACGTGCGGTTATGAGACTAAAGCCGGCAGTAATGCACGGTTCTCGATTCCTGGACGGATGGTAGAGTCGACCCCGTTCGGAGTCTTCTCATGGAGGATGCCCCGATGGATCTTGAAAATACCAGAACAGGTTGTGCTACCGCCATGGACGGGGGCTTGCCAAGGATATGCGCTGATGAACTACAGAAAAAATCAAGAGTTGTATGAGAGATGGCAATTCTCTGGGTGGAAGAAATACTTCGTATCGTTTTTGGATCCTGAGGCGGCGAGACTATTGGTTAAGGAGCTGGAAGGCAACAATGAAAATACGCCGCCTCCGCCTCCATCCACGCCCACATTTTTGACCAGATGGGTACCAACTTCTTCTCTGCCGACACATATTCTGAGAAACGGGTCTCTACCTGACGGGGATGACGACGACGACGGTTTTATTGAGGATGTGGAGGAAGGAACTATCATACCCTCTGGGGCCACAGTAATAACGAGGAGTAGCTCCGGAAGCACCCCTACAATGGGAGCAAGTCCTCCGAGTATGGCCACAGCAGCGGACACGGCAGCCCATGGCATACAGCCTCAACCGAGCATGCTCTCAGATGAAGATCCTGTGAGTGGAAGAGGAGGAGATGGGGCAGATGACGACCACCCAATATCCAAAAAACGAGTCCGCAAGCAGGTACGATTTTTAATACCAGATCCTGAGCCGGAAGAAACGCCGAAAGAAACACTAGAAGGGAAGGGCATGACATATCATTGGGCACCTGAAGACTTGTTTGAATTTGAGTGGGATGATGAACATGAACCTGGCGAGCCAACCGAGCAAGAGTTGATAAATGAATTGAGGATTGCCAACTTGGATATAAATGATGACGAAGAGGTTTTTGGAATGGAGGGAGACGATGAAGGGCTTGCGGGCCCTCATCCAGCGGGTTTCTATGACGAAGAAGAAGAGGTCAGGGGAACGAGTAGATCTGAAGGAAGTGGCAAGGAGGAATTGAGTTCAAGAGATTCATCGCCAGATTGGTTGGCGAGAACTGCCTGGCCTGGTGCAGACTGGACAACTTCTGCGCAGGCTCAGAGAGGGGTACAGACATTCTTTGATGTCCCATCAAATATACCTGAGAACTTGAGAGGTATTGCAAGGGAGACAGGGAATCACGATACCCGTCCAAGACATGGAGAGGATGATGATGGAGTTGAGTAGATCGCTTTCTTTACCTAAGATTATTCTTTACATTGGGATTTCAGTTTTCTTTTGGGGCTTGAGACTTGTAGTTGATTATGGATAGCGTTGTAATGCTTTAACTGCTAGTTAATTAAGACTCCGTGAATAGCCTAAGACACCGTGGATTATGCCTACGAGGAATGGGTTAGAGAAAGTTGGTCCCTATTGTAGACAGTGCGCAATGATCACTGGAAATTACATGCTCTCTACTAGTAAAATTTAGTTCATTCTTTAAGGTATCTACTTAGGTACCTAGATATATAAAATGAGTTAAATAAAAGGGGTAGGAGGAGGGGACGAAAGCCAAAAAAAAAAATGCGCTTAAACTAAGCGCGGATGGAAAGCAGAGAAACTGGGGTAACCCCAGTCTTCGGAATCATCTGCTTTGCAAAGTCAGCCCTCGTGAATGAGGACTGGCTCTGTAAAGCAGGCGAGGCAGGAGGGGCTGCGAGAGCGAGGGCCCTGGGGACGTTTTCGTCGTCCCCGCCGGTGGGTCGAGCCTGAACGACTCGAACCCGGGCATGGCGAGCCCTTGAAGGCTGCGGCCTGGTGGTTTGGACCCTTGGTGGCGGCTTTGGGGTTCGAGGCCTGGGGATCTGACGCCCTACATTTTCGATATGTAGGACTTCCCCGACGATGACCCCAGAGATTGGGTCTGGGTTAGGGTTGCTGTGGAACCCCATTGCAGCTCTACGAGCTGCTGCCCTTGCCATTCTACTTTGACTTATTGGTTTTCTCCTGCCCTCGGGTTTGAGCTGGAATTCCGCTGCCTTCTTTCGTCGATATCCCTCTGCAGCTTCTCTTATGGCTACATGGGTTGGAGACGACGATGGGGTCCCGATGGTGATCGGGGCAACAGTGGCATTCTTTGAAACCGGAGAGTATGGTGGGGCGGTGATGGGAGATCCAACCGGAGTGTCGAGTATGCGATATGGAATACCCGAGATATTAAGTGGAGGGGCCCTGACAGCCACAAAAGAAAGTGTGCTGGGCGGCCCTGAGTCGGTGCCAGAACCTCCTCGGGATTCTGGACGCGGCCACCAAGAAGGAGCCACAGACGACGGCGTTGGAATCGGCGACATCGGAGTTGGGTTTATTGATTGCATGATTGGAATAGGGGCTACAGCTGGTAAGGGTGGAGTTGGTTGCTCCGGTGGCGTTTGCAGCCCTGAAGAGGACTCCGAGGTTGTTTCCTTTCGCCTACGAAAAACATTAAAGTTGATAGGGATTCCCCAAATCTTTGGAAATCGTTTCCCAGTAGAATCTGCTTTAATGTTTTCTTGACGAGGAGTAGTTGACTCAATGATCATAGCAGCAGCACTCTCAGCCTCCTTATCTTCAATTGGAGAAGGGAAGGTGTCGCCGATTGCCTTGTCTCTGAGCTGACGGAGCTTCATGTTTGTCAAGTTGAGGATTTCTTGATAGGTATTTGAGCTAGTGTGTGACGAGACATCGTTGAAAGTTTGCCATTGCCCGCGGATGTCTGGATTGATACTCTCTAGACGAATGAGGCTTTGGGCAAGACAATCCATCGTCTCCTTGAGAGGACCAGGAATTTCATGAAGATGATCGGGAATAATGCTTCTCATGGTTTGAAGTAAACCCGTCATGTGGAATTTGATGTCTGAGATTTGTCGTTCGTCGTGTGGCATACTTGGCCACGCGGTAGGACGGACTCTCCACATGATGGCTTGATACTCCTCAATTGCAACGATAAGGGACCCGGCAGTTGTCTTGTTGATGTAGAGTCTTGCGATGGGGTTTGGTGGAATAGCGGGCGCGAAGTTGGGATTCCCAGGTTTGCAGCGATTTGGGTAGAGCAAGACGGTACGGCTTGGGAATGGATACCAATTCTCCATCGCCTCCATGAAATGGTAAACTATTTTGAACAGGTCGGTCATTTTGGCAGGCGGCGCTCCTGATGAAAGATTAATGTATTAGCCCTTAGAAGGCTGGGAGATGAAGTTAGACAGCTAGGTGACAAGGTAACGTTCGACCGAAGCGGTTTGGCGATGTAGCTAGCTAGCTCGAGCTATAGCTACTGCAGCAGAATGTATGCACTCGGCAAAATAGAAATCAAAGGCTGTCAATGGATGGAGAATGCTTTCAGACGCGTAATCAACTAAGATTGAAGCAATTGCGATGACTTTGTGATAATGACGACGTTGATGAGGTTGGTGATGAGGTTGGTGATGAGGTTGGTGATGAGGTCGACGACGATGTTGGTGATGAGGGACGACGATGTTGGTGATGAGGCCGACGACGATGTTGGTGATGAAAGGGAGGATACTGGGGATAAATCCCGTTGCTGGTATACCGTGCTCTCAATACAGGACAACTCTCCAACTCCTTCTCATACCCCCTATGGACAGTACGCAACACTCCCCACACCACTATCCATCCCTCAAATAACTTGCATTGCGATACTATTCTTGACTAAAAACACCATATGGGCTTAATCCCACAATAACAGCACCTCCTCCATAGAAGCCAGTATGAGCTAAAGGAAAATAATTTTGTTTACTTAAGGCCATGCCGAAACTTCCGTTCTCCCAGGCAGATACCATGTACTAAGAGGCACTATTCACAAAAATCGCAAAAGCCTACGCAACAATGGCATGTATATAACACGCCGAAGTCTTCGGATACCACAGAGCTTACTCGGAAACCCTAGTCCCGGCTTCATGGTTCATACTACAGTAGCGGGCTTCACAGATTCAAAAAAAAGTTTAGAATATGTCAGCTTGTATTAAAAACGACAGATGATAAAGGGATAAAAGAAATTAAGAACAGCTAAACGGGATCCTTGACGGTGTTAGAGCCCATCCAGGATCGTAAACTGTCAAGACAGACTGCCATCACAAAATACAACAAAAGTTAAGCCAACGGCAGACAAATCCATTACACACAGAAGACGCCTCGAAACCTCGAAACCCTGACAAGATACAAAATGCAGCCGCTTTACCCCAGATACATCATTTGACCTTCCTTCTCACCAAAATTAGCTCAACCCCTTCCCTCATAGAATCACGACGCCGAAAAAACGGAAAAAACGGAAGCCGTTGGGGCATCAAGATTTCCTCTTTCGGCGATTTACCCAATTTGGAAAAGTGGGCAGAATAACACGCATACAACGCGCTCCGCACACATGCCAGCCGGAAAGCATGGCAACAGAGTTCACAACGTGGCGGGCAACAACCATCACTGTAAATACAACTTCAGTCAAAATCAGGTGGCTAGAAGGGAGTCTTTATAGCATGCTGTAAAATACTACTTACTACCCGGGGCTCGATGCGTTTTACGGGGTGTACCAGTGAGGGGTTATTACAGCCGTTAACTCGAGACGGCCAAAGAGCAGCCTTCCAGAGTAGATCGCATGATCCAATCTTGTATCAAGCTGCAATGGCGCAGTAATTAATGACCAAAACGAGACAAATACATACTCTGAGTTTTCTCGTGGAAACTGATAAAGAGCTAACCCAAATACTATACAGTCTAGAAGGTTTTGTTTATACACCTAACTCATATTTTAGAATTGATTTCTTCTAATCCTGTTCCCAACCACAACCTGACTATTATAATCATAGCTCTAGAACAATATAGAATGGTACAGAATAGAATGAACAATTGAATCCATAGACATGGCACATATAATGTACTCCCGTGATAAGACTTGGTTGTTTCCCTTTGTCAATGTGGACTGCAGCAAATTTAAACGGAGAAAATCGAAGTAAATGTGCAGTAAACCACAACCATCAACGCGCTGCTCACCATCAACCGCACTTCAACAACCTTCCAACGACATCAACAACAACGTCAACGTCAACATTGACATCACCTCTCCTTACCACGCTCCATCGCAATGAATCTCACGCCCTTCACGCTACCATAAAACCGCTTCCCAGTTTAGATACCACTTGTGCCTGTTACGTCAGCTGTTTGTCTACCTATCTCTCTGTCTGTCTTCTTCTACTTCCTTTCCCTTTCCCTTCCCTCCTCTCTTTCTTTCCCTCTTCCCTTCCTTCCTTCACCCCCACCAACAAATTATCTTCATCAAAATTAGACACATCAATCATCACCAACAAGCTATCCATCCTTCACCTCGATAAACATTTCTACGTTCCAAGATGCCGGGCCCTCAAGGCGCCCCGAGCATGCAAGGCAGTGGCGGCGGGTTCTACGGCAACCGTGGCCGTGGTGGTAATAATGCCGCTCGAGGTAACAACCGTCGACGACGTTCTAACAATCAGCAAGGAGCCAAGTACACCCAGGCCAACGGGTTTCAGGAAGATGCTGAATTTCAGCCAAAGCTTCCAAGCGATACCGCCCCCGCCTTTCGCTTTGTCGAAAGACGAGGCCGGAGGAATAGGGGTGGTGCTGGGAACGCTGGACCTGGAGGACAGCAGAACCACCATCACGGTGGCCAAGGAGGTGGACGTCAGCATACTAAGGATCCATCGAAGCCTAAAGCCACCTCACACCCACAGCCGGCTCCCAAAACGGCTCCCAAAACTATTTCTGGCTCGCCCAATACACTCCAGGAAAATATTACCCCGAAGACTCTTCGCATCGTCTCTGCTTCCTCTAAGCTAGATATCTCTGACGAGTCACCCGAGGCCGACACTGTTTTCTCCGGTAACTCCCTTGTCGAAAAGACCCTGTCTCAACAAACTAGATCCACACCACCGACTCTTCCAGAGCCGGTTGAGGCCAGAAGCAAACCCCAGCTTGAGGCTGGTCAAGACACGGTTACTGAGGATTTTAGCAGTGTCGACGAGGAGGAAGGAGGAGTCCCAGTCTCTTGGGTGATGGCTTCTGATGCTCAATCCGAGACACCGGTTGCCACTTCAGCCGACAATACTACAACCGAGGAGCCAAAGAAGATCTCTATCCGCGAATTGCTCGACACCAGCGATATCATCGAACCAATGACCATGTCCAAGCCCCCATTTCTTCCCACTATCTTGATTGAGCCATCTACCCCGGCCAATAACCAACCGTCTGGCATCTTCTCTTCACCACTCACCATCACGAAGACGCCGTTCAATCCCAATAACCCCCAAAACACAATTCAGGAACCAACTCCAGCTGAACGCTTCCTCAAGTTATCAGACGTCACATCCCGATACCTGACCGAGCGTCTCAGCGATATAAACTATAGCCCCGATTTGTCTCGTCGTCTTAAGTCAGACTTTGAGGTAATCGAATCCACTTACAACGCCATCCCGTTCGAACGTGCCCTCAATCCCTACCGTGTCATCTGGCATGCACTCATTGGTCTTAAAAAAGCGATTGAACTCCGTAATAACGATGCCAAGATCGTTGGGGCGTTGAAGAAAATGTCGCAGACTTATGATACCGTCCGCCATCAAGCACTTCATGAACGTCGTTTTGATGGCGATCAGCAGTTTGACTTTGATACTAGAAATGCTACGGCTCCTGCAGTTACCACAGCTGTTAATGTAAAATCGGATATAAAGAACAACGACGCCCAGGCCATTGCTAAATCCGGGGAAACCCTGATGGACACCTTGAAGTGGAATATCCGAGGTGGAGATACGAATGTTAGGCTGTATGAGGGAAATGGCAACGCCGGACACGCTATAATGGGGTTTCGAAATCCTGGATTCGGAACTCCAAACTATGGAAATACGGGATTTGGCCCTACCGTTGGCATCGGGGCCACGAGTTTTGGGAACTCCGGATACGGCATCCCCCCTATGAATGGCTTTGGGATCACTCCTGGCTATGGCCAGACCGGCTTCGCCACCACTCCCCGTCCTAGCACTTCTGGTTACGGTAATGTTAGCTTCAGCACTGTCGGCTTCAACCCTGCTGCCGTCGATACCACCGGCTTTGGAACTCCAGGCTTCAGACCTCCAGCATTTGCGAGGACTGCTTCTGCTACACCGTGGGGTGTTAGAGTTCATGACAACAACTTTTCGACTCCAAGGAAGCCTAGTGTTCCTCCCCAACATGGTATTATCGGAAGTCATTTGAAATGAATGACTAGACGACACATGCCCTTCATCTTATATATGATGGGCCCTTTTTTAAAAAAAAAGAAGAAAAAAGAGAAGTTACAGGAAATCGGAAAGTCCACAAATACACTTCTACTTTCTCCCGGCTACTTTGCTTCTTCCCGGGATGCCAAGGACCGTTTTACAATGGTCTTCTGTTTTATTTCCTTTGTCGATATCTCCCTCTTTTCTTTTTTTCCCGTTTCCTAGTCTCTTTTTCAAGTCGGGGGTTGATAGCAAACAGCCTAAACATAAGTAGCCGAGAAGCGGCGGCTTTATTATCCGGTCGGAATGTATCCCTCAACAGAAGATCGAATTTTACGCATGTATCATAGATCGATGGAGGGTGTTCAGATGCGGAAGCGAGGTAGCTTAAATAAAAACTACCCTAAAGCTATTTGACCACTTGTTTTTAATTTTGATGGTCCTGAAGCTGGGAGAAAGAGGAATATACAGGACGAACGTTAATTTTATAAACACATTAATGAAAACCCTGAACTTTTATATTATGGAGCTCCTCTAGCTCTAAGCAGGCTTCTGTAACCTGATATGACCTGTAAAGGGTATCTGCATATAATAGGTTCATTGTAAGGTAAATTCTACGTGCCCTGATTGCACCGATATAGGCGTTCACGTGGATGTAAATGGTATCCACCCATGAAATACTAATTCCGGAGGATCATAGCCCCGGATAAAGAACTATCGAGCTGGGTTAAAGGTCGATAGAAAAGCCCCCAAGCCTGAGGAAGATATTATGTGAAAACGAAACCGCAAAAACTCCAACCCGTCCAAAAATCCGTAATCCCTAAAGTCGCTAATAGAAGAAACAAAGAAAATAAAGGCTGCAAAGAGAATTGAAAAAGATACACCCAACAAGAAGAAAAGAATAATGTCGTATCCATCATGAGAAAAGAATCGAATATATATATAAAGAAGAAGAAGAAGAAGAAGAAGAAGAAGAAGAAGAAGAAGAAGAAGAAGAAGAAAGTGTCATATCTCTTGCTCGACAAGAGCCTCACTCCTAAGTATCCTACCCGTAGACCTTCATATTTAACATATGGCGACGTGGGTATGTAGGTATGTAGGTAGGTGATAATTTAAGCACCCAAATCTACCATTTAGGAACCTGCGGAGTCTTCCTCTTCTGTGCTGCCAAAACCATAGCAACACCTGACATCACGAAAGTCATTCCGATCAGGAATTCAAAGGTAGTTATTGCGAATGCCATTTGACACCGCGATTCGAAGGGTGTATGCTTATACACGAAGTTTTGACCATTGACGACAATGTATCCGCCGTTTATGATGGAATTGGTTTCGCGCCAGCGTTTGTTGCTGCAGGAGTTTATGCCAGGACCCAGGGCTACAGCTGTTGCCTGTGTGGAGTTGGTGAGTTAGAAAAAATGTGTTGTGTGGTTTTTTTAAGGTACAGAGGTTTCGGGGGGCAGAACTTACGACACCACCAGCGAATTGAACGAGTGCTACCACGAAATCTAGAGATCCTACAATCTTGGATTGTCGCAGAACAGCGAAGATTTGGGAGAAGACACCGAAGATGGACATGAAAAGTCCGAAGGAGCCGAGGAATATTGAGAATTTGGTGATTACAGGGCTGTCACCGGCACGTTGGCCTAGTATTAGGACCACGGAGAGGGAGATGATTATGGCGGAGAAGATGAGCTAGGGCATAGGTTAAGCAGGTTAGTAATGTCTTCCCCCCCGGAACTCGTTATTTTAGGCCAGTAAGGTTGACTAACCTGCGTTAATCGCAGAAGAACGATCAGGCACGGATTCATGATGCTTGTATTTTTTTATTTTTTTTTTTTAAATCGACGAATCGAAAGCCTTGATGTTGAAGGGGTTACTTCGAGGACCTTGTCGCGCCGGTCGCTAAATGGGTCGGGCCTGGAGCAAGATGAAACCGCTTATCGAGTGCCCGCGAAAAGCTTCTTTTGCTGTGCCAGATTCTTCCGAGATATCCGAAATTCCTTCTTTGGGTCGTTAGCCCGATTTTCCCTCTCAATGCGAAGTGTCGTAGAAAGGTCTTTGGTGAGGAATTCCCCTTTGGTAGCTTAAAGATTTAGGAGGGCGTCTACTGAAACTTTTCTTCCTGCAGCTAGGAGGAGAAGGGGAACGGAAGGAAAGATGCGGACATCACGGGATTTATGTACTGCACACACATTGCACCACGCTGGTGCTACTGCGACGATAGGTCAACATGGGACGGCTGAGATTTTGTTACTTTCTCCGCTTTTCATTCTTGGCTCAAAGCTTACAATATGTGCATGTGTGTGCGCACGGTTGATAAGATAACTTCAAAAAAAGTTGGTTTACCGAGAACAATGCAGCCTATTGTTTCGCGGATTGGTCCCAATCTGCAGCCCCATCGAAGAAAAACTCGATCCAACAAAACTCTAACAGGCTTCAGAGGACGGCGCAATGTTGGCGTGACTGATCGATGATGGGGCCGGTTGAGCTTCTAGGCCGGTTCGGAATGGGTGTGAGGGAGTTTTTTGTGGAATTTTTGAGCAATGGGAAGTGTTGGTTTAGCGCCCGATACTTGATGGCTCTTCCCGTGTGTCTCTTCCTTCGGCCTTCCGCAGCACTACATGCGTGATGGGAAGCTTAGGGCGGGGTTGGGTTGGGATTAGGGGATTGGACAGTGCTGTGGGGAATTTGGAACTGAAGATGCCTATTGGTCAGTGCGGAATACCACGTTCCAACGCGATGGGCGAGTTAAGGTCGGTTTGCTCTTCGTTTCTAAGACCTTATAAGGGCGTTATAGGTTGTGTCTGGGATATGGGTGTTTTTCACGGCGCTTTGGAGGGGTAATTGTTACCATTGTGGTATGATGAGCTCTTTTGACAATGGAGATATCGATTACCGCTATGAGGTTATAAGGGGTTCGGATATGAAGTTTTGGGTTTGAATGAGTTTTCCCGTCGACTGACGGATTCGGGCGTTTAGGCTGCTATAGGGTTAGCCATTATAGATAAGATGGCATTTAATTCTATCATTTGATTGACATTAGGCTTTCTTTTGCGGGGGGCAAGTACATGTACATATGTACACATGGTCAATTTGTGGACCGTGCTTTTTGAGATTTATGTACTAGTGTGCTCAGATTATTGTAGAAAAGGCGTTTACCAAACTGATCGTCTCTTAATTTTATCTTTGCAGGCTATTTCATTACATGATGGAACGAAAACTTAGAATTTGTGTAGGTTATCGATAAAGCGAAAATATATAAGTGGCTTTGACGGCCGGCCTAAACATAATCTTCCTGCCAAGTCTAGAAGATTTATTTTCCTATATGCATATGTACTTAGTAGTTCTAGAGAGATTAATCCATGAACAGGATACGGATTGTAGAGATATAACTTGCTAACGGCGCCTACCAACATTTAGTCAGCAAGGAAACCATGTCAGCAGCAACGAATAAGGCATAGGTGCATTGATGCATGATGGCGCATGCACAGCATTCGAATAAGCGAGGGTTCTGGATGTAGCCTCAAGATCTTAAGCCTTTAATTCGCAAATTCGGGTACATCGCCTGTTTTTGTCTCATAGCCATATATATAAGCCGCTATATTATCGAATGATGCATGCTGTTGTGCGGCTTGAGGGGAAATAGTTCCATGGACCCGATGCTTTCTTTTTTTTTTTTTTGTCTCCGTAATCTTTTCTATAATGCAGTATCAGCTTAGAATTAATGAGCGGGGTCGAATGTTAGTGATCAACTAAATATCAAAACCTTTACGACAAAAACCCGGCTAGCAAACCCATTTCTAGGACTTCGGGGAGACATACTGTTCTTCTGGAGAGACTTCAAAGGCCTGGCCTGATATCGGCGCTAATTACTTTACTTGAAATGAGATCGTCTCTCCCTTTTGTAAAAAGTAAATTACGAGTTGCGAAAAGTAGGTAGAAGAGTTTGGCAGCTACGCATCTGGGAATTAGATAAGAGGAACAAGAACAATTATACGGTGGTTTCACGTAGCCGGTCAACATCTTATAGATAAGTTTTCTTGAAAAGAAGATTCCGAGGAAGGGGGCAAGTCAACGCTTAATGACTAGCACGCCCTTCTAGAATTCCATATATTGAGAAATACCTTTAACATCTCGAGATCTCTTCACTCCCCACTTCTTACCCGTCCTTTTAGAACCCAGGATAGTCTGTGGTGGAATCTTCTATCGACTTGAACCCTCTCATATGGTAGCCGAATTGCGTTGGATACTGTGTATGACGGCCGACGGTCCAAATAGCTAAAGTGACCTCCATGTTTCCACAAACCCCTTATAGTAGGTTGAAGCAGACGAGCTACAGACCCTAGCTTAAATGGACAATAAATCCGGATTGAATGATCCTTCACAAAATAACGCTCACAGGTTGGAACGATACCACCGGCAACTGAAGGGAAAACCCACCGCATGTTATCCCGTGCGCCACGGACCCGCCTGCTATCCTTAAACTTGGTTTTAGTTCCGGAACGATACGGAGCCGTTAGTTCTAGAGATTTCTTGACATAATTATCGCAGCCGTATCAAGGATTTCTACGGCCACGCACGCGACAAAATTAGATATACATGCATTCATGTTTGCACGTATGCGTATACATAATCTACGCCGAATTCGTTCAAATCAGTCGAAAGGCGGCTCAGAATATCCACGTGTCAGGTCTCGTTTGGAGACCGAAAGAGGTCTAGATCGAGCTGCAGCCTCTTCCTGTCGTATTAATGACTGGCAGACCAGCGGGCTCCGTAAGTCCTTCCTTTGCATGCATGGTACAAGTTTTATTACAGCAAGTGGAACCAAACACTGAAACCTGGGGGGAGGTTAAATTTTTACGAGGATATTCCTATCGCTGTAGCCGGGCCTCGAGCTCTCGGGTATATTTGATCTCGTTAATATAATTGCGAATACAAGAATTATGAGTTCTATAGCTAGCTCTCTTACCGCGCCACATCAATGTTGCAACTCACTAACCCCAATTCAATACAAGGTGGGGATTACGTATTCCACTGGCTGACATTCGGATGGATAATGATTTAGTTATATAGTATAGAGGCCATGTGCCAGTATTGTCATACGATTGACACTCTGAGAATCTTTACAGATGCTAGCGTTGTCGAAGCCAATTTATTCAATTCGGCCTGGAATTATACTTAAAGGCACAGCGAGGTGTGTCCTGAACCCGATATTTACCGGTCACGCCGCCACAGACCCACAGGAGTGGTACTCACCTGTCAAAAACTTAGCTGCTGGATATCACAGTCCGAAGCCACCTCCCAGTCTTAGGATATCATTGATTCGATTTTAGGTATACGGCGTTCTCCAGATCCATAACGAAACATATTCAACCGGATTTTTGGCCAGCATATGCGTAGATATGCGAGATTGAAAAACAGCTCATTCAAGGACCAGCGCATTGGACTCGAAATGCATGTCTGTGGCACAGTTCCAAGGCAAAACAGGGTCCCGGTCCGAGAACTTGAATGCATTGTCCGCCAGGACAAGGATTCTTGATACGTCAGAACCGGCTTATGCCTTCTGATTACATTGAAATACCAAGACTATTGCCCTCCCCGCTCTAGATCACCACAGAGTATATATGAGGTTACCGCGGTATGAGAGTGGATACGTCAATGCACTCGTATGACTTACTCGCCAGTTACACTTGCGAACGCGACAGCCTCGGTTGTATAAGGCCTATCGGATCATTTTCCGCAGAGAACGAACCTCGTCACCACTTCTAGACCAGTACACCAGCTAGCTGCCCAGGTTGACCCGCAAAAGTATCACCAAGCATCTAGCTGGAATATAGGGAAGCAGATGTTTCTATGTTAATGATCGGCTGATATTGACACGAGGGCGTTTGAATGGTTGCTACGCCGTCTCAAGTGACCTTCCACAAAACGGCCAGTCAAGAACTCTTGATCGATTGATATCGTGAAAACTATGTCGTTTTTGTGAGATAACGGGCAGGTGATTTATAATGGATACCGAAGGGGCTTGTCGACGAAGAAAACCTGGCCCACCTTCAGCTTTCACTCGCCTCTTTTTCCCTTCTGCCTGGTCTGGGCACGCATGAAGCGCTGCGAGTGGCCCTGTGGAAGACGTCTTGGCCTGGAAATATCCGCTGTGCCGCGAAAAAAAACATCGAGACGAGAGCAACGATTGGGCTTAGCGAACCCACGGTGTGGAGCAATCCCGAGTTTGAGCCTGGCAATGTGGTACCAACAGCTCACAAGCGCAGCATTCGCTGTGTTCAGGGAGAAATCGGTCCGTCGAAATATGGCCCCAAAGTTTTTATATAAGAACCTGCCCTTCCTCTTTCGTGCTCGATCGACGCCTCCTCTTGCCATTCACCCATTAGCTCTGCGATATCTAGGGCCATCCCAGCTTTACAAACGCGCGCCGTGGACTCTCTTACCGCCGGCAACTCCTTAGCTTTCTTCTTAGCTTTCGTATCTCGAACAGATCGACCAAGACTAACAGCGCAAGCGTTCACGAACAATTTTGTGAAACAAAACTCGCTTGTGAAGATGAAGCCCCAAACAATTGTTCTTTCGAGCTTGGCTCTTTTTATGAATGCTGCCCTTGTGTTTGGTCTCCCAGCCCCTGAACCGACCGAAACTAGCTCGCCAGAGCCGATTAGAGATCTAAGTAGTAGCGTGTCCGCTCCAATGCATTGGACTGGTTCTATCGAAGGCGGCCCAGAACTCAACCTGACAGGAACTCTCCAGGTAAATCTTTTTCTTCTTTCTTTTTCTTCTTCCTTTTTTTCTTTCTTCCTTCTTGTTGTTTTGAATTCTTGCGAGGTGGTCTGTATCAGAATCTGATCGTTGGAAATTCATTCCCGGTCTTTAGGAAGTTTTACCACAAATTCTCGCCCTCAATCCTAACTGGGAGCCGCCAGTCGAGGTCGCAGGTTTGGATTTGGTTGCACCCGACAAGGAGCTGGCCGAGGAACTTTTCGCCGCAACACGAACAACAACCGAAACACCTTCACTCGTTAAACGCTATTTCAAAAACAGGCCAACTTGCGGTGCCATTGATGGAACTTTGGCTGAGGGGTGGGTGATTATCACCTGGGGAATTCCCTGGCTTAGAGCTATTGGGGAAGCAGGAGTTATGTAAGCCAAAATCCAGCCATCGTGTCATCAAATAATAAATCTTCAAGATGAGGCTAATTACCATATGTAGGTGCGGTGCCGAATCATTCACTTGTGCTAAGTGTTACTGCGAGTATGGCTCAAAGATCGAATTATGCAACGTTGTAAGTAAAAGAAATTCCAATAAAATCTCTGACATTATCTAGCTTGTGCTACTAGATTCTGGGATTCTAAAGAGCTACAAAATCGTTAACTTGTTATACCTACGTTTAGAGAACTACCAAAGTTGACATTCGCTGTGATCGACTTTCTGGTGCCGCCGGAGAAATTGTAAAGGATTGCGGAGAGTGGATCGCTGGAGATACTCTCATCAAAGGACACTGGTGGGATACAACGGATTACGCCGCTGTGGTTCGGCGTTCGAACAGCGGCGCATGTTAATAATATCCGCTCTTTCCTTTTTAATGTCGTATACGAGCTGGTACATAGTTAGTGCTTTTCATGCTTTCTGACTTTTAGTGGTTTCGGACGGATGCAAGGATACGGTATTGCAATTTGGTGTACTCGGCCCGAACCTCGTGTTAGCCTTATAGCTTTGTTGGATATGTGTATAGCCTCTTTGTCGCTGACAGGAACAATACTATTAATACCCTAAGCCTAAGCTTATAGTTTCCATGACTGAGAGCAAGATATATATTAATAACTGGTGGCTCTGGCAGGATCTGAGCATTACATAGAACTATGCCACGCCGGGTGGTTCGGCAAGTAGGGCTCGAAATCGGCCATGTCCAAGAATCTGTGCGTAATGCGAGAACGTGGGGTTAAACGCGAGCGAGGCCATCCAAAAACCTTGCATCCAAACGTTTGGTGTGAGACGTTTTGATTCGCATGTTACTCCTTACCCCGGCCTAACCGACGGGTACGTATCATATTACTGGTGTTTCGTGCCGCTGAGACGGAAAATGCAGGCAACCATCGTGTTTGAAACCTAACTTTAGCGATCTCCAAACTAGCCGTTCATTAGTCTCTGTAAATTGCGGAGATATTGATTTGGTCAGATCTGTAGCGTGAGGCACGAAAAGTGCTTCTCCGTCAGTCAGCCATCAGCGCCAAAGTCCAATTCGGCGCTGATTCGTCATTGACAAGCCACACCGAGCGAGCTAAACTACATTGGCGCGACCTTGCAGGGATGTTCAGCGAATTAGATTTGGCGTTTCCGGTGCCGGATTGCCTTTCCAAGAAAGTGCCCTGATGGCCAAGGGTCGAACTGCCATGAGACAGAATTATTCCGACCCACATCGAACCCTCACCCCCCGGATTGGAAGTTTCCGAGCGTAACCCTCCTTATTATATTACTACATAAGGAGCTTCGAAGCCATTTTTCAGAAATGTATCGAAACGGTCATTTTCTCTGCTTCCTCCGCTCGTCTCTCTTTCTCTCGATCCCTCCTATTTCCTTATTTCCTTACCTTTCTTTTTGTGATTTCGTTGCTGTTACCTGTAACCCTGGAGGCTAGGTTGGAGTAATAATACTTGTTCGCGAAATTCGATGAGGTCGATAAGCGTTATCTTCGCCGTTTTGGCGGCGAACATGTGTGCGGTGTCAGCAACGGTTCAGTGGAAGGATTCGATATCGAGGTTCAGCACGGATTTGCTACGGAAAAAACATCGAAATGAGCAGACACAAAAGTTCTCGACCATTATGAACCGGCTAAAACCTGCTTTGGGAAAGGACCCGACGGAGAACCCGCTTTTCGTAGAGCTGCCAATGGACCACTTCAGTGCCGACAATAAGGATACTATCAGCTGTCGGTACTTCGTTCAGGAATCTTACTATAAGCCCGGTGGGCCCGTTATCTGTGAGTAAACCTGTGGATTGCGGTTTCATTCGTAGGGGAGTGAGGAGACTGTGGATTTTCGACTGATACTTTTCATCAGTTCACGATATTGGTGAATCGTCAATTGGGCCGTACGCCAAGGGATTGGTTGATGAAGACGAGTTTTCAGTGGCAATGGCTAAGCGATTTAATGGGTATGTGGATATACACTTGCCACAATCCGTATATCTTTTTGGATCCTAACTAACCGGACGCGTCTAATCACATGGCAGGCTGCTGATTCTTTTCGAGCATCGTTTCTATGGTCAATCCGCCCCGACTACCAAGACTTCTCAAAGCCTGGCACAAGCGTCTAGACGTCAACTTACCGAGTTTTTCAAATTCCATACCATCGAACAGGCATTGGAGGATGTGGTTTATTTTGCAAAGAATTTCACCTACGACCTTGAAGAGTACCCAAAGCAGGTTCTGACGCCAGATAAAACGCCGTGGATATGGATCGGCGTTAGTTATAGCGGGGCCAGAGGTGCTTGGATGGCGAAGCGGAATCCAGGGTTGTTTAAGGCAACTCTGGCCTCGTCTGCTCCAGTTCAGTTGAAGGTGAACTTTTGGGAGTACTTTACCGCAATTGAAGAGTAAGTTTGTTTTCTGAACCCCTTCAGCGGCATCTACGGTGGCTAAGAGGCTAATTTTGGTGAACACAACAACAGTGCGCTTGCTATCCAAAATAAGAACTGCTCCGCAGATTTGACGGCTGCCGCAAGATGGCTGTCTGGTGCTTGGGAGAACAGAGATAGCAGCCTTGTAGATCAATTAATCGATGCCGTTTACGAAAAGAACTGGGAGGAATCACTGGAACAGTACGACCCGGATTCTCAAGAAGTTTGGGATGTCCGAAGGGACTACTTGCAAGATGCTGCCTGGACACCGTTCGCTGACTTCCAGTATTATGGTGTCAATGGCGGTACACTGGGTGTATTCTGCGATATAATGGAAACTTCTTATTCCGACAGAGGTGGCCCAGAAGGTGTTTTTGCGGCCGAAAGTCTTGCACGTGCCGTTACAGCATACGCGAAAGCTGTCGCTGCTATCAGCCCGTACAGCTACACCAGTAGTCGACAACGTGCGCAAAGCAAAGAAAAACGACAATTCGAAATCGGAACAGAGTCCCTCGACGATAAGCTCGACGATTACTCGTGGCTCTGGCAAGTTTGTACCGAGTTTGGAGCCTTCCAAGTCGCCAATACCTCCCGCCCTGAGAATCTTCTTCCTTCATTTATCAATGTCCAGAGTTCAATAGATTCGTGCATTAGCACGTTTGGAGAGTCGGAGCAAGTCAGCAAAGCAGGACCTAATGTCGACCCTATCAACCAAAAGTATCAGGGATGGTACGTCCAACTCTCAAACACAATGTGGACAAACGGTGAATTCGACCCTTGGAAAGCCCTATCCGTTGACTCTGAGGAGGAGGATGCGCCTACTAATGATACCGCCACAACCGACATTCCCCAATGTGGAAAAACATTTCCACAAGGCACACAGCTTCGATATGTCATCAAGGACGGCTACCATGGATCGGAGTTTAGTGAAGATGTTGTCACCAATACTCCGGGAGATCTTGACGGCCTTGACCCTACCAATACGATCCGATCACTCACAGCGACCAGGACCAGGACCCGTACCAAAGTAACTGCGACTGGTACTCCAGTTGTCGATGCAATAAATGCGCAAAACCTTTGGTTTGATGCCATGAGCAGTTGGTTACCATGTACAACGCTGCAATTCAACCTTGATGGGAGCTCACCCGAAACAACCACTTCGATGCCATTTACGTCGAGAACGCCGTTCCCAACCGGTAGTTCCGACGAGGCGACAGAGACAAGTGGGTCTAGTGACAGCAGCGGTGATAAGAAAAATGCTGCTTCGTCAATAGTTATCCCATCTTTGATGTTACCGTTCTTTGTTTCAATTTTTGCATTTTTAGCGGGGATCAGAGTACTTGTATAAAATATACTTTTTACCAAGGCGCATGCTGCATGAGAGGAGTTTCTTTTTCTAACTATGAAGGGCCGAGGATTTATATCTTTATCATACTAGAATTTCTAGAAATGAGAGCTGCGGGGGTGGCATACACGTGTATTCTGCATTTCATGTTATCATTTAGCGGAGTTTTGAATTTTGGAGTCCAGATCCTTTTGAATTTTGATAATTGCAAGCAAGTTAAGAATTCAATCTCAGCCTAAAGAGTACTATACTGCCTGTTCCTCTCCAGTGTGCCACTGTCTTATACATGAAGAAGTAAACGAGGCCAACGTTGCAACTTTTAAATTTACCATGCTACACAGCGCAAACAACTTAATTAAGAGTGCACACACGATGCCTGAAAAGGCCCAGTCAATTGCAATAATAAATCCCGCGCGGCCAAAGCTAGTGCCTTCGCAATTGGCATACTATAACTTGCTACCAAGTTGACCACAAATGACTCAAATATTCTTGTAAATTAGATAACAAGTTCGAACAGTTTGGTGACTTTATGTCCGAGTGTCGGGTTTAAGGACTTCCAGTCGGTACTAATAAATTTATCACCGTATTATGTAATATAACACCGAATAATTGGACCGGGTTCGACCAAGTCAGACCGGCATACAGGTTCAATCGAGCCCACTGAGTCCGCCTCAAGAAGCACTATTGACATCCGGAGAGGACCTACAAAGCCTCATTATAGAGACTCTTCCGCTCGATTGTAAGCTTTACAGGAATACCAATGGGCAAAAAATACAAACTATATCTCGTCCTCCAGAAATCGCGTCGTCTGTTCCGATCAAATATCCCCACCATTCAGCTTTATCAAAATTAAAACACCACCCATATATGCATACCCACCGCCACACCCACTATTCAAAGACCCAAACAAGTCTTCCTATTGAGAAAATATACCCAGGTACAGAACAACAGATCTACTTCAAATGCAAAAGGTCGGTCAATCTCAACTCAATCGGCTTCTGGGTCGAAGCTCGAATTCCTGGGAAAGTGATTGTTTTTGATAGAGGATCCTCTGGAACTGACGTAGATCTGTCTGAATTCAAGGCAACCCCGCCTTGATATGAACGGTTTCTATCAGTTTCTAGATGGCTCCGCTTTTTTTTTTTTTTTTTGGGTGCCAGAAGAGAAACCTCTGCCGTTAAAATTACTATAGACTGATGCATCCACGCCTAATCGCTGATGCCCAGAAGCAAGGTATATCTTGCAAATGTGAACTCGCACACGGAAGCGCTCATCATAATTCCTTTACCAGTGTTAGCGAGGATCGGTAGATGAAAGTAAGCTTATCTAGGAGAACATTAAGCAATTCTTTTAGCCTGGTGGAGTTTTTTGAACGCCGACAAGAGTCGAAAGAGGATAAGACCCCTCCTCGGATTTGGAAGCGGAGAACCATATGTTGTAGGCCGGGGTAGCTAGTAGTACCGATAGTTCTAAACTATGGTTGATGCTGGGCTAATGTCACACCAACGCTCTTAATCGAAAAAGTCGTCAAGGCTATATGTTACACAAATAGACATCTATGGTACCAACGCAGAAAAATCGATCGGGGACATGTGCATGCACAAGGATCCACCTGGCAACTTTAGGACTGCAAGAACAAGAACCATTAGGTACCATGCAAGAAACTGGCCCGTGATTTTGGGATCATACAGTGGTTTGGGCGATCATTAATATATTGGAAATCTGAACCAATGTAACTAATTGTCCCATGCATCTGGCAGCCGGTTACTGCACGGCGCACTGGCGAACCGTCCAAAATTTGGCCTAAGATTCTCCACCCCGAGTTCGCTCTAGGTTGATCATATCTACAAGCGAATTTCTAAGAATACGAGCAGCCAAGATTCAAAGAATGTGTTTGAGGCTGGTTTCCTGCAGCTGGGCGAACTTGCAAAGTTGCCTCGTCTGTGCCGCACAATTAGACGAATCCAATTGGCCCGCCGATACTTGGTCCCACAGGCAAACAGTAGATGCTCCTCTCATTTCCTTGGTTAAGTTCCCACGTAAGAAAAAAGTCACCGTAGAAATCTAGATTGAGGCTTTTAAATGAAAGGGCCTGCCCGAAGATTCGTCCCATCTCTATGAGGTTGACCCTACGTACAGTCCCTTTCAAACTTTATCTCTATAGATCTACCCTCACCCACGGGCCAATGATGGCAACATAATACCAACTTACACTCAGATGTTGTAATCGACGGCCACATTCTTCCTTTTCTTTAAAGAGATGTTCTTCTCCAATAATTTCAGAAGCCTTGTCATTTCTATCAGCGTTCTTGGTCTTTTGGTGCCGTGCAGCGGACAACAAGTTCCTGGGCCAATTTCCCGTGCACGGGTGTGTAAAAGATGGGCACATTCAAGTATGTTAACATTGTGATTATTGAGGACAGATGGTACGATATGAAGACGCGAACAAGGAAACCTTGCTGACGCGATTTTACTTTTAGGCGTGATCTTTAGTGAAACCCTCTATATATACGGTGGAAATGCACGGCGGGTACAATCAGAACTTGGCACAAGAAATTTGACAATAAGTAAGGAATGATTTGGAGAACTTCAAACAAAGTTCAGATCTTTAGCCCGGGCTTCTTGACTAATTGTGAGTTCAATGGGGCACATAAACAGAGATTTTTTTACGCTGGACCTCTCGAAGGACTTCGTCGTCGCAGATACACCTTTCGTCGGCCTTCCCGTCCCACCGATACCAGGTCCTGCGAAGGTGTTACAGGGGTCATTTTGGGTAAATGTACGATTAATAGAACGAATCGAATAGCTTGAGTCAGAAGATTTGGGATGTTCTAACCATTAGGGCGCAGGAAGCCGAGTCGAAATTTACATTCTATGGGGGATCCTTTAGCCCAAATCCACAGAATAGAACGGATATCGTCGAGCCACTTAGTTTTTGGAGCTATCACCCACTTACGTCGACATGGGGCGAGGAGGAAGCTCGCGGAAATTCGGTTCTACGGGCTTCTCGTGGTGCTTCCACTTACTACAAGGATATTGGATATTATCGCGGTGGGCAGGTTGACAACTCTACCACTCCAAACTGGCCAGGCGGAGACGCTGAAGCAGTAATCCTTTCCGGGATGCTCAAAATTGACCTTGCGACGACTACAATTACCAATGAGACACGGGCGTTGGGATACGATGTTTTCAAATTTGAAATTCCTGGGTTGCGGTATCGAGATGGGAATTTGATTCCGATTACTTTTAATAATAAAGATTATCTTATCAACTTCGCAGGCGGAGGCCAAAAAGGAAATGGTGTAAGAATAATACCCCAGGCTGGGACCCGCATTCTATCCCGGGTCAGGGCCGCAGCTAGCTAACACGCACCCTTTTTGTTGTAGCTTCCACTAGGAGATGTGTACGTCTACGATATTGAGCGATCGTCATGGTATCGACAACCTACTTCTGGGGGGCCGCCCAAAAACACACGTGGGGGCTGTGCAGTGGCTAATTATGCTCCGGATAACTCATCGATCCAAATAATATTCTATGGTGGTATCAGTTATAACTTAGGGTTGGGAGACTTTGAGGCGGTCGATAGTATGTGGATACTGACAATACCCGGGTTTGAAGTCTGCAATCCCTCATGGAAGATGGTCGATGGATGACACAGCTAACTAATTACCACAATAGTGGGTTCCCGTCGACCCTAGAAATAAACCACAAGGACCTGGTACAAGACAAGACCATACGTGCCACGTCCGCGGTTCACAGATGCTCCTCGTGGGCGGACGAAATGATTCCAGTATCTGTGAAGGATCTGGAATGTGGGTTTTCGACACGTCGAAATTAGAATGGCAGGCCTCATATGTGGCCAATATCCCCTACGCTGTGCCTACAATAATATCGAGTGTAATTGGTGGGAGTTCCAACGGAGGTGCATCGTGGGACGGCCTGCCTAAAGTAGCACCCCCAGATACCGATTCGCCCTTTTTTGACATAACTGGGAGCAAAGCCTCCGGTAAAAAGCCTCCTTCGGCTGGTGTAATTGCTGGCAGTGTAATTGGGGGTTTAGTAGGAATTGGGCTTATCGGTCTCGTCATATGGTATTTTTATAGACGCCATAGAGAGCAAAAGCTAGACGAAGCTCCGCTTCCGCCGCAGATAGAAGACCAAGGGCTTGACCCGGCGAAGACTGTATACGGTGGACCACCCCCCAACGAAATATCTGAACTTGGAAGTCCAGTGCCCTCATCACTAGCGCCGAGATACAGCACTTTGAGTGGATATAATGAACCCGCACAACTACACGGGGACTCTGCATTTCCAGTCGAGTTATACAGTCCGCCTTTAGGTCATGAGTTGTCGTCAGAATCAAGAGGGGTTTATGAAGTACAAAGTAAGAACACGATAGGGAGTGATGGCGATGCAACAAATGAAGGAGGTTCAGCGGCATATGAACCGCTCCCAGAGGCGCCAGTACCACCCCCAGTTGGAAGAAACTAGAAGTTCTAGATCCAGTTTATGGCAGAATATATATAAAGGGCCGTATACATACACATATACATATACATATATATAATATCGATATCACAATTTGGTTACGACCTAGGTACCTTAATTACCAAAATACTGTACAAAGCACGATTTCTCATTAATTACCTCGTAGTTACACATATCTCTGTCTTTTGAACCCCCACCGCCTCATGATATACTCCATTTCAAGATCTTGGCGTTTGTCATCACGGCCTCCGCCGGTCATATGTGAGGCAGCTTGCATTGGGGTCGGGCAGAGGACACAACGCAAGCTCTTCAAAAATGCAACAAACCAATATTGACGGTACGAAAGTCTGGCTACAAGACTGTATTGACGTGCACAGAATTCTAGAATACTCGAAGGACGGGAATCAATGGCGATGGCCATAGACCAAGCCTTAGTTATATTCCATTGACTGAGAAAAACTAATTAGTAGTATCAGTGCCGTAGTCGAAGAGACTGCTTCGGAAAATAGCAATTATTAATATAATATGATAGCCTTTAAAACCCTGCCCCCCTAATATTGACTTCGAGGTCTGAGTACCAGAAAAACATTCAGCTAACAGAAGCTATAAACACCCTCTAGCTCTGACCGCGGCGACGTGTCAAACACATCAGTAGATTTAAGCAGGCTCGTATTCGAGCTGAATATCCTGGCAATCTTCGGTGGTTTGTGGGCCTGAGCCCCACTGATAATTGGCTCCTGGGCCAAGCCCGAGAGACGAGTTCGTAGTACAGCCGTGCCAAAGAGCAGTACCACCGAGGGTCAGACGGCGCGCACTGTTGAACGAAAATGCAGTCTCATAGGCCACCCCACCAGTCACCTCACAGTTTGGGCGTCCAAGGGGTCCAAAAGCGAGAGGCGCAAGATTGCTGGTGAGGTTTGGTCTAAGGCCAGCGACGATGGGGTTAAGGAAGTTATTGCCCAACCAGAGACGTCCAGTGGAGTTCTCGAAATTGAAAACGCTTCCAGTCGATCGTGGCGCAGGGCGGACGCTGTTGATGAGAGCTAACATGTTAGTTTTGTGAACGAAACGGGCTTCCAAGTATAAAAAATAGTATTTATACGCACGCATCAAGGTTCTGGACATATGCGTATTTGTCCCTATAGGTTGACCATCTTGCGATAAACTTGACTACATCAAGGTTCCCATATATCAGCTTTAAAAATCATAAAGACGAGGGGTATGGGATAGGGTCAGCTAGTAGTTTTAAGACATACGCCGGAAGGGTCCGTAAAGGATTGGGGTCGGTAATAGCTGTCTCTTCACTTTGGTAGGTGCCCCAAGAAAGGGTGTGGCAAAAGCCACTGCAGCAGCGGCAAGAATTGTTGTGACGTATGAAAGCAGCATCGTTGATACTATACTATTCAAACCACTCGGGCTCGAGTTTCCAACTTAAAAAATGTAAATGATTTTACCAACTGAGTGTGACTGTGGCAGACTATCAAAGTCCACCTCAAAACGCTGCTTAGCCATTAATTATATAAATCTATGAAAGTTATGATCAATGAAAACCGTCCGCCTGTACCTCTTTATTGACACACATCTACAGCCTCGAAGACATAAGACTGTGATTGCTCAGCCCCGCGGGACTCAATGGCAAGAATTACAGACCTCATTCGACTCGGGGCTCAAATGGCTCTGAGTTCGTACTATGATAACTTTGGTAACCCCATCTAATATGTCGTGGGGAAGCTTCCCGATAGAAGATGAGACTGTGTGCCCACGGATATTTGAAGATGCACATAGCCTTGTGGAATACGACCGATTGCGTGTCCAAGGAGTCGTAATCCCGGAATCGATCGCGCATAGATGTCATATTAGGTAGGCACGGAATTAGTGAACTGGTCCGAGACTGTTTTCTATTTAATGAGTCTGATTATAATCTTAAGCTACGGCGCTAGAGTGTTTGGATATATGCGAGGTGCAGTGTCATGTTTGGAGTATCCTAGCGGTAAATCTAGGCTGGAGGATCCTAGGAGTTGATTGTTATCATTGGGTTATATTTGTCCTAGAACCAAATTTATGGCGACCTCCGCTTGACGCAGCTTTACAGCGATACCTTTTTTCTCGAAGGAATGCAATCCGCTACACTTGATGCTCACTTAATACGTGTAGCCCTGAGATACCAAGCCTTCAAAAATCCAATTTTTCTGCTTCGATCTGAATCAAACTTTTCCGCTTAGATATTATATTTGCCTTGGATTTAATTGAATTCTTCTTGAATAAAGTACCTAATCGTGATCACCCGAAATGGCTCTTTCCGCGCGATACGTGGAACACGGGTAGGCTCCTTCCCGCTTTTGCGTGACATTTAAAGCTTCGGATATCTTAATTCTCGTATTAGGTCCGTATTACACAAACCCCGCAGAATGTGCAACTTCGTTATCAGATTCGGCGGGACCTCGTCGCTGAAATTTCAACGGTCGCAAGGAACCGAGTTATAGGTTACTCAACGACTTCGAAAACGGTTGAAATGTGTCAATTGCAGGGCTGGTTTTACAAGGCAAGCCCCTGAGGTGAAACAGATCCGGGGACCGGGGGTGTTCCCAAGTGCCACTTTTGTGTGGCATCAAGACCCAATGTGAATCGAGACTGTGGATCTTCTTCTCAGCAGGGTTATCTGATGGTTAGCGCTCATCCTCACTCAATCTCTGGAAGTGGACTAGCTTCGGGCCCGGATATGGGTACCTAGCGCACCTGCTATGGATTCAGGGAGTACATTGGGGCCGCCAGCACAGAGCCTAACTACAATGTACCCGCTCATGTTAACTGCAAATATTCGCAGCTCCTGGGCCAACTTAGCTTTGAAGTTGCTTCGGCCGAGTGACTACTTCATTATTCAACAAGCTTAACCAGCCTCCATGAAGTTGTCCACTAACTAGCAAAGCCGGAGGTTCCCCATACGAAAGACATACCACTCTCTAACTGCATCTCTTGCAGCACTTGCAGTTGGTCCCAAGGAAGCTCAGACTCATCAAGCGGCATTTCAAAGGTTGATTATGTCAGCAGCAACAGCCTTAAGCGAATAATATCCACGAATTCGCCCGCGGAGACGTCTAAATGGCATGTACGGGGAACCTCGGGCTAAAATCAATGGCATCGATCAGCAAGTCCCGAGTACCAAAAAATGTCATATCTCCATCAAATCCGAATATTTTTAGTAACCACCTTTATACATTTCCAACAACGGAACTGGCACAATTGCAAAGTATAGTCAACTTTGATATAACCCTCGATATTTTCGTCTCTGTAGCAGTCAACCCCTCGTTAGGATATTTCCAAAATAATTTTGTTACCAAGCGACCCAGAATGTGGGCCCTGCTCGATTAGGGCCCAGCAGGATATTCTTCGTGATCGATTTTGTCAGGAGCGCATACTCAAGTTTTGTGAGGTTTGCATGCTGCGCACAGAATCGGAGCTTGAGTTTGCCCGTTGCCCGCCATCGCACACACCCCTGTCTTAAGTCTTGGCCCGGCGACGGGAGGCGACTGTTAGCACATACCTAGTACTCTGTACTCGAGCCCTGTAGACACCCATATGACAAGTATCGATGAAGGGTGGGAACCTGATCATCCACAGTCTGTGCAGCGAGGAGTCGAATATCCAAAATAGAAACCTGATGACTAAATCAAAACTAGGCCGATTATCAGTTCTTGTGCAGCTGCATGGAAATGTTCCGAAGGGAGCTAGAACCGCATATCAGACATCCTTTCAACGTTCGAGTCTATTGCCGGTGTATGAATGACGTAGCAAACCTTTACCAGACGGCCGAATTCCGACCTCAAGGCTGGACCAGCAGCAGGGTAATTAAAACAAAGAAAAATCCAGTGGCACAGATAGTTGCAATTAAGAGCTCTAACAAGTTGTATTGTGAGACCTTGCAGCTTTCCGGTGAACACCGCCTACCGTCGATCAAGCCCCCCGCGATCTTCTTTGTGACATGTTGCATTCGTTAAATTATTCCTCCTGCGGCGGCAGGCATGCAACCGTGGTGAAACGATTCAGAAGGTTTTGTCGGATCGCGGGGAACATGCATAGCCTCGTTAATCGATCGAGACTAGATCGCTAAGCTCAGCCTGATATTTTATTGCTAGTAGCTATCACGAGCGAGCTTCAAAGGCGAATATCCAGATAATTTGTATCGTAAAGTTCATTCTATTCAAAGTATTAGATTGTATTGAAATCGTGCTAACCAAGCCATCATACGCCGTCCCGGGATCCCATGGACCGGATTTTTGCGGCATCAGCGTGGTCGAGTGGCTACATTGTATACAACGAGCGAGGCTATGAGCAATGGATTCGAAAAGAGCTATCTTGATCAAGGACAGAAAAAAAAGTTCTTAGTTTTAAGCAGCCATATGCATAGAAAGCTCTCCTAAAGCCAAAGGATGCAAGAATAAAGTCAAATAAGGGTTTTTTAAAAAAAAATGTGATAAAATAAGAAAAGAAGTAACCGTAACGCCTATTCCATAGTACTCAAAGTTATAGAGCCCAATATGAATAAAAGGACATGAACAACAGGAATGAAGAAAGTAACAAGTATATACGAAGAACAAGAATTTGAACATGCATGATGAGGAGGGATGCTAGCAAAATTAAGATGAGAAACCGTAATAGACCGACTTATTGCAAGAACGCTACAGCAAAAACACCTTATAAAATAATCCCGCTTTTTGTAACCACCCAGGTATCACTCGCAAAGAAAATGATGATCAAACAGAGGAACTCAAATGCTCTAAGTTGTTGTCGGGAATCCTCTATCCTTTAGGGACTTCTCGTCTCCGAGGAGTGCGAGTTTCGAATTTCCCCTTTGAATCCGCCAGTAGTTGCTGCGTCCGATAACATCTCGATCCAAAGCCCACCACCAAACTGAGAAAAACCCTTGTCCAACTTCCCAACCACTTCCATCGAAAGCATCACTACCATTAATTCGAACACCTTCGAGACCGTCTTCTTCAGCATTGTCCATGTCGCTAACAAGTCGCCACAAAGTAAGCTTTTCGGATTGGTGAACCGGCCACATGCTTTCTTCCATACTAAACGTAGTAATAAGTCTATCCCTAACTTTCGGCCAGGGCAGGATATCTAGGACTGGGTGGTGTGGCGTCTTAAGCTGCACAGCAGTTGGTTGGAGATCGGAAGGTAGGTCACGATGCAACGAACTCGTCGAACCGTAGAACGGACTTGTTGCCGTAAAGTCCCAAAGCAGATGGTAAACTTTGAGCCTTTGGGCGATCATAATGCATGCGCGGAGTAGACTGAAGGCTGGGATGCTGAGATTTGACTCGTCAGGAAAATCAAACGCCGTAAAAGTGAATGATTGAAGGAAATCATCGATATCGGGGAGGGGTTCAGTGGTGGGAGGGAGGGGATTAGCTACCTCTTGAGGGCCACTCGTCTGAGTAAGCCGCATCCAGTTCTCGAGGGCCATCCCTTCCGTCCCAAAGGCCCCTGCATCGGATTCACTGGATGCTGATAGTGCATGATCAACCACGGATGTCGGGTTCCCAAAGGCATCGAACGGGTCCGATGGACTCAGCGAAACCGCAGACTGTGGATCCAGAGATTTTGTATAAACCGAGAGAGCAGTTTCGAGTTCAAAGACTCGCTGCCTGAGATACGCAAGCTCGCGAGCATTATCGGACCTATCCGACGAAATCGGGTCCCAATCTATCGGGCTCAACTCTTTCCCGTGAGGCAGCGATTGATCCTTTTGTTTCTGTCTCTCGACTTGCATCTGTAATTCCAGTTGATGTTCACGCTTACGCTTGCCTGTATAGATTCGAAATTTAACCAAGTCAGTAAACCCCCCACCAGAGAATTATTTATGTTGAGGATCAGAGCGCGCAATACAATAAACATGGATGGAAAGCAATTGCGCAAGCAAGTGCATGCCAATGTTGAAATCTTGACAACATGGCAACACAAATTTAAATTCGGAGATGATCGAGATGGGAAAACTTTCAGGAGGGTTACGCACGATATCTTCTTTGAGCCAGAACATTGAGTACCCGTTTTCTTTCCGCGGGGTCCTCAATATGATCCAATCTCTCGTCACTGGCGCTGGCGACATCTGGGACGGGCACAGGAGATTTTCGCTTCATGATTCTGCCAGAGTTCGACATTATGAACTCCTCCATGTGCATGAATATGCGGAAAACTTTGGATATACGGTGGCTTCCGGAATCGGTATGATAACTTTATACCAATTCCACAATACTAAACCAGCTCCGCAGCGTCAAAACGGCAGAATTGACAGCAAAAAGGCTGGTTTGTGTTGTTGTAGGTGTGAATAACGTTGGGTGACTAAGTAATTACCAATACGAGAGGCAAGGTAGAAAAACAAGAATAGATAGGGCTCAAAGGCGTGCCTAGGTGCGTGGAACGTGGACTGGTGTGTAAGAGAGTAGTAAGCTGGAAAGAGGAGGCTCTTCTTTAGGTATTATAAGAACTTTGCTTTGCTTTCCTTTCTGCTTCAAGGCCGGCTTGCCCTTTGGCCGTGAGACAGCAAGCAACCCTTTTTTAAGTTCTCCCGAACAAAGCTGGCGGTTTAGTTAGCTTCGATGAACCCCGCCAAGGCCTACGAGGGCATAACGTTATGTTGGTACCTCCTCCGAGAGCCATACCCTGGAGACCAGCCATGCTCTTGGGCCCATCCCACTAGGACTCATCGAACCAGGCGTACCAGGTAAACTGATGTTAACTAATACGCCCGTCCTCGCGTGAAAAAGAAATTCGAATTTCCAAATGCATTCTCTTCCAGAATATGGGTACGTGTAGAACTTCCGCCCCGCCATCATGGCTGATTTGGATTTACTAAGCCCTGTCGACCGTAGGTAGACTCCTCCTCGCAGTTAGGCACCAGAGGAAACCATAGCCGGGAATACACTGCGCTTGACCTTTTGACTAAGCAGCGCATCGACTCAATCTTTCTGCCAGTCAGTGATTGATTTCAAAAACATCCTGGCTTGCGAAACTGGAGAAACCATATTAGAAACACAGGAGGGCCCAACCAGGCTGTCCTTTGACATTTTTGTTTCGATCGCGTCTAGCCGACCTCTCGCTAAATCGGAAGCCTTGGATCGATTCTTCCCCCCCTTCGAGTGCAGTAATTGTATGTATGCACCCCAATGACAGACAGCCCCATCTGATTATAAACCTTGCAATTGCCCATATGGCATGGAGCCGCTTGACGTTCGACGGGTGCTCTAGCTTGCATGCATATCGATGGTTGCAGTCAATTTCTTCCAAGACTTAGGACTTATTCTCTCCCGTCAGGCCAACGTGACTCAAAGTAGAAGCCTAAGCGATAATTTGAATTCGCAGAATCGATCTTGATATTTTTAGATATTCTCATTGTCGACGCGCTATCACCATACCTCTGTACCCCTCGTCGCAAGTGACATACGTATATTTACATGCGCGTATGTTGTATTGCGTACTCACATCTGGGTCCGAAACTAGCCAAGCCAAGCTCTTTCGTGAAGACGTCAACCACCACGACACAACCAGAAAGCCCAACAATACGACTCTCTTGATTTTATTTTTCCACAAAAAACCAATTAGTAATTTAATTATCCAAAAACACTATTCCCCGTAGCTTTGAGGCATGTGAAGTAGTGAAGTGCCTAGGCTGAATCCCTATAACACTCATCTTCAATATGATATCCCCGTACCTGCACCAGCCTGGCTTTGAGTTGGAACGGGTTGACTAAGCTCCTAAATGCTGTGAAACCGCGAATAGCCCGCCTATGCAGGAATTCGCTGACAGCACGAAGATCAGCCATTACCGGACCCAAGCTCAAGGATCTGGTTATTCATTCTGAGTGGGCATGGGGTACCCCGGAAGCCCAGCCGGTTTCGTAAGCACTGCAAACTCTGGGCCTTGGGGCCGCGCGGGAAAAAAAAAATCTGCACCTTCCCATACCTGGCCGTCAAACTATAGCAGATGCTAGCCGTTGCATAAAGCTATAGGTCGCAATTCGAATGTTGGGCCCACACTCGATAAGGCATTCTAGCCTGTATATCCTGGTCGGAAGCAACCCTCGTCCGTGCTCCATGGGTCAATATAGTGCAATTTGTTCCGTCTACATAGCATACCGCAGACCTATGACCTAAAACTTGACATCAATATCTAAATTTGACGATATCTGATCTTTCCTCGTCGACAGGTATGATTTGAGAAACCCAATTCAACGGGTCAGGCTTCCTATATTTAAATTTTTTTAATTTTCATTTTTAGGAACAACCATCACGTTATAACACCGACGATCAAGATTCACGATTATCAGCCCAAAAGCTTGGACCATCTTAGCTGTCTGACAGTTTGATAATAGCCATTAGCGCCTTATTATTGCTATAGCTGGGGGACGACTCATGTATCATACGGAAAAGGGGTTTACAAACTGCAAATTCGAAGCGCGATGTATCAATCTCCGTCATCAAACTGGCCCTGAGCGACCAATGGGGGAACGGCAACAACGGACCGACGACTATAACCTCCTCTAGAACTCTTATCGATGCATTTAAAAAGCAAAGGAATACAACTCGTTTTCTTGATGCATCTTTTGCCATCTTCGTTCCTTGACAAGTTTTATTTTGAACGGCTTGTGACTTATGGACGATATCCGGCAGTGAATACGGGGAAGTTCAATCAAGTATATCGTCACATCCAAAGACGATCCATATAGAACTATGTCTCAAGAGATCGGTATCCGACGACTTAGCCGTAGAAATTCCATTGCGTCGAGCTATCATGTATCCAAATGCATGCACAGCTGCACAGGCCAACATAACGACGGGTCCAAAATTCCTTTACTGATCAGGCTCAATTCAATTGATTGAGTTTCTTATTTCTTCCCTATTATGGCCCGTGCAAAAGTTCGACCCAAGCATTCCATTCCAACTTAACTACGCCTAGTGCACGACTGCACCAGTTGTAATCTCAGCAACTACAAGGCAGTCCACAGATTTTCGGTTTGACCCTAGTGGTATCTGCCCGCATCATCACGACACTCTCATTGGTATGGCAGTACTCACAGGTTCGATTCTATCATCGCCTCATAGCGGGACGAGTTCAAGACTAAGCGGGATGTAAGGGCCCGATATTGCTATGCTGGTGGCAGTATAATATTTACTGCGCTTTATCTTGTGTGAATGTGTCGTAAGGTTTGCGGTTACATTCCATTCCAGCTGCCTTCATTGGCTAGAAGAATCGGATGCCGAAGTTAGACACCGGTCAGCCGGCCTTCATTCGTGTTCCTTGATACGCATACATGCCCCTCTCGAAATTTCAATCTTCGCTTCTAGGAGCCCAGCATCTGCATAGCCCGGAACCAATTGTCGATGAAACATCGAGTCTCGATTCCAAGAAACGATGCCGACGTAGGGCGGATATGCAAAGTGACTACCGTAATTGGAGGTTCTATATCGGCATAGCCGATATTAAATGTCGGCAATCGGTGCTTAACATTTAATACTTAGTGGCTATGGACACGCATTTCATACGTATAGAATCTTTACTAATTCACTGGAGTGTATCTAAGGCCTTTGAGTGTATACAGCGGAGGAAACTATAGCACTTTAGAGTTTAGATTATCTCCAGTATCGAAGGTTTTGGCGGAGCATACGTAGCCCGTTGCGTATCTTATGTAAGGCGCATTTCACATGGGCGCTGACGTTTTCGATCATCAGTTTTCAAAAAAACGGAGGGTTGCGGCCCCGCGGAGACTCCGTGACCCCGCTAAAACAAAAACGAAACTTGCCGGACCTTAAAACTTATGAAACACAGAAGCTTAGTATATGTATGAAGCTGGCCGAGAACATTTTATTTTATCTTATTTTTTTTGGTGAATCTACCTTGCGATTCGTCAATGCCGGCGATGACGAGGCTTAAGTCGGGCTTCTAGTGTTGCCTATGTTGGTGGCCGTATCGTCTGCTGCATGGATACATAGAGCGTGGCTTCAACCGGCTTGTAATAGGCTTCGGGGAAAAAGGCTGACCGTCGGTCTTATTCTTCGTTTCCCCTCTTTTGTTTTTCTGCCACACTTTTCTTGAAAGGTTCTTTCGCCTATTCCGAGCGGACTGCATATGTATGCGGCATGTCTTTCATTGCGCAAGTGGATGCCGCTGTCTTCCAGATCAATGACGTTGGATTTGATACAAAGTTAGGCATCGATATTCCAGAATGAAACAAAAACTTCTGGTTCCGCTCAAACCATCGTTTTCTCTTCCATTATCTTCCTTTTCACCTTTGACTCCGACGCTCTATGCTTAGCAATCTACTCGCGAAATGAGTACTGGCTATCCCAAGGCATAGCGCGAATACCAAACTTCCCTGTAATTCTATAACGTTATAGTGACCTGAGCATCTTCGCTCAAGGAAAAACAACATTTAGAATTTGTGTTGGCGCATGTTAAAAGAACACACGAAAGAAAGATCATCTTGGTTAGAACAGGGTCTTGGCCTTAATACGCCGCTGTTATTATGACCTGTTTTACCTTGCAGGCGCTCTGCTTACAAAAAAAGAGCCTCTCTCTGACTGCACAGGCAAGGCGCCAAGCTAAAAGTGGAAACATGTGGCTCTTTAAGGATCTGAGTTTTGACTGATTGCTAACGTTAAATTTTGCAATCTTGGGGAGTTTGACGTCTATTCCCCCGGTATAGTAGGAATCCGCTGGCTACTTTGTTAGAGGTAAGATTCAAGATCCTACGAATAGATATTTGAGAGTTGATAACCTACAGCTGCAGTTTTGGGAGGTCGGATAGATTGTGGGGTTTGTCAATTGGTAATTTTAATAATTTTCTAGAATATGGAATCAAACCCAGCGTATTAGATTATTGGGGCCATAGCTATAGCTTTTCGTCCCCTATCAGCGGCAAAGATTTACATGGTAAGAAAGAAAAGTAGTTATTAAACAAATTAAAATAGGAAAGGAAGACCAAGCTATGCGGGATACGAACGGAATGGAAAAAGCGCAATATTAGAAATAGTTATCTGCGTCGCATCACACGCGACATCCCCACCTTGTGCTTTTAACCCAAGACTCTTGAATGTATTTTGCGGGTATCAGCCGCATCGGAACAGAAACAACATATAACGGGAATCCTACTTGGCAATTGGTTGATGAGTAGGAGTATATCCACCCGTCCGACGCACTTTGTACGAGGAATCAATGATTCACCATATCCCCGGGATGAAATCCGGGAAGATTGTGCAGATAACCACCTCATCTCTAGTCCCATCGAGTCCTATTGCTCGGTACCTCTAACGGAAGACACCCGTTTTGCCTCTTTCTTCATTAATAGCGCACTTTTACTTTTTCTCTTTCTCCTTGGGGGGTTCCTCCGTAGGTTTGGGAGCTGGCTTCTTTTTCTGAGTACGGGTACCGCCCTCAACCTTGAAGGTATAGTGGTCCCGGTTGGAAAGGAGCTTTGGAACCTCGGATTCTTTCAGAACACCCCCTTCATGCAATGCTACAAGGGACGGGTGGATATCTGCATCAGCAGGAATGTCTCGAGGTGTTCCGAAGTTCGGTGGCCAATAACGAGGCACCCACTTGCCATTTTCGTACTCGAGTCTGGAGATGAACGGCATAACCTCTGCAAAGCCATCCATGTAAAGGTGTATGACCACGTCAGCAACTGCTATCAGGCACGTCTCCATTTTCAGAATGCAGGGAGACGAAGGGGATGTGGGGTTTTCTCTTTTGTCAGAAGGAAAGAAAGGGAGGCCTACCTAGAATCCACCAACCAAGGACACCTAAGAAGCCGCCACCTCCGCTGAAACTAAGGGGGTCATGAGGTCGCATTCCTTGTGTATCATCGATCAAACCTTTACCAAGTTGTTCAAGGTGTTCCTCGAACTGCCGCTCTGCTTCTTCCGCACCCTTTTCTAAAAGATATTCCTCCGGTTGGGTAAATTCAAGCTTGTTTTCTGTATCTGGTAGGTTTCGTACTTCCTGCAACATCCATGCCAGCGGGATATCGCTCAAAGCACGCTTTTGATCTGGTGATTTTCCCCACCCTCCTCCGACGTCGCCATGATTCCCACAGAAATAGACTTCTTTAAGGTCTGGGTGGTCGATGAATCCCTTGTAGAGGGCAGGCTTGAATTTCAGTCGTCTTTCATGCACACTGACGGCATGTCGAATGTGAGTTGCTGAGGAGCCCATTGGCATATAAGCATAAGATTTTCGCCAGAAAGGCGGCTCAAGCTGGCCAACAGAGTTGACGCAGTCGAATAGACCGAGAAAATGGACCTAATATAGATCAAGAAACGAGTTAACAAGACGCAATATAGAATGAATAAAACTTCGAGCATCTACCACCGGGATAGATGATTCCCACAGGGAGTACCTACATTCACACCACTACGAGAGAATGTCTTTTTGAATTTCCGCATAAAATTACGTCGCTTTAGATCCTTGGGACCACCATCATGTCTCGACGTCTGGAATGTGCTGAACGTTTTCCAACCGAACTCAATCATTTCCTCGTTACCTCTCGATAAGAGACCGACGCCTGCCAACATCTCTGAAAGGAAACGGGCGGTGTATGCTCCACGGGAGAAGCCGAAGATATAGATACAATCACCGGGATTGTAGTATTTCATGATGAAAGAGTATCCACCGATCACGTGGGCCTTGAAGCTTGTGCCGACTGCCTGGTCGAGCACGGTTCTGATCTTATCACCGAAGCGGCCGATAAAGGTGGTTCCCTCATTTTGAACGTATGTTCCGATTCCAGCTAATAATGTTACATGTATTAGTACGCCACTATCAGTCTGCCAAAAGATACAACAAAGAGAAGTGTTGGTGGTGGTTGGTCATGTGTTGGCGGGGTTAGGTCCAAATTCATAGGAAGTAGGTGGTATGCAGGCTATACGAAGGCAAGTAGATACGGAAGAAAAGCGCTTCGAAGGAGCACATACGCTGATAATAATGAAATTGAAGGTCCGAACGTCTGTCTAGAAGCTCATATATTTTGACGATGTTGGAATCCTATTGCCGCAATATCCACCTGTCAGCATCGGCACTTTAACCTCGTATCCGGGTTTGCAGATCCACGGTATTCTCGTCTGATACATGGATTCGGGATAGTTCACGGGTTAGAACTTACGGTATCGTCTCCATGAAATTTATTTCCTAAAAGACCCCAGGCGGTGTCAGATCCAGATCTCTCTCTATATGGTTTTTGCTAAGGGGTGGTGTCGCGCATACCTGTTCCATCAAAACATAACACAAGTCTTCGCTGTTTTGTGAAATCTACTTCGCCGTGGAGACCAGAGTCACAGGTGGAGATGGATGACGGCCTCTGCGGCTTTTCTGAGAGCGCTGGTTCGACGGGAGGCTCTTGTTCAACTGCTTCGACTGCTTCAATTTGTGCGCCTTTGTCGATGGGCGTCTCGACCATTGCGACACGCTCGATGGACTCCATCTTTGCTTTCGGCCCTGCTTCTTCTTCTTTCGTCCTACGTTACGGGATAACGGTGTTTCGAAAAAAAAATACTGTTGGATTCAAATGTCGACGATGTCCTTCCGGTGGAACACAAAAACAAAACTCCTGAATCGAATGGTAGAACTGATCTCGAGGGGCTTATAATAATCAGGTTAAAACCCTTTAAAAGGCTCTCTGTTTTTCAAAGTAACCCGTATCGTCAGCCTTAGGTTTCCGTCCCCACACTGCATTGACCTCTTTTTTTCATTCTGTCTGCGATTTCCAAGATCTCAAACAATACCAGCCGCCCTAATTCTTTTTTTTCTTTTCGGGGGACGGAAGGGAGGGGAACAAGGGCATGTTCCCGCACTCTCCTGCCCTTGGTTGGCTAGTTTTTCATGCACTAGTGACGCCCTGATCCCCGCTTTCTCGCCAATCGAAAAGACACGTTCGGACGGCCTGGGCACCAAGAGATCGAAGAGTTTGCTTGTGACGGGCCGGGATTTAATTATTCCCAGCTGAGAAGCAGGCTGTTATTCTCCGGCTGACGAAATGCCTTTGTGTATATATACCTCTTATGTATATATGTATATATATGTAGATATACTGCTATTGCGATTCGATCTTTGGCGAGAAGGAAAGAGGATTCAAGGCTATAGTGGAATTCATGGAAGGATAGCTTACGTACTGTCTTACTTTCTTTGGCAATTTGGGAGCTTAGGTTGTGAATAGAGAGCCTGTTTTGCAGGTTCTTAAGCTATCGATCTTTAGCCTAATTTGGATGTGAGCGCCTGGACTAGGTTAGTTTGAAGTCGTGGAGCTCGAGTTCTCGTGATTTGATAAATGTTGGTGATTGTAGTGATTCAGGCAATTTCTGCAGGGTAAGAGTGCGGGTCACAGGTATTAATGGATTTAGAAGAAGATTGACACTTCGCATTCGGTGCCGAGCCCGAACTCGAACTCGAACCGAAGTTGAGACATATGCTGAAGTATTCAGCGTCAGCTTACATACTGTCGAGTACTTACACACCACCATATCGCAAAGCCTTCAATCGTAAAAGGTATGTTCCTAGTTATGAGTTGCCTGGTGGCTTTTTCTATGTGCAGTGCAATCTTAATATTGGGCTTTTGAAAGTAATAAGGCTATAGAATATAAAGTGATTTTGGAACGAGTGCCTTGATTGCGAGGTCATATGAGCCAGGAATCGAAAACTATGTCAATGCACCAAATTGGGCTAAGGAATAAGGTATGCGGCTAGGTTTGTGCAGGCATCTAGTGGCTCCCTGATATACTAAGCTTATATAAGTCTGCCAATCAATTTTATACGACGACGAGAAGTCGGTTCAGCTTTCAATGCTTCGTGAAAGTCTCTGCACAGCGTATTTTCAGTGTACGCGAGATTTGGTATTAATAATGTTCACTGACGTTCAATTGCGCCCTTAAACGAACGGCAACGCTAGATAGGTACATGCCGGCATACACAAGAGCCCGTGGCTGCTACCAACTTTTCTTAGAATTGCGACTTTCTGGTTGGTGTCTTAAAGATTTGGATACGTCGTTTCCAAGTATTGTCCTAAATTTTTAAATTTGATATGTGATATATATAAGAAAGTAGAATAGTATCTTGAAAAATTATAGACCATGAGATCTTAGATTAAAAGCGATATAACGTATATATTAGCAAATTGTAAATGCAGAGCTTGATAGTAAAGATCCGTCTCAAACGGGGAACCTTTCCTTCATGAGCACCGCTAGAGAATTTTGGTAAACTGTCGAAAAAAAAGACGACGCCTTAGGGTATCTTAAAACGCAGAGGAGCTGCTCAAGACCAGCGAAAGCAAGCTGGAAGGAGCAGTTGCCTCATTCTGACTGGTACCGACCGACCGAAAGTTCCCCCCTCTTTGCCCCCCTTCCTCTCCTCTTCTCGCTTATACTAGATCTCTCTAGTACAGGCTCTCATTCACTTATTCACTCGTCCTCCATCTCTTTTAATTTCCGACCCTCATGGGTCCCTGTTATAAAACCGACATGCTTTTCCCTGGCCAGCTCTGTACAACCGTAGCCAGAATCTTCCGTTCTTGTCGTAGACTCGCAAGTTCCGCTCGTAGCTTTGAAGCCTCGGCTTCGATGCCTTCGATTTCCCTCTGTAGACTGTCCTTGCTTGCCTTTTTCGGGCTGCTCTTGGTACTGCTGTTTCTGCTATTCGGATCCGTTGGACTTGATGTCCGTCGTGAAGGGTGTGATGATGTACTCGACCGGCCGGCCATAAGGGAAAGTTATTTTTTTTCGTTTTCGTGTCCTTCGATGTTCACCCTTTTGGTGGGGGGTCCTTAGGGTGGTGGCGGTTGAAGAGATGTGTGTATCGGTAAAATACGCCGGTCCTTTCTGGAGAAGTAGAGTCCGTGGTAAATGCTGGTAAATGTGTATAGGTCCGGTGAAGCTGGTCCCCGTCCTTGTCTGGCGCGGTGGAAGAGTGATCGCGAAAGCAAGATTTTTGGTGGGAGTGGAAAGGGGGATCCTTCTTTCCTTTGGTTTAGTTACAGCCCTCTCGCTCGGTCTCTTTATGCCAAGCTCAATCTTATCTGATTTCGTACTTGGCATGACAGGCTCACTCGATCTGATTAGATTATAAGTCATGTGATCTTGTTGAATCTAATCTAATCTAATCTATACTCATCGCATCGGGGAGAACGGAAACGGCCGATTACAACGCAACACGAAACAGCATTTCTGGGTTAAGTCGCATGACCTCAGTTACGTCACTGTTCCCGGTTACGTTTTCGCGTGATAGATTGTTAGGAATTTTTGATGTAACGCTTCTATGGAAATACCACGGGGGAGATACTTATCAGATACATTCCTAGATGGCTCTTGTTCTTTTCTGTCTAGTGCGATGGTGTAATTCTTGTAATATCCATTTTGCAAGGAGAATCCGATCGATCTGATTCTTTTTCTCTCTCTTTCGGGTGAGGCCGTTTTGGAGTATAAAGGACGACGTAATTAGGTTCTTATTTCCATTCGTCAGCCACTCTGTTTTCTGCTTTCTTCCTCCTTCTTCTTCCCTCATCGCTGCTGTTAAATAAGATTCTGTCTTTTAGACATAACCTTTAATCTTTTAATCTAACCAACGCTTCTTCGCCTTAAGGACATACATTTAACGTTAGCGATAGCAATAATCAACTCTCCTCAAGGGAAAAGGAAACAAAAAAGAGGCACGATGTTGTTCTTCATCCTCACAGCCCTGCTCTCTTCTCTCGCCATTGCTGCCCCAGTCAGTGATGAAATAATCACCATTCAAGAAAACGCCTGGGGATACGGTGCCGGTGGAGGTATCGTTGGTCTCATTATCTTCATTTTAGACGTCTTGGTCTTCAGTAAGCCCGCCCCCACTTCCCCCCTCTGTTGTTCTATCCTTGATTATATGTGTTAGTGCTTGAGGAAATTGATGCTAATGATGTCATAAATAGTTGAACTATTCAAATCTTCCCGCCCGGCATCGCATAAGATTCTTTGGGGACTGTTTGTCTTCTTCTTCCCGATATTGGGACTCATCATCTACTATTTGTTCTCGAACCGTCAGAACTATACGCATAACTATGAGGCTTTGCCGTAAAAAGCTTTTTATGTGTATGATTGGATGATGGAAGGCAACGAGGATTGTGGTTTTGAGAAGGTTTTAGGGAGGAATGAATAACGGAGATTATTACTAGGAAAATGATGGCTCTGTCCAGGTTCTTTTGAGCCATGGGCGGACATGGATTTTTGTTAGGAGGCTTATTGTATTATTCATATGCTGGGACTTCTTGGGAATCAATTTATTATCATTCTTCCGCCGAATATGCACTTACATTTACATCGTTTGGTTCTGCAAAGGTTTCTGTTTGTTATCGATGAGGTTGCTTAGAATGATTTCGATGTTTTGCTGAATACACACACGAGAGAATGGTTTTGCCTCTTCATCTTCATCTTCATCATCATGACATCATCATCTTCTTCAAGGGTACTAGCTATATTGCACGATATTCTTATCATCTACTTGTTCTAGATTTTGAACCGCTATTCTATCCGGTATCATTGCAGTGTGGAGAGGGGAAGATTAGCAAGATAGGGAATTCGATTCTCGTTTGGTGATACGAAGAACGATAACAAGGAATGGATGACGTCAGTATGAAATCTTGGTGGTTGAAACAAAATTATGCCAAACACCAAAGAGTAAAATATCTTAAGGTAACGAACGCCATGCTATTATTGAAGCCAAAGCTTATAGGGGAAATGTTTTCAGCATCTGGACGAAGATATCATTCGTCATTAAGTCTATTGTGGTATCAAAGAAAAGAAATAGATATATACATGTTAAAAGAGGCTGGTGAATGGAAATGAAAGGCGCTTCAATGGTTCCCATGCATCTAGCTGGGACCGAGAATGTTCTGAAGCTGTAAACGCGGACCCGACCGAGGAAACGCGTTTAGGAGGGGGGGTAATTAGAATGATGCTACTTTCTGTGGTTTTTGGTAATATAAAAGTTTGTACATTGGTTTTCGTGAAAACCGCGTCAAGCGGGTGGGGGTATTTAGAATCGTAATGGAGGTGAGGATCTTATAGGTCCGCGAACAGGGTGGTTAAGATAGATAGAATCACGGCTGTGAGGATGTAAAGGCTTGAGGTGGTCTAAATAATGGCATTAGTATGGGGTTCACAATGAATGATTGGCTGTGGGTTACTCACAAGACATGGACCTGCATTGACACCGAGGCCCGTACCAGTGGGGATCGGTAGACTTGTTCCAATACTCGTTCCACTGCTCGCCTCGCTCGATTCGGTCGATTGAGTTCGGCTAGGGGCGGCAGTGGAAACTGACTCGGTTGTGCTTGAGTTTATCGATGTCGCGATCGTGGACGGAGGTAGGGTTGTCGTGATTTCGGGTTCCTTTTTAGATAGATGTATAATTAGTAGCCGTTGGGAGACCAGAACTAGGATCAAAATCAGAGGTCGACATACAGCACTAGTGGAAGTTGAACTTCTCAAATTACCGAACCCCTCACAGAAGCCGTCTGCATAGGCTACGAGTGACTTCGCCCTTGCTGGGTTCGCGGTTGAGAGATAGCCAACGCAGGTTTTGGCTGCTCCGTCAATGATTCCGGGGACCCAGCTTGCTCTTGCGCCATAGCATAAACAGCTTGCTTGGAGGCTTGCTGTTAGAGTACCAAACTTTCCTCCAGAATATGCCGATTCGCATGCCCCATATTGGTCGTCGAATAATTGGCATTGCTTCAATGCTTGCGAAGCCGAAAGTCGCACATCTCCAACCGTACCACAAAAGTCGAGAAGGGTGGAGATTTGATCTCCTTGGCCGGCTTGGTTCTGGGCATAAGTATAACAAGCGGAAGCGAGATGATCGAATCCATCAGGCGCGAATTTGGTCCGAGAATTGTAACAAGCACAATCTGCGAGCGAACTGCTTCCTGAGAAGACATAATCCGATGATTTCGGGGTACGAGCTCCACAGGAATTTAGTACCGAGGCTAAAGTATTGCATGCCAATGAACCGATCGTGGCAGATTTACTAATGTCACCGGCGAGGTAGCAGACATTTAGATATTGAGCTACACCTTCTGTAGCCTCTGGCCGGATGGAACGGATGTAATCGTAACATGATGTCGCAAGGCCATCGAATATCTGGGGAACGTATGACTTATTGTAGTAACAGGCACACGATGCGAGGGCCGAGGTTCCGGCTAGGTTTGTGAAGCCAGACGTCGAACACCAACTGTAGACCGAGTAAAGAGCGGAACAAGCATCGCGACCTTCAGGAGTAGCGGAAGTGCCAAGGCCAGTAGAGCCAGTAGCGGTTTGTCGAGGGTAAAGCCTGAGGTTCACGAGGCTTGGATCTGGTGCAGCGGTGATGGTGGCATCGAGGCTGAGGGCTTTGTTTGCGAGATCGAAGTTGTTGGTTGAAGCGAGTGTTGGCAGAGAAAGGAAAGCCGTGGCGGTTAATGCAAGGAAGCAGAAGAAGTTTCCGAGTGCGATCGGATTTCGCGATTTGCATGGTGAAGCTGAAGCCATGGCAGATGCATAATATAAAGACAGAAAAAATGTAAAAGACGAATAGCTACTGGAAAGAGTGTCGGATTGGAGGATCTCGAGAGTCTAGCCGTGAGATGACAATGAGATGCAAGAGAAGAAAGAGAGAAGAAGTCACAGTCACAGTCACAACGGCGGCCGGGTGGGACGGACGCAGAAACATGTCATCGTGAACGCATTTATTCCTGACAACTTCCCAAATTAAACATCTCACCAACGGCACCTAACTGCTGTGCCTACATACGGAGTACGGTCAGATCCAATATGCAAACGGCGGCACAGGGCTTCGGCATACACGTGGATTCCTGCTATTCAATATTCCTCCGGGTAGAGAATTGAGTCGAATTCGGGGAGCGGAAGGAAAAAACGACGGATTGAAATTGCCTGCAGGGTTGTCGCTCAAGTCGCAAGTTTATCACCCTGCTCGCCTGAAATGGGTTTAGTCGAAGTCCCCGCCCTGCAAAAACCCGCGATTCGATTCGCAATTACATAGTACCATACCATACTGTGTACACACGATAGAAAGCTAGAGAACTCGAAGTGTGGTTTATTGAAGGAAATGGAAAGGAGAGCTAGAGGGAAGGCGGACAGGGAGAAGATCTGTTTTATTTGTTTGACATCATTCCTTCGTTCCAACCTTTTGACAAAAAATCTCGTGGCGAAGCCGACGATGGCACTGAAACGGACAAACGGCACAGGGACTCTCGCTAACTTAACATTTTAAAATTAATCCACAAACCAGGTTTTAAGCGGAGAGACTCGAAGACCCACAAAGATCTGGTGGCGGTCAAATGACGTTGGCACAGCGAGGCGTCTCGACGCGAAGCATCCTAGCTACACAGCGCTGTGAAGGCCAAAAAAAAACTCCTCGGGTTTGTCAGGAGCTCGAGGGCCTGTCACGCTCCTGTAGTCTGGGAGCTTGTTTTGACGAGAATATGTCTAATATGATAAAAGGGGGAAGACTCAACCTCGTGAGGGTGCATGCATTTAGTGCGCGCATGCACCCGTTATCGCACCTTTCCGAAGACATCTGCAACGAGCTAAAGTGGCATGCTTTCAGACGTCTGCATGATTGTCAATGTTTCCGTCGCGATTCGGAATATTCGAATGGTACTCGCATTGTGAATATTCACGAATACAGGTAGACACGCTCAAGATCTATTGTGAACGAGATGTCCCCCGCGTTCTCTATCTCCACATATTTACCGAATAGCAAATATCCCCTTTGTTTTTAATCGGAGAGCCCAGGCGTGCAGGATAAAGCCTAAAGATCCGGAGTAAGGCATGACTTCCCTCGCGCCCGGCTGTAGTTATGGCCTGGGTCTGCTGGGGAGGAGAGGAAGAAAGAAAAACCAACAATGTTACATGGATTTAGGGGAAACAACCCCTAGGCGCCGGTCGATGACAAAGAATAGTCTTGAATTCAGCAACCCCAAGTCCCCACGGAGCGGGTGTCTAAGACATTGCGCGGAGAAGGGATCTTGGTGTTCTTCTATTGTTCTTACTCAGAAGCTTTCAGCAAGAGGTTGGGTATGTGCGGAACAGAATCGTTATACTCTGCCTCAAAAGCGCCTGGATTCGAGGCTGACTAAAAGGTATTAAGCGTGGAATGTGACTTGTGTATGCATCAATTTGTTGATCAATTGAAGCCTGGGCTGCTGTAGCTTCGAATCCAGGCGTCGGCCTGCTGAGCGATATCGATACCAAAGTTATTAAGATTACTAACTAAGGTTTGTGGTATATGTGCAAGCATACCGCGTTATTAAATCCACACTGTTCGTGGCCTTGTATGATACGGAGCCGCAGTTGCAAGGCTGTTGAAAACTCATGGTTTGAGATCGACACAAATAGGTATGTAGAAAGTAGTAGTTATTAGTATAGTTGTAAGGGAATCAAGGCTAGAAACATCCCTCATGGAGAGGCTGGCCCGAAAGGGGTGCAAGCCATGTTACACAAACTGCAAGTCATGTCTTTACTTCTTTGCGACTTCCCAATTTAGGTAACTCCTAATCCAATGCTATCTACTCTTTGTGCACAAATGTGATTGATGAATGGCCTGGTGTTTGGACGAATTCTAGATTTTCGATGTCGACTCAGGGATCCGACGAGACGGTACGTTGAGGCTTCTTCACGCAAGGGAAATCTCATATATATATTGCATAGATACAGTTTCCCAAGATCACCGAATCAGCGGGCGGGCTGCGAGTGCTCTTGTAAAAAAAAAAAAAGGCTATCGATATCGTGGCTGTGTTTCTGAACATACGAGATGTTGCCGCGAAGGAAGTAAGTGGTAGTTCCAAAACTATATAACTAGTGCATCATATATTCTAGCATATATAAGTACATAAGGATGCTTGCTGATGTCTGCTCTAGACGTTTGTTCAAATGGCTACAAATGCTGCTCTGGATCTTGCATTGAGCCTGATCAGCTGATGAACACTGCTACGATTCAGAATTTCTAGGTATTATCAATACAAAAGCTTACCCCCAATTAACATAGTTTTACCACAAAAGATAAAAAGATGGAACGAATTTGCTGTTTCTGATTTGAAGGGGTTTACTGTCCTCAGAATTACAAATGCTACACATACAGCTATATCAGATCGGGACTATCTTTCCCTGTCTGTTGCTCCGACAGTGAATGTATAGGGCTGGTCTCTCCATATGTTATTGAAGGCTTTAATCCACCGGAGATACCGCCAGAGCATACTACATCGACCTGAGCTATTTACCAAACGGATACTAGGACTGTGACTTGGACGTATTGGTATACATACTACATCTACGTCGAAGTTAGAAGAACACTGGAAGTTACAAGTGAGAGAAGGACTACCGTTCGTGCTGTTTCGGCTTCTGCGACAACTTCTGCGGAAGCTGAGAGGGAGCTGGGTCTCCTTGCTGGGGAACTTAGTTCCCATACTCCACCCCAGCCTATGACGGAGATTAGGGGGCCGGTACCCTCTCCCTTTACTACTACAACTTCAGTGGAATCCGAGCCTACTACTTCGTAACTAGAGGCTGAACCCACAACTAGAACACTGGGACCTAATCCACCAAGTTCAAGGGGGATAGATCCGAGTGGAGGGTCTAATACTCCTCCTCCGGGATCGATGCGAGAGAGACCGACTTCCAATACTCTTCTGGATGTGGATTTACCCGAACCTACTGCTAATGTGACTGATTCTGATACTACGCTGCCATCGGGTGGGAGTTCTGGGGAAGTTGGTCGGTTTGAGATGGTGTCTGGGGTTAGGGGTGGGATTATGATTGGGACCGCTTTGGTTATCTTGATAGTGGGGGTGCTATAGACTTTGCATTGGGGATAAGTATTTAGAGGTAGGGTCAATACATTAAAAACGAAGTCTGGATATCTAGATACTAGGATTTATTTTGTCTCGTACCCAGACCTGGAAGCAAAGTTTTCCTAAATAAAGAGTTTTCTCTCAAAGAACTAGATTCCCCTACATATGTTTAACAGGTAATGATATTTAACCTCAAAATTTCCGATACAATGATATCATGACGTACGCGACCATGCCCTCAATCGAAGTGCACATTGACTATTCTATATGTAACCATAATGTTTCTCCCCGTGTGGTATCTGGGATTCGGGAACGAGACCGATGTGACCTAGATCGATAGCCACCAGTCACCGAAGCTCAACAAATATGAGGAATATGAGGTAAGAGTTGATGACTCGCCCCCGGTGAATTCTAGCTGAAAATCCTCCTGGGTCCAGAATTTCTCCTTTACACAGCCTAGTCCTTGTAGATACATATCGTGTCGAGCTGTTTTCGTCCAGTCATATTCTTTGAGCGCCCTGGTTTTGATTTGATGTATGTAAGTACGTTATCCACTAGAATAACACTGTACAATTGGATCGAATTCTAGGTTCGTGCAAAGTACATACGTATGGCACGCACTCTAGGGAAAGGCCTTTGTCCTTCAGAGGTATGCTGATGCGCACACGCTGGAAAGTGCCGTTATACGTTAGCGGAAATATTCCTCCAAGGTCCTTAGGTCTTGGAGGCGCCGCATCGAAATCTGACCTTTATCGGAGCCAAAGCTCACCAAATTTTGAATTCGTGGGGTATTTACAACCAAAATGGATAGGTTTTGCCTATGCATTAGTCTCGAGGCCAATATCTAGATACTTTCGTTTATACCGATTCTAGATCCCGGCCGGGCCTCTCTTGCAATTCCAAATGCACTTACAATTAGTAGCTCGGCATAGACATATGTATAATATATTGGCCTAGGCCAAAACTTAAGCCAAGTACTCGAGTATAGGAGCACGGCTTTGTTCATAGTCTGAGTGTTGGTTGTTGGCTCCTATCGATGTTGGTGCTAGCTAGAGTTGCATTGTACAGTACACTGCAAGCACTGCACTGCCAGACGCGTTCGTCTCTTCTTTGTTCAAATACGCGCAACATAGCTTGGAAAATACCACAAAGACCAAAGCGCTCCTTACCAAAAGCGTGGCTTGTTTTTAGGATTGCCCCGAATAGCTGGGGACTTGGACTTCTTCCTTCACCACACATTCATCTTCCTCTATCTCTTATACATATATTTCTTCACCGACTATCTCTCTTTATTCATCACCTATACATCTTTCTTCATCGATTATAAATCTATTTTCTCTGTATGTGTCGACTCTATCTAAGATATTCGGATTCAGCTCCTTAGCATTAATCTTCCCTGAGATCTTTAAACTGGGGGTATCTTTCGAATCCCTAGAAAGCAGTTGAAGCTGAATGGTTTCCTAAGAATATCTACAATACTGTCTGGGACATATATTCGGTCGATATCACTGTTCAGAATCTGTATCGAATCGGTGTATTCCTAGACTAATTAAATTTGCTCGTCGACGTATCTTACTAGAAAATCCCTAAGTCTACACCAAACCTTTAATTCGAAAAATTTAAAGTCGATATTCAGTAAAGAACTCAATCCCTCGGAGTAGCCTTCAAAGTTAAACTCGACCTCTGCAACCACTCACGACATTCTCTACCAACGATTTCATAGCAATTAAAGGCATACACTCGTACGTTTTGAACGAGATAATATAACCTAAGATCGCTCGTAAAGAGGGCTTGATCTCGCTATGGCTGACAGCTTACTTTCGTTGCTGTTCGGCCCTGATGGCCTCAGTCCACCAGAATGGCTTAGACTTGCTCTTGCGGGTGGCAGTCGTTCCAGACCATGCTGTCAAATCTGTGGGAGCTATGGCCATAGACGTCGAGATTGTACTGCTGTGGGGGTTATTGCGGGTGTAATTAAAAGTGGACTTCGGGCTGGGGAAAGCTCAGGTGGAAGAAGTGGACCATGGAGAGGAGGAAGAGGAGGAGGAGAAGGGGGGGGAGGAAGAGGAGGAAGAGGAGGACCGTGGAGGGGAGGAAGGGGAGGAAGGGGAGGAAGGGGAGGAGAAGTAGGAGGAAGTGGTGGGTCATTGAGGGGAGGAAGAGGGGGGGAGAAGCAGGAGGAAGTGGTGGGTCATGGAGGGGAGGAAGAGGAGGATGGGGAGGAGGCGGGGAGGGGAGCTCAAGGGGAGGGGGGCACAGAGGGGGACGTGGTGGGTTTTCACCTACTACTACGCAATTTCAGGGGGACGCCATCTTAGTCACAGAGATGGACAAGATGACAATTTCGGGGGACAACGACAATGAAACTATTGCGTTATCGAAACGAGTTCTTGCTTTTAGGGACAAGCAGTGGGTTTTCCCAATCCGAAAGGAGTACAATACGACTTCCGGGCGACCCACCTATGTCATAGCCAACTACTACGAGTTAATGACCAGTACACAAACAAAAATCGTAAGATATGTATTCGAAATGACCGGGCCTAATAGAAGCAAAGAACTGGTCGATAGCTTCATCCAAAAAGAATTCCCCACCGTCGTTGAGTATCTTTGCCCCGACTATGGAGGCTATCTATATGCTCCGGAGGACTGGATACCGGGAAAGCAACACTTCACATATCCGGCGGGTCATGAATTTGAGGGCCAAACATTCACTCTGAAATCTCGATTGGTTCTCAACGTTGACGAATACCGTGACTACCTTGCAGCCTCAGACGTTCCAATATCCTCAATTCTACCACTCGCACATGAAGAAACGGAGAATTGTGTTATTCCAGTAGCCTTCTACGCTGTGTCGATGGCACTCAATGCTATTATAATTCGCAACCCTAGACTCAAAAACACCCACTTAATTCACGAGAAGGGAAATACTATGTATGACTCCAGGAAGGGGAAGGTATTGAGTCAAGACCCATGCTCCATAAGCGGATTGGATACTGGGCACTCCGCACAAATTATTGTTGGTCTTCACGCCTCTGTTAGACCAGGATCACAACGGTGCCTGGTGAATGCAAGCAAGGTGACGAATTTATACTATAGGACATTACCAATGGAAGATATTGTCAATTTGCGTGAAGGAACTCACGGTCAAGGTGTGAATCTGGAAAATCGGCTGCTCGATAGTATGTCCACTATAGAAGACCCCATGTTCTTTCAAGTTTTGAAGCTCACATTATGATTGGAATATTAGAAACAGAAGAGAAGGGTGTCAACCAATGCTGGACAGGGGTTCTTATCAGGGTGGATTTACCTGATGGGACATCCCAGTACCGAGTATTAAAACGCGTTCATAATGGAAACGCACAGCAAGTAATCTGGGAGACCCGCGAGGGTGTTCAGGTTACAGTAGAGATGTATTCAATTCGGAGTAAGTTCCCTTGCTGAAACCGCTATCTTAATAGCTAGTATTAATTTAATTCTCATTCTTCTTTCCGGGGTAGTGGGGCGCCCGCTTCGGTTCCCCAAGGTTCAGCTTCTTTCGTTCAAACCGCTGCGAGGATCAACAGGCCGCTGTGAGTTTCCGATAGAGTGGTGCCGCGCAGCCGAGGGCCAGAAGTTTAAAGTACGTCTTGCGGCATCTGGGTCCAGGGATATGATTTATCACTCCTCTTCTGCCCCCTTTGAGTACTTGGCAACTCTGAAAGACGAGTTTTCGAACATGTTTCATAGAGCTCAGGATAACCTAACGGTAAGTCGAAGGACCCATCATGTGATTCGGAAGGTTATATCTAATAAAACGGAGTAGCTAAGCCGTTTTGGCCTTGACATCGGGAAAGAGCTTCTCAAGATACAAGCTCGAACACTGGCAATGCCAAGGGTGATGATGGGAAGGAACAGCACTGCAGATATAGACTCCGACAATGGATCGTGGCGCCCTAGGGGCAAGAGCTTTCACTCTCCGGCTGCTTTGCTGCCTTATATTCTGCTCGAAATCCGGACTGGTGCTAGGGCGGTTCGAGTCGACCCGGGTGTGGGTAAATCATTCAAAGATCTTATTATTGCACTTTTGGGGAAGTGTCGCGGCTACGGTATGACCGGAACCGAGGTCGCGGCATCTGGGGAGTTTACACTTTGGCTTACGAGCTCAAGGGATGATCCGAGAGTTGACATTGAAAATCTATTTAAGGGTCGTATCGAGGGTTTCAAGGGCGGGGCTGCAGGTGCGCAGGTCCCGTTAATTTTTTGCCTACTTCCCGGGAGCGACTCGAGGTACTACAATGCTATAAAACGCGCTGGGGACGTTTTGAGTGGGGTTTTGACAATTTGTATGGATGGAAACAAGACAAGTAATCAGAAGATAGCCCGCGACCCCGGTTCATACTGCGAAACACTTGCGTTGAAAGTTAATCTCAAATGCGGTGGGATTAACCATTCGACTCAATCAGACCTGGTGCTTCAACATATCTTTCCGGGGTTGGAGAGCAACACGGTCATGCTCCTTGGAGCGGATGTCTCCCATTCAGGGAGGAGGGATCTACCCTCAATCTCGGCAATAGTTGGAAGCTATGAGCCGAGTCATTCGAGACTGTATTCTGAGGTTGCTTACCAAAAGAACCAAGAAATGATTGAAAATATGGCCGAAGGGGTCCGAAGTCATCTTGACCGTTTTCATGATAAACATAAAACTCTACCGAGATTTATAGTTATGTTCCGGGACGGTGTTAGTGAATCGCAGTATCGACAGGTTCTTGACAGAGAGGTTGTTGCGATAGACGCTGCGGTTGATAGGGCCTTTCTACAATCTGGCACCCAAAGAACCCCGGAAAGGCCAAAATTAGTGGTTCTTGTAGTTGGAAAGCGGCATCACACTCGCTTCTTCCCACCAGGTGCGACAGACAAACGTCACAAGACACTTCCTGGGCTTGTGGTCGATAGAGCTATTACTGCGGTAAGAGTTTGCTAGTCTGAAAAGCCTTTCATCGTGTGGCGTTGATAACAAGAAACCTTGGAATTAGATATATGAGAAGGATTTCTTCCTCCAGGCACATGCTGCCATACAAGGCACACCAGTACGTACCGCTTTTTCCTAATTCTTGCTTCGGAGTCACGTTCATTGGGTAACATGGTCTTCGTATAATAGCGCCCAGCACACTATTTTGTCATTCGTGATGATATGGATTTAAGCGATACACAGATTCAGGAACTGGTAAGAATCTATATGCGGAGCCACATTTAGAACTGTCTCTAGCTATTAAGTACGTTGCTATGCGCTGACGGCTTTGTTGCTCATTTAGGTTTTTAATTGGAGCTTCAGCTTTGGGCGCTCATTTCGAAGTGTATCATACGCGCCGCCGGCGTATTGTGCAGATCTTGCATGTGGTCGGGCTAGGGCATGGATCCAGCATAAAGTTGACGATATCAGAGGCGGGGAAAACCTGTATCCGGCTTCAGCTAGTGGTTCTAATAGCAGTTCTGATATTACGGCAGTAGCACAGGCCAATCTGCACGGAATTGCTGGAGACTGTGGGAGACTGCACGAGGATTTGAAAGAAACAATGTGGTATATATAGGTAGGGAGGTAGTGATACTTAATTGTCGAGGGTCAGGTTAAGCAATTAAACATACAAATATAGGTAGCTTACGCTGACAGGCCGGGAATATAGCGAAGCAGAATGCAACAAGATCGTTTGCGTTGAACAGAATATGGATAAGGTCAATATTGGGAACAAAAGGGGTTTGATCAATATTATTGAGATGCATGACGCATAAGAGAGTCAGATCATGGATGTATGCACCGATCAGCTAATATCGGCAGTATAAAGGGAAAAGAAGATTACTAAGGACCTATTACATGTATTTAACTATATATTTATACGCGTCTTTGACAAGAGCAGAGATTTCAAATGAAAATCGTGTTTACGAAAGATCGTCTTACGCCACGCTGCTGACAAACCGTCGTACAGTTGTTCAAACCTACTTAATATCGAAACGGCATCCATCCATCCCGGAAATTTGTGCAGCTTTGAAAACGTGAGACTTCTCGCTATTGGTTCTTCTATTAATGGTGGGGCCGATTGCAAATTTAGTTCCGACAGATCATCTGAATGCCATGGCTCGTGGCATGGAATATTGATCAAAACTGACCTACCCTCGTTGTGTGGGTGCCCTCAGTGTGCGGGACGAGGTTGAGTTCCTGACCTTGGCGGAAGGGATCATCCATTTCTGTCTGGACCTTGAACAACCGGCAACTTAACTATCTGGATCTGTCAGATCTTTTCTTCTTCTCTTTACTCTTTTTCTACATAGTATCTATACTCGATACTCGATGTCAATAATCTAGTTTCGTTCTATACTTCCGAAGCTACGACTAATACCAGACGAATGGCTCAAAACTCGCCGTATAGAGGCGACCCGTTTTCCACCTACTGCGCACTTTCGGGCCAACAAAGTCAGTCTCCGTCCCCAGCCAACACAAATGACGTGGTTCCGGTCGCATGCTGATGTTTTCCAGCCCTGTTCCTTGGGGAGAAACTTTTTATTACGGGAGGATACTATGTTAGAACTCCGAATAGAACAGTCAGTGCGGGTATGAATTCGATATTTAGTATTTTTTTGCCTGTCTGCAAATGATGGTGCCATGGATCTCGATATATATATCTAGATGCTGAAGCCACAAGTGCTCAATGTTGCTGATGGGTTCGGAAATTAATTTCAATCGGTTATAGGCCCCTGGTTTCGCATTTTGGACCTGCAAACGTCGTTTGAGCTAGACCGCTTGAGAAATTATACTGAAATCCTTCCGCCGTCGATATACCCTCCGACAGTCCCTATCGTCCAGAATCCGGTCTTTTGGTTTGATTCTCAAACCAGCTCGATATTCTACTCCCAGGGCGCTGCGACTCTCGAGGGTGGAATTTATAACGTCCCAAGCCAGCATAATTCGGCTGTGCGTGGAAAATCGTGGACGGCGCCCTTTAATCCTGCGAATAATAGTCTTGGTCTCTGGAGAGAAATCGACACCCCTTTCAGTGGCCAGACAGGGCCCGCAGTTAGTCGGAGGTCCTTTTATGATGATAAAGCTAGGAAAGGTTATATATATGGGGGATGGATAGCTGGAATTGGACCGGACGTAGTCACGGATGGTGCGTTGACATACGATGCTGAAACTCTGATCTGGGCGAACGGGACAATACCTTATGGTAGGATGGACGGTCAAGGTGCTGGTGTTCCGTATCGGACAGCGGACGGCCGTGTGATTTCTATTATATTTGGCGGTCGCTTGAATGGGACACCGGTTAGTCTTCCCGCGGCAGCTATTTATCATCTGGTCGGAATGCTTATAGAAGACATTCTAGTTATCGATGACGACAATCTTCATACATGATATTACTAGTAATAAATGGTATCGCCAAGATTCAAATGGTGGCGACCCAGGCGCTCGTGGTTTCTTCTGTTCGACGATGGTTTCCGCTCCTGACAATTCTAGTCATCAAATACTAGTATACTCTGGAGTTCCTCCATCGGGGCCCTCGAACTACACGGATATTTGGGCACTAAGCCTTCCTTCTTTCACGTGGAGCCCAATACAAGCGAACTCGCCGATTCTCGCCCCTGGACCCGGACCGCGGCTTCATGCAAGTTGCGACATCGTGAATAATCACATATTGGCTGTCTTTGGTGGAAGAAATTTTGATGGTGGGGATAGCAGGAACTGCGATACAGATGGAAACGCCCTGTTTCTATATAATTTGAATACTTTTGAATGGCTGGAAAGCTATGACAGCGGTGATAGGGAGGCGTATAGGGTGCCAAGAAGCGTGTTCAACGACATCGGTGGCAAGTATGTTTTCACGCACAAATGCTGTGATTCTAGCGATTTGCATGTCGAGTTCAGAATGCTAACTGGACTTGATATAGTTCGTCGGGTTTCGCGACGTTGACATCTCCACCGGGGGGTTTTTCTGACCCAGAAATGACAACGTTATTTGCACTTACGACACCGACGTCACCTGTAGAATCCGGTGGTGAATCAAATACAAATGTGGGCGCAATCGCTGGGGGAACAGTTGCAGGAGTTGTAGTTGTTATTGGGCTGGCGCTGCTAATTTTTTTCATTCGGAGGCGAAGACCTCAGCCTCTCCCAACACCGCCTGTAGGGGATGACCCAAGGAAGAATACAATCAATGGAGCATTCGAAATTGGAAACTCGAATGAACAACCTCACGTAACTCTTTATAGTGGAGCGCTGTCGGGTGGCGAGCAGGTGATGGAAGTTCAAGGGCAGGAAGTTAAACCCGCACCACCCCCGGTTGAGTTACCCGCTGAAAATCTTTCAAACGCTTCCCAAGTAAAGGATAATAAGCGGGAGCGAAGACCACTTTTATCCTAGACAATGCTCACCATACACCTTTTGTTTTGCCTATATAATATTTATATTTAATAAGTATAGGACAGTGATAATATTAATGGTGGGGTGTCTGGTATTTCTCGACGAAGGCATTGATTGTGTTATATTTCTTATCAATTCAAACAGTGAAATAAAATCTGGTGGTCACAGGTACAAATTTTGACCTTATATGCGAGTGGTGGTTTAGTTTGGGTTTAGCTATCCCGGATTGAAATCTGTGATGCAGTTGGTTGAACCTTGCTCATATTTCATGGCCGGCTTGGGAATTTAAAATTTTGGCTAGCTTTACACAAATGTGTTCTCGCGGTCTAAGCAAATTGAAAAGTCTGTTTTCCATATTTCTTGTGGTTCTGTGGTTTGCCTTCATAGAAACTAAATACTACCTCTGCCCCCATTGCATGTTTTCTTAAACTTCGAAGTCGTTCGTATAGTTAGTCAATTAAATTCGCTAATCCGAAGGCTGGGTTTCGATACGCCATATATTAGGATATGTGGAGTAGCAAGTGGCTTTGTCCAATATGACACAGCATTGCGGCTGTTGTCCTATATAAATCTCGATATATCGGCAGGATTGGCTCCGAGTTCACCCAAAAATTGATAGATAAGGCGGGGGTACGAGATAACTTTGATGCGCCGAGTCCGGAATTTGGGAAGGTTTCCGGGGTCAACGTCAGCCAAAAGTTCGAGATCGTGAAGGTTTCCCGGGCTGTTTTCCGGTTTGAACCTGAAGGAACCGGACCTTCCTGATTTTGCATCAGGCTGCCAACCACGCCCGGGAAGGAATCAAGCGAGGGACAAGCATGCCCAGCACGTGGCACGCGCCATTGGCGCAGGTGCATTGATCGGTTCCAGCGGCCAGGTCAGCTCCACCGACATATGTCAGTACAGGCTTCGACCGGTATAGTTTGACGAGATCAAGAGGTTGAAAGTTATATCTAATTTGACTGGGTAATGGATCTATTCGGAAAATGTATAAAAGGAGCCGTTCATTTCATTGTCGGGGATAGGTTGCAACTGCAGTCCGACTCCTACAGCTCCTGGAACCCAACCATCGATACCACCCCGCCGGAGACTCTCGTCAACATGGCCTCTAAAGCGTATCTCTGGTCCGTCGCCTTTCTTTCGGCCTTTGCCGCCAGTAATGGGTCACCTACTACTACCTCTTTGACGTATTCCGAGCCGACTGCTACTAGCGCATCTCCAACCGCGTCCGGGGTTAGTGTAAACGAGGGCAAGGCATATCTGACCTTTGAAACCATCCCCGGGTTCTTCTTACAAGATGATCCAGCCACTGTTCCTTCGACGTTTGATTATGTATGTTCCTGCTCCTTATTTCCTCCTGGTACAAAGCGGTTTGTGAATTTCATGTGTGTGCTGAGAAAGGTTTAAATAATAGACAGCCACCAACTTTGGATTGATTAACCGAACCTACCCAACGGATGATGAATCTTCAGCCAAACTCACCCAATGGCAAAGATTCAACCGTTTTGTCGATAAGCTAAATCACGGAAGTGGTCGGAATGTTGAGTACAGGCTGCTGTTCATCGGCCGGCACTCCGAAGGTTTCCATAATGCCGAGGAGAGCTTCGTTGGCACCCCTGCATGGAATTGCTACTGGGCCGAGTTGCCAGGAAATGGCACCGCAGTCTGGGAAGACCCATCTTTAACATCATTTGGTATTTCACAGGCAGTGAAAGCTCATAACTTCTGGAAAAGTCAGATTGAAGTTCAGAAAATCACTGCACCCGATGCATATTATGTCAGTCCTCTTGCTCGCTGCCTCGAGACTGCAAACATTACCTACTTCGGACTTGAACATAGAGGAGCCGCTCGACATCCTTTCATCCCCACAATTAAGGAGTGGCTCCGAGAAGGTATCTCTATACATACGTGTGATAGGAGATCATCAAAGAACTGGATTGCGGCCAATTATCCTGACTGGAACATCGAACCTTCTTTCAGTGAGGTCGACGGGCAGTGGAACGGAATCACATCTGAGACTTCGTCCGCTCAAGCATACCGCATGAAGGTTGTCCTGAGCGATATTTTCGAAAACGATCACTCTACTATCATTAGTATTACTACACATTCGGGAGCTGCTAGGAGTATTTTGGGCGTCCTTGGGCATATTCCCTTCAGTCTTGTCACTGGCGCGATAATTCCGATTTTGATCAAGGTCACAACTGTCAGAGAGCCTCCACCACCTACTGTCACCCAACCGTGGACTACAGAAGCTTGGTGCACCAACGGGCCACCAGTGGCAAGTATGAGTGGGGCCTGTACTTGTAGCGGCGGCGTTCTCCCTGTGACTGCTAGTCCTATTATTAGCCCGAGATAGCCCATATTCGTCGATTCTCTTATACTTTCGAGGTCATGTGAAACGGTCATGACATTATAGTTTATTATTCTCCATATTGTTAGAGGACCGATCGTAAAATTACCCAATGATTGTCAACTTGAGGTGGAAAAGAACCATTAAGAAACTTTCATAAGCATTGAGCCAGCTTTCAATGGGAGACCCCATGATGCAGCAAGTAGAGCGATTCGTATAAGGGATCACAATGGGAGGAAAACATATGGCCCGTAGGAGGACACCGTCGTAGCGGGAGGTCTATTCACCGTTTATTTTTACGTAGCCGTCTCTATTTGAGTAACTACTCTCATTAGAGACTGGTTAAGGGCCGGATCCTCGCTTCTATGGCAGGAATATGTGATCAATGCAATCGATATACTGTTGATTCTTAAGAGATTCATGAGACTATGCTGTGTCGGTTTGGGCTTCGGTAATTTCGTTAAACCAAAATACGGGAGACCCTTCAGTATCGGAAAACGGGCCAAAGGCCTGTGGGCGGAATTGGTAAGAAGTTAATGTTGCTCTTGGAAGGAATGAATCGGTGATAGGCTTACCGATCCATCCAAATCTAACCAGTCTCCTGTCTGCCATTCGTTCCATATTGGATTCGTATCATATATTATCGCGTCACCCGGGTTGCTATACAATTGACTCGCTTCTGACTCGCTAAATGGGTTTGGCGGAAACTTTGAGGAGTCAGCGTGCATATGTGGCGTTTGAATAACAATTACTTGAGGAGTGTTTTTGGCTGATCTATGCTTCGCTTCAAGTCTTAATTCCTCCAAGATCACGCTGTAGCGCTTGCTTGGGGAACATGCTGTCATTTCTCGGGTGAGATGCGAGTGACATCTTTCTGCCAGCTCGAAGAGTTGAATTGCACCCTCGAACCCGTAATGTTGCCCAGATGAAGTGCTTTGTTGAATTTCCCATACATAGACTACAGAAAGAGCGCAGAATAATACGTAGTGTGTCCACCAGAAAGCGTGAAAAAGGCTTCCATCCGCCGCCATCCCGTCTACCGTTTGCAAAGCCACCTTCGCAGCAGATAAACATTGGAGAACGCTGTCCGAAAGTGGGAGTTGAGATTGCTGGGTTGTTTGCCTCATGAGAAATGGGCGGTACGCGTGGAGGACGGCGTGAGAGTGCGCTAACTTCATGGCCATAGCTTGACGCCGAAAACTAGGAATCAAACTAGATGGGCGGATACGTCCGAGATGTGCGGGTAGGGTGGTTTTCCAGTCTTTGAGCTGATTACCTAGTCTATCTGCAGCCGCTAATCTGTCCCTCTTTGGCATTTTCTGAGTTGAGTATACTTCTTTTGATATAGCTCCAATGATCTGAGCGAGCCTGCCAATAGTTAGTTTAAGGATCTTTGGGCGGATTCGACGCTGAGGTAGATATACTTTGCATGGAATATCAATGCTTCGACATGGCAGTCTTCTTCTGCTTCTGTTACTGCCGGCCCCTGATGCGTCATATCTTCGTCATTCACGCAGTCGGGGAAGTCTTGATCGATATCGTCATCGTGGTAGTGGCGAGGCCGGCCGAATACAACGCCTAGGTAGGCATCTATGGTATAAGCGACCCAAAAGGTCCTTTTCCGATACTGGGAGTTAATATAGTCCGCATTAGATAGCCGGCCTGTTACATTTCGTTTTCTTCCAGACTTCCGGTGGAGGGCCAACGCGGATATGATCTGGACAGCACTACCGAATGCGTACCATCCTTGATTCATACGTGCTGTTTGGAGAAGGTAGAGAACTTGTATGAGGCGGGCCTGAGCCGATTCCAATCTAGGCAATCCGGTCTCTGATTCTGTTAGTAGCTTCATGCCGGCTCGAAAGTATCGGTCGCTCATCTTGAGAGATGTGGCCTCTTGATCTGGGGATCCTATGCCCTTTATCTTTTCTTGCCTGATAGATGCGATAGCGAGAATGGAGAATACAATAGCTGCTCGAGCTTGTCCCACGCCGTTCCAAAGGGGAAGATCTTGTTGAACGTTGTGGTGCATAGCGTCGACCCACGTTGTGACGCTGGATTTGTGGAGGAATCGATAAGTTACCACACAAACATCAAAGTAAAATGAAAGTAGATCCTTTGAGACGGTTTTTTCGGGGAGTTCCGGTACTATATTTCCCTTTTCTGCGAATGGTTCGTCCCCGGCTGCCATCCACATCTGTCTCTTTTCATTGCCTTCATTGTTCGCTGAACTCTTTTGCGTCGCTAGACGTTTCCAGGCACGATGCAAAAAGGTAAGCCCTGATGTCGGATCAAAATATTGCCCTTCAATCTCTGCAACTTCAAGGTCAGGTGAAGCACGAGATGGATTATTTCCTTCGACAGGAGAGTTCATGCTGTCGGTTTGCGGCTCTTTGTGGCCCTGAGGGTCACTGATAGGAATCTGGAGAGGGAGCTCCTCATTGTTTCTAAGATTTATGGGTAAGAACCTTCGCAAAAATCGGGTAGCCGGAAGCTAGCTAGGCCAGACATTCCTACTCACGGTTCGTCTTCACTTGGGCCACGGGTTTCTGGTTGTATTGTCAAGTCGACGGTTGGTTGCGTGACAGCAGCTGGTGGAGTAGGAGGACGCCCCCGGGAATATTTAGCATCATATGAACATTCAAGTCCTTTCTTTGAGCAGTAATCGCAAGGTTTCGTGCCACTGCATTTCGCCTTTTTAGACTTGCAGAGATCGCAAGCTCTGCTAACTTTGTGGATTTTAGAGCGACTCTCTACAGGCGATGAGCTTGCGTTGTTGAATAAAGCTGCAACAGGACGTTTCCGAGAACTGACTGGTGGTGTATCGATGGTCATGACAGGCATTTTCAAGTGGATTTCCGGTGCTTTGGGGGTTTCCGAGAAGTTCAGAAGATGGGACAGCTTTTTCCGACTTGCTGGGTTGTTTCCGATTTGACCATGTGGATTACAAAGACTGTGGGGAACCGGATTTCTCCGTGGAACCCAGAGGCTGCGTGGAACCTGAAATGCAACAATCAACACTTTTTCAGTCTTGTGCCAATCAGAAACTAAATTAAGGTTCACTAGTAAGTATATAAGCGAGAAGACGAACAGAATTTGCCGTTGGGCCATTGATGGTCTTCCGGTTATAGCCTAGCATCGGAGGTAGCCCTCGTATAAGCACTAACTACGGAGCAGTTAAGCACAATACTGGTCCCGAAGTTTCGCGTCCGAGATCATTCTATTATACCCGGGAAAGCAGGACAAATCCATTTCCCAAGTTGATTAAGCAACGAAAACTCAGGCGCCCCAATCACTAGATATAGATATACTTATACTGGCTTGTCTTTACTGCTATTGACAGGAGCGTTAGTTTAGGTGTCTTATGTTAAGGTTATACGGTTCACGTGCACGGCAAATAATTTCGGGGTTAGCTTCATCACAGTGAAGAATAAGAGCCAACTGTGGCCGACGGTTTCACAAGCAGTTCCTCGACGATCTCCAGTCGTGATATAAATGTTAGACCTCACATGGATCATCAGGAGAGCCAACACTCGTTTCCCGGGGGCGCGCCAACACGCTTTTAAGATTTCTCCTAGGCTAACGTCTCCTAAACACACAAGAGGATAGTATCGGTATCTAAATTCAGGTCGTCGGTCCACGGCGCTTCCCTAAGGTTATTAACATGTTTAATGAGGTGGGACTAGGCTTCATCCACACGCTCAAGGTGAATAGCCCCCCCAGCAAATGGGCATTGCGAGCCTCTCTCCATTTTAACTTAACTTGGGACGATAGAAAGACCTAGCACATCGATAAGTGAACTTTCTCAGGACCTAGTACTATATAGACTTCTCGACTTCAGTGTCTTTTTGTTCCTACCACTTTGTCCTGGTTGAAGTAATACAAGAAACAGGTCCTGGGTTACGGAGGAATGGTGGGGAATCGAAGATGTTTTAGCAGCATAGCATAATGTGTTGAATGCGCAATATTCGGAAAACATGGGAACTAAGCTAAGAACTAGGATGCAGGACGGAACTAGAACTAGGATTTTTCCTCCGAGAGCGGGTATATATAAGTGCCAGGATTGTGTTTCGTAGAAATCAATTCAAAGGCGCCGACTATCGCGATTAAGAATGCGCATACTGAGATATATGGCATAGTCAAGTTGAAGAAGGAATATGAACCTTTAACTGATTCTACAACTCATGCTTTCATTTTGAACACCTGATGTATTGTCATTGCCGCGACTACTGACTTATGGTCCCTGAAGCAATTTGAGCTAATCTGGTGGGTGCCGATTGTATGTCTTCGCTTGTATGATCATGCCTGTTTTCTAAAGCCTAAGTGCTTACATATACTCCGTATAGTTTGTATAATTGTATTAGCCGAATTTATGTGGCACAACTGCATCATGTGGGAGGACAGCGATGGAAATGTTCGAAATGGGCAAAATTGATCCTGAAAGAATTCGAGTCCTAAGTCCTAAACTTTCCATATAGTCAAAGTTCCCGACGACCTCAAGAAACAAATTTCATAGCCTCATTCAAGGAGAAAAGACTTCAGTTGTTTCCTGTTTTTACTGACTTCCCCTCCGGGTTTTTCAGGCCCTCATAATAGCCACACTCACTCCATAGATAGGATCGGCCTCATTGGCACCTAGGAAAGATTTGGAACTGAACTCACATTAAATATTCTTGATACTATGGTCTTCCCTGAAAGTGCATGTAGGCCTGAATTGTTATTACATCAACACTATGAAACCGGCGACACGCCGACATTGTGCCCGCGAAAACACCGGCCCTGAAATCTGCTTACCGCGACTTGTTGATGACTGCGACCTCTTGTATTGTTTATCATTTTTGTTATATATTCGTCGACGTTCTTCAAAATATGACTCACACGATGTTTCCAAAGTCAATCTACGGCCAAACTCCATTCGGCAGCTTGCTGGACTACGTACCGCTATCATTTCATAGCCATTGAACGTGGGTCTGGATCGATCACAGCTGAATCGAACTACAAATAATCGGGACACAGCAAAATCTAAAAAATCGGAGATCAGAATATTTCAGCTGTTTTTCAAGGAGGTCAGAGGGAAACCGCATCGCAACCATATTAATAAGGATTTCGAAGTTATTTGATCCATACCTATCTCTCCAAGGACCTTATTAATCGGTCAGCCGGGAACCGCAAAGGGAGAGGTACTTTCTTCAGTTTTGTTTTGGTTGCAGATAACACTTTGGGTTATGAACACAAATCATGCGGCCAACCATCATTTTGTTCAGTTTATTCCTGAGGCACGGACCCGCTTCGGTTAGGTTTGCCTCATCTGGAGGATCTATCTATCTGGAGCTGGGCAGTCGCTAAACCTTGGACTCGAATTTGCATCTCCACCAGGTTGAAGGATTCCTTCATAACTTCTTTCGAAGTTGGCGCCTGCAAAGACGAGTTGAAGTGTTGATCCGCCCTCGAGGCCTCCGGACTGGGATATACAATGTAAAGGCTCCGCCTTCCTAGCCCACTGTCTTCTAGGGGCCGACTATAATCAGTGGCTGTTCTTGAGAACGGGTATTATTTTTGAGGCTGTTGAAAATGCTTGCTCCCGATACCGAGGGCGGCGCTTTAAAACCGGATGGTGTTGTGTTTTTCAAACTGAGGCCAAATATGGGACCTGCATGCTCCTCTGATGTCGGTCTACGTGCATGATGCGAAGACCATCCTCAGCAAAATACTACTTTTAATGAAGTGCAGCTGCAAAGTTCGATATTTTTTTTTCCTTCATGGGAAAAAACCCTATATCCTTCCGCCCAACATACCGATTACACCACAGGATTTGTTTCCTGTGGTGTCTCAGCTCAACCCTCAGCGTAATTCAAGATCAATTCTAGAGTTTTAGGACTTCAAACATTATTCTACCTGTTCTAAAGAAAATGCCATGGGGATGAGTACAGTGTTCTCCGACCATGACTTTCAGGACAATGGAAGTCTAGTCGATGTTGAAGATCAATTTATTGGTAGCCCTGCCTTTGATGCTGCTCTTTCCAAATCCCAAACATCACAGCCGCATTTCGAACCTCTCTTATCATTGAACGTGTTGATCGAAGCTAACCGTAAAAATCGAATAGACTATAGCCCTACCGAGGGGCAAACGTGTGAGCAAGGGGACAGGGGTACTTTTGAGGCCTACGAACACGGCACCGGCGCGGCCCTTACCGGTGTCCCAGCTCTAAACTACGTTATAGGACTGATACCTGGTCTTGGTTGGTGTTTCCTTTCTGGCTTATGCCTGTTGTCCATCTGCTTAGATACCTCATAGGATATATAGGCTAACACTGTTTGGATGCCAAGCTTCCGGCGATCTCCCGTGTCACGATACTGAACCGGCGCACCAGCGTACACGAAAGAAACCAAAACCCCAAAGACCCCAGAAAATTTACTACTGCGAGGACCCGGGGTGCCGATCAGAATTCCTCAGCAAAAAGGCATTTGGTGACCATATGTCAAAGGTGCACAACAGAAAGGCTTTTTCTTGTGATCGTTGTCCCGCAAGGTATTCTAGAGCCGACCCTTTAAAGAAGCACGTCTGCAAGCAAACTTCGATTTTACAAGGCTCTAAACACTCCTTGCCGTTTTCATCTACACCTTCGGCTTCAACCTCATCAGTCTCTTTGCCCCCTCCACCGGCAAAGAGGATCAAGGGGCCACGAGTCAGCATCAACGATTTACCAACATCATCCAAAACTCAACCTCCTCGAGCTGCAAAACACATCCAGTCATCTACATCTGCACAAGAGCATCCGGCTATGGCGCCTTATAGGAGGTCCCCTCGCCGCGATGGCCCAGCACCACGGCAGGCAGCTCCGAGGAATGAGCAGACCCCGTCAGGTGTTCATGATTGGGAGGGTCCGTTTCAAGAAAGGATCGCGCAATTGCAAAGGGAAATTGAACAACACCAAAGGGAAATTGAGCAACAGAGTCAAGAAAACGATGCATTGAAGGAGCAAAAGCGCCAGGAGGAGAAGAAGAGACGCGAGGCTGAGAAGAAGTGCCGGAAGATGGAAGATATAGTTTTTCAATTAGAGAGAGAAATTGCTAGGTCAAATCCCCAGAGACATGGAAGACACATGCCGTAAATGATAGATTGCTCTCTCTATACTCTCTCTCTGTTCTTCACCCTGCTATTGTATTTGTCTTTGTCTTTCCCACGCACATACCTAAATTACGTTCTCTTTCGTGTCATAATATTCAATCGATTGCGTATACCTCATGTATTCGCGAGCGAGTAGATTGGTTGGGCCGATACATCCGTATTAACATTCGTACGTACATAACAAATACCTATGCGCAGCGAAAAAGGCTATGGTCTAGTTAGGGGTAACCCCTAACGATAGAGTAATCGAGGGCATATAGTGCTCCGATAAGGACACACAAAATTTCTCCATCATTTAGTTTCTGAGTTTTTTATGTGTTGATCGACTACAATCGCGAAGTATTACTCGAATATTCCCTATTTCTTTATTCTTCATTCTTGGGGCCTTGTACGCTAGTGGGGTCTGGCACACCGGTGGGAATCAGGAATCCTAAATATACATATATATAAATATTAATTAGGACGGCGTCGATCAATCCTAAGTCCTGAAATTTTGTCATTATAGCTGGAACCCCCTGTTTGTAGTTCTTGGCTGGGTTCGATTGGCTCCCGCTAAGTATCAATTGCAATGTCATTCGGATCCTCCGCGCAACCATCAAGGGTTCCAGCTCATGCTATAGGCTACTTCATTAATTAATCGATTATATATATATATATACATATCTCTCTTTATATTGGATTTCCCTTTGACCCACGTTCATACTCACAGCCCCACAACTTTGTTCTGGCTACGACCGTGGAGATTCGTGAAGTGAGGGCAACATCTCGGATACAATAGATTCTTGGTTGTTATAGCACTCCAGCGGTTCTGGTTATCATTCGATATTTCTAACAAAGCAGTAACTCGCAGCAGCTGGAAAAGGGTCCGAATTGGAAACGGTCACCTAGTACCTTTTGCCGTTCGTGAGCCGTATAACCAATATACCTTCAATTTCTTTATATGGGGAGATTCCTGGCTGACATTTATCATCGTGGGCATCGAGATCGACTTGATCTCGAACTTGCGATCTTGACAGGCTGCCATGAAATCAGAACCGAGCTGAGCAGAGGTTCATAATCCGAGGGATACACGCATGTGGCTCGTGCAAAGTGGTTAGAATCTGGTCGCTTCACATATGCATATGTATACAGGATACAGTTGTATATCACAGCTATGTTCTGTCGCAAAGCTGTGTGAAGTCGCTACTGTGAAGAGCGGAAAAGTAACTGAATTCATTAGAAATCGCTACGATAATCTAGTCTTGGTGTTCTTCAGCATTGGCTGCTGAAGCATGAAGTACCATAGTCCGTGACACCTGGCCAACTTTAGCCTCTGTGTTGCAAATTTGGTGTTTGGTGGGCATCACGTTGGTGTGCCTCGTCAGTCTCGTAACCAAACTGTGGTGCCTCGTGACAGGCAAGGCATGAAAAGTTGGTGTAACGAAGCACAGGGCGGCACGTCAACAACACTCTGCGTTGCGAGGGCTCCGTACAACACAACAAATTCTCTCCTTCCGCCCCGGGTTTCTTGTTTATGATAAAGTAGCCAGGTATTTCACAGCAGCCGGCGCAGTTTAGACTATCACATCTGTATCGTTCTTGTTATTACCCATATCTACATATAATTCAATATCTAGTCTCTCACAATCTATACATACATTATATTATCCTTCGGGCGTATAGATCCACGAATTTGTGATGGTAAACTTCACGTTCGTCTCGCCGTATAGCTATAACATCTCTGTCAAAAAATACGCATGGATCCCCCTAGACTTGCTGGTGATGAATCTTTTCTCGCTAAGGAATTTCTTGAAGAAGTTGGAGCCAAAGAACAAGACAATATTGGAAGCCTTGGTAGTAGGTAGCTGAATGATATGCCGGCACGCTAGAATTCTGAGCCATACTAACTACGGGCACCTTTATTCAAAATTTCTTTAGAAGAGACCAATCTCTCATCCATCCCCCGAAACTCTGCTTACCACTAGAGCTAATCCGTTGTAAAGGGTTTGATAATGACTCGGCTGCTTACTCCATCAATCTAGATTCTAAATGTTAAGATTCCTACCAACTTTCTACGATAATACTCTCGCATTTTTTGGCGGCTGCTAACCAATACATCAACACATTAGTTGGAGACCCCGATTTTCCTGATTGGCCCACTATCCTCGAGCTCGATCTAATTCCATCCGCTTGCATGATATCTCCGGCATCAACGCCGATACTCCAAATTCACTCACCAATAGAACCCCAAGACGACGCAACAGCAAAGTCCCTGATACGTTGTACTGAATACGCTAAAACTCCTGGGCACGAACCACGTTCAAAACTACGGAAAGGCTCCAAGTCATATCAATGCGAAAAATGTCCCAGATCGTTTTCGAACCTCAAGTCGTTCGGTGACCACATGCGGACTGAGCATAATGTCCAAGCGTTCAAATGCCGTTCCTGCGGTAAGCAAGTCGCAAGGCATGATAACCTTCGACCCCACGAGATGCGTTGTAAAGGGCTTCATTCAATAGGGGATAAGAGATCCGTCCTGGCCGGCTCAGCGGTCGTAAAAGCATCTGGAAGGCCGGAGAAACGCCATCGCTCCCAAGCGTCCGATATCTCCGGGAAAACAGGTTTTAAAACCACAGATCCCTCACCAGTTATACCCACAAGCCCAAGTGAGAGTGATAGCTCGCTGTCCTCGACAAGTGGTAGCGATGATGAAATCCAGGAAAGTCAACTCGTAATCGAAGTTAAAACGCTCAAAGAGGAATTGAATAGAAGCAATGCGGATTTAGCATTGTTACGGGGCCAGGTCAGCAAGTTGGTTTTGGAATGCGATCTCTGGAAGCAACATTATCTCCAGTTGAGGTTGGGGGACAAAGTTAGCTAGAATAGAATGGTATTCGTTCTGGACTGTGTATCCGATCGAGATTTATAATCTAGAGGCACTGCTGGAATTATGAGATATCATTTCTACGTAGCGGGTACCAACTTAGTATTTTTCTGGGGCGCTTTATATGTATATTTATAGTTCTGCTTCTACTGCTTCGCAATCTTTTTTTCGATTTTCTAATTCGTTCAAGGCTCGAACCTGACTTGAGCATTCGAATTTCCTGAGAACTACGTCATCTTTCTTCTTCCATCAGTAGTCTAAGCTGTTTCGAGTGCTGATACACAGCTTATTTAGTGCTAAGATCTCTGATTGTGTTCTTCACACGTAGACGTCTGACATTTGAAGCTGATGAAGCCGATCTTAACTAATAGTTACAAAGTATACTTGAATAATGGGCTCTTTTCCCCCATTTTTTCCAGTTCTGCAGCAGTATACCTCTCCCTAATCTCCTCTTCAGTGAGTCTTGCGTTCTTGCGGTTAATATTCCAAAGGCAATACTCTAAAACAAGGCCCGCAACGATTCCAGCAGCGGCAAATCCGAAGGAAGCACCAAAACCTGTTGGGTATCGCGGCTTCTCCTTTTCAATGTAGATGTAGCTTCCGATTATTCCTCCAGCATTTCCCATACATATAAGGTACCCAATAGATATTGCGCGTTTTGTAGGACTGATTACGTTAGAGACGTTCCAAGCATTTACGCCGGGAAGAATCGGGTACATGCTGTGTAGGAATATGGGTTAGTATATGCGGCTGGCTCAAGTCCGGAAAAGTCTACGGATGCTTACCCAAAACACGATAGGCAAACTGCGAAATAACAAACGGCGATATTGTTTTTGATGTCAGCTGCCTTGGTGAAAAGAACGGAAAAGGCAACGATTACGCAGAGTTGCGGGACCAAAATGAAGGGCATGCGCCAGGACTTTCGATCCGCAAAAACAGAGAAACCGTATGCCGAAATTGCACCACAGGAGTATGGTGGGATGGTGAGTAATTGCGCAGTTGCTGATGTAAATCCCATGTTTTTTATGATTTGGGGCATGGTGAATTTGAGAGCGTAGTTTGGAACCGCTTGTGACCAGTTGACGAATATTAATAACACCATCTTCCAATCCGTTAGAACGTCTAGCAACACTCGACCAGTGGAGACGGTTTCTTGACGGCTGGAAAGAGCGAGTCTCCTTGCGAGTTGTCGAAGCTCCAAGTAACGTATTTCCTCTGGTTCAAGCCAGCTAGTAGAAAGGGCGGGGCTCTCGACAAGGAACATATAACAGATAACTCCGAGAAAAACCGTTACGATGCCTTCCATGATAAAAATCTGAGTAGAGTTAGTTTGATGCGCGGTGACTATACTACTGGAAAGGATCGATTCCGCACCCATCTCCATCCTCCAAGGCCAGCAAGCCCGTCCATTTTCGCGATGCCAAATGCAAGTAGCCCCGAGAACGCGCCTCCTGAAGCTGCAGATGTATATAGAATGGCTATTCTAGTCTGTGTTTCGTTTGGCATGTACCAATTAGATACTAATAGCACTGCACCCGGCAAAAATCCTGCTCTAAAGATATCTTAGATCCTAGGACTTATAAAGAAAGTATTGAAATTGGATGAACCTACTCAAAGAGACCCAGCCAAAACCTAACGACCGTTAATCCAGCGAAATTTTTGACGATTCCGGTGAGTGTCATGATAATGCCCCAGATGACAATTAAGGCCCCGAGGTATCTTCCAGGATGCTTCAGTTTGCTCATGATCATATTGCTTGGAACCTCTAAAAAGCTCTTTAGCTACCTATTGAATCGTAAAGAATCTCTAGATGGGTTTCTACCTGCGATAACATAAGGAATGAAAAAGATAGAAAGTGCCACATTATATTGAAGCCCATTCATATGCAAGTCTTCAGTCAGACCCTCGATTTTTGCATTACCTATGATCTATTAGCATATTCTCAGCATTTATTAATCATTCTACATACCGATATTTGTCTTATCTATGTACGTTACAAGATAGAGAATTGTGAGGAAAGGTATCATTCGCCACTATCTCGACGAGGCTATATTAGCTCCTTTTCGGGACATGGACTCGTGGAGCTGGGTAACTTACGTCTACTTTCTTAATCAGCTTTGCGCGTCTCTCGGCGGAGAAATTCGAAAGAAATTCAGCATCCTCGGCATTGAGTCCGGCTGGACTAGGGGTTTCCATCTTCTCATCGTGGACAATATCTTGCTTCTCGCGAAGACTTTCTACGTCGTGGCCCATGGCAAAAGGAAAGTTAGCGGGGAGTTAACCCTGCGACAGAATGGTTGCAAAAATTCTATGGACAAAGTGGAAAGTCGGCTTCGTATTTCTAAGCTAGGTCCCGGCCTTTTGGGTTTGGTAACTGATGATCCCTGGGGGAAATTTGCTTCATTCTTATACTGCTGCGCCTGCAGCTCCAGATGGTGAGAGAGAGATTAGGGTATTTGTGGGGGATTCTGGGGAGCCATGTGGGGAATTGTGGGGAATCGGGTTCCCGAGCGATGCAAGAATGAATTTTAGGAGGAGGGCGTGGAGGGAACCTATGGACGTGTTTAACTTCAGCTTGGACCTCAGGTTCGTGAATTCAAGTTAACTGTCTCGGATTCTCTGGGGAAATCCGCTTCGTTCATGGGGTGTGTTTTCCGACATGTGGGCCGGAAAAGTGTTTCCAACTCGGAAAACCGTCCGGAAGCAGAGCCTCCGGATATTAAGTTAAACAAGCGGATTTAGCGAATATGACAAGCTTAAATATCACCACTTTGCGCGGTATATGAATTGCAGATTCGAGCACCATAACAAGAAAGGATCACAATACGATTATAAATTATATCGCAAGCCTCAATAATTTTTTTGTATCGCTTTCAACTTTTCGCAAAAACATCTTCTATCACCTCACAATGGATCTTCGAGGTCTTACTCCAGCGCCTGTAACTCCTTTCACCAGAGATGGGAAAGTAGATTACGATGCAATTCAGAGACTTGGGTCCTGGCTTGGGAGCATCGAAGGTGTCACCGGACTAGTTGTTCTTGGCCATGCTGGCGAAGGTACTTTCCTCACCCCAGAAGAACAAGCGTCTGTTATCAAAGCATTCGTCAAGTCAGTCAACGACAAGATTCCCATCATCGCCGGCATTACTGGGGAGGGTAACGAAGTCGCCGCTCTAGAGGCAAAGAGAGCAAAGGATGCTGGAGCTAAGGCCGGACTATTGTATCCCTCTCACGGGTGGCTACGTTTTGGGTACCAACCAGGCGCTCCTCAAGACAGATATCGTATTGTCTATGAAGGTAGCGGACTACCATTGATCTTGTTTCAATATCCTGACAACACCAAGGCAACATATAACCTTCAAACAATGTTGGATATTGCAGCGCTTCCTGGTGTCTTCGCTATGAAGAACGGTGTCCGTAATATGAGGCGCTGGGATACAGAGATCCCGGTCATCAGGAAGGAACGTCCTGATCTCCAGATACTTACTTGCCACGATGAGTACCTCCTACACACCACGTTCGATGTGGATGGCATGCTTGTAGGGTACGGTAATGTAGCTCCAGAACTTCTCATTGAGATGATCAAGGCTGGAAAGGCGAAAGACTACATCAAAGCGAGGTCTATTCACGATCGACTACTTCCTGTAACGAAGAATATCTACCACCGTGGTTCTCATATGGAGGGAACGGTCGCATTAAAGCATGCACTGGTCGCCAGAGGTGTCCTGGAGCATGCAACTGTCCGGTCGCCCTTACTACCTCTTCCTGATGGGGCGGAGGCGGAGATTCACGGGGCGATTCAAGCGGCCCAGTTAAGTCGTGTAGTGGTGTAATGTTCCTTCCCTCTGTATATTAATCTAATCGAAGAATCATTTATGGGAATGTCTCCGCTCTGTCAAATTTATCCAACATCGTGTCTATGTGAGGAAAAAGGTCTCGGGACTAAAATTTCGAAATTTAGGGACGATGGCGCCAGGGTTGTACATTGTAAACGTTTAAACTTGACGTAAAATTATGACTGGTTCGTATGTAGCTTCCCAACCATGGGCAAAAAGGTCGCACATTCGGTAAAAAATTAAGCCGTCGAAACTCTAAGCTAAGGGAGTATGCGACTGTTTGCACTGTGGAAATCGATTGTTGGGGTATCCGCCATCGCGCTGAGAATCTAATGCCCAATTTCTCAAGATTATGCACCGTTCGCGTTTGGGCGATTGAGCTTAGGCTAACGTGAGGTGTGTTGTATTCCGTATAGTTATGCTTCGGATCTCTTCCTATAAGCTAGGCTACTAGCTAGTACTAGCTACTTTTGAATTTAAAATTGTAAGGTATTCTTTCATAGATGTTGCATGTTGCCATGCTCTGTAACACGAGGCATCGACAAGGCTGCCTGGCGGAAGGCTGGAGCCAAGGATCTGGGTTCTGATGACAAACGTCCCAACTATAGAATCAGATAAGTATCGGGGATATGAGTCTATCCAATTCGTGTTCATGATGGCCGATGGGGGATCTTTTATCAGGTCCTGGAGTTTCTCAGTCTTGGCTAAGTTGGATGTTTGGTGATATGGGTTGAAACAACTCGTTTGCTTGGCACAGGGCATGTTTTGGATTGAACCTTCCGGATTTAACGTGTGGATAAGTTCTGCCCCTACGGAAATTATAGGCCAGAACCCCACCTGCCCCTTACGGGCCTAATCTTCATAGGTACACCATTCTTATATATTTATTAGCCCTATGCGTTCATGCATAGGGTCCGGCTAAGAATGAGGCAACTATGGTACCGGCAACTTGGAGGGCTGCGAGGTCTGCTGTTAGTGCATGGTTCCTTCTTTATTCCTAGTGTAGCTCCCTCAGTTGCGCTCTAGAGTTTGGTCGAAAATTAGTGCCAACAGTCATGACCAGGATTTCATCCTCCACTGCCCATTGCAGCTAAATATATTGAATTTGGCGATCCAGAACTGACATGTTTTTATAGAAAGTATGCGGGGTCGGCGACATAACCGAGAGTCAGCCAATCGCACTTTTCGATCTAGGTAGGTGGCATGTAGCCATTTCATCCCATATCGGTGCCAGTTATAAGTATATGCAATGCCCTCTCCCCCCATGCCTCAAATAATTCTCCTGGATTGGCTTCAGCGTCAAGCGCAGTACCCTTCTCGTTCTCTTTTGATACCCATTGGATGTAAATCCAATACTCTCTCTCGTTCATACCCTTTATCGCTGACCACAAACGCTCCCTACTTTCTTCGCAATTAATGCCATTCTTTTAGCTTCCTTATTCGTTCTTTCATTATTTGCGGAGGGGTTAGTCAGCAGACTTGCTTTGGTCTAAGATTTCAATTTCGGATCTCAACTCTACAATATTCTATTGGGTATATTTTTTTATCATGAAGGTTGCGTCTTTTGCCTTGTGCTCGTCGCTATGCTTTGGGGCTACTTCCGCGAGACCAGCATCAGCATCGAATGCATGCATACAAAGCTCTCGAACCACCGATACCACCACTTACCAAGCATCCTCAATGACTTTTGCTACTTATAATGGAGCACCAAATGGCATACCTGTTGGACACGAAAACATTGCGACATTGCTTCCCGGAGTATTTTGGGATCAAGATTTAAATGATGTCCGCAACTTGGCGCCGGATTCAAAGTGCAAGCTCTTTTATGCAGAGCATAATGGTAAATCTTGTCTATAGCGCAGAATATTAGCAGCGCATTCACTAAAAACGTCAATCTACGCACTAGATGCCACACGTCCAGGTCAAATCGCTGAGGCGACGTATAACATGAAATACCCAACGGTAGCCCTAGAGCATTCTCGCCATGTTAAATCAGTCCGATGTCCTAGGCCAGATCATATCAATATTACATTCAGGAGCAAACAAGCATACCAATGGGCGAAGAAGTACTGGATCCCTTTCAACGCGAAAAGCAACGATACGATGGTGTTCGTGGGGAAATTTAAGGGTTGCAACCCGACAAAATTGGGCGAGATGAGGAGCTGGAGCTTGGTCGACGATTTGACCTTTAATGATGTTACTTTCACTGCCGATGCAGTTATCCAATATAGCGATATCAAGGATGTCGTCAAGGAGGCAACGATAAGATTCGGGAAATATCTCCCAAAATCGCAGTCGGACTTAGGGGATAGCCCTCCAGCTCCGACTCCTATTCAGCAATATCAAGCACCGTATTATGCATCAGCCACGGCAGAAATTGCTAAACCTACCGGATATCAGGGTCAATACTTAGCAGACTATGGGAAATGGGGAGCTGATTTTGATACCCAAAAGGATGACCACATTGGCTATGTTGACGCATCTAAGCCAATCATCACCCCAGCGCCTGAAATCCGAGGGCCAAATATTAGTAAGAGGTGGGGCTGGAACCCTTGGGAAAATATTACATCAGCCTTTAAAGCCGTAACCTCGGAGGTCAAACAGATCGTACCAGTTGTTTCTTCTGTCCTCTCGGGTGGGGCGTCGGCAATCGAGGGAGGTGTCAAGGCTATTTCAACCGACGCAGTGGACGTTCTGAATGACTTCACCACCTACACAAAGAAATTTGATTTACCATCGTTCAAGATCAAAGTTGACGTGGATGACGACCTTACACCGTGGGACAATCTTCGCGGCAAGCTACTAATTAATAACATTGCTGATGTCACGTTGTATTGTGTTGAGTGTGGTGCGGAGGGTACTGCCCATTTTTCTGCCAGCATTACCTTCTCTCTCACTCGTGGAATCCAAGCCGGCTCTATCGATTTTGAAGGAAATATCAAAGCGAGATTCTCACTTGGAATTGTCAATAACAATAGAAACATCAATATCCCATTGGCTGGCGACATTAAGTACGAACTGTTTAACATGGGTCTTCCTAGTCTTTCGATCCCGAATGTCCTAACGATTGGCCCTTACATTGCATTGGACGTTGTTGGAACGGTTTCAATGGGTGCGACAGGCCTTATCCGTGCTGGGTTCGAGCTTGAAATTGAAAAGCCTCGCTTCCATGCGGACCTTAAAAACATATCCCGGAGTACAGCTACCGGCTGGGTACCCAAGTTCAGGCCAATATTCTCTCTGGACGGTAATCTGACTGTGAATGCAGAGCTGAAAACTCCCCTCTCCCTCAATTTTGGCATCAACATTCTAAAAGGAAAGTTTGAGACCTCGCTTTCTGTCTCTGAGGCTCCAACAGTCAAACTTAGCCTAACCAATGGCTTCGATGGGGCTATAAATCCCAAAGCATTGGAAAATCCCCGAGTTGGTTTGATCAATGGAACCTTTACGCCAACTACGGGAACGTGCCCCGGGTCCGTTTTGGGTATGCGCGTGGGTCTTGACACCGTTATGCAAGTCAAAGGATTGCCATTTACCTTTCCACTACTCAGAATAGATCTGTATAGAAATGAATGGTGTATAAAGTAAGTTCTATGGGCTCACATTGGTTGAATTAGTCCTAATATCAAACTCGCCAGGCATTCCCTCTGGACTTTGTTCAATACACCAACACGCAGGTCTACGATCGACTCTCCGGACTCTGGATACTTAGTTGGTCATGTTGATTACCCCGTCGGTGACCTTTCACTCGTCAGTGGTACCAACGGAAATATCTACGTCGATTCTTCGACTATTCCAGAAGGTTCTTCTGGGAACGATACGTCATATAAGTGGCTGCACTGGAATAATCTTGTAGTAGGCACGAGTGATGGTAGGCTGCTTTACACTTACGCCGATGAGCTTCTCGAGCACGGCGTGTCAAGGTTTCGTCTTGCTCCATGGGAGCGCCTTCCGGTGTCTGCAGAACAGGTCGTTATTATTCCAAATAACAATGCGATGACCGCTTATACTATCGAGGAGAAAGGAACCATTCTATATCCCGTAGTATGTGCATATACAAGCCAGCCATCCAAGGTTTTCTTAGTCCGAGACCCGATTGAAGGTGTCAAGAAGTTGGAGAGTAGAGATCTACAGGATACAATTACGGGTGGGCGGGTTCGCGCTTGCGCCTTCATTCCCTGGCAAAGCTCCCAGCTTCAACAGTTTACTCTGCCTACCATGTAACTTTGTCTGTTTCTTTTGCTTTCATGGCCCTTAGATACCCTCTTTGCCTGTAATTTAACTGCATGTCTTTTTTCCCCCATCAATCGTCTTAATTATTAATAACTAGTAGTCTAGAGTGGTCTTTATTCAAGGCCTGCTTGAGCAGAGATTCTAGGGCTCACGCTGCGTTGCGTTGCCCCATACGTAGATGATGAAAATAACACACACGGTGCCAAGAATATATCTGACTAATCGGATCGTGTAACCAAACATGCATGCGGCCTGCCCCTTACCAAATCAGGATGGATCGTTGGAACACACATCCACAACGCAGGATCTTCCTCTTCCTCTATAGCTCTGCGACTTAACCTGAATAAGGAGATTTTTACGGCTGAGGGGCTGAAAATGAGCGATCTCTTCAATGTTCGGTTACCACGAAAAGCGGAGTGCTTCGAGTCTTGGGTATATATTAAATGACCCCTCTTGCATGGTCATCTAGCCTGTAGAACTTTGGCTAACAATTAGCACGGAGAAAGGATGACGACTCTAGACGATTTTGAAAACAACTTAAAAGGGCGACTCTCAGGAACGGCCCGTATCGTTGGATGTGACGGCACCGTGTTACGATGGGACGGGTCTTGTGCTCCGAACCCCTCTGTGACCGTCTTCCCTCAATGCGAGAGCGATGTTGCTGAAACGGTAAGACCTCAGCGGCTAGGCAGATGAATTCATACGATCCGCTGATGTAACAGCGTTAGGTTAAATTTTGCCGACAGAAGGGTATCAAATGTTTTGCGCAGGGAGGAGGGCATGGCTGGAGGGTCCGGAACAATAGGGAAATCGATGTTGTGATTTGCTTGAGAGAAATGAACTCCGTCACTGTCGATGAGCGAAGCCACAAGATAACCTTCGGGGGCGGGGCTATTGTTAAAGAACTTATCGAGGCCGCTACCGCTAAGAAGATGGAAATTAGTAAGTGATTTGCAGCTTTGTTGTGTTAATCTTGTGCTAATTGCAACAGCTACTGGGATATGCAACTCGGTGGGGGTCATGGGATCTACGCTTTGCGGAGGTATCGGGAGATATATGGGCAAATACGGGCTCGCGATTGATAATTTAGTGTCGGTCAACTTCGTGGACGCTGCCGGGAAGCTGCATCGAGGCGTTAGCCAGGATACTGATGAGGATCTTTGGTGGGCTATTCGAGGAGCGGGAACTTCGTTCGGTATTATTACAGAGGCGACAATGCAAGCACACCCCCAATCTAACAACGGTTTGTCATGGACTGGGGCATTGATATTCGCAGATTCATCTAAGTTGGAGGCAGTTGTGGAGGCTATAAATGGTCTCGAGATGGACGATAACATGTGCGTTCACCTCTTGATCGCTTGTGTCCCACCAACGCATGCACCCGCGATAATGGTCGTCCCTTGGTATTACGGGCCTGAAGAGAAAGGAGAGAAAGCTTGGAAAAGCCTGCTGGACATTGGTCCGACGACCAAGCAGACTTTTATGGCGCCCGCTAACAGACTAAATGATGGCAACGACCCGTTTGGAGAGATGGGCGGTCGCAAACCAGGAGTTGGCCTAGGGCTTGATACATTAGACCCTAATGCTTATCGCCATATCTGGGACTTGTATGTCCAGTTTATTAGCGAAAACCCGGATGCCGCCCGGACGGTGATAGTGGCTGAGCGTTATCCCAAAGCCAAAGCATCATCTGTTGATCGTGACACCGCCGCATTTGCCCATCGTGATAGTCAATATGAAGTGTAGGTTTTATTAGTCGATTTGGTCCCATGCCCCCTGACTTCGCTAATAGCTGATGTTTGTTAGGATATGCGTCCCATGGTACACGGACGAAAAATTGGACATTCGAGCAGACGCCTTCGCCCAAACGATTCGCAATATCTGGGTCCAAAAGTGCTGCAAGCCAGGCAAAACCCACTCTTACGTAGCGTTTTCTGGATTAAATGAGCCGTTAGAGAGTTTATTTGGGGAAAGGGAAAGGGTCGATAAACTAATGCGAATTAAGCGGAAGTGGGACCCAGAAAATTATTGGGGTGCGTTGATGGATATTATGTAGCTTGGATTTTGTTGACGACGGGCTCGAGATAATCGATAATGTTTCTAATAGTGATGCAACCCACTCTTCCAATACTAGTTTATAATTTGGTCAAGAAAGAACTGATACTCTTCGTAGCACGTATGGGTTGTTGTGAAGATTCTGTGTTGTCACAATTCATGTTGAAGGTACCTTAGTAGTACCTATATGTATGCGTACATACACACACAGGGTTATGTACAACTGACTAGCTATCAGTGGTGTAGGTTTCGATTCACAAAAAGCCTTCGAACCTATCCTCTCCTTGTATCATCTATGCGGTAGTACCCATTTTTGGAGCGTCTTCCAGCATCCGTTTAAGCCTTTGGTCCAACCATTTGACGTCTTCCATATTTCCGGGTGGGCCACCAGCCCAATGGCCCCAGATGGACGGATAAACATCGAGTTCTCCAACACCCGGCGCCATGTTATGTACCTCGTACTCGGAGTCTTCCGGTCTATTCCCCGAAAAAAGGAAGTTAATGAATTCTAATCTTAAAAATATCTGTGCTGGTGAGTTTTAGCTTACGGAAAGTATAGATCTGTTTTCCCGGGCAGCACCAATGTCTTTGCTTTGATGCTGCGCAACGCCTTCTCGAAATCTCCGTGGTATGGCTCCTGAGCGCTTATATCTGCCACTTGCCAAGTATGTAGCATAACGAGCAGATTTTCTGGATCCTTTTCAAGGGCCCACTTCTCCCAAAAGGTGACCATAAAGTGTTCTAGATCTTTGGCTCCGTAGGCTGTCATATGCAACTTCTCTCGATAGAAGGCCTGACTAAATCCCCAACCTGCATATACACGAGCAAATGCCTTGAGTCCTACGGTTCGCTCTTCTTCTGTCCAAACACGCTTTTCGGCGCCCCTCTCCTCTACGCGGCCAGATGTACTCCCAGCTGACGAAACACCCTTGCCTGCCAGAAGTGCAGACTTCACACCTTCCAGAAAGACTTGGTTATGGATGGATGTTCGGGCAGACCCGCAAAACGGAACACAGATATCCATAAATTCAGGATATTGCGAAGCCCATTGGAAAGACTGCCCGGCACCCATAGACCAACCAGTTACACAACGGAGATGATGGACGCCTAGCCTCTGCGTCAAAAGCTGGTGTTGTGCTCGAACATTGTCGTAGACAGTGATATCTGGAAATGGCGATACCGTAGAATTTGAAGGAGAAATTGACTGTCCGTTTCCGAACAGACCCGTGATAATAATGAAATATTCTTTAGGATTCAGAGCCTTGTCTTCACCAATAAGCCACTCGTTGTCAGCAATCAGTCCAGAGTACCATGATGGATACAGGATCGCAGGCGAATCTGGCGACCCGAAAGTTTTATAAGCAATCCATGCCCCAGGGAGTATAGTATTGCTTTGAAGTTTGAAATCTCCGAGCTCGTAAATCTCGTATTCGGGTTTTCCGATCGCTAGTGATTGAAGTTTTTCGGTCAACATCTTGTTCTCGAGTAAGTTTGGCTTTAGTAAGACTTCCTCACGGCCCTATTCATAATTTTGCATTGGGCTCAATAATATATTGAGAGTCCGGTAGTCCTTCCACTTAAAAGCGCCGCTTGAATATGCAGCGCGACATATCCTTGGACTTACTGCCGCGACGTTCCTTCACTAACCGACCCCAGGGTGATTACCCCGCATTGCCAAGCCCTATGGGAAAGCTTGCTCATGGAGTACATCATTATATGGATTGGTTGGTTAGCCTTAGCAGTATTGACGGTGCAAAGATCCTGGAAGTCGAATCCTGTGCCGACTAGATACTTAGTATGCTTGACCATTTTAATTAGCAACCTGTACAAGTTATACGCTTTGCATAAAGGAGTTCGGAGTGAGACTTATGACGATCTTAACTAGGGACTTTGAACAATACGAACAAACAGGTCTTTGACCATTCCATCTTCAAATTACAGGCCTGAATACGAGACAACCGTTCTATATGTGTCCGCAGTTTGGAATGTGAAACTTGGTGCACTGGTCGTCTACGGTTTCCACCTTAGATAACACCTTCGACTTTCTTCGTAGATTCCTTTCCAAAGTTCAGAGGCAAGGGCCTTCGAGAATCTATGGCCAACCTGGAGGGACTTATGCCACGCCTTTATGACGATGTGGGCGCTGTGTGGCTAGTACAAATAGCTATATGCCGCAATCACATGATCACTGTTGCAGCTCTTACAAAAGTATTCTCAGCTACTAATTAATTGTTATTGAACCCAAACCTAAGTTTTACGGTGACTTAGAACTTTACAGCAATTTCTGGAAGCCTTTGATAAAACTTTTTAAGACCCATTCCCGCTAAGATACCCAACAGGCTAAATTCTCAACTGAAAATCAACTTTGCATCTATTCCTTAACTTGTTTAGCCCCCCGGTCACTATTTTATACTAACTGTATCGTGTTCCCTAGCACTCCGCACCTGCATCTGGCCGTTAAGCATATATAAGTACGACACATAAAATTATGTAGTGTAAAAGACGGTAGGCGATGAAGTCAAGGATCCGACCGAGTTGAAGGTTGCACGATAATTGTGCGGGTTTAGAAGATTACTGTAGTTAGTGGGGAAATATTTTTTATAGTATCGGTCATTCTACGTACTGCTATTATCGTTGGAGGTTCAGCCATTAGGATATTAAAGTTGAAAATAATAAATTATCTTAGCAGTGTGAACATGACTATCAAATAGAGTAGTTGTTTACAAACTTAAAATAACTAGCCATATAAAGATTATTAAAATGACAACCTCGGCTTGCATTGTTTTTCCTATCATAACTCAATAGCTGTTAATTGGAGAATACACAACGTCCTGGAGTAGAAATTATGTGAAGGTGGGTCAAAGATTCGGTGTCCATAGTGATCCTTAAAAGCGAAACTGGTACGTATTCAACATACAATGTATTCAGGAATCTCTCCGCCTGAAGTGATAATACTGCATTGCTTCCTTTGGGCATCTGCAAAAACGATAAACAAGTCGATACGGCTACCAAAAATTACCGAGTCAATACATCCGGCTCAGATATTTAAACTTTTCTATTGCTTCGGGTAGGGGGTTCTGGGGGGGAAATAGCGGCTGGACTTGTAACTTGTAACGGTATGGCTATTTTAACCTATGGCGTAACTAGGATTCGCCGTCAAAGTAGACGTTACTCCCGCTGCCACAGCCGTCCTGGACGCTGCTATTGGCGCTAGATCTGACCTTACTATACTATCAGTCACGAACACACCGACAGACTGCTGCTACTGGTGCTAGGACTGGTATCGCAAGTGCTCTAGCCGGTGGAGGGATGTTGTCTTAGCTTTCTACTTGCTCAAGGCCGCCGGAAGAGCATCATGAGAGGCTCTATCGGGTCGAATTTATAGCTTTCTATGTTGCCCCTCTTGAGTTTGAGTTTGGGTTTATTGCCTGCTGAGTTAAGAGGTTTGTTTTTGTAGGCCTGTATACATGTATGGGTTACTGTAAAATGAGATCTCAATGCCTTGGTAATGTAAAACCCTGTATTTTTTAAGAGGATAAATGATGTTGAAGGTCAATTTAGGATATTGAACCACATGTTTCTCCCTTCAAACCACCCAAGCTTTGAGCGTGATCGTTTGGTAGGCTGAGAAGTGGTCGGGGAGCATACCCAATTAGTGATAAAATTCTTATCGGGGAAAACATATTTCCGTTAATTCCGAGAACTGCTATTTTATACGGCTAGGAAAAGCTTATAGATGGATTTAACATTTTGGGTCAGGGCCTAAAACGGGGCAAGCGATTTTAAAATTGAATATACTAAAGCAATACGTTCAGCGCAGCTCCGCAACTCAACACAGGCAAGTGCAGGAACCGGGAGGCAGTGTGGTTTCGAGGCTATTTTGCCGTAAAATTATCTAATCAGTTGATAACTGCTTTGAACACTAAATTAAATTGCAGTTTCGTAATTACATTATGACGTTTCTATTTGTACAAGAAATCAATTTTAATTATAGCTGTTGGGATCGTGAATTTTGGAATTAAAAGGAGTAAAATTTTAAATACCAATCCTTCGCATGAATTGCTAGAATTATCTTATTGTAGAAAGATGAAAATGATGTTGATGAGGAGCGTCAAGACTCCTCGCCAAAAGGGCTCGTGAAAGGTGGTGCATCGGTGGGGTTAAGACAAGAACGCGATACGAGATATGGTGAAGCTGAGCCATATTCAACATAAGAGAACCCGCCTGAGTCAACCACCTCAAATGTATATTTTCCAGCCCCTCCCCGATTCGCGAAAATAATTCGAAGGGGTGTATATTCGCCAGCACTTAAGGCTAGCTGGATTTGGCCCACCACAGGAGGGTCAGCAGGTGGGTGAAACGTAGATTCACCGTCCTCATTCGCTCTCGTCCACCCTATCTGTGCTTTTGAACCAGTCCAAAAGCCGGCATAGTCATCCGCGTCAGAGATTCTAAACGTATACGTTGTGGTGTTCGGGCTGTAGAAGAAACCCCGGTAGTTAAGAACGTAGATAGCAGGTGTTGCGGGCGTAAAGCCGTGAGGATTATTCATTTCAGTAGTAGAATGCAGCCCCAATATATTTGTTTTATCAGTGTCATACGGGGCGAGATTCTTGAAGTGTTCGGGGTTGAACTCAGGGTAATTCGTTGTGAATGTTAGGTAAGGGTTGTCGTAAATTGCTACTTCGAGGCCGGCGCTGTCACAGGAAGTATCTGGTGTTGCAGCCGGTTTAATGATTGTCGTTGTCGTAAATTCTACATGAATAAAGGTTGTCTTTCCGGCGGTTATACCGAGGCATTCACAGGCCGAGGAGTAAGCTGCTGCGTTTGAGCAGGCGGCAGCAACCTGAGCAGGTATATTAATAGCTGTGACGGGTCCTGTGGGTTCAGTGCCGGGTGTCGCTGTAATAGGCGTCGATGGTATAGTTTCAGTGATCGTTCTATGCAATATAAATGGTGAGTGTTAGAATCTTCGGCGAGTTATTAAAACTAAAAACTTGAACATCTGGAGGAGGTATAGAGTTGATTGTCATATCGAAGCATAGCTGTACTTACGTTGCGGCAACAGTAGAACGTGTCCATAGAAAAGATCTACAGTCACTAACAGTGGCCTGAGGAAAGAATGGCAAGGTTCCTGCCAACGCTATAAAGTTCCATTGTTTGATTAGCTTTATATCTGGTACAGAAACGTTCGAACGTTCGTCCCGGTTCCCATACCTTCAAAGCAACCATCTATTGTGCAACTACATGTACACGACTGCTGCGCTGCAGCTCGGATGGCAAAGAACGCGACTACTCCAATGATGAAGAGCATTCTGAGGAATACGACGCCGATGTCTCATAAAAACCTAGCATTTCGATCGTGCGCTGGTGTGGTATATATAGCTAGCAAACCCACAAACCCAAGGCAATACTTGTTTTCCAACTGATCCGTGGGCCTCTAGCGTTAGAGTTGACCTTTGGGCATATGTAAGACCTCATGACAAAGATGTCGCTTTTTGTATCCTTGAATGTCCAATGTTACACTGTCGCCGTTGGTTAGCCGTCCCGAAACACGACCGCAACACGAACGGCTGGCGTGCAGGCCAAGCCACCGTATCCCATTGGAGACTTCCCAGCGCTGACCACTCATGGCAGTGCACACTTGCTTTGCTCCCTTGTCAAAAACCAGGTCAACATTATAGGGTGTGGGTCCGAATTTCTGACACCGGACTGATGAACCAATCTCACATTTTTGCCCTTTTTCGGGTAATATCCCGAGTTTTCTCGGAACTACCTTCTGCAAACACCAACCGATCAGCATGCTGTTTCGTTCGATGGGGTTTTGTCTCACCGAAGCCACCTGAATTCTAGATCCCACATGAGGTCAATTCGAACGGATATGTCATGGAGTCGGCCTTGATTTGCCAAAATTCTAAAATAGTACAAGGTGCCTAGTTAATGGCTCCCGCACGTCAAGCCACCCGCATGGTATGAAATGCACAGCGATACGTATGTCACCAGCCGTCGCTAAGTATTTACCGAATTGGTATTGTCAATCGGTTTCTGAATATTAAAGGCTGATGGCTTTGGACAACCTGAGACATTGTCTTATAATCCTGATTATTAGACATACACCGGAGTCTTTGCAGCCTAAGATGCCTTGAGTATTTTAGGACGGGTCCCTTTTATTGTTAGAAAACCCTTGATAGGCCTATATAGGGTAATTTTCTTCTTAAGTAGAGCCACCAGTTGATACCCAATCGCCGTAGAAGATATTGGAGCAGGCCGCGAACTATTTTAATTTTAGCTGATAGCATTTTATACTGAACGAAACCCCCCCTCAATCATTTCAAAGTTGTTATTCTAAGAAATGGATACTTACAATTGGCGAAACTTGTCAACTGATCAAGTGGATAAGATAATGAGTTGTTTTCAACAGATGTTTGTCCTAAGTTGCTAAATGCAACAAACTTCCATATTATTCATTCAGGCCATGCTAGTCGAAAATGCTAGATATCTCTTAGCTCGTTTGTTTTCAAGATCTAGAAAAGACAAGACATTGCGGAAAACTCGCAGTATTTCCAGTGCTCTGATCCTTAACGGTAGAACAGTAGCACCTCGATGGCACGAGTGTGTTACAATGTCAGACGGCTTGCTCAGCACAAAAGATAAACAGTCTACGGGTCCTTATGATTGCTATCCAAATATTCTTTGCCAAAGGAGTTGCTAGTTCTTTTGTCCGAGCTTGCATCCGATAAATTAACCTTAATTTCCAACTGATCTAATTATACTGGAGGAAATTTAATTTTTAGGTTATAGATCATCTAACCGTGTGTAATGAGCCACCCGACTACTGGTAGCATTATATGTTCAAAAATTAGTTGTAGTCCATTTTGTTGATACTCTATAGCATTCTGCCAAAGGCCATCTCAGACCTTGCGTCATGCGCAGCGAGATTATCGGTTACGCACTGGATATTGTAACTGCAGCCACATTATTTATCTAACATCTTTGAGTTATCTACTTTAATCCCAGTGTTGTGTTCTCGATAGTCTAAACGGTTTAGTCGTTGAGCCACCGGGTCAGCATAAAAGCTTAAGAGGGGTTGGATGCAGAGATAGTATGCCTTTTTTGTTTACAGCAGTTGCAAACAATTGAGCGAGGCTTGACCTGGTTTGTGGTATGCACATTTAGGCAGGCAGTGTTTTTGTGATTGAGCAGTGTGGGGGTTTTGTATATTATTTAAGCTTCCAGGTCTGGGTACGAGACAATTCTTTAGGGCCAATGGAGATCTTTGAGATGCTCATAGGCGAATTTAAACTCCTAAGTTCGCGGAATTCCTTATGTTATCTATCTGTGGTTGAAGTCTGTCTCGATCCCCGCTCGGAATTCGAGATCCGAGATCAGCATACTTTCGCTTGTGGGCCTCGTTTACCACGCCGCCGCGTGTGTCATTTTTTTATGTTGGTACCACCGTCGACTCCTATTGGCTATGAGTATCTGGACTTCATTCTATACAGAAATGGTGCCTGAAGTTGCACAATTGTTTCGGATATTTCCGCTGGCGGTAGATTGAATTGACTCTTCATTTAAATAGCGCGCATGACCGAACCTCATTCTAAATTTCTAGATTCTGGTTACAATTTGATCCAAGAACGCTCAATTCTAATTCTGCCCGCGTGGTCCAGCCATCAGCAGCTATCCGGTTTAGGCCATTCTATACACCAGAGGACTTGAGGTTTCGGACGGCCCTTATACATAGCGGCGACTGCTCTAGGCCCCAGCTGATTCGGAGATACACTCGATTAAATGTGTCTCCTATACGGCGCGAACCTCTCGCCTCGAATCTTTTATTACATCTAGATAGAATTATTTTACTTGATCCCGAACTTTTCGAGACGACTGGCGCCCGGTGCCAGAAACGTAACAGTGTTTATATCAATACAACTAAGAATCTGAAATCAAGAGCCCACGGAGATGGGACCTTCAGCAGCCAGAGTTCAAGGGTGGACACCGCAGAACTCTACTAGTCAATTGTTACCTTTGGAGCGTCGTATCGGGGCTTATAGATTACCTTGGGGGTGGGAGGATATTCCGGTTAGGACTCCACCCGAGTCAGAAGCCGATCCTGATACGTTAACTCGCGGGGCTTCCTCCACTCGAATTCCCGTTCAATGTATCGATCCACCCGGCAGCAAGCAGGAGTTTTACAAATTAGAGGACTTGCGCGGAGGAAATATTTTAGAATCCACTATAGTCAAAAAACCGGATTGCGCCGTACTATTAGGGTCTAAGCATGGAAAGTGGAAGCACCGGTACCTAGTTTCCAGAGACGTTCTCTGTGCCTCTTCGTCGGTGTTCAGCAATGTGGAGGGGACATCGGTCCTAAACCGTACGTCCCCAAGCAGCAGTACTGGCGGCGTCAAAACTCAGATGCGATACTGGATATCATTAGCTATCGATTGTCGCTCTGAAGACCTCAAGTTGATATTTCGCATCATACATTTCACAACCAACGAACAGGATATGGATATCAAGTTCGATACTTTAAGAAAGGTCGCCAGGATTTGTAAGGCTTTCTCATGGGGGAGAGCACTTCAATCCTGGAACCATGTATGGCTTCAGAAATATGAATCTAAGGCATTGTTTCCAGGGTATGAAGGTTGGATGGAAATTGCAGATATCATTGGCACTAAAAAACACGTGGAAAAGCTGGTGGAGCTTCTAGCGAATGAATGTTCAGAGGTCAGTGAGGAGATGGTGACTCGATACACACCCGATCGCAGAGATCGTGTTTCAACGCAATATTGGCCAGACAACCAGCGAGGTAAGACTAGCGCCATTAAACAACTCCCACGACGTTACTAACACGCTGTTAGCGCGAGTTTTTGAACGCAGAAAACGTAAGATCCGCCACCTCTACGCATCCTTAAATTTTCTAGACAGAACCTTCAGGCACGGGAGGACCGATGGGAAAGCTTGCCCATCCAAGACATGTTTGGATTTGGCGTATGGGTCTTTTCTGCGGTCAGTTGAAGCGAATGGACTCAGGAACTTTTTAGATGCTGGGGGGTCTTGGGGATCTTCGGCAGGCGAGCTTGAAACACAAATGCTGAAAATTACCTTTCAAACATTGGGGTCCGTTTACATAACACACAGCTGCGCAATGGGAGGGTTTCGGGACGGATTCGCAGCTTGTATACGAAGTCAAAATCTCCTCAACGACAATGGCCGCTTCTGCCAGGTTGGTAGCACGAGTAACGGCGGGTTCGAATTTAGTGCTGAAGCTCAGATTTTGCAAGCCCAAGGCGTTCGTGTGTCTTGCGGCTTCATACCAATTTCCTCCGAAGAGGAACGGACGGTTGAAATTTGCTATTACATCATCATATTCTGTACAATGGGCTGTTTAATTGCGATGGCGGTAGCGGTAGGTAGAGGACGCTAAAGCGTGGTGGACCGAGGACCAATATCCAGCACCCTGGCATATATCAGTTTGTGAATGGTTTGCAATGTGTCCTTATTAAAAATTTGGATTTGATTTAAATAGCAGACTATAGGCCTAAATTCTTGCGGTAGAGCGTAAAAGAATTTGCGGAGCGGAGTCGGGGACAATCAAAACTGACGCTGGGGCCTGTTATACTGTGCCCCGCCCCCGTTCTCAAAGGACTTTGCCATACTCTCCAAATTTTCTTAAAGGAAAGAGTTTAGCAAGCCAGTTAGTTGCAAAGCTAATGCCGTGTTAATACTGAAGAGCTATAGAACTACGTGAATATGCCTCACGACAATTATCTGTAACGTAAGTGTCTGGCACGTCCATAATAGGGGGATATAGTGTTCCTTTTCGTATAGAGTAAGCTGTTTTGGCTAAGGTATTACCTAATTATAATTTAGTATTGAAAGTACCATTGATAGCTCGATATTCTGGAGGTTTGCGATTCTTTATATATTGCAAGGGTTTGAAAGCCTTTAGGCAGTTAGAGAGTCGGTGATTCCCCGTCGAGGACTATATAACGGCAGCGCTAGGAGTTAAGACAGTTAAATATAATATTCTACGTAGCCACGCTCAACTGATTAGGTGGGGGAAACTTAGCCGTATGCCCTGTTAACCTTCCGTCGTCTAAGAGAGCTAGAGCCGATATAATGACAGCGTTTCTTGGCGTGGTGCATACCAGTCTGTTGGAGAGAGTCAAGATAGATAAGCTTTGGTGACCTCTCGCCTTGTGGGGTTTCAATCGTTTGGAAATTCTCGCAGTTATCAAAAATAGTTAGAATTCTAGAACGAAATACATCTTCTATCAATAATAGGCATACATATCCCATTCATTATCTTTACTCTGTATCAAGGGGCCGTATTATTTATGGGACCGATCCTGTCCGGTCTCGTAAAGTAGAGAACGCACAAAATCACAGAAACCTCGATAGCGCCGGGCAATCCTTTAGGTGGTATCCCATTTCCCATGAATACTTACCCCGATACTCACTTTATTTAAATGATATCACCCATTCCGTCGATAATTATGACAGCGATGTCATTAAAATTCCTACAACTAGCATTGAATTTCGCAAAGTTCACCTCACTCTTTATCTTTCCAAATATTTGAACTATATGAGCTATTGCCGTAGGGGCAACCGTATGATCTTTGGTAGCCTTCCCACTTTGAGGGAAAGGGGAGCGCGAGGCCTAGGAATAATAGTAAAGAAGCTGATAAATATCTCGGCTGCAATTTTAAAAAAAGGTTCCACAGCTAATAGCGCCCTGAAATGTGCTTGTGAATACCTGCCCCCGCCTTAGCCTAGCGCAGAGCTCTGGTGGGAGCATATGCTGTGCTAAAGTAGATAATGAGTACAAAATTCACTCGTGGAAAGGCACTGATAATGTCTAATATATTAATATATAAGCTAGTTGGGATCGAGAGCGCTCCAATTTCGACTAAAAATCAAGATGAATAGTTCGTAGCCTTAAATACAGGTACGAGATAAGATAAACTATCGTATTTGCAGTAGATCTGAGAGAAACGACTGGCTTGCGTAGACGCCCGCGCGCGTGGATCTAGTTTAGTTGAGTAAAATGTCGTCGGACGCATCAACAATCGACGTCGTAATCCATCGCCCACCTTGGACCTCAATCTTATAGACGACGTGATCCCTTTGTAGAACCAGGGTCAGAACAATATTTGGCTAGAATATAGGAGTAGGCGGGATAGGAGAAGAATCGTTTTGGCGCGGCTCGGATAAGAAGAATTTCGCGACAGTCCATTCCTTTCACCTTCGTTTTCGCGCCTCTTGCTAGCAGCAGCGATACCGCAGTCTCATTCCCAACTCTCAAGGCGTAAAACAACGGAGTAGGACCGAACTTAGACTTCTCCTCGATATCTGCACCTTTATCTAATAGAAGATTGACTAGGCATTCATACGTTCCCTTGGCCCGCGACATAGTTAATGCCGGATCGCGCTCCGACGAGTCTTCGTATGATTCCAATTGGCGGGATATGGCCCTGTAGAGCGGCGAATAGGCTCGCCATAGATGATACTTGTTGCCATTTTCGCACCGTTTTCTATCAGCAGCTCACAAGCCCGGTGTAGCCCCCTGGTATAAGAGTTAGTGATCCGGAGTAATGGCGTAAAGCCATAGCGGTCAGGTACTGTAGTACTAGCACCGCCTTTTAACAGGAGCGAGAGCAATTCGGTGAGATCTGTTTGCGGAAACGTTGCATACATCGAATCAGGATAAATATGCCTCTGTCGCCGTTGTGGGCAGTTGCCTCGACGTCGGCTCCATTATCCAGCAACACTTTAAGGACCTCATTCTTCGCTGGGAAAGGGGAGTCGAAAGCAAAATGGAAAGGTATCCGGCCTCTTTTGTCGGCGCCGTTGGGGTTTGCGCTGTTCTCTAGCAGCGCCCAGGCCATGTTCTTATCCCCCAATCATCTTGAAGATTCCTCTAGCCGTCTGAATTTCTGTTTGGAATTCATTATGCTGTGATTGCTTTGTTAAAATAATAAATAATTATATATATTATATAAAGAAATTTAAATTACTAATTTCAAAAATACTTGTAGATTTTTTTAATAAATTTGTAATATGTCGGTTAATTTATTTTAGTATTTGATGCATTTTTATGATATGAAATAGCTATGAAGCTGTATAGGAGCTTTCGGATAAAATCTGATTCCTTTTCATTATGATACCAATATTAATATGAGTTAGGTCATTTAATCATATTTTTAGGAATTGAAGTTTAGGTTGTCTTATTTATTTAGAAAGAGATGTATTCATTAATCAGAGTGAATTATGGGTGGGGTAAGGCGAGAATTTAATATAATCCCATTGGAGAACGAAGATAAACACTACAACACCTCCGGCAACCTGGGGACTCGCGAAGAAGAAGGTAATGCGTTTATAATTTATATGTGGCTGGAACGATTAGTCAAGCTTTGGTACCATACCACTCATTGAAACCTATTGTAAGCCTAGTTGAGCAAAGGTTAGTCGATTGGAAAGCCAGGGTAGTATGACTTGCTAGACCTGCGAATGGAGCATGCAAACCTTTGGACTTGGACCTAACTACGTTGTCATAAGCGTTCAATGTTAACATGCGGTTGAATAAATTGGCCAAAAGAACAAGTGCGTCCCGAAGTCCACAACTGTATTGTCGCCTAACACCCAGAATTGGCGAAACTTCCAGGGTCATTACATCAGCAACAAAGTTGCGTATAGAGCCACCCATTATACGCCGTACAGGGCCTTAGTAGGTTCGATTCTCAGGCCACCTGAGAGGCTTTTAAGCCAATAAATCCCTCATTTTAGTTAAACCCGGCTGCTTAAATCAGCTACAGTAACTTCAAGTGACCTTATTTTAATCGAATTTGTGCCATTCATGTAATTTTGATATAACGAGTAGTACACATATTATTTGATGAATTGTAATCGACAATTAGTTCATACGATGAAAAGATAGTCGTATAGATCAATTACGTAGCGCACTAACAATTTAACCGAATTTCTTCCTAGATCCCCAGAATTTTCAAGACGGGTTAGTACTACCAGTTCATCAAACCTTCACCTTGGACTAACACCAATATTAGTATACTAAACCTGAAATGGGTTCAATTGGAGAAGTAGAAACTCACGCCAAATCTGCTTGAGCTGATTTTTAAAGGGCTCTTCTCGTTTGTTTGTTCCAAAGCGGCGTCAGTAGCTTTTTGGACCTCTTTGACGCCTGCCTCAATTGCCTTGGCGGCAGACGCGGATGGTGGCAACTGCTTCGTCTCATTGCGAACATCTTCGATTCGAGCGTGCATGGCACCAAGAATCTCTTCTCGTTTCTAAAAATTAAATCCAGATGTCAGAAATAAGTACCCCCAATAAAGGCTTTTTAACTTACTTCTTTGCAGATTTCTTTGATGGCCTTTTGAGACTTTTCTGAGAATTCATTGAGTCTTCTGACTCTGTCTTTGACCTCTTTAGGATCATCTGAAATAGAAGTCATCTCATCGCAAAGTTCCACACCTGGAAAAATGTGGTCTTTGGACACGGTCAGCCACATTTCGGCGATGTCAGCAAAAACGCTAAAGTATGCCCTAATAGTCAAACTGCTGTTGAAGATTTGCTTGATTAAAAAAGTTTTTGTTAGCTTAGTCCTGATGATCGCCCTTATCTGTTAAGACTTACAGATCTTTGTATGTCGGTGTACGAATAGGATCCGACTTTGTATACAGTTGTGCTGGCACCGTTGGTAACAATTGCAGTGATCTCATCGAGGAACGGGCCGACACAACCCTTCACCACAACCTCAATAGATTTGCTCATAGCCTTGAAGAATCGAACCAGTTTGACAATCTGTGTTTTAAGGGTAGCAATGAGCTTGATGCATTGTACCAAAACCTTTTTGATCTCTTCCTATTGTGGTCGTCAGCATAAAACGATTCCTGCTAATATATGAATGGACTGAATACTTGCCAGCTTCATAGAAGAGTCAGCTAGTCGAAGCAGGTCTGCTTTAACTGCCTCCAAAGCCTTTTGCTGTTCGATTAACAATGCAGTTGACTTTTGATAAGTCTCCATGCTTGCAGTGTAGGCAGCCTGCGTCGTGCTAAGGCGGTCTTGGGCGGCCTTCAACACAGCCTGGGCTTGGGCACTCTTCGCATTCTCCTTTGCTACGGCGACATCTGGATTTTCGGCGTAAAGTGGGATCTGCGTAACGTATTATTAGTGTATTCCTTTTACGATTCGTAGATGAAACATAGCTTACGCTTCCTTTAACAGACCCTGGGAAAGTTTTAGCCGTTGCCTCGAGCTGGATAGCTGTGTCGTATGCGGCTTCAAAGTCTTCCTGCCATTTCTGAACGACGTCGGACTTGGCCTCTAGCGATTTGCCTGACATTGATTTGCTCTCTTTTACCTTTGCTAGAATTTCAGAAGATACCTATATCGCATTTCCATGTGTAAGTGCTACCCGTTGTTCTAAGCTACTTAAGGAGGAAACATTAAAGGTGATACCTTTGCTGCGGTATTCAAAGCCTTCAAGTAATTCTTGCTAGGCTCCTTATTGGTCGAGATTTTTTTGAATGAAGCGACCGCATCTTTCAGTCTATTATCAACGAAGCCAATGCTAGAGCCCACCGCCTTTTGTTTAGACCCTTCCCCGGATTTTGTTGTGGAGCCAGTAGCTTTGTCCCAGTCCATTCCGCCATCTTCTGATCCTGTCAAAATAGCATTCAGTAGATTAAGCCAGTTCAGGTCTCGCGTAACAGAGGTGTAGGCGGGATCATCATTATCTGTATTCGGGATATCCTGCGTTTGATTTTGCGGGCTTCCTTGCTTTGGCGCAGTCTGACTGGTACTAGTGCCCTGATTACCGGTGCTATCGTTCTTGTCTCCATGAAGCAGACTAGCAACGGCCTTAGTCTTACCAATCATTGTCATGTTGTCTACTAGAGTAGGAAGAACTTGATTTAGGAGGTTGGCGGCGGTCTCAGCGAAGGTACTAGCAACTTGTTGACCAAGGATATCCCAGCTGCGCACCAAATTAGATAGAAGACTCTCATATGTCAAAGTTTCAGATGCACTTACCCATCGGGATACTCGTCAGATGCTTTCTTGTAGGCCTCACCCGTGATTTCGAGTTGCTTTTCCAGCTTCTCAGTAGCAGACTTTGCTATAGACATGGAAGCCTCGGAATCAGTAAGACGGGATTGGGCAACTGCCTTATCAAGGGCCGTAGTCAGAATTTTATCCTCCGTCTCAGCGGATTGAGAAACGCAGATAGCATGAAGATCGGACGCATGAACAAGCCAGGCATCAAACTTTCCGTCAATCTCCTTAGCTTGCTCAAGACAATATTCTGCTGCCTTTTGGATAGCCGTCATCTGTGGTCTTAGAGAAGTTCTCGCTGAATCAGGGTCGCCCAGAACTTCCACAAGATTGTTGAGCTGGTTGAGACATTCATCAGCTGTGTTTCTTGCGAATGTGTTTGATGTAAGACAGTCGAATCACCGCTTTACGAATACTCACTTTGGTGTAGATTATCTTGGACTGGAACTTGATTCCGCCCATACCTTCTTCTGCCGTGATGAAAGCCCTGGTACCTAAGGTAGCACAATCTACCAAGTTTGGCTGTAGTTTTTCCCATCTAGGATGTGTTAGTCTCAAAGTTTAAGTGCCTCTATAGTCCAGAAATGTTTGAATACTGACTTAAGAACTGTCGTATTTGGATTGGGCAAGGTCAAATTGAGAGCTTGAGCAGTTGATGATCCACTAGCTATGAAGCAGGACCCAATACAACAAAGTGCAACTGGAGCCCCGGTCAATAGCTCTTCCCAGTTATTCTTGAAAACCAGGGAGCTTTTGATCTCATCAACGATGGTATCGGTGATGCCATCAGCATTGTCACGACTGCGCTTTAGCTCCAAGGCCTTTTCAAGCTGCTGTTCCGACATATTTTAGAGGTAAATGATATGAAGAAGTAAACAAGAGGTTTCGATTGTGTTGTGTTCAAAAATTGTTATGGGATAGAGGTGCTGCTTATAGACTATATATATATATGTTCTGGGAAATCTTTGGGGAAGCAAGCCGCGGCTCGCCATTATATAGACTCCAGAATCGTTCCTGCTGTTTAAATTCGTTCAACTTGAAAATGTGTAAGCTGAATCTCGGAGTAACAAAAAAGAAATATGCTTAGTTCAGGCCCCAGTTCGACGTTACCAGCCAGTTACGTAATTTTTAATTTATGCAAAAATAACCATAGCTGAAGCATGCATGTCAATTTGTAGCCTCGCTGGGACAAGAAAAGAATGTAGGTGTATCGGTATTTATCTGCTGACTTAACTTGTCCCAGTTCAAAACTACGAATCAAACCCCTCGGTAGTTTAGAAGGAGGTAAAATGGATTTAAGCGGTGGCTGAACGGGGATACTGAAAGGTGGGCGATTTGGGATGCAGTGGTTAGGCCCCAGCTAGACGGATCGGTAGCGGGGCGCACGTACTTAGGCAAATTTCCACGCTAACCTCAGTTGGTCCCCGTCCATTGTGTGCGGGCCGAACCGAGTCAGCTATTGCGAAGTGCGCCAGCGCTAAAGAGCCAGTTACTGCGAACTTCATCCATGGGTCAGCTATCGCGAAGTGCGCCGACGAGCCAGCTATCACGAAGTGCGCGAAGTGCGCCGACGAGCCAGCTATCACGAAGTGCGCGAAGTGCGCCGACGAGCCAGCTATCACGAAGTGCGCGAAGTGCGTTGGCGAGTCAGCTATCGCGAAGTGGGCACGTGCGTTGGCGAATCAGCTATTGCAAAGAGTGATCAGGAAACACGGGTTGGCACAACTTTCAGAAATGTATTGTTGAAATATGTGGATATAGGCAATCATAATGACGGTATGCATATGCACGTGCAGCGATATTACAACCTGATGATAGCCACAACGCCATGAAAACGCATTGAAAGCAATCCAAGTTGAACTCGAGGCTAAGTTGAAGCACACTGTCGGATAATTGACCTACAAAGTACGTATTCATACTCTGCTCGCCTGTAGTGTCAGCCTAGACGACTTCGGCACAGCTGAGACTAAATAATAAAGATATCGCCGTAATAGTATTGATATTTTCACCGGCAGAAGAATAACAGGTGACGGATAGGCCAATAGAGATACGTAACAAGGCATTCTGCATTATACTGGGCTACTGCTTCGTAGTTTAATTGGCACCTCAATCGGTGGGGATAAACTGGGTCACAGTTTACAGTCATTACGTTGATTAAATTTTATGAATGCAAATTACATAAAGAAATAATATACTTATACCGATTAATACGGGATGTATACGAGATTGATGCACAATGGCTACCAATTCTGAGCTGGGATCCATTTGTGATCTCCACAGCCCAAAGGCCTGGACCAATGATATATGATGAGCTGACAAGAGTGTGAACACCTCCAGCGTCTGGGCTAGTACAAGTCAGATTATTCCATAGCACCCGTTTAATGTTACCTTCGAATGTTGTCTTGTAGGGATCGAGACAACATTACTTTTGATGGTGAAGATAAATAGCGATAGATTCCCCCCTCGAACCCATTCTGAATATTCGAATATCTCAACAAGCATTTTACTGAACTTAGAACCGTCTGTAAATTTACATACTATTTCCAATAAACCTGACGACTACAAGCTAGATAGCCCTTTATCTACTGTTAAAATGTCTGACTTCAACTCCAGAGTTTCGAGCCTTCAAGCGGAGAAAGGGAGAATCGAAGCTGCTATCAGGAGTCTGGGCGTCCAAATTAACACCGTCGTGCCAGATTGTACCGAAAAGACAGTCCTGGCTTTGGAGAATGCTATGATGCGAATCTACAAACTTGCAATCTTCATTCGAGGTGATTTTGACAAGCGACCTTTGGATGAGGAGCAACAGTCCAATCTCTCAGCTCAGGCAGTTGAAGGTTTTGTTATGGCTAGAAAGCTAGCTGAAGGCGGCACGGTAACGTTGTCAGCCCATCATAGTTCTGTACGTCCGTGAACCCATCGTTGTGGCAGACACAATGTTGTTAAACCGGAAACACTACAGACCACTAATAAGATCTTTTAGCTGTCTAACGAGAACGGAAATCTCACGGTTCTTGGCACAAAAGTCTCTACGCTATTTCAGGATGCACAATCAAAGCTATCCTCACTGCGCTCGGAAATTTTTACTCTTCGAGGACAAGAGGCTACGCTGAGGGCTAACATCCAACTCCAAGAAAGCTCGCTTGGGGACCTTGAGAGAAAGAAGCGATCTCAGGAAACAGCCAATGACGTTGTTGGCGTTGCGGTAGACCTTTTTGTAAGTCTAGTTAGATTCGAAATTCGACTTTTTATATGGTTATATAACCAACGCAAAGCAGGAGGACCAACTGACGTGCTCAACCCATTCTGCTTTATAGACAATGGGCCCTTTCGGCCTTTTGATATCCCGTGTCGCCGATACACCCCGTCCGAGCCAGGTTGTAAACTTGGATGGTATGATTAAGGATACCCAGAAATCTATCAATAGCGCGAGAGACCTCTTAAAGACAACGCAAGCAAATATGAATAAATGCAACAACAGCATTCTTGACTGTGAATATCAACAGTCCCAGCTGCAGGTCATTCAGCAAATGATTCCAGGTATCCAACAAATTCTCCAAAAGTCAACCTCAGACTGCAACGCGTTGATCCAGCAGCTCTTGCCTTTGAAGAAAGCATGCATCGAACTCGAGAGGCAGGTCGGAACCGTAAAACAGAGGGCTACGATCGTTGCTGGACAATCTGTTGGGAAAGTTGAATGGACATCAGGAATCTTGGATATTTGTTCGGCTGTCATCTTTACTTATCGCCTAGCAGACGAAGTACAGCTCATCGCCGGTGAACTGGAGCGGGAGTGGGGTACAGCGAAACCTCTGCCTAACGAGCTCTCAAAGACTATTAACTCCCTTAAGACTAAAACCGATGCCTTGCTCCAGAACCAAAATCAGAGGATGATTGCAGTTTGAGTCAATTGATTAAGCGAGAAGTTCCGGAGGCCCACTCTTTTTCGTTATATCACAAGTCTACCTTCATTTCGCAATCTACGCCATCGTCGTATTCTCTTTTCTTGGCTCTCACATAGCCCAAAGGCCTACAAATTACATATTTATGTGTCTATCCTTGTCCGGTTCCTACATGTCTATTTGTCGATCTTTATTGTTCAGTGAAACTACCTCCCACCATTCATACATGGAATTCCTAGAACAACATTAAATACCTTTAAAATTCTTAAAATATTTATTGCCTCCCACCCTTATTTATTTCCTCAAATAACTAGAAAAATGCTGTATTTCCACCTAGAATAACAGTTAGGATTCAAAGGTTATTTTAACACTTTTTGATTTGATCTTTTGTGGATATACATATAAACTTGATTTAGGTGATACATTTTGAAGACCTATAGATCAAACTTTCGTAAAGATATCTCCTTCAGGCACAGAAGCATCCAAAACCCACTTAATATTTTCAACGATTCCATCTTTGTTCCTTTCGAAAGATAGCAAATATCCATCAGCACTATAAGCTATCCTAGCTCGTTTCATTCTTTCCTCCTAACCGTTATTCCAGGTGGAAACACGGCGTATTTCCTACGGGGTATGAGTTGATCAGATGGGACACTCATCCATACCAAATGCATATAAGCAAGATGTGGTCTTAGCATAAAAAAGGACATTGATTTGAACTATTAATCTGTATCGCTTAATTTACTTAAAGTAGTAATTCAGAATTTTGAAACCTTGAATTCAGGGGTATATACAAAATTTATATAAATTCTTCTTTATTTTTTTTTTATGAATTTTAATTTATTCTTTAATTTATTTTTAATAAAATGGCAATTTTAACTTTTTAATTGATTATTATAATTAATAAATTTTTATATATATTATAATGGAAGGTTTTATTTTGTATTAATTATTAACAAGTTTATATTTTGATTAATATTAGTAAATATTGTAGTTGATATTATAAAGATTTTATTCTATCGAAAATTTGAAAAATTCTTAAAGAATTCTTATAAAAAAATAATTTTTCTAATATTTTTATTTTTTTTAAATTATTTAATAAAAAGGAATTATTATTGTTTTAATTATATTTTAAAATAATTATTGAATATGCTTATTATTATTGTTTTTATAAAAATTATTATTTCGATGCTATGAAAAAACATCTTTATTAAAATTATAATTTTCAATAAAATATATATATATTATATATTCTCAAAAATAATTGTAATATTTATTAAGTTTAAATTATCTATATTTAAGATTTTTCTTTAATTTGGTGGTGTATTAATTAATTTATTAATTAATTTGTTAATTAATTTGTTAATTAATTTGCTAATTAACTTGTTAATTAATTTGCTAACTAACTTATTAACTAACTTGTTAATTAATTTAATCAAGAATTTAAATAAAGTTGGTTTGATTTAGCTAATGATTTATTAAATATAAGTTATATTAAATGTTAATAGTTAATAATTTAAAATTAATTTGTTAAAATTAGTTTTTAAAATAATAGAATTAGTTATTTTGTATATATTGATAGTTTAAATTAATTAAAAATAATTATAATTTTTAAATTTCCTACTATTAATAATAATTTTAATGATAATGAATTTATATTATCTCGATTTTGTAATTTAAGTTGTATATATATAAAAAAAATTAAATAATTGACCACTTATGATAAATTAATAAAATAGAAATTTTGAGTTTTTAATAATCATATTTTTTGTTTATTAGTTAGTGCTAAATTAAATAAATTAAATTTAAAACCATTAAAATATATTTAACCCAAAACCACTAAAGATTACTTTAATATTTGGAATCAATTCCTATATTATATTTATTAAACTAAATATAGTTTTCTTTTTATTAATTGTATTGAATTTTTATTTCAACTAAATTCTAATTAAATCAATATAATTAATTAGCTTAATACGGAATTAAGTTTACCTTTATATAATAATAATTTAGATAATTCTGAAAAATTTTTAAATAATTCAATTATAATAAAAAATTTTATATGTGATAATTTAAAAGTTTAAATTTATTTTGTTTTAATGTTGTTATTTATTTGATAGATATATAAATTTAATTTTTTTGAACTACTATTACTTTTATTCAATGTGCTTAAAAATTTTAAATTTTATAATTCTATTATAATAGTTGGGGAAATTTTAAGTTTTTTTAATAAATTTATTTATTATTATCAA